GAGCAGAGCAGCCGTAGCGGACCGATATTGGGCCTGTAACAGGGTAGTTTCGATCTGTTTACCATTGGTGTTAATCTGCTTGAGTAATTTGCCGAGGCGCTCTGCAGCAAAGACCCAAGTCGAATACACAGGTCCATGTAGCAGTATGTCGTCCACTATATGGGCGATTTGATGCCAGTTACGGGTCCGTTGTATTCCTGGATGTAGGAGGAAGACGAGATCTTGCCACTGCCGGATCAAAGTCCGCAATACGGCCACCTGTGTTCGACTGATATTGGGCCTCAATGCGACCACATTAACCTCCGATAAGAGCAGGGAGCACCGCAGTTCGCTGTCCGTCAAAGCCGGGTTATGATCTCGGTGGCCAGGCGGTATGTTTCTGTTCATCTGCCAGATATCTGGCCAGATAAGGGGCACATAAACCTCCGTCCAGGTTCTCCACTGGGCAGACGTCTTGGTTCCGCCCTTGATGTCGAGGAAGCCTGAGGGGATTGCTTCATATATGCCTGTAGGAAGCACCACCTTGTCACGTACGCTTATCAGCCTCTTGTATGACGAGACAAGGCGCCATTAAGGATCCCATACCTGACGAATGGCTTTACTTATGGCGACAAGGTTTGCAGGGGTAAAGACCGGCTTCAAGACCTCTTTTGCCCGTCTGGTTGGGTTGACCCTTGTCGGACGTGATAAGGGTGGGTTAGAGGGTGGTCTGGGAGGCGCCATAGAGGTCGACGGTTCAGCGGATGCCTGCGATGCAGCCATGGCCTCCTCCAGGGTCATTGAGTCGTCCAGAACAGCGGGGGATAATGCAGGTGCTATGGTGCTCGATAAGGGTGGATTAAATGTCGGCCTGACGATGGGCTCAGGGAATAGCTCCCCGTCAGTCGAATCGACTTCAGAGTCGTCGTCGTTGTCCGGCTCGTTAACGGTCCCGTATTTGCCCACACAAAGGCACTTCCAGAGGTAGGTTTTGTCGTTGCCTTGAAGCAGGTTATGCATGGCATCGAAGACGGTACACCTGAACTTGTCGAAATACGGCAGCAACATAAGGGCCGATAGGTGACCCTTAACATCCGCATAAGGGGACCGATTGAGGGCGTCTTTAGCCATGGTTGAAGTGAATTTGATGGGCCGATAAGGGGGTGGTTTGGGTCCCCTAGTAGTTCGGGGTAACTGAGCCCAGTCGTTTCGTTTAGCCTCGGCTTGGTTGGAAAGAGCAGCCTGCTCGTTATCGTGCTCTTGACGGGCCTGTCGTATGGCAGATAAGCCGGCTTCTTCTCCGAATAAGATACCCTGGCAGTGATGATGCGAATCGCGAAGGGGAAAATCTAAGGTCCATGCCGTTAAAATTATCCAACAACTATCCTACCCCTGTCTGGTCAGACTTACCCTGTGTAAAGGCCAGACGATCGTGTGTGGCATGGCAGCGAGTGCACACATCAGATTTACGAGCTTGTGACGAAGCTCCTATCAGGCCGATAGCAGCAGGCCTATCGGCGCACACGGCGGCCAGTGCAAGGTGACATAACCGTCCGTTAGGAAACTTGGGAGTCCGAATCGAAACTGGCTGAAACCAAGCCTGGCGTAACTCCATTACCAGCGGCATAAGGAATTTATGGTAATTGACGTGTCGGGGCTCTCGCGGACCTATAGACAGCAAGATAAGGGCCAGTTAGAAATTTTATGTTGGCAGATCGAACAAGTTGCAATGAGCGCAAAGATACATACCGGGAATAATGCCAATAGGCATTATCATACTCTGAACTGACCTCAAACCTTGCGGGAAATTGACGATTTGGAGTGAGATATGTCCAACAGAGTACGGCGTCGACATCATCGATGATGAACGGTTGACCCAATCCAGGTAGAGATTCAAGTAGATAACGGGGACATCTCCAGGCCTAGGGGGGTCGTGTAAGAGTGGGTTACCGTCCGGTCCTAGGATTCGCTCAAGTACTTCACCATCCCATTGGTCATGCAAGATCGACTCGGCGGGACAAGTGGCCTCGTCCCAGCGGACTGCTAACTGACGCCTATCCTGCCAGTTAAACGCTAGGTCTTCCATACCTGGATGAGCCAGAACTCGTTCAAGCTGATAGCGTAAGGGTATACGTGAAAAGTCCAGGGGGACGTTGCCTTTCTCTCCGTCCATTACCTGGCCACATGTGGGGCAGTTAAGAGGCAGGTTGGCCGGTAGTCGGGCTGAGCCAACGGCTGAATATGAAACTGGTGATGTGACGTCGTACAGAACCTCATGGCAGAGCATATTCGGACACACAGGGTGTACGATATTGGGCACATAGGTGCCGGTTTTCCGATGAACAGTCCGAAGGGTTTGTGCCGGCGAGTCGCTGAGTAGGGAGGGTGCATCACTGTTGACCATTAACCGGGTGCTATCGACCAGGTTAAGGGCCCCCCTGAGAAAGAAGTGAATTAGGGTTCTGGCTGCGCCCGCAGCTTCGATGAGAATAGCGTAGGTGTAAATCAAGCGTTCCATGAAGGTTGTGCTGTCCTGGACTTGGTCGAGGCCTATGTAGTCCGACAAGGGCTCGGTATCCCAAGGATTGACTAAGACCGAAGGTATGTCGTAGGGCCAATCGTCCAGGTAATCATGGAGCTCGGGGATATAAGGTAGAGCTGGCTCAGGGGGGGGCATATCGGGGGGGTTATCTGGAGGGTTAAGGGTGCGTTGTGGGTCGTTTTCGGATGTCGGTGATTGATTAAGGTGGCCGGGATCGTCCAGCGAAATACCATCGAAGGGGGTATCAAAAGGGCCGTATTGCGAGGGGCTTAACGTACCACCAAGTGGTTCAGTAGGGGGGTGATAGGGCTGAGTTGGAGAGGAGGGGATGTCGAGATCAGGTGGTACGGCGGGGGGGAGTTGGCTGTTCTGTATTTCATTAAGTAGGTACTGCCGCTCTTCTGCCTCTCCTGCTAAGCGCCGGATATGAGCCAGATATTTTCTTCCAGTAATAACCCTGCCTCGGCGGGAACAGTGGCTGCATAGGCAGAGTCCTAGTCTGTTAAGGGGCTGTTGAGGAGCAAGGATAAGAGTCGGTTAAGGGACTGATAATTCGCTCACCACCTGGGCCTCAAGCATAGCGATACTGCGGCGGGAGTAGTCGGGAGGAGTTGGAAAGGCGGATACCGACATCTGGAACGGTAATATGATGGTAGTCTTATTGTACCACTAACTAGCAACTAGCATACGGGCTTGCAGCGAAATAGGGGTAAGAAGTGATGATCGACTTGATCATATTACAGACAGGCGCCACGAAGGCAAAAGACCCCCGCGTCCAAATCCATGGGGGTCGGATAAGAGCCCGTTAAGCTAAATGCTTAACCGTCGCTTCTTATCCTACCCTTATCCTACCCCAAAAAATCTTAACCGGCGCGCGCTGATCCCCTGTGTCGGTCTTGAGCGAAGAGCGAGGTCGACAAAAGTTCAATCACACACCCTGTACATACTTTGTAACCTACACTCCCATACCTCCTTACTCCATCCTCATATAAACACCATATAGCGAGATAGATACTTGGGAGGATGCCACCCCGACTCTGTCAACTTTGCCAGACGAACAAGGCCCTCATCCGGCGGCCAAAGACGGGTCAACAAGTGTGCAAACCCTGCTTCTTCGAAGTGTTCGAGACAGAGGTGCATCATACCATCACCGAGAATGGAGGGATCTTCAAGCCGGGGGACAAGGTCGCTATCGGAGCTAGTGGGGGGAAAGGTGAGTCTGATAAGGGTGTGATGTTGATGTTTAGGAGAGCTGATACGGATACGGTGTCCTTACATTCGCTTTGGTATCCTTGATTCGAACCCATAATTCATTTCCTCCTCAACCATCTCGACCACCATCGACTCCGACGACCCAATCTACCCGAAAACCATACATAGATTCTACCGTCTTGGCGCATGTAATGACAACCCTGAACGCCCGGTACAACTACGGCCTCGACCTAACCCTTCTATCCATCGACGAAGGTATCACAGGGTACCGGGACGACTCATTGCTCACGGTCGCCCAGAACTCTAAGGAATACGCGCTTCCGTTGACCATCCTATCTTATCAAGACTTGTATGGGTATACGATGGACGAGATTGTAGCAAAGGTGGGGAGAAAGTCGAACTGTACGTCTCTCCATCTTTCGAAATAAAACAAATTGTCTTGACTGATCTTTGTTCTTGTTTCTGGGCGTTAGGTGTACGTCCCTCCCTATCTTCCGCAATAAAACAAACCGTCTTGGCTTATCATTGTTCTTGTTCTTGGGGGGTCAGACGTTCTGTGGTGTGTTCAGGCGCCAGGCTTTGGATCGTGGAGCGGAGGGACTGGGTGTGGGGCATATCGTCACGGGACACAATGCGGATGATATAGCAGAGACGGTCCTGATGAACAGTGAGTCGACAGTCCTCTTCTCCTGTCTCTTTCTCCTTTGTCTCATTTCTTCTTTCTTGCTATCCTTCTTTCTCCTCGCTCATGCTGAACCATTCCAACGCCTGGCAATCGTTATAGTAATGAGGGGAGATATCGCTCGGCTGGCCCGATGTACATCGCTGGTGACCGAATCGGAGGATACGATCAAACGGTCCAAACCGTTCAAATACGCTTATGAAAAGGAGATCGTCATGTCAGTGTCTCTTTCTTGAAACAGAAAGAACAGCTTCGAGCCTGTGCTGATGGAATGGATTGAATTTGCTTCATGTTAGGTATGCGTATTTCAAGAAACTGACTTACTTCTCGACCGAGTGTATATACAGCCCGGACGGTCAGTATCTCTCCCGGCCCTCTCTGACTGGATCGATGGGCATAGCATTTTCTTCTAATTGTACTGATTTCCTGCCTCTTGCCACTCCTACACTGCAGCATATCGTGGGCACGCCCGAGTCTTTCTCAAAGACCTCGAAGCGATCCGTCCGTCGGCGATCGTGGATATAATACATTCTGGAGAGACGTTCGAGCTGGGGAAAGAGGTCAAGGGGGGTTTGAAGGCAATGCGTAAGTCTGACTTAGATGGCAAACTATACCCGAGCTTGATGGGCTGGCATGAGGAGATGGTTTGGAGCGGAGCTGATCATGCTGTTCTCTTTGTCGGTGACACAGAGAATTGTCTGAGGTGTGGATATATCAGCTCGAACGACCTTTGCGTGAGTCTGAGCTGTCATAATAAGTTCTGGCGCACGAGATGTACTGATAGCTCCATCTTTCACGCCTTTTAGAAAGCCTGCGCGCTGCTCGAAGGTCTGGATCATGGGCTCGGCAAGGACGCCTACGTGAGTTTGATGTTGTCACAGGATGCAGAAGTAGTGCTCATGCTGACACCGCCGGGCCGACTTTACTTGATGTTGATAGAAACACAACGCCGCAGGCAAGCTGGATCTGGCCGCTCCCGCCATGGGAGTGTCGATTCCCGATCGGATACACGGGACGGATAGGAAGATCGTCGTGTAGTGCGCAGCCTGATGATCATTCTGTAGACGAGGAAGAGGGTTGCTGGAGGACGACAGGTTGTATCAGTTGTGAACGGACGGCTTGTATCGCATTACTACAGCACAGCATATAGCATAGAGACGACAGCGTTTCGTTGAACAAAGGTCGCTAGAACGCGCGCTTCTGATGGGCGATGCAGGTTGATTACCTAATACACGCTGAAAGAGCGTCTCTCGGTTCCGAAGATCTCTGTTGATGGCGGGACGATGGGGGGTCGACGTGATCAAAGTCATCAAACCTCTCCGTTCCGGCCGTTCCAACCTTCATCAGACCTCTCCGAAACAATCAGCACAAACAAACACGTACACGTTCTTTCAATCGTTTCCTTCCATTCAGCCTTTTATCACGACATCAGGATCCATCCTTGACTTTAGCCAACTCACCCAATGGTCTCCCGCAACGCACCCATCGACGCCCAGATGAACGATATCCCTCCCCCACCCGCTTACACCGCTGTCGCCACCGTTCCGGCTCAAGCCAACAGGCCTGAACTGCCCGTCAGGGTGAGGAACCCGCAATTGCGACTACGTGAGTTAGAGATTATATTTTTGGGCGTTTTGGGTAGTTCACAGAGACGGGGCTCATTGAGTTGACGCGGTCTTCCCGTGACCTTGTATCTACTTTCTAGCGGCGACTGTAAACGACCCCGATGCGTTGGTAGTAAAGTTCCAAACTATTGTACGAGATGGAAAGGAGATCGTAGTCGGTCGTCTCAAGGTCGCTACCGTGAGTCCCCAAGAGGAACCCCCCTTGCAATACCTTTCTGTCGACCTCGCTTGCTCATCAATCACGATCATCCCTTTGTTCGCTGCTTTGTGCGTATCCGAAACGTTGTCGGTTCCCTACATATCAGGATCTCCCGGCTCCCAACGAACACGCTTTCATCCTCCGTCGATATGATACGGGTGCGATCAGTGTCACTACCATGTTCAAGGCCGCCTTCCCTGGTGCGACCGAAGAAGAGGAGGAGCGTGAGATGCGCTGGGTGAGTCAGCCTTGGGGCTTCTTCTTTTCTCTGCGTCTGGGCCGATGTATTAATTTGCGCGGACACGGTGATGCTGATACGACCTCATGACGATGATGCCTGTTGACATCGCCCTTTAGATCAAGTCCATGTTCGATATGACTGGTATGAACGGAAGCAGGGACGGTGCGACGGTCAAGTTGGCTGGACACTGGATCCCGCCTGCGACCGCGACCAGTCTTGCTGGTGGTTATAGGATGGGAGAATGGATCAACGTGAGTCTCCGTCAAGAAGGCAATGCATCAGCGGAGAGCTGATCCCTACTTCGATCATCTTATAACCTCAGGCCATGGTCCGAGCCGCACCCGTTGAAGGGGTCGCCTACAGGAAATCCCAGCGATCTCAACAAGCCTACGATCAAGCCGCCAAGAAGCAAGAAACGACCTCGAGTGCCAGGACGGAAGGTGCTTCTCAGTTGGCTCCTCCTGCATCTGCCGCCGCTGTTCAGTCGACTCAGGCTGTCTCGAGCAGGACGAGGAGCGGGACCACTCCCGAGATGCACGTCCCTGCCAGACGGGCTGCTGAGCCTACTCCCAAGCGTGCTCGAAGGACCCGGGAGACGAGGGATAGCCCGTCCACAACTGCCGGCGCTTCCAGCAGTGCGGCCACTACTACGGAGACGACTCCGGCTGCTGAACCCGCTACTGGGACAACCACTGCCGAGCAACAGAACGAGACCATCGGATTGACCTTGGAGTCTACCCGGGAGATCAGAGCGCCCGTTGGGACGATCATTGATGCCGAAGCTCAGATCGCACAGAGCAAAGCGGACGTGCTGCGATTGAAGCAAGAGGCCGAGGCCAAGGCCGCTGCGGGTCAGACCCCGGAAGAGATGGGTCTCATGGCTCCTACCACCTCGACCGTCATCGACGCCGCCTCCGAAACGAGTATCCTTCCTTCTGCCGGCTCTTCTTCATCGAGCACTGTGCGAGGCCTCAAGCGTACCGCCGACCAACAAGCTGCGGACGAAGGAACCGAGATTGTCGGTTCCACCGTCATCCTTCCTGGAAGTACCGCCGAACGGGTCGTCAGGAGGAGGAACGGCAGGATCGTTGAGCCCGAACAGGCTAGGAGGCGTGGAGCCGTCATGGGCGCCGTCATGTTTGTCGGCGGAGCTCTTGGGGCTTGGGCTTACCAGGCTCTGCTCTAGGCGCTTGCCGGTTCAGGACGTTCACGTTCTTCTTTTCGTGAGTACTCAATCATGAAGAGCGGGACGGCATGGGTGAGCTGAACGGGGGATCTTATTAGCACACCTGTCTCCTCGATTCGGTGCCCCCTTTCTCTTCGTTCGCTTTTCTCTCTATAATCCTTTTCCAACCTCATCACCCTTACATTACTTCCTGTATTTTCTGGAATTACACTAGTCTAATCCGGTAGATATCGTAGTGATCGAAATCTATAGCTAGCTATACATTACCTTAGACAGTATATAGCTTTAGGGTAGTTCGCTAGCTTCCTCTTCCTTCTTCCTCTTTCACACTCTCAAGGCTACGCGGGAGCGGACAGCAAGTCGAAGAGAGAGCGATGAGAGCGGTGCATGGGTCCTTCTCGGTAAGCCTCTTCGTTCGGTTGAGGTGAGAAGCAGTCGAAGGATGGACTCGGTCGGGTGTAGGAACCGGACAGGAGGGTCTTCCTTCCGCTGGCCTTACACCTCTGGTCTCTTTACGTAGTCTAGTATATAGGTAGTCGATAGTCTTTCTTTAGTTGGTCCGGTCTCTCTTTAGCTAGTTCGTAGTTCTTTGGGTCATTGTCTATAGCTTCGTCGTATGCTGTCGGAAACATGTATATATTTCATCGATCATCTTTGAGATGGCGCAAGCGAAACATTTGAGGAGACTTCTCCACGGCGCATCCTTGTCTGATGTTTCGGTTCCCTCGATTACCACCCGCTATCATGACCCCAGGTTCTCAGCTCGTAGTACATCGCCGACCATACGACTTCGTACCTTTCAAAGCAACGGAAGCCGTCGATCTCATATCGATTCCGGTCCGGAACCATTTGCCGTCAATCACGTGACTGATCCCGGAAAGTTATCCTTGCTACAGCCGCCTCCATCAATCGACTTCTTCATATCGATAAACAACCTTGAACACACCGATTCCTCAGAGTCCTGTCCGCCCGAACAACCCATCACACCACCTGAAATCCCGACAAAATGCGTGTTGAATCCTGCTTCGTGAGTGGCGGCATTTTTTCCCCACTTCCTCCGGCGGAGCTTCTGGCTAACAGCCGTCTTCTTCGTAGTTCTGTGCTCAACCTAGATACCCCGGACATGGTACTCGGTACGAACCGCCACCCGCCTTGACCGAGGTTTGCCCACTGATAGCCGTTGTGGTGTACATAGATTCGTCCGAAACGATGGCAAATCCTTCGACTTCTGCAGCGTGAGTCAGCGTTAGGACCTTCCCTTGCCCTTGGAGCCGTTCACTGAGAATGTATATCCTTTCGCTTTTGTAGTCGAAATGTCACAAGAACTTCAAGTGAGATCGATATAGTGGAATCGGGTATGGACTTGTAGTTGACCGGGCGTCTTTTCACGCTCTTCAGGATGAAGCGAAACCCCCGAAAGGTCAAGTGGACCAAGGCTTTCCGACGAGCAGCTGGGAAGGATATGACTATCGTACGTCAACGTTTTACTGACTATCTTTCCTGCAATATTCGCTGACAAACCCTTCCCCACGTTCATAGGACTCGACGTTCGAGTTCGAGAAGCGACGAAACGTTCCCGTCAGGTACAACAGGGAGTTGGTCCAGACCACCATCAAGGCCATGAAGCGGGTTGCCGAGATCAAGGCCAGGCGAGAGCGGGCTTTCTGGAAGAACAGGTGCGTTATCTCGCTATTATCCCCCATCTCATGCGAAAATCACATCCAGGGGGCTAACATTGGCGTCATTTGCGGTTCACAGGATGTCCGGCAACAAGGCTCGTCTCCTCACGCACCAGACTTCGGAGATCTCCCGTCACCTCGAGCTTGTTCAACCTCGAACGACTTCGAAGAAGGTTCTTTCGGTCGAGGACAGGGCCGTCATCCGAGACAAGATCAGAGTCAACGCTGCCAAGCGTCCTGGTGTCATTCAGACCAAGGCTTTGAAGAAGAGCGCTTTTGTACCCGTTTCGGGTGGACAGAGCATGGGCATGGAGACCGACTAGACAAGAATCGGCTGTTGGCCACGGTTCATCTTTTGGGTTCATGCGGAGTTGATCGGATATCGCCTGCGGCGGATTGTCAGCGGGCAATCAGGTTGAAGCTGGGCAAAACGGTGGAGCGGTATCTCGATTTTGTATTTTCATCTATATCCCTTTTCGAGCATCCTTGTACCATCAATTGCCTTCTTTTGTACATCCGACACCGGAACTACTTCATGACCGCCTGCTTACTTTCCCGTGGCCAACTTGGTCTTGCATTGTGTGTTCTCCTTCTCCAACTTGGTCAGCGTGCGCACCGCCTTGTCCATCTTCTCGAGCAGATACTCTTGTCGTAGCTCTGTCGCGCTCAATTTGCCAGTCAACGTGTTCATCCTTGCAGTAAGGCTGCTACTGCCCCGAGGTTGACCGATCTCTTTCAGTCGAAGGAGTTCATCCTCGCACGACTTGATGGTCGAGTCGGCTGCCGCAATCAGGCTCAGATTGTACTCGATTTGTGTCGAGGCAGAAAAGACCGTATCTAGACGTTTGGAGTTAGCTTTCGGATATCATGCCCTATCATGTTCCTTTTGAGCGTACCATTCGCTAATCTCTCGAAAACGTGTCTGTACAGCGGTTTCCCAGGCCTAACCATGGATGGCCGACCTGTCACAGAACGGAGGTTTTGATTTCGGTCAGTATGAAACAGATCAGCTGAGTTCGGAATGACCCACCATCAATGTAAGACACCGCAATCATATCGTGATCCTCCATAGCCCTCAACGCTGCTTCATTACCCTTGAAGGGAAAGTCTTGCAAGAGCGAGGTGTACGGAATCTGTTCACAGCAGCGATTCATGAGCGACATACGCCGAAAGACTGCTGCATCGTACCGTCCTACCTCATGATTCGCAGCCAAGTCGTTGACCACTTTCCACGCCTGCGGGCGTGTCCAAGGCAAACTCTTGGCATCATCCGAGTCGTCGCCGAAAGCAGACTTCCTTAGTTCGATAACACTTCTGGTGATAATGTCATCAACGGCCTCTTTGACAGCCAGACCGGAGCGAACCTTGTAAACCAGCTTAATAGGGAAGGCAAGAAATCAGCTTATATATTTGTGGAATACAGAGGATCGGTTCGACTTACCAGCTCAAGGTCGATCATCCGTCCACCGATCTTCTCGATCTGCTCGGTCTCTTCTGGACTCAAGCTTGACCCGGTCGATCCCAGCTTACTGACCACGTAAGCCATACTGTTCTCCCGGTCAGCATCCGCTAAACTGATGGTGTTGAGAGGCTTTGTCGGAAGGGCTGAAAGGCAGTGCTGGACGGTCAGACTGCCTGCTCTGGTTGTGATGGACTCTGTCGACTCACCCTTCGTGAGCGCTTTCGATGCACTAGAAGAGTCGCATACCACAATAACGTGCGCGATCTAAAAACACCTGATCAGAAAAGTGCTTTCCTAAAAGACAGCATTACAGGTGCTTACCTTGTTTTCGACAAGCCCAGCAGCCCATTCAGCGAGCACGTTCCAGATTTCGGGTTTCGTGTTTGTTTTCTGGGTGAAGTTGTCCAAAACCAAGATGGGCAGCGATTCGGTGTAGTCGCGCTCCGCGTCCACCTCAGAGGCCTGCTTCTGAACGATAGCCGACTTGATCGCGAGCGGGTCCACCAGCAATGGGTCGGTCGATGCATTTGACGATGGGGTTTCGACTTGGGCAATCGACATCACAGTGTCGTTTTCGGTAAGCTCTTCTTCACCCAGTCCGAGTTCGGACATGACTCCGTTTCCGGCAACACAGTCCAACCGGCCATCGTGCCAGATACCCCGTTTGATCCGCTCTGCCCGGTCGACCTTGGCCATTGCTTCCTCTCGAGCTTCTTCTTCCTTGATAATGGCGTCTTTCTGCGCTTCCCGGCGACTTTCCGACGTCTCCTTCAGAGCTGAACCGACGACCTCGAGAACTTGCTTGATCTGCTGGTCCAAAGGCGTGGCGAATCCAGCCTTCTGGCCGATGAGACCCACAGCGGCAAGGTCGATCAGGCCACTGATGTTGTTCATGAACCTTTGGGGGCAACGGCGATTAGCAATCGGCAAGGCGTCAATGTACCAAGCACGATTACTCACGAGAAAACGGGCCAATAGCCTATCGAGCGAAAAGGGGGTCAGTCGCTTCCTGTCATCGTCTCGACAAATTCGCCCACCTGTCTGATCAGATAGCTCGTTGATAACAGCTGCGTCCGTCTTGGCTTTTGCGATTTTGGAGCAATCGATAAACAATGCTTTCCTAGGTGTCGGTAACGTAGATCAGTACGGGTGTGGGTACACAGCGATCGAGAGCCTTTACTTTTCCTTGTCCTGAATCACTCGATTCACCAGACTGGCCTTTCCACTACCAGGAGGACCAGTAACCGCAATGAAAGTCCCTGTAACATCCGAAATCTCCGAAATCTCAGCTATAGTGCGTCTTTCCGACATCCACCCTGAACTGACCGGGACTCTCGCTAATCCAACTCAACACCTGCTTCTCCGCCGCAATCCTATCTTGCCAAGCTCCCCTTCCAACTCCATCATTCGACGCTCCCGCATCGGGAGAAGATGCTCCGAATGAGAACCCTGAAGGGAGAACGAACTTTGACCGAATCCATTTGACGAACGAGTAGCCCTCGAGCTCGAAGTATCCTTGCACATGAGCTTGAACGAAGAAGCTTCGGATCGGATCGAAGAACTGCAAACACGATCCAGTCAGCATGGAATGAGCGGGATCAGGCGTTAGTGACTGACCGTATAGGACAGGGTACCGATGAGGAATGCTATGGCCGGGATCGTTAATCGCGGATGGGATGTCAACCAATCTCGGAAGGCGTGCGCTTTCAATGGCCGTTCATAGAAAAGCCGGAGCCGTGTTCGGGGTATTGTAGGAGGTGCCGATCCCGTCGAACCTTTAGTCTTCGCATCCAGAACCAAGGTGAAATCACGAGTATTGGTAGGTGTTGACAGGCCGTGCAGCACGTTAATAGCGATGGTGGAAGGCGTCAGGCGGGTATACGCGATCTGAGCGAATCTTAGGCTTCCGGCAGGCACAGGCGAGGGAGGAACGATGTTGCTGACTCGTCCGTACGGCTGTCATTGCAGGCGAATCGCAGTTGCTTGGTTCAACACTCGGGGGGTTATGATCGGGCTCGTTCTGCACTCACCCTGAACAGCTCGTAGAGCACCTCCTGCGATACGTCCGGTCCATCGAATTCCACCCGCAAGCGTGACGAGGAATATCGATCAAGGTCCTCGGTCCTGTTCGGACGAATGACTGTTAGCCGAGACCAAGATAAGGGTCCTCGAAGTCCATACTTGCCATTGCTTCCCTCTCACTGCCCAGCACCTGCCGTCTCCTAGTCCGAAGGTTTTTGTTCCCTTCTCGAACCGCGTCACTTCGGAGGCCTGCACTCGACTCGACGTTCGACGTCCGTTCGCTTTATCTTCCTCCGCACTTGCTTCCTCTTCAGTCCCCTCCTTCTCGATCTCCTCGATGGCGGAAGCGGCCAGCTGAGGTGGACCAGGCAAAAAGGTCGAGGCGTACCAGTTGCCTAGCCAGTTTGGGAAACCGCCCAGTCGATGAGCAGCGGAAGAGAGCAAAGGTAAGAAGGTGCGTGGGGCAGAGAAAGTCGAGCCTTGATCGTCAGGTGGGAGGTAAGAATAGTTGAGAAAGACGCCGCTGTGAGGAGAACAATCATCGATCAGCCTCCTTGACGCGGTCCCAGCCGTATGTTCCGCTTTTTATCCTCACCCATCTTTCCGCCTGCAAGGAAGAAGCAACGGATGGATTAGTGATGAGCTCACCAGACCACGATAGGAGACCCACGATATCTCTAGGTTTTCTAGCTTCCAGTCATGGACCTTAATTTCGTCGGCGATCGTTTCAAGTTGTTCGAGCAGTTGATCTTCCCGCAAAGAAGAGAGGATCGACCGGAAACTAAGTGGTGGCAGGAAGCGTCAGCAAGACATATGGCAAGGAATCGTCCATAGCTACTCACTCGAAACGTCCTAGTCGAATAGGCAGTACGTTGCTGATGAAGAAGACCCCTTGTCTGCGTTGTATCTCATTCTTCTCCCCGATATCGACCGCATCTACGATCTCAGTCGAAGCATATCGCCGGCGACCGATGCCCAATTGCTGGGACGTTAGCGACCCTGCCAGACATCGCCGACGGATGGCTGATGGATTATAGAGTCTAAGTAGCATTATAGCATCGCTCTGAGGAAGGTTACGCAAGCCTTGTATAAGCATGCAAAACGGAAAGATCGACATGATGCATGATGTCGCACGCTCGAACGACCCTGAAGAAGGTCGGGTGAGGGAAGGGCGGGGCGATTCAAAAAGTAAACAAGGACGGACTCTGATACCCTGACGTCACGGAAATCGTCGTATCGCGGAGTCGCAGGTGTTTTACAAGTCTTATGGATCTTCAATGGTCAAGCTTAATAAATAGCCTTCTCTACGTGGATATCTGTCGTTCTGTCTCTTGATATCGTGCTGCACGACGTAAACTCCAACCCGTGATATGGTTACACTGCTACAAGCGCTCGCTGGCTGGCTGTAGACACGCGCTATCCCGTACCTCACGCAGCCACAGGCTTGGGTGTGTTGTTGTTTACCACTGGTACCGTGATTCGGCTGGCATCGGCTCCTTCTTGGTACTGCGGCTCGATCCCGTTAGCACAATGATACCAATCGATGGGAGGCGAAGGTAGCATAGTAAACGCGAATTAATAACTCACCCAGTGATCAGGGACGATTTCGCCCAAGTTTCGCATGAAAATCTTGGCCACCCTGTGGAGCCAAAATGATTCGACCTTCAGACAACGGTCTCCGAGCACCAACCACGACTCGACCACTTACAACTTGGTAGTCCCCTCACTAACCTGAGCCACCTCGCTGACCTGTTTCAACGAGGGTGGCAAGCCGAACAAGGTGATGATGAACCAGATTGCACCCGCCGCCACCGAGATGGGCGACCTCCCATCGACAATCCCACTCGTCCCCGCAAAAGCCCGTTCGATAATCTCCTTGGCGTTTCCGTCGTCCTTCGGACCGAGACCGAGTCGAGAACAGAAACGGGGCAAGAGGTCCGCCGCGGCTTGGGAGGGCAAGGCGGTCTTTTGGATAACGGTGTGGTGTTTGCCCGAAATGAGATCGGCACGCCATTGTTCCGAGATGGCCTTGACGCTGTATCCGAGATCCTTCTTCCTGATCTGGCAGACGTCACAGACTTCCTTCATGGTACGGGACAGTCGGTTCTCCTTGCAAGCCAGGTAGATGCACGTTCCCGCCACGGCATCGGCACCTCGAGCTCCACGAGCAAACTTGTGCTTGTTTCCCTCCAACATTCGCACCTCTTCCACGCGCAAAAAGATCTGCTTAGCCGTATCGATAATGACCCTCGAGGTGAGCTGCATCTTGGCGCAGTATTCTTCGATCTTGTCGAACCCGCTGTCCCGACGACCGGCAGCTCCGGAACCGATGACGGCCCGTTGAGTCTTTTGCAACATCCTCGCGATTCCCGTCTGGCCATCACGAAAGTTGATCTCGGTGCTGAAGTCTTCGATACCTTCGAGCGCTTGGCTGTGCGAGGGTCCCGCTCCGACACGCGATTGATCGGGACCTTCGTCATTGGCAAAGGTCTAAGGCAGGAAACGGTCGGCTGCTGTTTGCAGTCAATAGCTACGTCAATGCGACTTACTCTCCCTGGAAAAGTACGCAAGAGAATATCAGCCAGAGTTTCGGCAGTATCGCCACTCATGCCAAACTCACATTCACTCCTCGTATCGACAACCCTATCTCCGAGCACCAAACCACAATCCGCACATACCTATCGTCGCCTCGAACCGGTTAGCCAAGAGGGTCACCGCGAGAGTAACGATGAGCGGACTTCGCTCGCTCACCAGATCCCCGTTAGCGGTCTCTTCGACGATATTGGGAGGATCGATCTTGCAGTTCTTGCACACCAACCTCACGTTCAAGTCTTGTCGAAACGATTGCTACGCAGATATCGGACCAGTAACCTCTATGGATAAGTCTCGTGCACGTACGGCTGGTCCTGTTATGATGGGTTTAGCCAACAGCTTACCTTGGGCGTCGGGCCCTGAGCTGCGCCGTTCCCAAAGACCTGGTTCCACCCCGATGCAGCCAAGGAAGAGCTGGTGACGGACTGGGCCATGGCCTTGCGTGCGATTGCATTGGCCATCTTGGTCGTTTGTTCTCTCAACACGAGTGCTTTAGGGCTGCCCGCTGGAGATCTCTTTGACTTTGAATCGAGAGCTGAATACGATTCGCTGAAGATGGCGAAGATTGGAGCTCTCAGTAGTGGAATCGAGTCGAGAGCGGTACGGTTCGATTCGATCGTCTGACACGGTCCAAATCGGGCATGAAGTATTCATATCATCGTGCTTCGACTCAAAGCATCCAACAAGATGATGGTACACTTACTCGAAAAGACGTCGAGAGCCAACGGGTCTGTCCGGTTCCCCCTGCGTATGCGGGACGGATTCAGGATTCGTCTTTCGGCTCTCCGATTCTCGAGTAACGTATGATAGCTCAGAAACTGATAGTAGCCTTGAGGATGGAGGCGAGAGATGGGTATTAAAACAGCCGGATAAAGGGAGGCGAGTAGATGAAAACGCTGGAGACGTCGGCTGGACAAGAGTCGAGATTGACCAGGTTCGCTTCTGCTAGTGCTCCTTTTGTATGACCGAGTGAAGGGTTCAAGTGTAATCGAATGCCTTGAATCAGGAGGAGCAGATCGATGGTCAGGGTAGGTAGAGAGTGTTCTAGATGGATCGACCTTGAAAGGCTGCTGGGTGGTGATCCGAGCTTAGGGATACTGGCTAATCAAACAATTCGAGCAGGGAAATGACACGTCATCTCGGCGGAGAGTACGACCCTTGAGCAGGATGCAACAATAATAATATCGTTGTAAGACGCTACCCTCGTTTGCTAATTGCTAACCGGTGCTATCATGCTACAAGATGCACGGGAACATCAACATCCATCGAATTATACCCTCGGTGCTGCCCTTGCAATTCCCTGCCCCGTGTCCGCGCAAATATCCGATTCTCCCTATCGCACAGAAACCCCAAAAAAGCACATGTTCAGAGTCATCCTACCTTTTGCTATATATCTGAACGCTTGACTCACTGCATGATATCCTCCCTATCCTCATCGTCAAAGTCACTCATCGTCTCCCACAACTGCTCGAATTCGACATCGACCGGATCGACCAGGACGTGTTCCGCCAGTGCTTGTGGTTGCTGTTGTTGCTGCTGGGCATCCGATCTCCCCTTGTTCGGATTTGTGTTCGTACTGGCATTATCCGATGGTGAAGCCGGGGAGGTGTTCAGCGATGAGAATGCCGAGCCGCCGGGTAAGGCTGTCCCGTTGTTGACACTGGCGTTGGAATTTGATCCTATCGTCTGGCCCAACCCTGCACCTGCTCGTAACTTGCTCACCCCACCCGCAACCGGCCTATCTACCCCATTCGTGTTGATGGGCAAGACCGACCCGACCCCTGGGATGGGCAACACCCACATCCCCTCCCTCAGCCGTTTATGCCGCTCGCGATCTTCTTCCATCCGGCGAAGGGTGTCGTTACGGGAAAAGTTGGTCAACGAGGACGGGTGGGGACGTTTCTTGGAGTTGGGTGTGGAGGAAGAAGTTGAGGTCGAGGTAGTGGCAGAATTGGTAGGATCTGTTGCCAGTGGGACGCTGTGATGCGAGGAGAAGGCAAAGGTACGGCGTTGTATGTCAGTGTGATGGGTCATATTGCGATCGAGGGGGAAGCAGATGGAGACTTGCGCTGTCCGACGTCGTTCGAGCTTTTCCACCAGCTCATCGCAGACTTCTACCGGGATCGTGCGTTTATTCCTGAACGACTCGACGATCTAAAGCGCGAGAGGACGATACAGCTCTTCAGTGCCCCTTGTAAGTCCACAGTCTGGTCGCGAGCTAGGACCCACCTGCTTGGTACTCAAGAGGTTCAATATCCCCTCCTTGTTATCCGGTACGACCAGACCGACGAGCTTCTCCACGTCCCGGTTCAATAGGGCCGTATAAGGGAAATCCGTCGTCGAGGAGGACGAAGCAGAGGGGATCAACGTGGATGTGGTCTGGGGATCGCAGAGGGTATCTAGGAAGTAGAGGATGTTGATCCTCGTGTTCAATGAGCCCTGGACGAGCGAAGCGAGGGAGATCGATGGCATCTATCAGTTACGAGCTGAGTGTGGGTTTTCGGTGACACTTACCTTGCCGCATTCTTCCACTATACAGTCCCAGAGATCTTCTCCACACTTCCTGCCATACTTGAGAGCGTAAGAGACGACGGTCTGGATGGACTGTTGCGAAGCGCTGAGTTTGCGTAGGAGGCCGAGGAATTGGAGTCGGGCTTCAAAGGGATCGAGGGACATGTCGTCGATAGCTTCTTTCGAGCGGGTTTAGCAAACAAAGGTACACCTGATACCGAACCGAGAGGCTGTGCGATCGCAAAACTGTGAGATCGTGCTGATCGATGTTGTATGCTGAATGGGAAGAAGTGACGAGTATGAGTATGGCTGCTCAACCCTGAACGCTTCTCGAGAAGTGGAGGTCTGTAGAGGGGAGGATACTTTGAGCTGAGACTTAAAGTCGACCCTCCGAGAGATCCATCACCCTCTCCGAAAGGGGAAACCGCCATTCATCTATCCATTTGATACCAACATCATCACTCGATCACTCACTCCCAGCTCATCGAGCCATGTCGTAAGGCAATCGAGTCGATATCCAACACCAACACCGACATCGAAACCTCTCGAAAAAGTCAACAACCCGGATTCTGAGGTCCCGTGTTCGATCTCGGGAGGTGGTCATCCGACTTTTGACCTCTTTGGTCGTATCGCGAAGTTCCCGATCTTCACCACTTCACATCGCAACACCGACAGCTAGCTACCACACCAGTCCCACCGGATAGGAAGGGCCTGGCAGGATGTTGGACGAGCTAGTCAAGTTCATGGCCGATGAGGTGGCCATGGACGGATCGTTGGGTGAGTCTATAAAGGTCGTCGGTCAAGTGCGATGATGGGATCCTGGGGACGAAACAGGGCAAAAAGCGGGAAGGGAATATGGGAGTCGAACCGAACTTTATAGTTCAAGTACTATCTACCCTTACCGTGTTCTTGACTCATGATGCCCGAAGCAACGTTCGAGTGCATATTGCTGATGCGTTTGTTTGCGCGTTGCGATGCGACGTGATGACGGTGTCGATCGACAGGTTGTTCGCCCCGCCGGTTCATCTACCTCTTATCCTCGGAAACATCTCCCATCCACCTCAACCGTCCACCTCAAGCACCCCCTCTGACCCCGGAAGGCCTGGAAAAGACCGCAGCTTACGTCTGGCGTCAGGTCGTACAGATCTACAGTAACAAGAACAAGAACGAAGATTATCAAAGTCAAGGACGATATCATGTGGTAGACTTTCGGCGGGTCAAGAAGCTCTTGAACGAAGCTTCGGACCTGGACTTCAAGCCGGAAAAGGTGGATAATAGAACGGCGAAGAAGCACAAGAAGGAGGATGAGGAGGTCAAGGAGACCGCCGACAAAGTGGAAGGCTCTGGGAAGGATAAAGGCAAGGGGAAGGGGAAGGCGAAAGCCAGAAACCAGGACGAAGACGAGGGAGATGACGGATTCGAGATCCAACCCGAAGCCGACGGTGCAGGATCTTTCAGCACGACGAAGCTGGTGAAAACTTCCGGATCCATCGAGGAACAGAAAAAGGCCTTGATCGAAACCGTCTTTGCCGAGTCCGAGATCACGCCCGAGGGAGGGGCGGATCAGGGAGACATGTTGAAGCTGAGAGAGGTTTATGGGGAGAACGCCTGTTTGGTCGCGGATCCCGGGACTATCAGGATGGCTCTGACGGGTACGAGAGTGCAGGTAAGTCCTGTTTGACATTGGTCTTTGCTTTGCGAGGGCCTGGCAGAGACTCCGGGACTGATGCTTCATCCTGTTTGATTCCGGGTCCCGACCACTCACATCCACAGATCCCAAAGTACTCGATGGTAGTGTCTTCGGTGCTGGAGATGGTGGCTCGCTCGAGAGCGGCGGGGATCACCATGGTCGACGTCGCCACCCGTTCGACTCGAGCGACCGGACACAAGGGTAGGGTTGCCGCCCAGAATGCGTTCTATGTTGTCAAGGTCTTGGTCGAGGCTGGTCTGGTGTAAGTGCATTGTCTCGGCAAAGGATCTCTTTTTGGCAGTCATGATGTACAAGGGCTTATGCGACTCTTTCGTCTCGCTTAGGGTGAAGCTGAAGGGAATGGATGAGAACAGGACGTCGAGCTCAATCGTCCATACCAAATACCTGGACCGGAACCGAAACTACCTCGCTCGGCTCGGATATCTCAAGGTCCGCGGCGGGAATGACCCGGCCGAAGAAGAGCCTGACCAGATGGAGACCCTCGGTAGCACGGTCCTAGGCGTCAACGAGGAAACAGGGTTGCCGATCTTCCCGCCGTTTGGTGCCAGCGAACTCACCAATAGGCCGTTCCTCAGGGCCAGACTGGTGACCTTGCTCAAGAGCGATTTGTGGCACCACCTGATCGAGCATAGGGATCTGCACTTGGCCATGGTCAGTCCGGCCTCTTTTCATTCTCGTCTCAGCGCTCGAGGTTAAATTGCAGTATAATTTCCTTTCTATGGCTGTGATATGTGCAGGGATTCGAGGGCATCATTGGCCGCCACGATCGGATGATCTTGCGACGCTACATCGCCGCCCTGATGACCGAAGGCCTGATCGAACGGGTTGCGGTGCCGAGCGAGATCGAAGGGAAGGTCCATTACTGCATCCGGTTGACCGAGTTCCGACCCAAGGGTCAGGAGACCTTTGCAGGCGAACGTATACCCGAAGGGTCGATGTCTCAGGCGAAACCTGGCGAGAGCTTGGAAGAGGACGACGACGCCGATGTCGAGGATCCACTAGCTGTCAATCAATCGCAGCATTACATCACCTTCGACCATACCGTCAGCAAAGAGTATAGCGTTATCGAGTCCATCAAACAAGCAGGCATCAAAGGGATACTGTTTGAAAAGCTCTACACAGACCTGCCTTTCGACAAAAAGACCATCCAGGGCATCTGTTACAAATTTGCTAGCCTGGGCGTCAACTTCCCGCATCTTTCAGATTACGGTCTGTTCGAGACGACACAGAGGGAGCAACGCCTCAACAAGGTCAGGTGGTTCGCCGCGCGCGAATACATCGCGCACTGTGCGCAGATCAACGTCGATCCCCTGATCAGCCCAGAGTACTTGGAAGCTTTGAAGCATGTCGGCGAATTCAGAGACATCTCTCGCCAGTCGTTCTACTCTTCGAACGAGGTCTACCATGCCAAGTTGCGTGAGGCGCACAGTAACACCAAGCTTATGAGAGCCGACGCCGTCAAAAAGAGAAAGGGCAGAGAGGATGTACCCTACTTCCGAGGTAGACCCAGAAAGTTCATCAAAGTCTTGGATCTCGATCGTAACATCCTCAAGAGGAGCAAGGCAACCGAACTCAAGACATCGCCGCTCATTCCGGAGCCGCTGCTCTTCAACAAGGCGAATAAGATGCTCTACCCGATGGCCAAAGAGCTTGTCGATGGGACAGGGCGAGTACCTGAACCGCAAGACTGGAACGATCCTACGGGAGGGACCAACGGAAAGCTCAAGGCTTACTGGGTGGCTATAGCCGCCGGAGAGGAACCGCCTACCAACCCTACAGAAAGCGATGTAGAAGCTCTCAGGCAACACCGGATCAAAGGCGAGAAGAAACGCGGGAGGCCTAGAAAGATCGTGGCAGAAGACGCGGATGGATCGACGCAGATCAAGAAGAAGCGTGGAAGGCCCAGAAAAGCTGTCGCAGAAGCTGCAGAAGAGTCGGCGGCAAATGGGAACGGGGAACCTTCTGTCGAATCTACCGCCGAAGAGCCTCCAAAGAAGAAAGGGCGTGTGGCGAAAGCGAAACCGGCTCCGAAAGCCAGTGCCAAGGCTCCTCCGAGAGCCACTAGGGGCAGAAAGGCCGATGAGGCTCACAAGGACGAGGTCAAGCCTGTTGAGCCGAGTCAAGCTGCCTCGCAGCCGATGCCCAAACCTGATGATCTATCGTCGCTTGAGCCATTGGAGGATCGGCAAGAAGGTTCAGCAGACATCGAGCAGGAACCGGATGTGGCCGGTAGCCATACGACTGCTATTCCTAAATCAACATTGGAGACTCCAATCGCAAGCATTGCGGCAGGAAACTCGACCGGTGACGCCAATGTTGGCATAGTTGTCGATCCTGTACTTGCAAGCCCATCGGTACCACCTGCTATGGAAACGCAAGATGCGCCAGTCCCTGTCGACCCTCCAGTCTCGGCTTCGCTCCATCATCAGACGTCCACATCCGTCGCTTCGCCCAAAACGCCTGTTCGACCGAAAGCGTCCCGGAAGGCGCCTTCAGATCCAATTCCTGTCAAACCTCCCAAGCGAGTTCGAATCGACCATGACCTCGAGATGCAGCTCAGGGAGGTATTGCGTTTCATCTCCGAGCAAGGAGGTATCGTTCAAGGGAAGCATAGTTTGACCTCCAGTCTCGAAAACTGGTGCAAGACTGCCACATATGGGGGACAATTTCCTGAGCAAGCCCTGCAAGGCAAGGTAGATGGCCGCCGAATCAACAAACTCACAGACATGCTGGAAGACTCGGGTAGGATTCGGCGGACGACAGTGGCTTCTGACGGAAATCGCGAGAAGACTTTTGTAGTCATCTGGCTACCTGACACGCCTGAAGAGCGCGTACTCGATTACATCATGGAACTGCGTCACGCGGGAGCTCCTAGGGTCGTCTCCAAGATCGAGGCGGTTCCCGCAGACACCATCGGGTTCAGCAAGGTTAGCCGAACACCCCGCAAACCCAACAAACCCCATCGGGGTTTCGAGAACGTTTCGACTCTGAAGATCTCCACGGCCACTCCCGAACAATTGCATGAATTGAGCCCGGACGACATGCGAAACGCGTTTCGGCAGGATTGGAGGATGTATCCGCAGCAGTATGGGTGGGAACCAGGCCTGGGTCGTCGCCTTGAACTATTCCATCACATCCTCTGTGACGCCGCGCGCGCATACGGTCAGCTAGTCGAAGACGGTATCTGCGTTCGGCGGAACGATGTCCTCGCGCAGCTGTCAGTCGCTGCGATGTGCCAGATATTGCCCGTCAAAGACGACGACGAGACTCTGCTGGAAATGTTCAGGTCGGGAGAAGCCTCCCGCAAGACCGTCGGGGAGCTTCAGGGAAGCCCTGCGACTCTGCTCTCTGTAACATCCCCACGTATCAGGAACAAGTTCGAAAGCCTCCTCGACCATCTCGTCAAGATGGGTCTCGCTGAACCACGTGAGAAGATCCTGGGCGAATGCGACGTCTTCCGCCCTGTCACGCTGGAGCGATCGAATTACGTCTGGCTTGCACAGAGGGGCTCGCTGATCGACTGGTCGAAAGCGAAGAAGTCTTCCACTGCGACCAAGCAGACCGCTGTCTCCTTCGAGTTGCCCTTGCAGACCTCCGAGGACGTGACTGCCTTTTGGTATCTCACTTGGTATCGTACCATGTCGGATGGATCGGAACAAGACAAATTACAGCATGTCTTCGCGCTACTTGCGGAGAGAGGCCGTACATACGAAGAGAGCGTAATGCATCTAGCGGGCCTTGAAGTACTTTCAGGCTACTTCAGCAGACCCCGGGCGTGGCGCAAAGGATTCGTTCTGCATGAAGCTCAACAACGCTATCTACAGTGGCTGGCGGAGAGTCGGTTCATTCCCGACGATCCTGGTAATTCACCCGATTTCCATGAGGAAACCGCCTATCGTCTGTTCGCACCCGTGGAACCAATCAAGAAATACCTCCTTAGCCGACTCAGTCATCGTCACAAACGAGACCACAGGGAAGCGAAGAAAGCGAGATCTGACGAGGCTGAAGAAGCTCTGCGCGAGGCCATCAAGCAGAAGGTAGAGGAGCGGCAGATCAGACGGGAAGCTCTCTGGATCGAACTTCTTGACAGTGCTTGCTCCCGCGTCGGCATCAGCAGTAGCGATGAGCTGAGGAATTATCTTGAAGCGTTTCATTGTCGGTATTTGCGCGACCCGACATCCTTCAACACGACCCAATTCTTCGCAGTGGTCAGCAACCATGTTGCGGCTCTTCTCCAGAAGAAGAAGCCCGGTCGAGCTCACCTGATTCCCACTGTGGCCCCGGTCGCCAAAACATCCCGGATACGGACCCACTGGACGACTCAGATGGAGGAACTCGCTCGGGATGCGTTCGTCGTGATCGAACATCGTCGAAAGCACGTGCCGCCTGATGCCATCACCAAGGCAACGATAGCAAGCGCTTGGGCAAAGGTCTTTCCGCACGTACCCGCGTACAAAATACGTCGCCGAACGACCGATTGGATGGCAGAATCTGCAGAGAACGCGGAATTTATCAAGCAGCTGTCTCTTCAGTGGGAGACAATCCTCGCCACTGAAAAAGATTTGCCTCCCGATATCGATCCTTCTAGTATGGAACATTTTGATGTTCTTATGAACATCAGTTCTTTGCGACAATTTGTCAAAAAGAACGCAGTGTGAGTTGAGCGCGCGCTTATACCATTTGACTGTCGCTGAGTCCATCCAATAAATTTAGATTGCAACGAGCTCGAGATCCCGAGGAAGGGGATGCCGAATTCCTCCAAGCGTTACCTCGCTCGCTTGATGTCCTCGATGCCACCTTCGTCCCCGACAACGCCTCGACAATCCGCACCGAGAACGGCTACCACTCCTACTGGTTGACGCGATCTAGTGAAACAGCAAAGGAACGCGATGTCATTGCTCAAAGCGCCCTTCTGTCGCTAGGCAAAGCAGGGATCAAAGTCAATCCATCACGTGAAGACGCAATGCTCGAATCCGTTGCCAAGGTGAGTCCTGAAACGCGACGATTACAAACGTTCGAGGCAACGTGAACTGACGCCAAATATATTCCAGACCATCGTATCAACGCCTCCAGCCGGGTATCGCGCGGATCAAGCAGATATCCTTCTGCAGAACTTCAAGACCAGGGTGGCGGACTTCAAGTACCGCCGTATGTTGAAAGATGCAGTCTTGGCGAGAGCGGAGTCCCATGTCACGACCGGTCGAGGTTATCGTTACGCAGAACCGTGAGTGCTGGAGAAAGGTCGTGTTCACTGAACGGTGACTCTGAGCGCAATTTGATTGGAAATGCAGATACGTCGCTCTCCGGGAATCGCCAATCGCGTCGACCGTCTTTGGTGATTGCCTCGGAGCGAAAGACATCGGGGAAAACGAGTACATCGAATGGAACGCGTTATGTCAGCCGGGCGAAGTGGCAGGACTCCTCGAGCTCGTATCCGACAACAAGATATCGGTTGCACTCGAGACCGAGACGGTCGACGAAACCCTCGAAGGTTGGGCTGTTCAATGGGGCGCGTCAAGAAAAATTGACGACGAAGACATCGAGGTGGATTTGGCATTCCGCAAGTTGGATCAAAAACCGCCAACTCTACTCGCGTCGAGTGATACTGATATCGCCGGGCAGAAGACGGAAGATGACGTGACTATGCAAGAACATCAGGCGTTGGAGGGCATGCTCGACGTGATCAAGGATGCTGGTGTGGACGGCATTATGACCGAGGACTTGATGGTGAGTCGTCAAACTCGCTTTGAGCTGGAATCATGTGCGTATCTAACATTCATACCATCTCGTCATCTTCGCAGGTTTCTAGCAAACAGAGCTCCGGCGAAATTATGGCGATGGCCATCAAGCTCGTTCAAATGGGTCAAGTTCATTGTCTCGGATGGTCCCGCGCGCGATTGGTCCACGATTCACACCTACGAGCCTGGCAGTTGACGTTTGGCTGCAAAGACGCCCCGGCCCCCAAAATCGAGGACGGGATCCTCAAACCTTCTCGAGCTGCTGATCCGGACCAACATGCGACGAGAATGACATATCAGTGGCTGGACATCTACGGTCAGGTTAACGAGGAGGAGTTCAAACTTTCATGCAACTCGATTTTGGGACACATCTACATGCGTCCAGGTATTAACGAGAGCGTTTTGCGGAGCTTGGTGGCCAAGATCTTTGGTCGGCACGAGATCAACTACGTGCTTCAAACCTTGTTGGACCGGGGTGTCATCCGTCGCTTCTGTGGAGATCTCGCTGCCTCGCCGAGATTGGGTCTGCCGGTCGCTGGACTCGCTGCGCTGGAGGACGAAAAGTTGATCAGCTACATGGCGGACGGGATCATGCAGTATATCTGAAAAGAAGAGATTTTTACGACCGTGACGATTTACATCTCATAATTTTCCTTTCCGGAACGAATCGAAACGAACATGTATAGCGCGGTCACGATGATGACTCCGAGAATGTAAAAGAAACAGCTATACGGACGACCAAGTCCGGGATCGGATACAATATGACATGCGATCTTCATGAGAGGTTTCGTAATAGAGCAGGATTACAACAGCAGCAGTGAGAAACGTTGGCTCGAGGAAGCGCTTTACCGACGATGCGCGGGGAGATTCGTGTGTGACAGGCTGGGGGACGTCTAAGCCGAGGTGTCCATCGACCCGGCCGTCTTTTTGGCCCTTTGAGACGCATAGAATTCGTCGATCACCGACGGCCAGGCACCTATCAATCACACCCGACGGTTAAAAAATCAACTCCCGCTCTGCTGGATGACCTCGTGTGGAATACCGAACACGACTCCAACTCACCATCCTCGTCGTAATTCGCGTAATCCGGATCGATCGTCCTCACGAAATCGACAAACAAACCCCAGACGTCCTTGCTGACCGGTTTCCCACGGGCCTTCATGAACTCGAGCCAGTCGTCCAGGTCGGTGAACGCCGGATCGGTCGTCTCCCCCGTCGAAGGGTTGGTGATATGGGACAAGGCCGAGGGCGAGGCGGAGAGTGCGGCAGGGAAAAAGACTTGCCAGAAGGAGATGGCTGTGGAAGGCGGAGGCGATATGAATCATAAATATACGTCGCCGAGTGTGTTTGTTCATTTATCAGGTGTGCCGGAACTTACCGCTATCGAGAGCCAAGACCCTAGCTCCGGGTTGCAAACTCATCGTAAACGTATGCCCGTACACCTTTTTAAAGTATTCCGGATTCTCGTTCAGCTTTTTCCGGAGGCGTGGGAGTTGGGCTTTCATCCCTGCTAGCGATTCCACTCTGTCAGTTCAGGTCGACGGCATGCAAGACGACGCGGTATAGTGGTGGTTGTGGTCATGATCGGTATTTTATGACGAATTCCGAGTCAGTAAACGGCGACTTTGCAACAGAGTTAAGAGAAACGACGAATATGGCGCGTAAACTCACGAAGCGTCGATCGTCCGCCATCCCTTGACCCACCCATCCTTGGGCCATTCACCGACCGTCTTGCTCCCCAGATCCGCAGCTAGGCAAAACAAGATCGGGTCCTACAGTCCGTGTAGTACGTGCAGTTTACGGAAAGGACAAGCTCTCATCAGCATCTGAACCTCGAAGCGGGATACAGAGATTCGATGGAAGTAGAGCAGAGTATAGGTACTGCCACAGGGGAGAGAGGCTGCTACTCACGTTCTCAGGGTCGATCTCGAGGTCTTCGCAGAGCTTCATGGTGCCTTCGATGGTGATCAAGGGAGGGCTCGAACTGGCATCTATATCGCAGACAAGACCAGAGTCGTACGATAAAGATTAGCTAGCTAAATCACGAGGGCGGTACGCACCGCATCACAGTATGGTAGAGTGACAGTGTGGGGGGAAGAGGACGAAGAGCGAGAACCCGAGACGCACCTTTGTAAGACTCCCAAATATCCCCGAGCTTCTTTTCAATGCTCTTTCCCGAGCTCGAGGAGGATGAGAGTTGGGACGAGATGGCGGCTTGTTGAGCGGCCGAGTCGGAGTAAAAGTGGTCGATTGCCTAGATCAAGTGAGTTCAAAAGGTTTTAGTCGGAAAGGATGCGGTACACGGTATGATGATGAGACTGAGAGACTCACCCGTTCGAGGTTGTAGTTGGCCTTTTTCAACAATCTCGTAGCATCGCTCGACCTGCAAATATCCGAACGAGCAGATCAGCATCCATGCTATAGACCAAGATTGCTCTGATTGAGGTCCGCCGGGAAACGCTCTAGACTACCTACGTTGCACCGGTGATGCTCCGGAGTTGGGTCGCGAGAGCTTCCTTTTCCTTGGTCGACTTGCCCGAGCTCTTCTACGAATGTATGAGCAGCGTTAGCTGTAGGATTTCGGCAGAACACGACCGTCACCGTTATACTCACCATACTTGATGTGTATATATCTTTGCGTATAGGTAAGTGTAGAGCGAGACACGATCAAGTGAGTGAATGATGCAACATGTAAGTCGTCATCTTCCTCTACGATCGGACGATTCAAGAAAGCGGACATCGACGATGATATCTCTCTAGAAATATATGCAGATGTCCGTGTCTCGATCAGCTTCCGGGTATCTTTCTTCGGAAGCTTATTGTTGAATTTCCTCAACCCTCTCGATTCAAGGGCAATAGCAATAGGCAAATGCGAAGTTGGTGGTATCTTTGTCGACAGGGTCATCAATATCACACCCGAGTATACTCTTCCGGCAGACTAATATAGTAATAGTTGAAGGATGGACGACGGCATCGAACTCAATTTTGCTGCACCCGCAGCAGGGGGCAGTAGCAGGTTCGAAAAGAAGAAACAAGGCGGTCGATGGACGGATAGGTGCATTCGACGTCTTCGTGAACTGCACAGAGACTGTATAGGGTCAGGTAGCTGATATCAATTCATCTTCATCGATCATGTAGACTAAAAGCCAACAAGGCGGCTAAAAGAAGGCTGGATAAAGACCCTGCCGAGGTAGCGAAAGTGAAGAAGACGCCTAATTACGGGACGACCGGGGTGGTGACGAAACCGCCCCCAAAGCAAGCTTCACAACGACCCGCACCTGGAGGTGGTAGCAGTCGTTCTGGCGGCACCGCACAAAACCACAACGGCAACAACTTTAATGCTGATTCTGGGTCACATAACGGTAATAACGTCAGAGACGCTCCTCCTCATAAACGACCCCGAACCGACGGACAACCTTCGAATGCAACCTCGAACTCGAAAGACGATTTCGCCAATGTCGATATCGCCGCCCTCGCACGACGGAGTACCACCTCGGCCGCCCAGCAACAACAACAACAGGGCTCTTCTTCTTCATCTTACCGACCTGGAGCTGGGGCTTCGTATCAATCGCATTTACAGTCCCGACAGGGCGGACAAGGACAGGGTGGACAGGGGGGAGGGGTGGTCTCGGGGTTGTTCACGGGGATGAGCAGTAATCGTACAAACGCCAGGGATGGTCAGGATGAAGCAGGAGGTGATGAGGACGAGGTTGAGGACAACGAAGGGATGGACAAGATGGACAGGAGATTACATTTGAACGCCTCGAACGCTCCGGATGTAGAGAGCCACCTCGATGGGATCAAGGACGACAGGACGTTTGAAGGACTCGGTCTTGATCCTCTTTTGGTGGAACATTTGCAGAACAAGATGGGCATCCAGCGACCCACCCGGATCCAGAGGGTCGCCCTGAAGGGGTTGTTAGACCCTACCCCGTTGACGTTAGGGGTCGAGCCGGCAAAGTTCTCTTTGGTCGAACACGCGAGGAAAACGAAATCGAACGAAGGACCGAGGGACGCCTTCATTCAGTCTCAAACAGGATCAGGAAAGACGCTCTCTTACCTCCTCCCCATCATCCAGACGCTCTTACCGCTCGCGTCGTCCAAAGACGTCGGATATGTAGATAGGTCGATCGGGACCCTGGGGATCGTACTGGCTCCGACGAGGGAGTTGGCCAGGCAGATCTGGGGGGTGACGGAGAGGATCCTGGGGATGAGGTTGAGTGTCGTCTTGGATGACGAGGCGAGGACGATGAAGCCTGTCGATGGGGGGGTCGTCAAGGAGGACGGGTCATTGCCCGAAGAAGACGAAGACGTCAAGGAGGAAGAGGAGGTGGAGGTGGAGAGGAGAAAACCGGTCTATCAGAGGTTCTTGGTGACTACCCTTCTGACGGGAGGATCGACCCGGACGCACGAAAAGAGTCGGCTCAGAAAGGGCTGCCCGATCTTGATCTCCACCCCGGGTCGGTTATTGGACCACCTACAGAACACCTCGTCGTTCAAGGTGGACCGTCTACTATGGCTCGTCCTCGACGAAGCCGATCGACTGATTGAGGAAGGATTCGGCGAGACGTTGGAGGGAATCATGAAAGCCATCGAGGGGAGGAGGCGGATCGGGATCGAGATGGACGGCCAAGGGTTGGGGAGGAGCAAGAAGAAGAAGTTTGTCCCCGGCAAGACGATGAACAACAAGATCAAGGCGCCCTTTGAGATGGACGAGGATGACGAGGATGAGGATGGGGACGAAGATGATGATTGGGATTACGAATTGTCGGGTCCCAAGCCGAGTGCGAAAAAGACGTCGTTTGCACCGGATGGGACGGTCGTAAAAGAGGAGTTGGCCGCCATGGTCGCAGGGACGAACGTCTCAACGCAGATGAACTGGCCGTACTGGGGCTTGGGGAGGAGGACGATCTTGTGTTCGGCCACCGTCTCGGGCGAGGTACAAAAGCTCGCCGGGACGGCCTTGAAGAACCCAATCATGTACCGCGCTTCGGACGCTGGCAAGATCGACGAGGACGAAGAGGAGGAGGAGGAAGAACCCGAGCTCAAGGATCTCGCACAGGTCGGGGCAGGGCAGGGACAGAAGAAGGGAGAAGAAGTCCCTGAGGAACCTGAACAGGAGCCAGAAGAAGAGATCCAGATCGTCGGCAAGGGCGCGGACAAGTTTACCCCGCCGTCTCAGCTGGATCAGAGGTATATGATCGTACCCCTCAAGCTCCGACTCGTTACCCTCGTTTCGTTGTTGAGGACGTTGATCGCCAAGGGCAACATCGGCGGACCTTCAGGCCAGGGGATGAAGGTCATCGTGTTCATGAGCTGCACAGATTCGGTCGATTTCCATTGGAAATTGATGGGTGGGGTCCAGATGGGTGCGCCGCCTAAAGCCGAGGGCGATGAAGATGAGAACGAGGAAGACGAAGATGCAATCAAGCAGAAGAAGAAGAAGGAAAAAGCGAAAAAGGAACAGGAACCGATCTCGTATACCTGCCCGCTCTTGCCTTCGACGTCGATTATGCGGTTGCACGGTTCCTTGCCGCTCCAGACTCGAAGAGAGTCCCTCCAGGCGTTTGCCAACGCGACCACCGCTGAAGATGCTAGCAAGCATTCGATCTTGTTCTGTACTTCGGTCGCCTCGCGTGGTCTTGATTTGCCTTTGGTCCGAGCGGTCATCCAGTACGATCTGCCTACCGAGCAGGGAGTTGCCGAGTACGTGCATCGAGTCGGACGAACGGCTCGTGTCGGAAAGGGCGGAGAGAGTTGGGCGTTTGTCGAGAACGCCGAAAAGGACTGGGTGCCATGGGTGCGGGAGGGTATGAGCTCGAACGAAAAGGATGGCGACAAGGTCAAGATGAGGCAGGTCGTCGTCGAGGACGTGCTGAAGCGAGGGTTTTCGCCTCGAGGTGGACACGCGGATAGCCGAGAGTTTGAGCAGAGAGCGACGCAGGTCCAGCTGGCCTTTGAGCGATGGGTACTGGATAGCAACTCGGTGAGTTCACGCATCTTCAAATGTGCGATACGGGAGCCTGATGGCTCATGTTCATCTCTCCTTTCCCACAGAATGCCAACCTTGCGCGACAGGCGTTTTCGTCCTATGTCCGAGCCTACTCGACGCATCCTCACGAAGAGAAGCGCTTCTTCCACGTCAAAAACCTTCATCTCGGTCATCTCGCCAAGTCGTTCGGTCTCCGTGAGACGCCAGGCAAGATCGGAGGTGGCGGTGGAAGCAAGAAGAAGGATTCCAAGGGAGGCAAGCGAAAGCGAGGCGATGCCGATAGCAGCGACGACGATCAGGAAGCCGAAGAGGCCGAGATCCGGGCCGCTGCTGCTGGAGGGAAATCATCGGCAGCTAAGACGGATATCGAAAAGAGGATGTACGCAGCCGTCAGGAAGCAAGGCAAGCTCACCAAGGTTGGAGGAAAGATGGCCGCTGGAGGTGGGGATGCGGAGTTCCAGGTCGCGATGAGCGGCAGGGATCTCGAAAAGCTGGTCGCCGGAGATAGAGGCGGCGGGTTCGGAAAAGGCAAGGGTCGGAAGGGCCGATGATAGCTGTAATGAGCAAACGAGAGGATGATGACGATGTTGTATCTGGGACTGTTCCGTTTGCGTTACGACTTATTCATATTATAGCCTTGATAGAAAGGACGCTTGACTAGCGCTCGACTGAGCCGACAGGATATAGCGTACTATGACAAGCAGTCTAAAATACATTCAACCAAAGGTGTCCGACTACAGTAAACTTCTACAGGTCCAGCGAGCGAAAAAAGTCCACTTGAAGAACGTGTATCGGTTTCAGTGTGTGGTCTGCGAGGCGCAATAATTCATGAAAAGACATACCCTGTTTGGCATCATCCGGATCTGTCCTATGGAGGCCGAGGTGCAATGTTTATCCTGTTCCGGTCTGGTCATCCGTGCGAAAGAAAATACTTTAAGGGTTGAGTGTCAAAGTTAGCTCGAGGTTATCGCAACGATCTGGCATTCAAACGTACCGTATTGGGGGGTTACCCGGGCGTCCTGCAAGGCAAACATCAGACGAGGAGAACCTCGTGTCTTACCCAAGCGGCGGAGAGAAACAGAAAACAACAGAGCGAAAAACAAAGGTAGAGAGAGAGAGAGAGAGAGAGAGAGAGAGAGAGAGAGAGAGAGAGAGAGAGAGAGAGAAGAGGTAGAGGGCAGAGAGGGGTGGGGATGAAGGACTGTGGAGGAATCTCGTACTCGCCTATCGACCTCGAGCCCGCAATAGCGATACACATCTTCTCGGCCCCCTGACTCCACTCCCGCGATCCATACTGTCCCTGACGCCTTCCGACCCTGTCCATCCCGACTCCAGAAGACGTCGACGGCCCATTACTCGGCCTGTCTGCAAGCGGTACCGAGCGACGTGTTTCCTTCGTAGCTGATGGAGTCCGGCACGGCTTGACGACGAAAGAGGTCCGGGGCGAGAGGAAGTCTGAAGGAGGGAAGGGAGTGATCTGCGGTGAGAACCGTGAGTACGACGAGTACTTGGGTGCGACCAGCGCGATGAATGGAGAGGGGTAGGGAGGGTAAGGAGGGGTCGGGGGAGAGGCGGGGGAAGAAAAAAAGGAAGAGCGAAAAACAAAATACTTGACCCGATGCATCCTTCTAGTCCGAATGACCGATGTCTCCCTTCAGCCGTTAATGACGATTTCATCCAAGCGATCCACCAGGGCTCAGCTCAGCCGAAGACGACGATGTTGGTAGTCCTAGGAACTACGGGAGGAAGCCCCTCGCGGCTTCGCAGCGCGGGAACGGTAACGATGGCTTAGGCCCGGTCAGTCCGCTTCTTCTGAGGGGCGAGGGAGGTCCTGTTGGCCAGAGATACCGGAGCTTTGCGCTGGACGGAGGCCTGAGCCGGAGCGACGGTCATTCTGAGGGCAGGTCGAGCAGTAGATGAGACCCTGTATTGGGCCGGAGCGACGGTGTTCTTGAGCGCCGGTCGAGGAGTCGAAATGACCCTGGATGCGCCTCGGGAAGTGCTGCTTGAACCCCTAGGGGCGACGACCTTTGGTTCAGGGACCCTGCTGTGGGCGGGAAGGACCTTGGCTCGAACGGGCGAGGTGATCCGAGATCGTTCCGATGCGATAAGTCGAGGAATCCTGCTGGCGATGACACCCTGCGCCTCCTTCTTCTGACCCGCTCTAGCCGCAACAGCGTTCCTATTTCCCAAACAGACGGAGAACGATCAGTTATGGGACTCGGCCTCGATTCGAATCAGTCTGAGAGTAAGAGGCTTACATGACAGGGGCTGCGTTCCCGGCGATCGACTTGACCTGCAAGTCTTCTTCCTTGGCGATAGAGACGTCCTGCGTCTCGGCAGAGAGGGTCTCTCCGAGAAAGTCGAGCTCTCCCGCGGCCGTAAGTTCGTCGAGAAGCGAAGCGGGCCGATGCAACCAGGCATCGCTGAACAGCTCCACATCCTCGCAGTCGTTGTGCTCCTCTTCCAACAACCTCTCTTCTTGGTCCATCAGCTCTCGGTAGAGGGATAGGGAAGGTCCGGCGACATCGTAAGTGAAGGCGTCGTCGTCGAATGCGAGGGGACCCTCACCGAGGGCGAAGGTAGAGTCGTAAGAGTAAGAGTCCATTTTTTCAAAAAGATTTGGTGGGTTTGGGGGAGAATAACGAAGTTTGGGTGTTTGGAAGGTTCTTAGTTTCTTAGAGAATTCTGAGATGCGATGAGAAGAACAGTGGAATGATCTATAGTAGTACTATGTCATATTCTGAGAAGGAGGTCGGATCGATATCGACCCAGACCGGGTTCGAGGAGAGGGGGACGAGAGGTGAGGAGGCTGGCGGGCTTGCATCCGCAGAGGGGTGGGCCTCGTCATCGTCAAAGTAGATCATCGGTCAACCAAGGAGGATGATTGTACAATACCGACCTCTCGCCCATCTGACACTCTAGTGATTATGGTCAATCTGGACCGAGCCCGACCCGTGGAAAGTCGGTCAACTGGCGATTCCGATGGGCGTTCCGGAAGCAAAAAACGACGACGATGACCACCAGGGATGACGAATCTCGTATGATCACGTGATCGGCCGAACGTCTGACGGCGGTGTAAGAAGCGAAGTCACTCATCATCCTCTCGCAAATCTCGATATCCTGCCACCATGCCATCGAGATCTAGACCAACTGCATACACGTGTATATGTCACTGGCAGATGACTCCGATAGTGGTACAAGTCGCGACTAAGAGCTAACTTAGCGCTTCGCTCATACAAACAGCGACGAACAACCAAAACTTCGTATATACAAAACCACGTCCTCTTGGTAGCTGTTCCTCAAACCGATGCAGGAGTCCGGATAGTCAACTTGCCCTTGCCAACCTTCTCGATCACCGGCTTCGAGGCCTCAGGCTCAGCGGAATACTCGACGTCCCATACCTGGTCCACCCCGAAAAGCCACCTCAATGCGTCCTTGACTCCCGGTCTATCATTTTTCTGTCCTTGACCTCCTGCCCTGCCTCCTCGGGATGTCGAGGTTGCGAGAGGGAATTTGAGATCTTCAGGAGGTAGAGAAGGCTCTAGGATGAGAAGTTCCGGCGGGCTGGGAGGATTCGAACATCATCGCGGGTTAGGTATCCATCTCCGTGTGGAAAACGGAGGGACATCTCGGCTTACCTGTTCGGGCTAATCTGTGAGACCGTCGAGCGGAGGCACGCCATCGATTGCATATAGTCTTCTATCGTAACGCTGCAGAAAAGAGGTAAGAGGTTGATTTAGACGCTTCGCAATGATAGCTTCTAGCTTGACTCACCCTTGCCGTAACTCGACCTTGGAGACTCCGCCTTCCATGTCGACATCACCTTCCTTCTCTTCCGCCTCTACTGCGGACGGATCAGCCAGGAAGAGCCGTAAGAGATCGTAGGCGATGAACAATGTTGGGTGTTCGGCCATACTGTCCGGCTCTCTAGGTTCGTCTTCCATAGCTGGGTCGGTCCCGCCGGTAGAGCTTGGCGGACCGTGAAGTAAGGAGAGAAGTAAGAGACATTGCTCGGCCGTCTGGCAGTATCTACGGAAGTGCGTAGCATCTATGATCAGTTCGATGTTCCCCTGGCGAAGAATCAGTTTAACTTGCCTGAATTCCGTGCGGTTCAACGCTTCTTTGACGACGGGATGTCCCCCGTGTTCACGCAAGAACGGCTCATCTTCCCCAGCTAGTTTCGAATGCAGCATCGCTCGAGAGGAAGTTATAACCCATGTGTATCTTCGCTTATCTGTGGGCGTTTCTACGATAATTCAAAAAGAATTAGCGACCGCGATGGGCGATTTTGGAAGGCAGATGAAATCGACCGACCTACGGGCATAGTGTCCTGCTGCATAACGCTTCCCCTCAGGCTAGCAAGCCGCGCGTAATCTTTCGAAGTCACATTATGGCTGATAGCGAGATGTAGGACAGTGCTTGCGGGCATAGGTCCACAGAGAACCGTTGGACAGCCATGGGGCTCAATGTTGACGATGTTGTTGGGAGGTAACAGGTATGATAATGGGATGCCGGTGGGGATCAGCGCGGGTGCTTCCTCGACGGTCGTTGGATTCATTTCGCAGTTTCTGCTTTCGAGCAAAGGGTCTAGACGTTCCTTCATGAATTTGAATAGGGTGAAGAGGTAGATCTCGAGAAGCAGGAGATATGATGAATCGGACCTCTTGCCCTCCTGTGACCGAGGTCGTCTCCATTTTTGCTTCCGCTGCCGGCATCGCTCGACGAGACCCTCTTCCCTGTTCGACCGCGATGAACAGATTACTCTTTCACCTCGTTCTCTATATGGCTACCATCCACTTAGACCACGGTCTACAATCTCAAACAGCTCGGCAGGAAACTCTCAAGAAATGGACAGCGCCGAGGTCTCTACGGCCGTCAACGAGCCTCTGGATCTGGTGAAACTGTCTCTCAGCGAGTGCGTCTGCGAAGGCGATAATCGATGCTTCGAATCCCGCCGGTTTACTCACATATACCGCTACTTCATTTACATCAGGAGGGTATTCATCAAGCTAAGAGGAGATAGGACAGTCCAGGGAGTGCTACATGTCAGTCCGGTGGATCGGAGGACGAAGTGAAAGGCCCGTATGGCTGACCTTCCGGTTGACCTCCGCTTTCACAGGCCTACGATGCGCACATGAACCTCATCCTCTCAGATGTCGAGGAGACGATCACGCTAGTAGATGTCGGTGACGACGGGGCCGTATCAAATGTCAGGGTAAGCCATGCTATAGCGGGCGCTGTGAGTCGGATGCCGTGCTGATAACGAGAGGTGTTTTGGTTTCGTTTCAGTCGGTCGCCAGGAACATGGAGATGCTTTTCGTTCGAGGCGACGCCGTGATCATGGTAAGACCTCTTCTGCTCTATCTGTGTATCTCAAACATAATGACCAAGATCTCTTCGTGCTTTGCGCAGATCTCGCCAATTCGATGAGAAACAGGAAAACGAACTTCTACGAAAAGACCTTTTGGCTCGGGAACGGCCGTTCCTCCCCTGTATTACCTCTTCATCGATATCGTATCAACCCATGCACCCAGACGGAAGGATCGAAACTCCTTGCCGTCAAACATAAAGTGGGACGCTCTCTGTCTTCGAATCGAAGCCGTTATCCTGGGCATCGTGCAACACACAACGTATACGTTCTACGGCCTGTGGTTTGGGACAGCAGCCGCGATAGCCACGTTCAGAATAGTAGCCACGATCCTTCCTCTGATGGCTAAGACATGGGGCGCATGAGAAGCCTCTTCCGTCAGAGCGGAGGGAGCCTTGGTTCAGTGCAACGTACAAGTCGGGTCTGCAGGTGTATCGTTGCGCTGGCTTCAAGGTTGTCTGAGAAGTAACGGTCTGAATCTATCGACGTATCGGTGCTCAACTCATGGCACTACAGGGAAGGAGTACAGCTCGTTTGCCGACTTCCGGTCGGTCTTCTCATACACATCGACGGCACATTAGGCCGTGTGTTCGAGTGTCCTGCAGCCGCAACTATTGCCAGCAGGACCGCTTCTAAGTTCATAGCACGCTCCGCTTGACCGACTCTCGGGCGCTTCATCACGTTTCCGCTACCAGTCATGTTGGGGGTCCGGTCACTGTGCCAAGATACGGTATCCTGAGCACAAGCTTCCGATAGACGTCAATGACACGGTATCCCGAAGATCCCGCTTGATGACCAGCTTCACATCTTTAACTCCTGATCGGCACAATTACCATTCAGATAATCCCCGCCTTCTGTTCCTTACCTAAACCAATGGTTCACCGAGACCGCCGGCTCATCTCCGACGCTCTCTACGCAATGATACCACCCTTCCGGGATCAAGACCGATTCCCCGGGCCCCACCTCGCAGCTCGTCGTTCGAACGTCTTCCAGCGCCCGACGCAGCATGGGATATTGTTTCCAGTCGAGTTTCGAAGAGGATGGTGGGTGAGGGATCAGGGAGGTGTTGGTTTGAGGTGGTGTGATGGAGATGTAGAGGTGGGAGTGTTGAGCGGGGTGGAAGATGTGCAGGCGTTTTGTACCGACGACTAGAAGAGGTGCCGTCACAACGAAAGTCAGCCGGGTACCGAGGTTGAACGGCGAAAGGCAGAATCTATCCACCTTGACAAAAGAGGTTACAACTGAGCAACTCAAATCAGCCGCCCGCCCTCTCATACAGCTTACTTCTACGACTCACTATGGATCCCGGTGAATAGGCGTAAACGTCCATTTCCCGACCCAGACGTTGCGTCTCCAAGCTTGTCCTCGGGGTCCGCTCTGGGATATGTGAGGGAGTGTGGGAGCATCGGCATTCAGACTCGGGATCTAAGGATAGCATGGAAACAAGGTGAAACGAAGGCAAGAAGCAGGGGGGTTAGCTATCGAGCAAACGGCACGGCACGATGCGATACAAGTCATGGTATGGAGACATGGAGAAGAGGGGAACGTACCAGGTCGAACAAGTCCTGTTGAGCTAGATAACCCGTCGTCTCGGTCTGCTCCGAACCGGGGATCTTGGAGAGGATGAATGCGTCCATAAAGAGACCTGATCTTTGTGCAAAATCAGATCGTCAATTCTATTGCGAAGTTACTATATATCCACGAAACACGACTCACCTAAGGGCATCTGAACCCTCCGATGATCCGGGTCCATATAACTCTTCCCCTTTCCTCCCAATTCCACGTCCACCAACTTGTCTTCCACATCCGTAGACCTGAGGTTCCCTAGGCCCTTAGTCAGTTTCCAATTGAGGAGCGCCGGCCAGTGTCTTATGAGACCAGGGAGAAGGAGGGGAGAGGGGTTAGAGCTGGTCAGGTGGGCGTGCAGGTCGGAAGGGGTTATGCAGGGATGGGAGCGGGGTGAGGGAGGGCGGACGTATTGGGTAACTGAGCAGCATATTCGGGAGCTTCTCATAGCTGAGAACAACTAATCGTCAGAGCTCGATTGGGGCAAATTGTTCATGCATCACACGTTTCGAAATTCGAAATATTCCACCATTCCAACAGGTCGATCGAGATATCGAAGCGAGGATAGGGGGATCGATATTCGTCATGCATGGCATTGTCGCTTTGCGCATCACGTGAGAATAAGCCAAAAAGAGAAAGACAGCGCAGGTGTCAGACGCAAAAAGACATACTCCCGCTGAGGCTTGAACTCAGGACCTTATGCGCTTTACAAGTTATGGCTTGTTAAGCATACGCGCTACCAACTGCGCCACAAGAGCGGTTATGACAGCACTTGGTGTCAAAACATATCAATAGATCAATGCAGACGAAAACTTCAACTTGTATGGCTTTCGGGGACATGGCTGCGGGAAACAAGGCGACGTCAGCGGGCAGGATGGCAGACATCATAGATATCCTTAACAGGGCATCACTATCCAGCTTATAAGAGTAAGTTCATGACCTTGATCTTGAGCTCTTCTTGTCGTGCTTCACATCTGATCTCGTCTTCCCTGGCCTTTCAGGAAGCTCAACCTCGACAGCACCCCCTCAATCACCCTCACTCCGACGTTTATCTGACCCAGGTGCTCTCAGGATGTGCACCTACCCCTTATATAATTGCGAGTCTGGCAACCTCTTGATCGACCTGATCTCGTATCATGTCATCGTCGACGGTCAAGGTATACAAATAATGTCGCGGAACCGACAAGCCTATAATATCCACCCCGGTGTTCCCAATGATTCTTTTATCTCTCGCTCTTACTCGGCTTGGGCGAAAGGGTTCGAGATCTCTACAGTCGAAAAATAAATGCAAAACGTGCAATACATTAGCCTTCCAATCGCCATCCACGCTCTTGCGATTCCGGAGAAACGACCCAAGGAGGTGTTCGAGCGACTCACCCTCGTACCCATCCGTAGGGCTGATCAAAGTGATCTGAGGTCCTCGTAGTACGACCAGTCCGAGCGTCCGGGAAGGTCGACCGTCTGCAATATCGTTGTCATCATTCGAGAGAGATGCGATTAGCCAATGCGCCAAGTGATCTGTCTCGCCCGATCCGGCCCTGCGACTCACCGGTCCCTTCCTCTTTCACATCATCCAGTACCAAATTCTGCAAGGCGTCGAAACCTTTGAGGGTTCCGACGACTGAGATTGTAAATGTGGATTCCGGGTTGGCAGATTCATCGAGGACAAGTTTCAAGTGGATCCCAGGTTGACGTCGACATAAGGATTAAGGAGGTATTCAGGGACCAAGGCAGACCAGCACGATTCGTTCAGGTAGGTAACGGACGAGAGAGGATCAGCTCCCGAATTCCTCTAAACTCGAGTCACACGAGCAGAAACAGCAACAAGTGGCGTTTTGCAAACAGATCAACGAGGACGAGAGCGAAACGCAAACGGGATGGGATTGGCGTTTGCGTCTTTCGAAGACCGTTCTTCGAATCGCTGGGTGTAGACCGCGAGGACTATTCGTAACATAACGAGTCGGCTTGGTGCAGGTCGACCGGAAGTCGTTTGCGTTGCCCTCTTCCACCTGCCTTTGCTTCTTTCTCTCAATAGATCTCTCGTTCCGCCCTGCTTTGTCGTCCCCCAACTTCGAGCGTTGAATATCGTATGTCGACCTGGCTCGATCGTTCCGAGCTACCTGACCCACTCGCCTCAACCTCCAGCTTGATACTCCATTTGCCTGGCCGTCTTTGTGCTTATCTCGCCATACCCGATCGTACTTCCTCGAAATCGAACCGTCTCTCCACAAGAACATACGCTCCAGATCCCTGGCATCAAACAAGTCGGTGCACCGAACTCACCTTCCCTCCCGCCCTGAAACTTCACCCTGACCTCCTTGTCCTGATACTTTTGCAGGTTCAAGATGGCCTCCTTCTTCTGCCTCTCTCCTCCAGCTCCTGAAGCGCCACCTCCTCGTCCGCCCCTGTTTGCAGAGGATCCTCCTCGGGATCCAGAAGGGTTCGAACCTCGGGTCGAGGATGAGCCTCGGGGTTGGCCCTGATGAGGTCGAAGTTGGAAGTTCAAGGTCAAATTCCGGGACAGTCGGCCGTCGTCAGCGAGAGATGGGTTCGTAGCTGACAGGCAGCAAGACTTACTCTTCCAGACATGCTTAATGATTTGATATGGGTGGTTTGACGGTGTTCAAGGTTACGGTGACACCATCAACTGTCTACACCAACATCTGAATTAGCTACTCGCGATGAATACGAAACTACTCAGAGCTGATACTCGTCGTGGACCTGCCACGCAAGCAATGGGCCGGGGATCGCCCTTTGACCTGCTGCCTGCTGGTTATACTGGTTATGAGCTGTCAACCACATCGTCGATCATCTGGTCACCTACTCTGGCTACCCTCACAGCTAGGCATCATCTTGCAACCGCAATCGGACAGGAGTATCTCTCGGCCATGTCCACCCCCATACCCCCGGGACCTGCGGGACGCGAGGTCAAGCTCGCCTACCCCATTCCCAAGATCAGCAAGACCACCCTGATAAACACCTCGGCCCTTTTGAGGTTCACCATCCTCACCGTCATCTCAGCAGCTGCAATCGCTAGCAGGTTGTTCGCCGTCGTTAGGCACGAGAGTATCATCCACGAGTTCGACCCGTGGTTCAATTATCGGGCTAGCAAGGTCCTCGTCAACGAGGGGTTCTACGTGAGTCGAGGTCGAGGGTTTCGCTGGTCTATTCAGTATCAATCGAGCTAAATGTGGTATTATGTGTTTCATCTCGCAGGAATTCTGGAACTGGTTCGATCCGACAGCATGGTACCCCCTTGGTCGAGTTGTCGGCGGTACGATCTACCCGGGTCTCATGGTCACCTCTGGTATCATCTACAACGTCCTCCACTATCTCAACTTCCCCGTCGACATAAGGAACGTCTGCGTCATGCTCGCTCCCGCTTTCGCAGGGTTGACGGCCTGGGCGACGTACCTGTTTACTTGTGAGATGGCGGATGAGAGTACGGGATTGTTGGCAGCCGCTTTCATGGGGATCGTACCGGGTGAGTCCTGGCATCTTACTCTTCATTTCCCTCCTCGAAGTTCCTCTTGCTTACGGTACATTTCGTCGCATTACACTCTCGATCTGAGAATATCGCAGGCTACATCTCGCGATCCGTCGCCGGTTCCTACGACAACGAAGCCATCGCCATCTTCCTCCTCATGTTCACCTTCTACCTCTGGATCCGCGCCGCAAAGACCGGTTCTGCCTTCTACTCGACGCTCTCGGCCATCTTTTACGGATGGATGGTAGCCGCCTGGGGAGGATACGTCTTTATCACCAACATGGTCCCCCTGCACGTCTTTGTGCTTGTCCTGATGGGGAGGTTCAGTAACCGGATCTATACGGCGTATTCGAGTTGGTATGTGATCGGGACGTTGGCCAGTATGCAAGTGCCCTTTGTCGGGTTCTTGCCGGTCAGGACAAGTGAACACATGGCCGCACTCGGTGAGTCGTATCGTTCTTCCAGCTCCCATCCTTCCTCTCGTTTTGCGTGTTTGCTAACCACGACCATCCGAACTTTCGTATTCACAGGCGTCTTTGGTCTGCTCCAACTGGTCGCCTTCGTAGGGATCGTCCGTCGACTCGTCCCCGACAAGCAGTTCCAATCGCTCTTGAAGACGTTCGTCGTTCTCGCCTTTACGGTAGCGCTGGCGGTGTTGGTCTTGTTGACGACGAGCGGGTGGATCGCACCTTGGACCGGGAGGTTTTACTCGTTGTGGGATACCGGTTACGCCAAGATTCACAGTGAGTTCCTCGAAGTTGCCCTCTGAGTTGGTAGATCGTAGCTAATGGGATATCAACTCCACCAACGACAGTTCCCATTATCGCCTCCGTTTCGGAACATCAACCCACCGCCTGGCCTTCCTTCTTCTTCGACCTCGAGATGCTCATCTTCCTCTTCCCCGCCGGAGTCTTCCTCTGCTTCCGGGAACTCCGCGACGAGCACCTCTTTATCATCATCTACGCCGTCCTCAGCTCGTATTTCGCCGGGGTCATGGTCAGGTTGATGTTGGTCATCACCCCTGTCGTCTGTGTATCCGCGGCCATGGCGTTCTCGACCTTGTTGAAGACGTATATGGACCCGGTCGTTCCTTCCATCGATATGGATACCGATCGGGACTCGGTGATAATCGATGAAAAGGGGGAGAAGAAGACCCCTCGAGCTTATGCGGAAAAGGTCAAAGCGTCTAAACCGGGAATTTACGGCTTGGATACTCGTCTGGCCGTTCTTACCCCGCTCGTCTGCTCTCTGGTCATGTTCGTCTACCACTGTACCTGGGTCACCTCCAACGCCTATTCGTCGCCCTCGGTCGTACTCGCCTCGAGGAACGCGGATGGCAGTCCGGCCGTGATCGACGACTTCAGATCGGCTTACAAGTGGTTGAGGGAGAATACGGAGGAGGATGCGGTCATCGCTTCGTGGTGGGATTATGGGTACCAAATCGCTGGATTTAGCAACAGGACAACTTTGGTCGATAACAGTGAGTATGGGGTGAGAGTGGTACCCGAGGTCGAAGCGGCTGAACTAACGGGAATGTTGCTCCGTATTATAGATACCTGGAACAACAGTGAGCGAAAGCCTTCTCTTGCGCGCTTTGAATTAGGAACTAATCACCACCTGCACCGCAGCCCATATCGCGACGGTCGGAAAGATCATGGCTACCGATGAAGCGACCGCCTACCCTATCTTGAGGAAGCACGACGTCGACTACCTCTTGGTGATCTTTGGTGGTCTCATCGGGTACTCTGGGTCAGTCGCTCATATACCACTAGCGAGAAGTAAAGATGGATTGGGGAGCTGAGACTCGTTTGCTTCGATCGTACAGTGACGACATCAATAAGTTCTTGTGGATGGTCAGGATCTCTCAGGGGATCTGGCCGGACGAGATCCAGGAACCGAATTACTTTACTCCTCGAGGAGAGTACAAGATGGATGCTTCAGCGTAAGTTTCCTAGATTGTGCTAAATGCAGAGAGCACCTTAGCTGAACACCGACCGTCGTCCTTTACAGTTCGCCCACGATGAAGAACAGCTTGATGTACAAGATGTCATACTACCGGTACGTTCAACATTCCGCTTGTTCACAGCCGCCTCCCCCTTGCTGACGTCTTCTCTGCGTCACAGATTCCCCGATCTGTTTGGAGGTGGACAAGCGGTCGACCGGGTTCGACAGCAGGTGATTCCCAATACTCCGATCGAGTTGAATGTTATCGGTTAGTCTTTGGTCAAAAGCATGACGACATGCACCGCGCTGACTTGTTCGTCCGCATGCATTGCAGAGGAAGCGTTCACGTCGGAAAATTGGATCGTCCGAATCTTCGCCGTCAAGAAGGAAGACGACATCGGCCGTGGACTGCCCGAGTCGACCGCTTTCGCCAAGGGCACCAAGCTCAAGAAGAGCAAGTCTGCTAAAGTTGGCGGTGCCAAGAAGAAGGGATCGCAAAAGGCATAGATGCTGTAATCGTAGGATGTTGCTATATTCATACATGCGGACATTCGTGGTCGCGGCTCGAGTCGGTCGAGCGGTTGCCACGGAGATGCGATCTTCTTCCACCGTCCTGACTTTGACTATGTGTCCTCATATCTAGCTGGTTCGATCGACGAGTTGTTGGATGATCCTTCGTAAGAAGGCCTTCTTCATCTCGACGAGAGCTGACGACGTTCCGACCGCCGGGGTGACGGTTTGAGCAGTATCCGTAGTCGTAGTGGTCTGATCGACTGCTGTGACCTCCTCGCCCTTCTCATCACCACAACCCGACTCGATGCTCTCGTCGGCCTCATCAAGATACTTCTCTCCCCATCCATCAGCCTGGCTCCACTCTGCGAAAACACGGTCTTGTTTCTGATACCACGGTTCACGAAAAGCCTCTACAAACGCCAAAACCCTCAGTGGCGCCCGGTTTATCCTGCCACAGCCGAACTCACCAGCTTCGGTGACCCCGTAAAACACAGCCTTTTGCCCTTCTTCAATCACCCCAGCTTGCTTAGCTCTCGTCTGATAGCCTCGCATGGCGGTATAGTACCGCCAAGCTTGACCTTCAGCATTCTGGAAGACCGGCCATGATCTGGCATCTGACTTGATCCTGAGGCCAGAAATTGAGTATGACCAGAGATCTTCCATCGTTTCGATCCCAATGAAAACTTTCTGGGCAAACCCGATGGCGACGAGGTATAGAGGGAGATCCACGTAGATTTCGTCCGAGTTGGCGACGGAGCCAGCAGACCAACCTTTCTCCACGTCCTTGTAGCCATTTGGCCCTCTCCATCGAGTGAGCTTCAGATCGAACGCGAATCCAAGGACTACTTTGTCCTTAGTGTCATCCGCAGTCCCGATGACATGCCGCAGCGTTACCTCTTGCCTACAGTTTGCGAAGGGGTTCCGCTCAGTCCATGCGTCTCTTTTTCGTCGGGGTTAGTCAAGACTCACCACGTCAAGCAATCCTCATAGGTAGGCGTAGGTAGTAAGTATCCGGGACGGACTTCAGCAGTACAGCTCAGAAGGTAGAAGAAGTTATCCCTAGCGGCGGTTGGCTGTTTCATGCTATCTCGAACGATCTTTCGTACCGCCTAGATGCATTGTAATCAGCAATGCATGACCCGTTCCATAGCCATTGCAGAGACTCACTTCGCGAGGCAGCTGCACCGACTTCCTGGTATCCTGAGTCAGTGAATGCGACTCCACGAGTCCTTTCCAGTGATTCTTCAGCTCCAGTGCGACAATGCTCTGCGACTCCTCCTTGATTTTCGGCAGAAAGTTCCACTTGACCAGGAAGGAAAGATCCTTTGCGTAGAGCTTCAAACTCTCGGATGACCATTCAGGCGACAGAGCGAGGCGTTGGGTGAGAAATTCGCATAGTCGATGGGATAAGGAATCGTCGTTGACGAGCTCTTTGTCGTGGAGCGAAGTATCGATGTAGTGTGTCTCGAGGTCCTCCAAGATCGCAAGCAAGCGGCATTGTTTAGAATGGTCGGCTATCCACATGTTTTTGAGTCTGAGATCCCGATCTGCATTGTGAACTTCAATGGGTAGACCAGTTCTTTTCTCCGTGGCAATGTCCCGCTGTTCCTGTTCGACCCTCCAACGTTCCTCCTGGGGGAGTTTTTTAACTCTCGTTTCTTCAGCCAGTCTTGCCAGTCGTCTCTAATATTTTCTTCTGCTTCCTTCAGCATCTTCTCACGGGTGGCTTCGTCCGCATTAGCGAATGTGACCTTAGGCTTCTTCGGGAGAGGAACGCTCTGCAGTCTCAATATGGAGAACGTTGATCGTCTCGCTAATATCTCCATCTTGTGAGAGATACTCACATCGCTGGCTCCTGTTCCCTTCCGCTTGTTTGCAGTATGGGCAGATCCCCGTAGACCATTCTGTTTTTCAAGCTGGTCCATCACAAGCTTCCTTCCCTTTCTCAATACTGCTGCAGACTTGGTCTGCGCAAAGCATAGCTTCGTGTACATTAGTCAAAGGAATCTTGGACCCCGGCAGCGAGACACATGCTGACCTTGCCATCACTGTCGAATCCACACGACAGCAATCAGTAGTCGTTGGCTCGGTCAATCTGACCGGAGCGTAAGGGTCCTTGACATCTCCCATGTTGCTGTTTCGTGATGAGGACAAAGGTGGGGTGTCTCGATTCTTCCCGAGAGAGGTTGGCCAAGGCGTCAGGCTCGATTTATTCAGTATTATGCTGAAGCAGGTCCAGTACAGTACTCACTCACGAGATTTGTCCCTGAGATCTGTTCTGTTCTTGGGTTTCATTCAATGCTCTTGCCGACCAACGTCGACCGACCGATCGTACAGGTGGATGTTGGCATATGTACGAGTACTGTTAGGTGATATCGACGCTCGACCGAGGTTGGTGTCGGCGTCCACGCGGAAGCCTTCCCGCTAGCGGCGCGACTTGGACTCGACGACGAAACAACGTATGGATCGACATGCATGGCCCGGTAAATACGACTGACTATATACTACTATACACATGCCACGATTATAGCGGGTAACAAAAACTCATAAGTAGTGAAAATCAGGCAGAGTCAGTCTACCAGGGGGAAAGAAACGCTCCTCTGGTAGTCATCGTGACTAGTCGAAATAGTCGAAGAGCCGAAGGGTTTCTTGATCCCGCTGCCGGACCCGTCCTGCGAAAGCTTGTAATGTTCGTATTGTGCTAGCTGATGTTTGGGTCGAACAGTGTCAGCAGGATGTCAAGAAAGGTGTTCGAGCCTGATCGGCTGGCGTCCTCCAAGACTTACCTGTATCTTGAGCTCGAGCTTCTTCAGCTCCACCTCCGCCTCGACCTTCAACCTGGCTTCCCTCGCAAGCTCAACCTCGATCCTTCTGTTCTCGACATCCTTCTCATTCTTCAAATCTGCATCCCACTCGGCCTCCTCCCGCAATCGGGCCTCTTCATTCTTATCAATCACTCTCAACTCGATGTCCTGATCAGGCCTCTTCGGGAGGTTCTCTCTGGCCCCTTCCAACCCCATCAGCTGGGATTTGAACCTACGAAGACACACATGTCAGTTCATCACCATTGCCAGCATGAGTCTTGCCTGGTATTACCTCCACTCGACGTCTTGCTGGCATTTCTTCATCACTGCATCCAGTTCCCGGTAACTGACGAAAGGGCTGTGGAACTTGTAGATCTCGTAATCTTCCTGCTGACCCCATTTCGCCGTAAAGGTGATGTTGAGGGTGTTCCACGGAGGGGTGAGCCTGGCGGTCTGTCTGGTCCGTGTCGCGTTGGTGACCTATATCCATGCTCTAAATCAACGCAAGGTCGAACAGAAAAACTCCCTTACCACTTACTGCAGCATTGGACTTGAGGTTCGGGTTATTTTCGGATGGTGCGGATCCGACTTCCTGTGCACGTAATCCCTCTCCAGCTGATTTGCTCTTCTTGATTCGATCGCCAGTCAGTGAGCTGGACGATTCATCTCTTCGGTAGCCAAAGGGACCTCACAATGAGCAGTAGATATAGCAGTCGATCGCAGACCATAATCGAGCTTACAGTGTCCTTTTCATTCCTCGAGATTCACCGAGCAACCCAGGTGAGTCTGGTAGAGGCTGCTGTTCCATTGTCGTGTCGATTCCGTTGGAAAGATTAACTCGGCGAACATCCTCAGGTTGATCATCATCAGACCTTCTATCGAGTTGATTATGAACGAGGTTTTGCCCGAAGGTAGATCCGAAGTGGATCCCCCTTGCGCCGTCCATTATCGACTGTTCCCTCAACACCGGCAGATAGGACCAGTTATACCCAGACCTCATTATCAGCCCTTGCTGATCTCCCAGTTGTCAAACTTGCCCTAGTTTACTCACGGGATCGCGTTGGTTTCACTACTGATGACACGAGGCGGCTGTATGCGTGAGTCCGTTCTCTTCGTCGAGTGAGGATATCTGTATGAATCTTTGGATCTGTAGCTGTTGTAGACTTGATGCAAAGTTAACAGACTAGTCTTCGAGAAGTTGGGTGTTGTCGAGGTGATTACCATTGACCGTCTCACTCGCTCTCTCCGGATCTCTCCCTGGTCGTCACGCGGAGGCATCCGCCGAACGTAACAGATCGACAAAAGCCACAATTACACTAAACACGATTTCGATCTGAAGACATGCCGACAAGGGGTAACCGATGCTCCCGCTAGAACGAAAAGCTAATACAACTTCTTATGGGATTTTGCGGTAAAAGCAGAAACAGCTACGGTAAGATGCCGCTTCGATGCCGATTCACCAGTCGGAGCCCTCGTCCGAAAGGTCAGACAGGTCGGAAGTCGAGAAGTCGGAATCCGTATTTCCTGTGCGTCCTTTCCCTCTTCCGTTGTTCCTGATCCTAAGATTTTCGTTCTTCGCCCACTACGAAAGATAGCCTAGTCAGTTTTTATTCAGGATCTATCGACAATACCACCTACCTGCAAATGAAGCCTAGCCTCGACCAGCTTGACTTCAGCGAGCTTCACTTCGACTAGCTTGGCCTCAGCTTCGGTCCTCCATCTTTGCTCCTTGACCAGCAAAACTTCCTTCATCTCAACATCGATCCTCCGGTTTGCTAGATTGTAGTAGCGATCGTCGATCGCTTTCGTCTCCGCCGCTTCTCGCTTGGCTTTGCTGGTCTCGCTTTCGGGCGCCTCGGATTCGGTCTTTGGGAGGTCGTCGTCTTTAGACAAGCCTAAAGCTCGACGTTGATACCTATTTTGACCTCTAACCATTGAGCTCATGTATGGGTATCGAAGAATGGATAGTCGAATACCTCACCCACCTTGCCAAGACCTCGTCTCGCGACCTATTGAACATCCCTTCCAAATCCTTGTACGGTGCGCACTCATTCTTCATGGTATATTTCTCGGCTTTAGTCTCATCCCCCCACCTCACGTCGATGTTGACTGAGAACTGGCCAAGCCGATGTCTCTTGTTGACGGCTTGATCATTCTCCTTGCCGGCGGGCGAGTCTTTTTCGAGCTCGTTATGCTTGCGCTTGTCTCCAGTGGTAGCCTGGAGTGTCAGATAGCATCGGGTCAGAGAACAGTACTGAGACGAAAGGAGTATCGAGATACAGCCGACTAGGGGCACAGGGACGCGATGGCACCTGAACTCACTGTGGGTTGGACGACGGCCAATGATGATCTCGGAGCCGCGACTGGTCGTCCACCTTGGAGTCCAAGTGAATGTTCGCGCCTATTCTCGCTAGTGGCGATGGACTAAATGGCCGTTGTGAAGTTAGTATGAAGATGTCACAAAGATCTGGATTCAGCGGTCAGGCTGACGATCGATTGAGTATTCGTTGACGAATTCGCTTCCTGGACTCTCTCGCCATTCACACTTGTATCTTTCTGGATAGGCTAGACCAGTTACATATCAATAGATCAATCAATTGTATGTCATTTCAAGGTAAAGCGGTGAGACCTACGGTAGGGTGCACTCCCGTCGATGAAGCGCCAACGGGAGACATGTACTCAGGTGCGATCGTGCGGACGGTCCTACTCGCGATCCATCTACGTTGTCGAGTGTCGAAGTATTCGGGAGTGACTTGAATCTAAACACACCATACTCACTTGAGCTTTTTCATGACGCTACTACTGCTTAGAGGTTCTGGACTTGCGATATATTTCCCCTCTCGATGACTCATTGCTACACCCGATCCTCCCGCTCTCGGCAGCTCCTTTCGCTCGTTGTCCACTGTTTTAGACTCTTGAGACATGATCGGTCGGTCGTGATTCTAATGGAAAACCTTTAATCGGCCCCAAAGGATGGTGAAAATTCCGAGGCTATTGATGAAAGGGCGAGCGATCAGAACGTCAGTTGATCGGCCTATTTGTTGACGGTTTCTGATGAGCGTCCTGATGAAGGGTTTTTCTAAAGTTATTGAAGGGCTAGCTCTCAATATCAGTGGCTGAGAGTATTCTTGAAGTACTCCATAGACAGCCAGACTGACTATATGAGCTGTTTTCGAGAAGCGAGATGATCAACCTGCCGGAAGCTCTTTTGCGATCCCGTCTCTGACTGCTGCGCACGGCCTGCGGGATTTGCTCCACCGCTTGTAAGACCGACAGATTCGCAGATGCACTCACTCTTCAAAGAGATATACTCTCCTTGATTCATCTATACCGATCATGTGTTCGTGGTGACAAGTGATTTGATTGATCCGATGAGCCGATGATTCAATCATAGAGGAGCGTCGAGCGACGTTCCGAGCGATCTCTAGCGGTTCGGTGCGCGTCGCCCGACCTTCCCCCGCATTTCCGGGTTTCGCGTTTCATGTGGTTGCTGCTGGACGCCGACGCGACCAGTGGTCGTCTGAGTCAGATGATCGCTGATAATAAGCGAGCCATACTTATTATTCCTTCCTTGCCAATCCATCAGAAGAGGAAAGGATGGCGAGGATCTCCTTGTAGCGTCGGGTGCGACAGCGTCACCTGGTTTATCGCGAAGAGAACCGTGAGAGCGAGACGATCGGCGAGAGCATAGTCCAAGAAGCGCTTTCAAGGCGGCTGGAGCGACATCGAAGTCTATTATGGTAGTCTTGGAGGTGTTTTAAACTCGAACCCAGCTACCAGTTGCTAAGTTCGCAATCTGGGCTGCCAACAAGCAGGAAGGGTATGTAAGCAAGTACTGGGAAATATTCAGAAGCGGAACCAATGCCCAAGTCAGAAGTTCTTCTTAAGTTCATTCTATCCAGGCAAACAGCTTTATAAACATTCGAATACTGTATATCAATACTGCATGATACTCAGTGCCTAGCAACTCCGAAGGATCTGATAGATCAGAATGAAAAAAAATCGTTGATGTGTTCGACGTGGTGGATTGTCGCAAACGTAGCCGTCGTCGTCGTCGCCTGTGGCTAAAGACGACATTGAAGAAACCAGGGTCCTTGCGTTGCCCATTGACACACGCTAACAAGCTTAACGCCCAAGGCGACGAAGAGGCGTAAGATACCTATCACGCTGGAGATAATTCGTTCGTATAGGTTCGCTATGACTGCCACAGATAGTCACACGATCACAATTGTATCCTGATGTGGAGTATCCATGATGAGGCAAGGTTGCTCTCATCCTGACTCGAAAATCTCTCATGTCGGTCTATCGGGAACCGACCTTTTATTGAAATAAAGACACCGAGCGCAAGATTGTCATTGCACAGCGAATATGCTCCAATCTCTTCTATTTTGACCCGCCTGACCAATGTCAGGCATCATTTGCTGCTTACAAGCATATCCAGGCTCAAGGCCCCTCTCAGCGGCTCATAGATGTCAGCAATGGCACCGATTTTACCTATTGGCTATCAGAAAAGCCAAGATCTTTGCAATATCAATTATATAATCTGGGTTTGAATAGATCACACAACTGGCTTGTTGCAAAGCGCAAGCTATCAGATACCTTGAAATGCAGAAACTTGTCATTGAGTTCAATCCCACAAGTCTTGAACAACTTTTGGCTCATTCTGCGATAGCGGATCTCGCCAGAATCTCGCTGAGGATACAAAGGGGTTTGTAAAGAGGCGATCGGAAACCCGCTTGGAGATCAGAAGCCTCGTGGAGAGAGTCCTGAATGTACAAGGCTAGACACCGCACGAGCCATAGATCCTACTGACATCCCGTGTCCAGGCGTCGAACGTGTCAAGCCCGACGAGAAAGTCCGACCCTTACGTGCGGATGGCAGGGTTGAACTGACCGTCTGGCAGTGTGTTAGTCTGCACTGTCGCCGCCGGCCATGAGATCAAGATGCAAGGAGATTCTGTCGAATCGGTTTGAATGGATGGGCTTCGAGATACCCTTACAAAGCGTTACCTCATCTTCACTGACGAGTTATCCGCAGCCCGGTCGAGGCAATTGCCAGGCAGCGCGTCCTCGATAATATGAATTGCGTGACTTCTAGGATATGAGATGCGGTGATGTTACACATGAATGATACAACTTTGAAGAATGCAAAACGGGTTCCCGGAAAGAGTCGATCTAGATGGCGGTCTTCGAGGGAGAAGGTGGGGAATGGCATGCGGTGGTCCCGAATGCGAATGATCGTATGGCGTGAATGGTGTTTGTCTTGGGAAGGCAGGGGGTTCGTAATCGGATGATCCTCTCTTGCTTTTAATCCTCCCTGAAAGCAAGACATCGGGCACAACAGCGACAATCAATCAGCCAACTATCTCCTACACAAGGTCTCCTTCTTCATCCCCAGAAGGATGTCGATGACCCCAGATGCGACTCGACTCACTCTGCAGGCTGCTTCCGTATCCACAGGTCGATCACGGCCGAGAACGCCGCAAACGCTGCCCCACCTCCGATCGCAGCTTTTATCCCGCCTGATCGGGAGAGGGTCGCTCCGGCGAGGAAACCTCCGGCTACCGAGTTGTAAATGTCGTTCTTCGCTCGGAACTGCATACAGGAGGGGAATGGTTATAGGCAGAACGGGAGGATGGGTTTGGGTTAAGGAGATCGTTAAAAAGTGTTGACAAAGAGCATGACCATGGAATCCGACACTCACCCCCTCGATACAACACTCGTACCCCGAATAGAGCGCTCCGACTTTGGCGAACCCTTTCCCTGAACTCCACATGTTCCTGCCCATCTCCTTGAAGATGAACATCGTTTGCGCCTTGGTCCCCACGAGCTTTTCCGAGGCTCGGGATAAGGGGTCTTCGTATGCGAAAGTGGCGGACATGAGGGAGAAGAAACCTCCCAGTGCGAATCCTGGTTGGTTTGAAGGAGGTGACAATACAGGGTATGGAATGAGAGTTAGCTTGAGAGGTATAAAGAGGTACAGAGCCTAGGATGCGATAGCCAGTCTTCGAGCTCGAGCCGACCTGAGCCGACTCGGACCTATACGACGTTTCAAACAGCGGTTCCACAATCAAACTCACCAGCACCTGCACTCATCCCGACCTTGACGGGACAACTCTCCATCCCCATCGTCGCGTACTTCTGCCACCGTTGTACGTTTTGCATCTCTTCCCTCTCCTCCGGTGTGGTGCCAGCCGGCATAGGTTCCTGACCGGGGAGGTAGATGGGTGCTAGAAGTTTCTGCATGATGGTGTGGCGATAAACTGACGAGTCGTGGAGACAAGGTCAGGGAGTTGTCGGTGGTTGTATCGATATCGTAGAGATATCACAAGCAGTTCAATAATTAATATCTGGCGCTCGCGTATCCCGAACTTTTGGGTCGATCAAGGCCGAGGTCGAGAGGGTTGCCGAGATGAATGCAGCAGTAGTGTTTTTGGGTCCGCGGTGCATATCACCCCGAGATCAGCTACTAGCTACTAGCAGCTAGCTAGCTAGAAAGTGACGCGAGCTCATAGTTGCATATGGTTGAGACATGTTCAATGGCATATTCACAGCCGTGTACGGCGTCACATCGATCAAGAACTTGACCCAGATCTACATCCAAGCTTACAAGTGGATTGACGATAGTTCGGAGATTGCCCTAGCAAAGGATCAAATTAAGCGGGCCAACTTCCACCGCGCCAGAGCCGCGAGCCGTCATGTCAAACCCATTCGAGGTGCTCAAGGTGGAAGGCGAGGGTGCCGGAACTCCCTCAGCTTCGGCTTTCGAGGAAAAGGTGGCAGACGAGGAGCAGGTAGATGTAGGTCGTCACTTTTCGTCTGTACTCTACCGTTTTCGCTGTCGGTATACATTCAGCTAATGACTACGACATTTGCAGTGGCTCAGGGTAGTCAAACCAGCCAAGAGCGATGTGCACGTCCGGGTCACAGAGCCGTTTTCTAACATGGACCACTTGCCCAGCAATTGTAGTTTGATGGCGGTGTCGAATGTATGGGACCTGGTTTTTATCGGGACGTCGAGGCGTAAGTTCGGAATCGCACGGAAAGCTACCATATCGTTAGCTAGGTCTCGAGGTGACATCACGATTGGCTGATCGACGGTGCCCTGTCGTCTTGCTTTGCCCTGGATATAGCGGAACTGCTCGTATTTGCATTGAGCGCAATCTGCAAACTCAGCGAGAGCCCAGAAAACACGGGCAAGGCTAGTCCTAAGCTGACGGTCGCTCTGCCCGGTCGACCTCAATGGATCCGGTAAGTCATAGTCCAGTGTCGTTTTTGGACTGTCAGCGAGCATGATACTGAAGTGTTTCTTGCCTCTGACTGTCGGTCGATGTCCAGACTAGCTATGGGTGATAAGCGACTGCTAGTAGGGTGCCTGGACGATGCTGGGGTGGTGCTCTTCGATATCAAGCAGCTCCTAGAGGGTTCGGTAGGTCTCCCTGTTTCGCCAGCCCGAGCTCAAAAGCGCCTTCTTCGCTGATCACACTAATGCTTTGCAATCTCACTCAGTCAGCGCCCGTTCAAAGGTACTCGGACGTTCCTTCTCCCCTGGTCAACCTCCTTCCCAATCCATCTCTCCTTGGCGGACTCCCTCACCTCGCCCTGGCCCTCTCACTCGACGCCCTTCAGATCCTAGACCTCGACACCCAACTCAAGACGCTCACTTCGATCAAGGAAGCGTTTACCTGCATCGCCTGGTCCGTCAAAGGTCGACAGTTCGTCGTAGGGAAGCAGGATGGGACGTTGCAGCAGTACGCACCGGATGGTTCGCCCAAGGCGAGTGTGCCGCTGCCGGATGGATTGCGGGAACAAGGTCTGGGCCCAGGAGCGGGTTACAGGGCGACCAGCATCAGTTGGATCGAGAACGATGTCTTTCTCCTGACCTATGGACGAGAAGGGGATGACCCGGAACACCGACATTACCTCATCCACCGTCAACCCAAAACAGACCCTTCGAGGTTCACATTCGTACAATTTCAGGATATCATGGGTCCTTGGGGGATGATGGATCGACGAGGAGATTTCCGGCATACAGCGCATATCAAAGGATGGGGAGACGAGGTCAAACACCTGGTCTTCCTCTCTACGCCGCCCTCGGCGGATATCGCCGTCCTGTACACAGATACCTTGGGGGACGGGCAACAGGCGCCAGAGTGGAAAGTCGCCCTGCTAGACGAAACGGCTAGACCGGCTGTACCGATGAACGAGGAGAATGAGGATACCACATGTCTAGGCTTGGAGGTGGATCTGACGAGTACCACGCCGATCAAGCAGGAGCCCGAGGGCGGGGAATCGAGACCGGATCTACCTGCCGCACCGAGATTGATGGAGTATACCAACGATGGGGTGGTGGTCATCTACGATATCCTGAACAGCAAACGGCCGGAGTTTCCGGGCATGGTCAAGCCGGAAGATCTATCCAAGGCGGAATCATCTACTTCGGGCTCAGTACAGCAATCGGCGAATGTAGCCGGGGAGGTACCAGCTCCGGCCGTCAAATCCAAGCTTGGGGCCAGTGCGTTCGGAACACCAGGATCGAGTGGGAATGCAGGTTCGAAACCGGCTTTCGGATTCGGACAGGCTCCGACCAAGCTCCCTGCCTTCGGTGCTGGGTTCGGAGGAAGCGGCTCGGCGTTCGGATCGACGAAACCTTCTACTCCTGCGTTTGGGTCAGGGTCGGCTTTCGGATCGCAATCACAAGGAGGTTCGGGAGCTAGTACGCCAGCGCCTGCCTTTGGGAGCTCTGGATTCGGAGGTGCGGGCACGGGTTCGGGTAGTACGACACCTGCCTTTGGTTCAACGACGCCTGCATTTGGATCGACCACGCCCGCCTTTGGGTCCAAGACGCCTGCTTTCGGTTCTGCTACGCCTGCTTTCGGGTCCTCCGCGTTTGGTAGTTCGACGACGCCCACAACAGCAACTCCTGGCCCGGCTTTCGGTACAGCCAAGTCCGCGTTCGGGTCGACATCGTTCGGACAGCCGAGTTCGGGGTCAGCTTTCGGAGCATCAAGCGCTTTTGGACAGGGTGGCGCGTTTGGCTCACCGAAGACAACCAGTACCGCCGATGAAGAAAATGCGAACGGGACGTCGGAGCAACCCAAAAAATCGGCCTTTGGTTCGACCGCGACCTCGGCCTTCGGGTCGAGTTCAGCTTTCGGATCGTCCAGCGCTTTCGGTCAAAAGCCGACAACAGGCACCACTGGCACGCCATCAAAACCGTCGTCGTTAACTTCGCCCTTCGGGGCCAACCCGTTCGGTACCAAGACGCCCGCCGAGACCACGGGCAACGCGGGAGCCTCGAAGCCGCCTGCGTTTGGTAGTTCGCCATTTGCCGCAAGCTCGCCAGGTCAACCGAACACATTTGGTGGCAAGAGCACTTCATTCGGATTCGGATCTCTGTCGAAATCTCCTGCGAGCAGTCCGACGACGGATACTAAGCCGGCTTTCGGGTCCACATCGGTTTCCAAACCAGCCTTCGGCGCATCGAGCTTTGGCAGCTCGACAGGATCACCGGCTCCTTCAAAGAATGCTTTCGGGTCGAGCGCCTTTGGATCATCATCCGGCTTTGCCCCCAAGTCGACACAGGAGCTTCCCAAACCTTCTGCGTTCGGTCAAAGCGCTGCGTTCGGAGGGTTTGCGGCGGCTAAGCCGTCTCCCCTCAGTCAGTCGGCGTCCAGCAGTGCGACGCCAGCGAAAGAGAAGAAGACAGACGCGTTTTCTTTTGGCGGTTTCGGCTTGGAAGACAAGAAGGAGGACGAAAAGAAGGTGGAAGTAAAGGAGGAGGCAAAAAAATCACCTGAGGTGACTGGTTTCTCCTTGGGCGATCTGGACAATGGCCTTGACGAGGTGCAAAACAAAGCCCCCTTGCCCACTCCGATCGACGAAAAGAAGGAGGAAGAAACACCCGGAAAGACTGAGGAGTTCGCGACGGTCACCAAGGCAAAGCCTGCGCCTGAGGCCGCGTCAAAGTCTTCTCCAGAGGATGATGTGCAAGAGGTGGCTGTACCAAAGGAGATTGAGGACAGCAAGGACGAGGTCGAGACACCGACCCCAGCTCCTTCGGTACCAAAGGCTCAGACTGCACTCGGGTTTGGCCGGCCGCCTAGCCAGTTAGGCAAAACATTCAGTTTCGCGAAGCCTACCGACCAACCCAGCGCGACTTTCAGCTTTGCGAAACCGCCCGTCCAAGACAAGCAACCTAGCAGTGACATTCCTGCTCATCCGTCGAGTTCGACCAGCAGCAGCTTCAGCGGCGAGATTATCAAGAAGACCGATATTCCACCTCTCGACGGTACAGAGGACGATCGAAAATCGGACGGCGGGTCCGTCGAGCAAGACGACGAGCAAGAGTATGACGAGGACGAGGTCTATTCCGATGAAGAGGACGGCGAGCTCGTCGAGCAGGAAGACGAGGACGATTGTGAGCAACATGATGAGGATGATAACGAGGAGAGCCTGGATGATTACGATGAAGACGACGAGGAGGCTACTGAGGAGGATGAGCGCCGACCTGCCTCTCCCGCAAAGCGGCAACGCATGACCAGCGAAAGTGAAGCCAAGCCCGAGCACTCTGACAAGACCAACTTCGGTCACGCTCGGACCCCGTCGGGAACCCACGTACGAGAGGCGGCCCAAGAATGGGAGAACAAGACGAAGCGTGCCGATATCGCACCACCTTCCTTCTTCCAGTCAGTCGGCAAGCCTCACAGCCCAGCTTCGCAGCGAAACGAAACATCTTGGCCCGTCGCCCCGCCGCAGTCACTACCCGAGCCTACCACACCGACCATCCCCGTTATCCGCGCCACTTTGTCCGATACCCCTGTCAGGCCGAATGCTAGGCAAGTAACGAAGGCAGCAGTCTCGCCTGCTTCGGGCTTGGCAGCCCAGTTTGCGCTCGTCTACAATGAAGTCGAGAAGCAGCTGCACGAGGTAGGTCACATGCGCAAGGAGCTCTATGGCATAAAGGCTGAACTTCTCTTGTGACTAGCTTCGCTTGCAAGCCGAAGAAAATGCTGCATATCATAGCGCTCTCTCGAAAGCTCCGACAGAGATCCCTAGCCGTGAGGACATCGCTTTGGCAGAGTTCTGGTACTTTGGTGTCCTCGATACTCTGGCATCGTACACCAAAGAGATCGCGCAAGCAGCCAGCGAGGCGAGGCAACAAGGCGCTGGACTCAACCAGGGGATCAAGGACATGGTAGCGGGTCTGCACAAGAGTATGTCGCGAAGACGTTCGTTCGATTAGCGCTAGGCGAGTGGGAGCTAACATATTCCTTTAGTCCGTCAACGATCGGATGATTGCGCTCGATACCTCAAGGCTTTCAACGACCCGGAGCTACGAAGAGCCCTTCGACAGAGACCCCTCTCTAGTCAACAGACCGACGAGCAAAAGGATCTGCGTAGGGCCGTGAGGGTGAGTATCCAGTATGGTCGGTGCATTGATTATCGAATGCAACTGATCAGGTTTTACACGCCGTCAGAGCGCGAGAGAGAACCTCTTCAGAGCGGAAATTCAACTGGCTTCGATGAAACGTAGGGTGGAGCAGTCCCAAACCGTAGGTTCAAGGTATGTCATGTTTCGCGAGAATTCGACGTCATCCGCTGTAGCTGACGCACAGAACATCATAGCGGTCCATCGTCCGTCGAAGACGTCACCAAAGAGATTCAATCCCTCGAAATCGGTCTCAGGGAACGTCAAGACGACCTGGACTCGCTGTCCCGGCGTATCGACTCGCTCGCCTTGCAAAAGACCCAAACCGACCTGTCTAAACAAGGCACACGTGCCCGGCCATTATCTAGCCTGTCGGGAGCTGACGAACCGGTCAAGCTGGTCAGCGAGGCCATGAACGCTGAACTGGATGGAGATCTGTTGCTACGCGCCGTCAAGGCGAACAGGGCGGAGTTGAGCATGGTCCCGAGACCCGTCGGGAAGGAGAATATGGAAACGAGCAAAGCCGGGAAAGTTGCGGAAGGCAAGGGTAAATTTATCGGTACCAAGGTGGAGCTGAGACGACCGAGGACGAGAAAGGACGGACTTGGGCAGGTCGGGGTTCCGCCGGTCGTTGTTCCTTCCGCTTCGACCTCGACGTCGACCCCTCAAGCGAGCTCGTCAACTTTCGCGCTTAAACCCAACCCAACCACTTCCTTGTTCTCCCGTCTTTCCCCAGGTCCGGGTTTGGGTCACAGCCCCAGTCCGGTACAGAGCTCGAAGAAACCGGCGTTCACCTTGCCAACCACCGCCAGTTCCGCTTCACCCTCACCCGCTCCTGCCTTTGCCTTTTCGACGTCGACCGGATCACAACAAGCACCCCAATCTAAACCGACGATGCAAGGCTTCGATTTCGGACTCAAACCTTCGACCGAGGGATTGAACAGCCGGGCGGGGTATAGACCGCTGAACAAGCATCAGAGGGAAAAGGTCGAGGCTGGGGCTGGGGCGGTAAAGAAGGTTGCGGCGGGAGCTGGGACGAAGGAAAGTTCAGCAGGAGCGGGTGCTGGAGCTGGAGCGGCGGGAACCAGTGGAGGTATGGGAGGAGGGTTTGGGTGAGTTGCGAGACGTCTATTATCTCAGAGTGGTGGTATCAAAGGACAAGAAGCTGAAGTGATTCTCTGGAATGTTTATAGATCCAATTTCTTCGCGATGCCACCGACCGCTACGAAACCAGGAGCTCCGGGAGCGACGAATCCGGAAGTACCGAAATTCAATTTTGGATTCGGGGCGGCTAAGAAATGAGGCGGATATGTTCTGAGCTGTCCATCTTTTGCCCCATTATGTGGTACTGTATAAACGGGGGGACGAGGTAGAGTGTAACGAGTGATCCTTATGAACAGACGGATTTATGAGATACGATGTACGATAACGAAATCTACGTATAGAAGTCTCGTTATCATAGTCAATCGAGAATTCTGAAACCCGAAACCTTGATTATTCGATTTCCCGCGCCAGGTACGATCAGCAGTGATCAGGCATTTCTCTTTTGTTTTGATGCGCTTGATGTGATTCGGTGACCAGAAGGAAGCGCGATGAGATGGTGGCGCTGGGCCGCTAGAAGGGTTACGTTTGATCGTAGCGTGGGCGTGCGGAAGCGAAACCAGGGAAGGGAAAAGCCACGGAAACTGTTGACATGACTTCCCGATCGGGCAACACATGCAACATGGCACTTTACGCGTGCGAGAGTGGAAAATCGATAGACACGCTCTCGCAAAGGTCACACCACCACCTCTTCCCCCTATCCCGACAATTATTCGTCAACCTCTTGCACTTCGATAGTTCATTGCGATCGTGCGACGTTTCATCACAGGTTTCCTGCTGCAACGACGACGACGACGAACGGTTTAACGACGGACGACCTCCATCCCCTTTCCCTCCCACCCATCCACCTTTCCTGTGACGACGACGAAAGACGACGGACGTAGAGAGATATAGTTGACTCCCATATCATACACTTCGGGAAGACTTGTTCACTCTTCATTCACGCCGACGAACAACCTCAGACGACGACACAAGACAAGACACATAAGCAATAACAACACCGACGAACGAAGAACCTCGGTCGATCGCGTGTTACCTGACGAGACCAGCAAGAGAAAAGACGGCCTCGTTTCAACTTGCGCCGAACACGCACAACCTCATCAAACCCTACTCTACTCTCACGGCATAACGACCTACGAAGAACCATTCATACCGTCAACGTCAAATTCTACGTCAAACCGCTTCACATTCACGCTGCTCAGGAACACGAGAGGATATAAAACCTCACGAAAGAGATCATACTTTTATCGCCTGGCCTTCACGTTACGTGGTCGAACCATTTGAATTCACTACCCCACGACATCTGTCCACGCCCACCACAGCCGACGAACCACTCTACTTTCAACCTTGAACTCCATATCACGCCGGATTTGACCACATCTTTTACGCGGATTTCTCAAAAGAACTCGTCGATTACCGTTTATCAGACGTCGCGCTCTTTCCAACTTCAGCCACATTCTATCCGGAAGAAGACACACCTTCCACAGGCCATACTTCATACCGTCTTCGACTTGAACTTCTAGTGCGATGAACGCTCCAGGTCAATCTTCCATCCAATTCCCTTCCTTTGACAACTTTCACTCCGCCCACCTCATGCATCCGGGTCAATACGGCGCGTCCAACCCCGGCAACACCGCGACGAGTCCTCTTTCTCCCGGGGGCAATAACCCGAATTCGACTTCCTCTTCACAATTTCCTCCTCCGTTGGCTTTGCAGCCTTCTCCTCAGATGATGGGTTATTCGCACTCTCACCCTCACGCACAGGGGCTCGGGCACTTGGCCCCCTCTTTCGGGCAGGTACAGGGGCAAGTCGGGGGAATGACTTCCCCCATCGCCAGTCCTGGCGGGATGGGTCACAACAGTAGCAATGGGAATGCTGGGGGAGTATCTGGGTTTAGGGGGGATTACGGTCAGGTGGAACCGCACCTTCAGTATCAACAGCAGCAACAGCAGCAGTTGGGCAAGAGGGACGCTGGTCTTGTCGGGTCGATGAACAGGTTGTCGATGTTGCCTGAAGAAGCTGGTGATCAGGGTCATCTCGGTCACGGTCATCCGCAATCTCATGGTCACCCTCAAATGCAATCGCACCCGCAACAGCCACAACATCGGGGCGAAGGAGACTTTACCGGGTATCATCCTTCGATGCAGAATCAGATGCAAGGGGGTGGTGGATACGCAGGGTTCGGCTTCGGACGGGATGGGGCCGGTACTCCAGGCAACCAGAACAGTAATACCGGTGGTAACGGGCTGCTCTCCCCGAATCAGGGACACCTGCAACCTCAAGGTCAGGGACAACAGCAACAACAAGCCCCGTTGGGTTCTCCGCTATATCAACCGGCCATGCAGAACGGTTATCGGAGTCCGAGCGTCTCCTCGCCGAACCATCAACACGTTGGTCCGAATGCGCAAGCGGGGAACATGGGGATGGACTTCCCCTCATCGGCTTCGGCTGTGACTCCGGAACAGGCGGCTAGGTACGGGATCGCCGGGTTGGGCACGCCCCTTGGTAGCGGGAACACTGGGATCGGGGCTTGGATGGATGGGGTGAACGCTGCGGGCGTAAAGAGCGCTGGTGGGAATGGGAACGGCTGGCTGGAGAGTTCGCCTTTGCAACAACAGCAACAGCAGCAGCCTCAGCAGGGTCAACAAGGTCAGGGACAGGGCCAGCAGCCGCAGGGTCAAGGGAATGCAAGGAGAAACATGACTTTGGGCGGAGATAGGGAAGGAGCCTCGTCAGCCGCCCTTCCTAGTCCTAACGCTACAGGCAACCCAAGCGGGCCTTTTGCGTCGAATAACCGATCTAATGCGCAAGACGTTGGGAATGCGAATTGGAGCGGGTTCCCGAATACCGGGTCTGAACAGGGCAGGAATCAAGCTCAAGGACAAGGGCAGGGACAGGCGCAGGCCAATACTGGGCAGCCGGCAGGTCAAGGTCAAGGGAAATCTCAGCAGAGAGGATCTCAGTCGACCCAGGGTCAAGGTGGATCAAGACCTTCTTCGAGTGCGCAGCAGAGGTCGCAACCTCAGCAGCAGAGTCAACAGCAGCAGGAGCAACAGCAGTCCCAAGACGAGGTTGTAGATGGGAACAATGCCGCCGGTGATGCCAATGGTACGTACAAGGACTCCCAAATCAGAGTTCACGAGTCGGCTGACCTTTTGTGTATTCTTGCTCGTAGCCGAGAGAATGATCGGCAAGCTGGTCGACGATGAGGTCATCCCGACCGCCATCGTGATCAAGAATATTCCTTTCGCGGTGCAGAAAGAGACCCTCTTGGCCATTATCGTAAGTTTAACGGCTCTTTGAACAGAATACAACTGCGGTGAAGCTGAAGACCCAGTTCTTCCGCACTTACCAGGAGAGTCTCCAAGCTCCTTTGCCTTATGCCTTCAACTACCATCACGATAATGGTGTCTTCCGAGGACTCGCTTTTGCCAACTTCCGTCACCCACACGAGGCTGATGCCGTCGTCGTTGCTCTGAATGGCTATGACATTTCCGGTCGCAAGCTTCGTGTCGAGTACAAGAAGGTGTTGCAGGCCGGCGAAAAGGAGCGGATCGAGCGCGAAAAGGCGATCAAGCGGATGAGAAGCATGCAGTTCGATCGAGGCCAACTTCCCTCGGGAGGCAACCCACCTGGCAGCGCACCCGGAGGCAACAATTCGAACCGAAACGCCTCGGGAGCCTATGGTGGCCAGAACAGGCAGAACAGCTGGTCCCAGTCGAACAACAACCAGGGTTCGAACAATGGCGGAGGTCAGGGCAACAACAATTCCGGCGGCAACCAACAAAACGGTCTTCACGGGATTCCTGCGAATCTGCTCGCCAGCATGACACCTCAGCAGCTGCAGAGCCTGGCAGCCAGTCTGCCCGGTGGCGTTCAAAACTTGAATCTCGGCGGGCAACAACAGGGTCAATCGTTGACCCCTCCTGGAACGACCCAGTCACAGAGCTCGGGTTCCGTTGGAATGGTCAGTCATCTTTCTCACGTCTATATCCCGCAGCACGTCACGGGAGCGCTCATTCGCGAACGGACGGAATCACCCAACACGACTGGCTCGCAAACTATACAGAGGGACAACAAGAGCGGTCAAGATAGCGCTTTCGGGTCGGGAAGCATGCAAGCCATGCAACAACAACATTTGCAGCAGTTGCAGAACCCCGATAGGTTGCCTTCTCCAGCTCTTTCGCTCGGAGGCGCTTCGCATCACGGTTCCTCGAACGGCGGTCACGGTGGTCTGAGCCCGTCCTTGAACGCGAACGGCGGCTTCTCCCAAAACCAGCCGCCTATGCCGGGCAACCCATCGAACGCTAGCTCTCAAACCGGATACAACGATGTCGACTTTAACGACCCCGTCGTCCTCGACATCTTTTCCCGAGCCTTGATGTTCAAGGAGGACCGCATGCGTGACGAGTTTTCGTTTTCGCGCAACCTCTCGGTCAAGGACAGACGGGCGGTCCACGCTGTCGGCGAAAAGCTTGGCTTGCACCACTACAGCACCGGCGACGGTCAAGACCGATACGTCGTCCTGTCCAAGGTCGATCCTAGCCGGAACAACCCTTCCCGAGTGAGTGTCGATCGGCCCATGCGCGTCGCCGTCACGCGGAACGCTCACGACCGCACGACGTCCAACCAGGTCCTCTCTCGTCAGAGCGGTCGCGTGCAATCCATGGCGGCGCAGTCTGGGTCTTACTTGTCGACCTATTCGCCCCCGGTCGAGTCGACCGAGTCGAGGCCTGAATCGCCTGGTCTGCGGATCAAAAAGTCGATGCCCAATATGTCGCTCCTGAACGGACCTACGGTCTCGCGTGATCCTCACCGATTGTTGAACAAGCGTTCGAGTGGAAACTTGCGGGACTATGCCAATGTCGGTGGAAACCAGCAGAGTCGACGACCATTCGCCAGTCACACGGGTGCGACGGGTAGCAGCTCGTTCAACAACCTGTTCGGGAACGCTCTCGGCAACGGAACGTTCGAGCAGCCCGCCTCGTCGCCTACGTCGCCGACGGATCCCACGCTGGCCACCCAAGGCGCGAGCCTCCCGGGTCTCCCTGGCGGGTTCGTTCGTCAACCCCTTGGACCTACCAGCGAGAACAAGGGTTTCGTTTCGCGTACCCAGCTGAGGTCCCAGAGCTCGACCCCTTCGAACAGCTCGAACAACGTCAATGCCGGTAACGGTTCCAATCAAAACTCGGCCACTGCGACGTCCGGTGGGAACTCCAAGTCGAACGGTGTCATTGGAGGTCAACGCGTTGCCGGCAAGGGCGGGGATTCTCAGTCGATCCACACGAGCGGGAGCTCTACGATCGAGGAGGAGGAAGTCGAGGTCAAGGCCAACCGGAGCGATTGATCTGGCGATTGAACCGGACATCCGGCAGGCTCTACATCGGCTCTGGGTAGCCCTCGTCTTACACCCTATCCACCAATACCCATAGACATACGCACTCGCTTTAGCGACACTTCCCAGCCTGCACGACAAGGACAGAAATCAAACCCAAAAAAAAGTATTGCAAAGACCCTGGACGAATCAACCGAACGAAACTTTTCCTCTTTCCTACTTCTGTACGACATACGACCGGACCGGGATCGGACTGGAGGAAACTCTATCATCCCAAATCATTTTACGCCAAGGATAAAATTGCTCCTCACACCACATTCTCATCCCTCTTCTCCGAGGATCACAACACAGTGCACTTTATTCTTCGCTCGCCATGTCTCTTTTCCTGTCGTCATCTCGGTCGAACGTGACCAGACGACCGACCCCCTATCTTAGCTAAATATCATGTACTAGACGATGACAACGACCTCCTCTGATGTCCTCGAAATGTTGACTGTCCTGCTCGATATCAATCTATCACTCTATCTACGAGCTTTACAACCTGCAGATAACAAGCATCTTCTTCTTCCTCAGCGTTCGTTGCGATGCAGTACCTCGCCAGTCTTGTTATCGTCGGCAGCACTGGGTGGACGGGTGGACGACGCATCATCTTCCGCTTGAACCGATGATGAAACCCATATGGTACCGGGTTTCACACGCCATCCTGCACCCATGCTAAATCTGGGTTTCCGAGTCAAATGAACGGGCATACCGGGCCCGCAAAATGCGAGAAATCTACCGAGCCCCGCAGGCTGTCCGCCGGATTTCGCCGTGCTTCTCGAGCTTGAAACGCAATCCACCTTCATCAAGGGGTCAGGGTAGGAGGATCTAAAAGAAGGTTTGGTCCAGGTCCTTCGGGATCGGGGTCTCGGCCATCGGCGACGAGAGGTGGGTTGTGATGGCGGGAACCGCACGGTGACGAGTCGTCGATGACAAGCCGGTGGCCGGCCGACTCCCTAGTGGAACGCGTGTTGTGTCGCGGCTCCGGCAGGAGAGAGAGATCTCATCAACTTTGGCGCGCTTTCGCAGACGAGCGAATGTTCCTCGTTCCACCTTGCGGTCCTGCAATCCTCGCGATCCTCTTCGTTCAAGGCTTCATGCCGAATCGACGAGTGTACGAGTGTACACCTCGCATCATCATCGCGACGGCAGATAGCTTCGTCGACATCGTTTCTCGGTCTGAACATAGGATAGCGTGAACAGGTAATATAGGTCAAGCTCATAATCCTTGAGGATCGGCTTTCTTTTCGCCTCGCCCTCGATCTATACCTACAAAGGTTGACACCGAACCTCCTCGAATACAACGCCGATTGACTCAACCGCCATCTAATCGTTAGCAATTATACATACTACTTCCTGGCGGACCTGGCCTTGAGAAGCCTCAACAGTCAAACCAAGTCATATCTGCGGTACCGAGCATCTGACCAGTATCAGGACTCGTTCTCGGATTTGGCCGATTCGATCTCGCAGTTCGTTCATAATAATACAACGCATTGGCAGCTGCCAACCGCCCATAGACACCCCTGATCGACAACCTCGTTCGGAAGAGGAGATCACCACCTGGGACTGTTTTACAAGCTACTTCCTTCACCATGTCTGAAGCCCGATCACCCTCTATGCAACCCTCCCACCCGGACCCTCTTACCGACCGCCTCCCTTCCGATCACAACCGAGATGAAGTAGAGACCTCGGAAGCCCCCTTTCAATCCATCGCCCTTCCCAGTGGGATCCCCAACCCGAGTGCAATCGGAGCAGCCTCGGCTCCATATGCACAGACGGGGCCAGAGGCGAGGGATCTGGATGGCGTAGCGGAAAAGTCTAGCGTCACAGCTGGACATGCTGGGACGGGCTTGCAAAAGGCGGATATGAGCGTGGAAAAGGAAGCTCTGGGGATCGTACCTACCTCTTCCATCTCGAAATCGTCAGAAAAGGAGAAGCACACCAAGGACGACGAGAACGTCAGCGAGAAACCTAAAAAGAAGGGAATATTCGGTCGCAAGAAGAAGGACCAGACGGTTGTCGAGACCAACGCTACGGGGCTCAAAGAAAAGGCCGAGGTCCCGCCGGTCTCGCTTTTCACGCTGTATAGGTATCACACCAAGATGGAACGCACGGCGAATGTTTTGGGATTGGTACTAGCTGCTGCGGCGGGCGCGACACAGCCTCTGATGGTACGTTCGCGGAACAGTTACGAGTCTGCTGTAGATCTTGTCTGTAACCGAAAGAGCTGACGAGGTTGGCTTGTGGAATTCCGACGAACAGACTCTGATTTTCGGTGAGTTGTTGAAAGAGGCGAGAAAGGAAGGTCGACGTTGAGCTAAACGATGTGGCGCTACGCCAGGTCGACTCACCACCTCGTTCACCAACTTTACCCGAGTGCTCCTCGAAGGCAATGACCCCGCCGCCATCGATCAAGCGAAAGACACCGTCCTTCACGATTCCGCACTGAACGCCTCTTACCTCGTCTACATCGGTCTCGGCATGCTCGTCTGTACTTACGGATACATGGTCATCTGGCAGATAACCGCCGAGTTGGCTTCGAGGAGGATCAGAGAGAGGTTCTTGAAAGCCACTTTGACACAGGAAATCAGTTTCTTTGATGACTTGGGCAGTGGAGAGGTGGCTACCAGGATCGAGAGTGATACGCATTTGGTACATACCGGGTTGGGAGAAAAGGTGCCCACGTCGGTTCAGTACATCTCGACCTTTTTGACCGGTTTCATTCTTGCTTTCGGTTAGTAGCCCGATGTTTCGGAAACGAGGGCCGGTCGTGGATGCTGACATTGACCTGGTTCTTTCGATAGCCAAATCTTGGAGATTGGCTCTTGCGACGTCGTCTATGTTGCCTGTCATCATGGTCGCTGGTGCCATCATGGGGAAGACGTACGTGTCCTCGCCTCCGCCGTTGGTACATCCCTTACCTCGCATCAGCTAACTGTCCCCACATTTTCCTCTTTTATCGCGCAGCATGACGAAATTCACTCAAAACGCCTCGACGTACATCGCCGACTCTGGTTCCCTTGCCGAAGAGGTCTTTTCCTCCATCCGTACTGCTCAGGCCTTTGGCGCACAAAAGACCCTAGCCGACCTGTTTGACGCGTACGTGAAAAAGGCCTCTGTCGTCGGGATCAAGGGAGCGAGGATCTCGAGTTTGGGTTTGGCCATCATGTTCTTTGTCATCTACTCTGGATACGCGTTGGCTTTCTTCTATGGTGCGATCTTGGTGAGTCGATCCGTCAGATCATCGTCCGGCAATGTGGCTGTGGACACTTACGACATGCTATCTCGGCGCAGATCAACCAAAATCGTGCGGACGCCGGTACCGTCATTACGGTCTTCTTGAGTATCCTGATCGGTAGTTTCAGCATGGGTGAGCGAATTTCTGTGAGCTTCAGATAATCGAACATCGCTTACACGACCGTCGAACTGTAGCCATGTTGGCACCTGAACTTCAAGGTCAGTCGTCGCAGACACTGGCTGAGTGCTCGGGCGCAAACGCTGACTATGAAGCCCCCTTCTTCACTTCTAGCCATCGGCAAAGCTCGAGGCGGAGCTGCCAAACTGTTTGCGGTCATCGAGAAGCCTTCTGCGATCGACAGCGGAAGCGAGGAAGGTCTCAAGCCCGAGACTTGCCGAGGCTCGATCACGTTCGAGAACGTCCGCTTCAACTATCCGTCCAGGCCTGACGTGCCAATTTTGAAGGGTTTGAGTACAACTTTCGAAGCGAACGAGACTACCGCTTTAGTCGGAGCCTCTGGATCTGGGAAGAGCAGCACCATATCTCTCATCGAGCGATTCTACGATCCCCTATCCGGGGTTGTCATGCTCGACGGCCGCGATATCAGGACGCTCAACGTTAAATGGTTGCGAACGCAAATCGGACTTGTATCCCAGGAACCCGTACTCTTTGGCATGACCATCTTGAAGAACATCGAGACCGGTCTCATCAACACGCCTCATGAGAACGCTTCGCCCGAGGTCAAATTCGAGTTGATCAAGCAAGCCGCCGAAAAAGCAAACGCCCACGAGTTTATCATGGCCCTGCCCGAGCAATACGAGACCGATGTGGGTCAAGCCGGTCATCTGCTTTCGGGAGGTCAGAAGCAGCGTGTGGCCATCGCTCGAGCTATCGTCTCGAATCCTCCCATCCTGCTGCTGGACGAGGCTACCAGTGCCCTGGATTCCCGAAGCGAGAGAGCTGTGCAGGCGGCGCTCGACGAGGCGGCTAAGAACAGAACCTGTATAGTCGTCGCCCATCGCCTCAGTACGATCCGTGATGCCAATAAAATCCTTGTTGTCGGCGCGGGTGAGATCATCGAACAGGTACGTCTGGGACTTGGGACGACAGGTTTGGGTTTGGATGCGTTCTGACCAGATGGGAGCGATTCTGACGTGTCCGATTATCCAACAGGGGACTCATAATTCGCTTCTCGAGTTGGAGGGATCATACCACGGAATGGTACAGGCCCAGAAATTGCAACAAGAGGCTGAAAAGGCTGCGGTGGAAGAGGACTCGGACTCGGACGATGCTGCCACCTCCCAGGCATCGGAAGTCAAGCGCGTTCAGTCCAGGCGGTCAGAAATCGTGGAGAAGCCTATTTTGGACCGCAGGAGCACCCGGCAGAGTGTCGCAAGCGAGGTTCTCGCGGCCAAACGAGCCGAAGAGGGCGAGACTCGAGAGAACACCAAGCTCTACAGTCTCTTTTATCTTGGCAAGCGATGCTACAAGATCAACCGAGAAGGCAAATGGCAATACCTCCTCGGTTTCTTTGCGTCTATCTGCACCGGTGCAGTCTACCCCGCTCTTGCCGTCCTTTTCGGAAAGGCGATCAATGACTTTTCGCTGAGGGGCTCCGAGTTGACAAGCGCTACCAACCGCAACGCCCTGTGGTATTTTATTGTGGCTATCCTCGCTGCTATCTCGATCTGGGTACGCCATCGACGTCGGTCGGCACCTCGAATCGCTCGCTGAAATCGTTCAAATCATAGGTGCAACAAGTCACACTCACGGCCCAGGCGGAACACCTTACCGGAAAGCTTCGAACCCTCTACTTCAAGGCTGTGAGTCGGCTGCCCAAGTACGCACCGGAGCCATGATTAGCTTGAAGCTGACACAGAACTTTCTTCCTGGTTTGATCTTTCGCTCGCAGCTCATTCGACACGATATTGCCTTCTATGACGAGGACGCCAACACGACCGGAGCTCTTACCTCTTCGCTCAGCGACAATCCTCAGAAGGTGCAAGGTCTTGCCGGTGTAACGCTGGGCACAATAATCCAATCGATCTCGACCATTGTCGTTGGAATGATCTTGGGGTTGGCATATGGACCGCTCCTCGCCCTCATCGGTATCGCCTGCATTCCTCTACTCGTCTGTGCTGGATACATTCGTCTGCATGTCGTCGTGCTCAAGGACCAAAAGAACAAGAAGGTGTACTCCAAAACGGCACACATGGCTAGTGAGGCTGCCGGAGCCATCCGCACTGTCGCTTCGTTGACTCGAGAGGAAGACTGTTGCCGAGAATACCATGACGCGTTACAAGGACCCACCCAATACTCGATCAAATCGGCTCTCAAGGCCAACCTACTCTACGCCGTATCGCAGGCCCTGAGTTTCTGGGTCATCGGTCTCGTTTTCTACGTTGGAAGTCGTTGGTTGGCATCGGGTCGTTACTCGACTCAACAGTTCTTCACGGTCCTCAACTCGGTTGTCTTTTCTGCCATTCAGGTAAGCTTTTCGATATGTCTATGGCGACGCAATCCCGCTAAACCGAAATTCCTACCACTTTAGGCCGGAAACGTCTTCCAGTTCGTGCCAGACGCATCCAAGGCCAAGCAGAGCTGCACTACCATGCTTCAGGCGATAGACCACCTTCCCGAGATCGATGCCGAATCGGACGAAGGCAAAGTTCTCACTCGAGAGCAGGTAGTCGGAAACATGACCTTTGAGAACGTGCACTTTCGGTACCCCACCCGGCCCGGCGTTCGCGTGTTGCGAGGTCTCGATCTCGAGATCCCTGCTGGAATGTCGGTCGCTTTGTGTGGCGCTTCTGGTGTAAGTACAGGCCCGTGACCCGAATACTGTCAAGTACAAGCCGCTGACCTGAGGGTGTACACGACAGTGCGGTAAATCCACGACGATCGGTCTCGTTGAGCGGTTCTACGACCCCTTGAGCGGTGCCGTCACGCTCGACGGAGTCAACCTCGAGGACATGAACATCAACTCGTTCCGAAGCCACATGGCTTTGGTCAGCCAGGAGCCTACCCTGTACCGCGGTAGTATCAGGTTCAACGTCTTGTAAGCGTCTGCTCAGCATGAAGCGTGTCCCTGATGAGGCGCTGACTTTCGGTATTGCTCCCGTTGAATAGGCTCGGCGCGAACAAACCGGCCGCTGAAGTTACGGAGGAAGAGCTGATTCAGGCTTGCAAGGATGCCAATATCGTATGTGCTTCTCCCTCATCCGGTTCGATACGCGTTTGCTTAGGAAATCTCCCTTTGTAGTACGACTTTATCGTCAGCTTGCCCGATGGCTTTGACACGCTCGTGGGTAACAAGGGATCGCAATTGTCTGGAGGACAGAAGCAGCGAATCGCTATCGCCCGTGCCTTGATCCGAAATCCCAAGATCCTCTTGCTTGATGAAGGTAAGCCCGGTCATTGTCATGCAGGGTATTACATCACACTCGAGGCTTACACTTCAAAACTTGAACCATCTTCACAGCCACCTCTGCTCTCGATTCTCAGAGCGAGTTGATCGTTTCCCAAGTTCTGGATCGAGCTCGTCGAGGGCGAAGCAGTCTGATCATCGCTCAGTGAGTACCGCCTCGCTCAGTGGCGAAATCGCGATATCTGACCCACCGGCCTTTTCCTCGTACCTGCAGCCGATTGTCGACTATCCAGAACTGTGATATCATCTGCTTTTTCAAGGATGGCAGGATCGTGGAAAAAGTGGGTTTGGATGCGTTCTGACCAGATGGAGGCGATTCTGACGTGTCCATTATCGACAGGGATCCCATCAGGAGCTGTTAGCCCTCCATGGAGGTTATTACGAGTTGGTGACCATGCAGACGCTGAGCAAGCAATAAAGGGGCCGTACTTCCGAGATATAATGTTTTGGGTTAGGGGTTTATAGTACTTAGGCAAAAGTATACATGATTTCAATGTGTGATACGTTTCACGGCATAAACCATGACGACAGTGACTGTACGGGACGGCCGCTCGAGACGTTTCATGTCTCGTCACCCGATGCTGTTCGCTTGCGGGGATTCGATTCCGCGCGCTTGTGTCGAGTTTTATCCCGGACCGGGCCGGGCCGATGCATGATGCACGATGTCGCGTGGAAGATGCTTGGACCATCTGTCCGGGTCGATATAAGACCGAGAGTTAGATAGGGTAGACGGGTCAAGGACTGCGAACCATAGTGTCATTACATATCGTTTGACCAGATTCTCAAGCAAGTCAATATGGCCGCCTCCGACACCGACGCCCGGATCCTCGTCTCGACCCACGGCACGCACATTCACCTCCTCTCCCTCCCGCCAGCGCCGTCGACCGACCTCCGACTCGTTTCCTCTCTCAAACTCGATCAACAACCTTCCTATTCCTTGCCACATCCCCACATTCCGAATCTCATCTACGTCTCGGCATGGATTCCGGATATGATCTTCTTGGTCCAACTGAGGGGGGACGAGTTGGTCAAAGTAGGAGAGACCAAGGCTGGAGGCGGAGGACCGACTTATTTCGTGATGACCCCGGATCGAAAGAGCTTGTTGGTAGCGAACGTAAGTACAGCTTTCTCTTTGCATACAGAAGATTTCTGACGGTTAAATACAATTACCTTCGGCAATGCTCTCGATTTCGCTACTCCTACATGGTGTCCAAGCAGTATCGTTCGGGCCACCTGACCCGGATCTCGATTGATCCAGTAACAGGACACTTTGACCACCCCGCACCTCCCGCAAAAGATGTCTTGCAACTCCCTTCAAACCCGACTGGCTCCCCTCGGGCTCGAAGGTTCGAGGTCAGGCAGGATTCGGCACACGCTCATCAGATCATCCCCATCCCCGGAGACGACGACAAGGAGGAGTACCTAGTCTGTGATCTGGGCTCGGACAAGATCTACGTCGTCACTTATACCGAGGGCGATGGCTGGAAGATCGTTAGTTGTTACGAGACTGTCGCGGGATACGGACCTAGGCATGCCGTTATCAGATCGGCATCGAGGACAGAAGAAGGACCCTTGGTCTTTATCGTCAACGAACTCGCCTCGATCGTGACCACTCACCAGATCCTGCGGGGCGACGGTCCAACGCGACTATCACCTCCGATCTTCCCTGATCAATCCACCCTCCCATCTAAAAAGCTCGACCTGAAATCTTACACTCCGGAAGGTCCGATGGAGACTATCGCCTGTGCCATCCTCCTCACACCCTCGGAAGACCAGTTGATCGTGACCAACCGGAACCTTCCCACTGAGATCAGCCCCGAGTTGGATCCTTGGGTCTCGTTCGACCTAGACCCGGTTACCGGGCAGGTCCTCGCGAGCGAAAAGACTGAAGCGGCAAGGTGGACGTTCGGAGCTGGGAGGCATTTGCGTGGGATCGGCTTGGAAGGTCATCGGGATCGAGAAAAAGGAGGAAAGAGGCTGTTGATCGCCAGCAGAGAAGGGGACGGGTTTACACTCTATGAACAGAAAGAACAGGGTGCGGCGGGGTGGGAGGAGTTGGCGAGGGGGTTATTGAAGGAAGAGAAGACGATAGAATTTCCGCTCGCTGTGGACTGGTTATAGGATGTCGTCGTGCTTGCACACTTTGCCCTCGGGCGAGGTATCTTGAGAAACGCTACGAACCACCGCATGAGAGACGGAATTGATGTATGATCGTATGACATCAGTTTGAAAGAATGAAGTGTACATATAGCATATGACAGATACCCTTCGACGACAGTCTGACGAGACCTGGCATCTGTATGCTAAAAGCCTTTACATTCAAGTAAAATCTTGGCAGAGATATATAATCGTACAAGGTCTGCGATGGGCGTTATAATGCACAGGTGTAGATGTGTGATTCAGTTGCAAGATCCGTTTCGCAATCCGCGCGTACAGGTAGATCGCACTGAGACGAAACGCGCTCTTGAGCCAGGGGCCCGCAGAGCTTGCTTCTGAAACCATTGTAGCCAGTCAAAATCCCGATTGTTCCCCGATTTAAAGCTCTAGCACATCATCATATGCCGCAGAAACGACATGCTGGGCGATATACTTGGGATCGATAGGCTTTGGAATACCTTCGCCAATCAGCATACAATGGAATCTTACCCCTTCCTCTGGTAGACCCCAAAGATCTACCAACTAGCCAAATCCAAAGCAAGCTTTGGCGGCAAGGATATCAACTGAAGCAGATGGCTTGACATGACATTAGTCCCATCCAACTTCTCAAAGGATCTGTTTGCATGGGCTCCTGACAGCGACAAATCATACATTTCAAGAGAATGGCGTGAATCAGTATCAGTAGTGTTGAAACCCTAGCCGTGAAGGACGGCCTATAGCACCTGCGAGGAAATGTCAGTGCTTTGAGTTCGGCTTGGCAGATTACACGTTATTATCAGAAAGCAGATGTCCGCGCTGCTGCTATCGATTGTATAGCTATATTATGAAACACAATGGTCTGATGGTTCCGAAAGATCCGTCCTTCGAGATAGACCTACAAATACAAACCCAGAAACCCCGACGCCAAGTCCTAAAACGGACCGCTTCATTGCCCCACTTCCGCCTGATTCGCCCTGACGATATCTTCATCCCCGACTTCCATCACCCCATTCACTCCCACCGTATCCCCTTCGCCAAGGGGAACACCGGGTTCTCGTACACCCTCCATCTCCGCCCTCTCGTCTTCCCGAACTTCGGTTTCCATCGCAGCGGTAAAGGTCACATCACCCGGTTGAGCGAGATCGGAAGTACCCCCGAATTGAGTCGTTTGTGGTGTAGTGAAGGTGGCCTCGACAGCGTTGGATGGCATCGGTCGGATAGTCGGTTCCGGAGGGGGTGCCGTCTCCGAGGCATCCGTAACTGCGGGTACACGGCTCTCGGACGAGTCTTGGTTCTGTGTTGGCGCGAGCACGGAAGTCTGAAGGTCTCCCTCTCTATCTGCCTCCGGTTCCACTTGCATCTGATCAGGACCCAGCTCGGTCTCTTTACGTTGCGACTGATCGTTGTCCGCCATGTGAACGTGCCCCTGTACGCTCTCCACCCCGACCGCCCCTGCAGTATCCATCTCAACCAGCCCATCGTTACTATTGGGTTCTTGGACGGTAGCCGGATCTTCGCTGACGGTCAAGGTCGACTCGGGTACGGTAGCTTTGAGCGTCGATGTTGCTGTGGTCGGGTCTTCAATACCAGCACCAGCAGGTAGGGGTGTGCCACGATCCTCGGCACCAGCATCTCCCGCAGAGGCAGAAGTGGGTTCGGCTTCTTCCTTGACTTCACCGTCAGCCTCTGCTTCCGCGTCACCTTCGACCACCTCGACCTCGGCGTCCCCTTCATCTTCGTCGACCTCCATGACGATGTCTTCCGTCTCCTCCGCTTCGACCTCGACGCTGGCTCCTGATATTGACGTGTCGAAAGTAGCCTGACGAATAGTAAGTTGTTAGAATGATCGCCATGATCGAACTAAAGGTTTATGATATCGAGCTTACTCTCTCTTGCGTCTTCACCCATTTCATCACCTGAACATAGACGGGACTATCAATCCGCCGTTCCTGCATGTCGCTCTCATTTGCGGTCACCCACCTTGTAACTACTCTCCGGAGAAACTCCGGATGGGGTCACCCATTCCTTCTTCCAAACCCAGACGGGGGAGACGAGCTGTTTCCTGATGGCCTCGTTGTGAGCACCAAAGGGTCTTGCTGTAACTCGTTTAGCTGAGATGATAGGAGATTCAGCCTAGCGTCTCGTACTACAACTGAATCTGGAGACGTAGACTTACACATGCTGGAGTTTAAGGTGTATGTGAGGCCAAGTTTGACTGAGGTTTGATCTTCTAGCAATAAGACACTTGATCTGATCATGAATTGGTAGGTTCAAGCTAGATCCAGCTCTAACTGGCCGATGAACGCGCTTCGCCGTGTTCGCGTCCTAGGGCTTTAATTGCGACCAGGTCTCTGATCTATCGCAACACTCCCATATACGCAACTTGAACCCCTTTCGACAGCAAGATCGAGTCGTGTGGCTCCCTAATACTATCTCAGACATGTATCTGGTTTGAACTCGGCGAGAATGAGCTCTAAACGAATGTGATCAGACCTCACATTTCTCGCTTACCTAATCACGCTTATCGGAACCGAAGGGTTGATGCTGGTGGGTCGCGTTCAACGCGTTTGGATTCTTCGATTACTCGACCTCCCAGCCTCGACATCGACCTTTGACTATTCATCACTCAACCTTCTTGTTCCTTGCCACCCACTTCTGTCCCAGGTCATTCACCTGCATAACATCCCTCGTCTTTGTTCACTGCATTCTTCTGATTTGATCTTGCGAGGGAGGCGAAACACGACACATCAAAGAAGCTATCCGTCTGTCAAAACATGTCCGGTTACGATCTCGACACCAAAGCCTTCTGGACTCGGACAAACAGGCTCTTTACTCAATGGGCGGTACGTCGTTGCAGTCCATCATCTTTAGCGATTCTATCGTACTTACACTCGCTCCCGATCAATTTTCCATTGACGGTCTTTACGAAATCCGATCGGACGGCATGATAGCAAGCTGAGAAGGATGTCGATCTGGAAGGACTGAGAGGCGTCGATGGGCTCGCCGTGATCGTAGGAGATGCCGAGGAAGACACTGGGGTTCCAAAGAAGGGGGTCGCACTCCAGGTCAGTCCGCCGTCGCCTATATCATCTCTGAGGCCACCGTGGAATAGCTTCGAGAGCTAACACGATCGACCTGCTTCGTATTTTGTCTGCGTGCGCACGTTATAGACCTGGATGTTGGGGTTTGAATTCCCTTCGACCATCCTCGTGTTCCGTAAATCCGATTCGGGGAAGAAGGTCATCGTTCTTACGTCCACATCAAAAAGTTCGTCCATTTTGTCCCATACTGCTGCTCGATGAACAAGGTGGTGAGCTATACACCATCTTGGGGAATTCGAGCTGACTTTTCGTGTTGTTTTTCGCCACTTGTTCGTCTCGTCTCCCCTTGTTCTCGCTTTGTCTCACTGGGGATACCACATTACCTATCACCTCGGCCTCAACCTCGAAAATACACAGCCAAGATCCTCTCCCAGATCACGAGCACCAACGACATCTCATTCGAAATCCACGCCCGACCCAAGGACGCCGCCGGAGGTCTAAGTGCGTATTCTGCCACGCGGAATCCTCAGCAAACCACTGGACTCTATCTGATGATTCGCTTCTTTCCCTCTCGCAGAGGCCACTGAGGAGTTTGTGGAAAAGATTAAAGAAGGGTCGGGAAAGCTCAAGTTGGGGCATTTCGTTAAAGATGCACCGAAGGGGAAGATGATGGATGATTGGACAGCTACGTGAGTAGCTCGACCGTGTTCTGTCTGCGTCTACCTAATATGAAATGCCGAGGCTGATGCGAATGTGTGGGTAATATACTCAGCGTGGAAAAGGCTGGCGATGCGATCGAGATGGTGGACATAACGCCGTCTATGTCGGTCGTGTTGGCACCAAAGGACGAACGCGAGTTGGTATGTCCATGTAGAAGTCGGAAAATAATCTTGGAAGGTGAAGCTGATTGCGTGACGAATCTCCGGAAATCAGGAACACCATACCATTGCGTCCAGGCTATGCTCGACCATGATGTCTACATACTTCAAGCCGAAGATGGAGGCTATCATCGACAAGGGCACAAAGGTGTCTCACGAATACTTCTCAACGTGAGTTGTTCTCTCCGGGCGCTTTTGCATATTGTATCGCTAAAATCCGTCCGCTTCATAGGCTTTGTGAGGAAAAGCTCGGAAGCGATGACAAGCCAGCAGACATGAAAATCTGGAACAAGAACAAGCAACTCGCCAATGTCGATTTCGGATCCACAGATTGGATTTACACGCCAATCATCCAATCGGGAGGCAAATACGATCTCAAGGTCAGCGCAGAATCGAACCAGGACAACTTGAAGGCGGGCGTCATCCTCGCCAGTTTTGGAATCAAGTACAAGGACTATTGCAGTAATATTGCCAGGACGTTCATGATCGCGCCTCAAAAGGTCAGCCTATAGTCTCTGCTTGGTGATCACGTCATCAAGCTATCATGCTGACGATCCTCTTGCTTGCAGTCCCAAGAGGCGAACTACGTCTTCCTGCTTGACCTGCAGCAGGCGGTGTTGAAGAAGATGAAGGCAGGAGTCCCGGTCAAGGAGGTGTACGACTTTGCTCTGAGCCACGTGCAGAGCAAGAAACCAGAGTTGGCGGACAAGATGGTGAAGAGCATCGGTTTCGGAGTGAGTCGCCGCCCGTTTCAAGGTTGATTACAAGGATTTGCCGAGACGGCTGGCTAATCCGCAGCGGGATCAGACTGGTATCGATTATCGAGACAGTGCCTATGTCATCAACGCGAAAAGCACCAGGACGTTGAGGGAGAACATGGTGTTCAACTTGGCTCTTGGATTTGCCAACATTCCGGATCCTCAGAACAAAAGCAAAACGTACGCGATGGTCATAGAAGTTCTTCAATGACTTTGAGCTGATCCGTTCGACCTTACCACGATAGTTATGCCATCCAGGTTGCGGATACCGTCAAAGTCGGTCAGGACACTGGTATTTTGCTCACCGAGGGAACGAAGAAGGTGCACGAGGTGATCTTGGATGAAGATGAGGAAGAGGTGAGGGCAGGTGTATTGTCCGCACGGGTCGCAAACTCGCTGACGCATTTCTCGAATCTCGTCAACTCCAGGCCTCTGAGCCGGAGGAACGACCCAAAGCCAAGAAGTCGGATCCCAAGCCAAAAGATGTCCCTACCAAGAGCGTCGTTGTAGGGAACAAGGTCCTTCGAGCCAAGACCCGGAACCAAGGCAAGGAAGTGGATGAATCCAAGGCAGAAAAGCTCAAGCAGCATCAGCGAGAACTTCATGAAGCCATTCAGAAGACGGGAGTTGCGAAGTACAAGGGTTCCAAGGATGGCAAGAGCGGTGGAGAGGGCAAGACATGGAAGAAGTTTGAGAGTTATCGACGTGAAGATCAGCTTCCAGCGGCCGTAAAGAACAAGAGGGTGAGTCCCAAGGCACTGTCCGACGCTACACTGGAAACGGGACTGATGTGTTAATATGGGTTCATGTTACGCAGATCTACATCGACGAAGTAAAGTCGACCGTCATCTTGCCCATTCACGGTTTCATTACTCCGTTCCATATCTCGACGATCAAGAACGTCAGCCTGACAGACGAGGGTGATCAGAGCATGCTCCGTATCAACTTCCAGTCTCCTGGTCAAATCCTGGGGAAGAAAGAGGATACGGTAAGCCGGATCAGATGTGAGTAGAGCGGCGCATGAAGCTGATCGAATCCAAACGTAGCCTTTCGAAAACCCGAACGCGACCTTCATTCGAAGCGCGACGTTCCGGTCATCCGACAAGACACACATGGCGAGAGTGTCCGAGGGCATCACCAACATGCGAAAGGCTCAGAACAAAAGAGAGACGGAGAAGAGGGATCTTGCTGACGTTGTCGAACAGGAGAAGTTGATCGAGTTGAAGGGTAAGCCATGACGGGATGTAGTTCGGGTGGCCGCCTGCTAACTTTCATGGCGACCCCAACACAGGCCGAAGACCCCACAAACTCACGGATGTTCATATCCGTCCCGCTTTGGACAACAAGCGTATCGCGCCTGGAGAATTGGAAATCCACCAGAACGGTCTGCGGTACCATGCTCAATCCGGAGCGAAAGTCGGTATGTCGATTTACTGCAAAATACATTCAAGTCTACCTGTCATTTCGCTGATCGTATCGCCATCACGCAGACCTTTTGTTCAGCAACATCAAGCATCTATACTTCCAACCGTGTGACTCCGAGATGCACGTCATTATACACGTTCACCTGAAGGCACCTATTATGCTGAGCGGCAAGAAGAAGGCCAAGGTTCGTCCACGAGATCATAGCACTGGAAAAGTTCATTGGACTAATCGAATTATGGCCATGACAGGATGTGCAATTCATCCGTGAAGTGACAGATGCTGCATTCGACGAGACGGGTAATCGAAAGCGAAAGTCGCGATACGGGGACGAGGATGAGATCGAACAGGAACAGGAGGAACGCCGCAAGCGCCAACAGCTCAACAAGGAGTTCCAAACATTCGCTGCCAAGATCGCGAACACAGCAGAGGACAACCCCGATTGCGAATTCGAGGTAGACGTTCCCTTCCGAGAACTCGCATTTTCTGGTGTACCTTTCCGAAGCAACGTGCTTCTCCAGCCGACAGCCGAGTGTCTTGTCCACTTGACGGATGCACCTTTCCTGGTCATCACGCTGAAGGAGGTCGAAGTGTGTCACTTGGAGCGAGTGCAGTTCGGCCTCAAGAATTTCGATATGGTCTTTGTCTTCAGCGACTTCACGCGGGCGCCCGTACACATCAACTCGATACCGATGGAGCAACTGGATGACGTCAAGTTATGGCTAGAGTGAGTCCGAAGACCCTGTCTGCACAAGTCGTGCGACGAGAACAGGAAGTTGATGAGAAATGGTGTATTACGTTCAGCTCTGTCGACATCGCAACATCGGAAGGTCCGGTCAACTTGTCGTGGCCTGCCATTATGAAGACGATCCAAGAGGATCCTCAAGACTTCTACAAGATGGGCGGCTGGACCTTCTTGACCGGTGATGGCTCGGACGAGGAAGACAGCGAGAGCAGCGCCGAGAGTGCCTTCGAGGCCAGTGATCTGGATCAGAGCGAGAGTGACGGCTTCAGTGATAGCGATGGTGAGCCAAACGATCCTGATTGAACCAAGATGGCTCTCGCTGATCACCCCAGCATCTTTGGCAGACGAAGACGACTTTGACGAAGACGCCAGTGACGAGGACTTCAGTGGTGAAGACGATGATGACGAGGGCATGGACTGGGACGAGCTGGAGAACAAGGCCAAGCGAGGTGAGATCGAATCGTCGTCAAGCGATTCCGCGCAGACAAGCTGACTGTGCTAAATGACTCCAGATGACGAGCGCCACCGAGCCGAGAAGGGTCATGACTCTGATGAAGAGGCCCGCCCAAAGGGCAAGGGTAAGAGGCGATGAAGCGGTTCTGGCATGCGAATATATCCGTCAAAAGCATGTTTGTAGCGCTAGGTATGTTTCGCGCATAATAGTGGACGTATAGAGCGGATAGCGCTCGGAAGATGGGACGAAGATCGCGCACACATATCATACGTTTTCTGGGTCTTTCCCATCACATGCCGTCGATCATGGTCTGCAGCGCGCTCCTGACGTTCTTCCTCTTGGGTTTGAGTTGATCTTTGCATTGGTTTGCGGTGACCCCAATCTGAGCCTCACAAGTCAGTACTCAAAAGGAAGGGGGACGATAGGTAAAGTTAGACGTACCTGTTCAGCGATGGTGTTCCAGTCTTCCGTAGTCATACTGGTATAACCCTTATCGACCACTGACAAACAAGTCTACGATCAGCTCGGTGTGCAAAGGCATTTGTCTTGCAGTGACTCACGGAAGGTTGCAAGCTTGGCCTTTGCCTCGCCCGACCAACCACCCTTTTTGGCAGGCGATGGAGAACCTTCCCCGCCGTCGGTTGGAGCCTTTCTTTTCTTCGGGGTAGAGGGCATATCGGGCTCGGGTTTGACCTGGCTGACGTCTTCAGAGGTTTCCTTCTTGACATCGGCGGATGCTTTGGCTGAGGGCATTTTGGGCATGATGGATGGATGTAGGTCGATAAGGTTTGCTATCGTTTGACGATATGAAGGGATTTACGAGTTGTTGAGAAGTCTAAGAAGGCAACGGCGGCGATCAGGTTGGGAGCATGCCTGCGTATCCTTATATGAATCCGGGTTTCCTGTAGCCTGTAGGCCTGTAGGGTACATATCAATTTGCTACTCACTCCGTAACAAAAGGAAACTCTGCGCCGAGCAGGATCTGCGCTTCTCGAATTTGGTTGAGTGCAACGAGCTTGTCATGTCACTGGACTGAACAAAGAGATCGCCGCCTTCTATGGGACTCTTTGTTCATGTCGATCGGGTTAATTGCTTCTCAGCGCCTGCTTCTATATAGAACTGACCTTTGTCGACCCTCTCGAGCTCTCCGGTTGACCGACTCCCCTTCCATCGCCCCAACATCGTATTAGATAAAATATAACAAGGGCCACGAATCTGACTACAAGGAGGACTAGTCAGTACAAGTCGATATCTTTCATAGTCTCTCTTGGCTTCATCTGACAGTGATTTTATCCAGACGACATGTCTACCGACCGAGAAGCCACTCCCGATATCAAGCCCAAGACCGAGTCAAGTTCCAGCGGGAAAAACAAGTCTCCACGCAAAACGCCTAAGAGTCCGGCCAAATCGACTAAAACAGTCAGCGGGAGCGACGAGGCTGCCAAATACATGATCATCGAGACGCTTATGGATATCGGCAAGGTGGGATATAGATCTTTCAGAAGATGTCAGCCACGCCCTGACCCGTAATGCGCCGACTTTTCAATAAGGTTAACCCTACAGCCGACATGATCTGTGCGAAGACGTAAGCAATCTCAGGGTCCTGCTGAAACGCGATGCGCGAGCGGGTCGCTGATTTGGATGACCCTGCGGTCACGCTCTCTAGCGGTCTCACTAGGGAGCAAGTCTCGAATCAATTGAGGCCCGGACGGTCTAATCTGAGAAGCAAGATCTTGACCATGGTCAAAGCCGGAACCATCTGATATGATCGAGGCCTTATCATATGCAAAACATGCGAGATAGGCGTTGTTTCAATTCCCGACGAGACGCGATGACTACATTACGGAATGGCGATGCAGTGACTGTACTAATACAGAACCCATGTACTATGCCCGCCATCAGGCAGATCGTTGAAGCGGCAGGCAGCTGCGGTACATGTATGATCATTATCAGCGAACGTACTCGATCTATTTTCCACCGAAACGACTCACATCCCCAAGTACAGTCTTTGGCATGCGGACAAATGTGTCCGTAGATACAAGTTTGAGCGTTCTCCGAGCAATTGCCGAGCTTTGCATAGGGACAAGGCATATCCTTGACCAGCTTTGCTAGGTAGACGAGTTGCTTGCTGTTGAGCTCTGTCGACAGGCGAGTCGAGCAATGAGTGACTATCCTGCCTGGTCATCGCTGTGGGGCATTGTAAGGCTTACTGTAGTTATGCGCAAAACTGCACGACTTATTGTCGCAGCCAGCTTGAGCTGTTTTCGAGGACTACTATCAGCACTCTAGGGAAACGAACAACTTTACCCATCTGACACGACGTACTGAGATAGTGCCTGGATGTGGGGAATCTATCGTCAGCATCACCTCGGGCCGCGCTGATTCGCCTCGCGACACCCACTTATGACAAGGCCGAGGGTTAAGAAACCTTAGGGCCTTCTCGTCCGCCGGGATAACGACCTTTTGCTCCGTACCGCTCTGAGAGCCAGAAACGGGAGGACCTCCAGCAGCAGCGACGGCAGCGGCGGCCTCGGCAGCTCTCCTAGCCTTTCTTTTCTCCTTCTTAAGTTCCTTCTTATCGAGCGCAGTCGGGACAGACGGGTTTGCTGATTTAGTATTACTAGATTTCATGTTCACGTTCAAGCGTTCAGTGCCGGTATCCGTGCCCGAGTCGACAACGGTCTGGCGGGTCTTGGCGGTTTTGGCAGGAGTCGGCGGGGAAAGCTTTGTCGCTATCATCTGCTTAGCCAGAGCCTCGATGTGGTCATAATCGAATACCGGGATGCCGTCCTCGTCGGGCTCTTCGCTCCACGCACTATCGTCGTCAGAGGCGTCACCATCGGTAGGGTCACCCGTCTCGAGGCTAGCTTTCGCGATAGGGGAAATCTTGGCGGTATTCTGGTGTTTCTGTACGAACTTAGGACCGGGAGAGTTGCTCATCGTACCCGAGGAAAGATATGGGGCCGGCTTATAATCGGTCCAAGCGATCTTCTCCTTTCGAAGCAGACCGGGAATTTTGGCAACCGGGCACAAGCCGTGCAACTCTGCCGCAACAGAAACGCCCTCGAGGAGGACGATATCCTTGCCCTCGGTCGTCAACGATCGAATCGGGTTGGCGTATCCGTTATCATGCGATCCAGCTAGGACGATCAACCCGCACTGGGCGATACTGCCGTAGAACCGGAGTTGAGCCATGATCTTCGAATCGGCTGCTTCCTTGCCCGGACCAGCGTCGATTACTGTAAAACAAACAGATCATGAGTAAACATTCGTCGTGAGTCAAATTCTAATGATGACTCGACTTGGAAACAAACCGACTTACCATTAAGCGAATCGTGCGCTTTGCAAAGTCCGAGCAGAAACTCGTTGACCAGATTTGCGCCCTTTACAAGACCGCCCTGCATTGAGAAAACGGAACGTCAACACATTTTCTGCCAAAGTTGATATGCCATACACCAACTGACCTTATACATAGCTCCGGCCAGGCCGTACCTATTCACGATGACGTTGATGACTACATTCCCGGTCAAGGCGGAAAGACCCTTTGTCTTGGCCAGATGTGGGACCGTGTTTTGTATCATCTGCGGCAGGCTTGAAAGGAGCAACTTTGCAGCCTCTTTGCCACCGGCTGCGCCTTGGCTGACGAATGACTCGTCGAACTGTACGGATCGAAATGACACCAGGATGGACAACGTTTAGCAGACTTTACTCTAAGCAGGTGCCACGGAGCGACTCACGATAGCTCCATCGCCGTCGATCAAGATGGCCGTGAAGGACGGACCCATAGCAGGTCCAGCTCCATCCTTCAAGGCCGCCACTTCCTTCTCCAGTTTTGCCTTGGCCCTTTCAGTTTGCATGAAAGAGCTCTTCCATAGCTCGACCTCCCGATGCAGAGCGTCGAGCTGCAGGTTCCCATCGAGTGCGGTGGTGAACAGTTCCGAAATGGTTTTCAGAGCCTCCGTATGAGAGTCTCGCAGTTCCTGGTTAGTCGGAATGGCTGAAGGTTTCTGGGCATTGGCTAGAGCAGTAGCATTGTTCGTGTCCGAGTCCATGTCGAGAAGAGAGTGGCGGAGAGGCTGAATTTGTCTGTTTATGTTGTGAGATCTGACGATCTGCGACAAGATTCGAGGACGACTATATGCGAGATGGGTGTAACTAGCGAGTGTGAATGTTGTGGAGCAACAAGAATCTTGATTTGTTGCTATGGAGATCCAGTGTGTTCAGGATGGCATATAGTATGCCCAGTAAGGATTATTTATGGTGTCGAGACGAGCAAGGTAACCGAGGCGATAACTTTGCCTCCACCTTGTCGACTCATCATCGATCGACTCACGCGACCGATGTGCTATATCAATTCTATCAAGTCGACAGAGCCGCAAACCTGCCTCCGTGCAGTGGGAAACAAAACCGCTTGCATATAGCAATTGCAATCAGAAGTATAAAATCCCGTGTATCGATATTATGATATAAGATAATGAATTATACTGTCCTTGTGAGACTGTGATTCCGACAAAGACTCCCTCCCAATCCTCGTACCGAGGAGGAAATGGAGAAAAAGGCAAATGACCTCCCGTCTAGCTGATCTGACATCGACCCCTCATGCGCAAAACTTCCTCGCCACAAAGTCCCATCCCGCCGGAAGGAGAGAATCGTGGCGTCTAGTACTTCTCACCACCCATTCGGCCGGTAGCGAATCGTCCGCACGATCCACAGGCGGCGGTGCAGGTTCCAAGGATGAGGGCGGCGACGGCACCGACGGTGAGCCAGTTGGCGTTACCCTACGAAGTCGAGACAATACGTCAGCGAATTGTTACTTGCATCCCATTCCCCTTAATGAGGTTCGTCGAAATCAATCAAGACTCACAAGCTCGGCCTCGAAACCACGGTCCCTGATCCTGTTCCTGATGATGATCCAGAGAGCAAGGTCGATGGCGAAAGCTACCAAAGAAGCGAGGAGAGCGAGGAAGGCGGTGAGGGACATGAGGATGGTGCAGGTCCTCGAGGCGAGGGCGACTCCGGCCTGAAAACAAAAGACAATATCCCGCATGGTCAGTGTCACATCCCAGAACAGAATACGCAGTAGAGATGGGTGATGTGAACTCACGAGACCCCAGAGGACGGCAAAGAGGGCGAGGGCGCCGGCGATGGGGTGCAGGATCATGACCTTGGTGAAGTTCTGGAGGACCGAAGAACCCTCGGTGTAGCTGTCGGATGAAGCACAAGTGCATGATCAGCTATCTGAATCAGCAGACCGAATCGAGAGGATCCGAGAAAGGGGGGGATCACGGATCTAGTCCAGATCCCCATCAAAAGTCCAGGTCTACAGACGTCGTGACACTCACTTTCCGCCGACCTGCTCGATACTAGGCGCATACCCGAGCATGGCACTCGAGCATTCTCCTCCTTGCACACAGTAGCCCCAGATTCCATATCGGATCTCTTCCGTGACGGTAGCTTTGAGGAAGTAGATGTTACGCCATACGGGGGTTGAGACCGAGACGAAGATCAAGAGGACCATTGCCGCGAAGCAGAAGAAGAACTACATGATCAATGAGATGGGTTCGAGGTCAGTTATGTTCATGATATTGGGACGATGTTGAAAGAGGTTTTCCGCATTGGGAAGGTTCGAGTGGCTTGAGACAAGGTGAGGTCGAGAGGGCTTTACTCACTCCGGAGAGAGCTGGGGAAGGCATCTTTGAGTTTACTGATGAGCTACTTGATGCGGGAGAGGTTGAAGTTGATGCTCGTAGTGAGAAGTGATTTGTGAGGACGAGCTATTATAAAAGAGTCGAGTTGAACCTGGAGTGAAAGGAAGTCGAGATCGTTCACAGATCACAGACGAGATTCGATGATCAGGAAGGATCCTTTTTCGGTTCGGACCATATACAAGCATGGCTTACCTGGGGAGTGATGCTTGATGAGGGCGGGAGAGCGATGACGATAGATTGCAGGGCGTAGGGCGAGGGGAGAGGGCGGTGGTTGCTGGCTGTGTAGAGAGACTACTTGATCAGGAAAGGCAGACTAGGGTGTGGTGGTTGAACATGGAGATTTCCTTTTTGGATAGAGGCTGACCCCTGGGTGGTCGATCCCTTTCAGCCCAAAAGAGCAATAAACAACCGTCGACCTTGGCGCGCGTGTCGCGTACGCCGACCCGCCTCCTCCTCTCCCTAGATCTCCCTTAGCCTATGACGTACCAGCTCGAGCTCGCGCGACGTTACCCAGCTGCCAGCCACCTTCAGCTCCCCAGCGCCTTTCGTTGGCGTTGATTGGCTGCCTCTGCCGGGTTCACGAACGAGACATCCCGTCCTTACCGCGCAGGTTTCGGGGGAAAACTGAGACAACCTAATGTAACGTAATCTGACGTAAAAGATATTGGCGAGCGTCAGTGCCTTCTCTGCAACACTAGCTCCAGCTTGTCATCTCATTAACACCATGTGTACCAGAGTAGCAACGGATTGGTATGCCTACTATGGAACTCTCTATAAGATGGCCTCAGAGCAACCCGGTGTCAAGGATCTCTTCAACAGTGATTGCCAGGTTTGCCAGTCCTACCTTAGTCCTGAAAACTCACGGCCAGCGAAAGGGCTACATCTCCAGTTCAGCCATGGCCAAGGACGGGGAAGGGTCTTGCATCAAGCTCTATTCCAAATGGTCGCAAGAGGCGAGAGGTACTGGACCGTCTGAATTTGAGCGAGCACATTATGACGCGCTGTCAAATCTATAGATCTGTCTGATGGCCGGTGACACGTTCACAACAGGCCAATGCGATTACGCAACCTGGTGGTCAAGAGGAAGGACTCCCATCACACTGATTACTGATTACTACGTTACTACGTATCACCCGATCGCCGATCCCTGATAACTGATCAGCGAGAAAAGATGACGGTGGAAAATTCTGGAATACATCACGCCTGGTCGCCTGATCGCGCTTGATCCCTGATGAACCTGAAAGCCGTGTGGCTCGATCGTCTGCATCATTATTATTGATCTATTGATCGATCATCGTCGGTCAGTCCGGCCTCGATCTCGGGCATGGGATCCCGAGATTGTTGTCGATGGCATACGACCTGGCAAAACCGCTGGGTGGATCGTCCGTCGCTATCGTCGGTTGCGGAGCCGCTAGCTGAAACACAGAACATGTTCAAATACACGATGACGCCGGAGGCTTTCGGCGCAACGGGATTCCGTTGTTTTGATTTGATGTGAAATTTCGGGTGGATGCGGCGAGGTTCCTTTGATGATCCGATCAATCTTAGGGCTCCAATATTTACAAGACGTAGGCAGAGCTCAGACGAGTATTTTGATGAAGCAACAGAAAAGAAAGGCGGAGGGTCGACTGCTCGCCCTATCGACATCCGGACATCATAAGACTTCGAAAAAGTGCTGGGTATCTGACGTGTACTGTGATAGGCGTACTCTGTAGCTCTATGGATGCGTATGCCTGGACCCTTGGTCCGTTGAAGATCCTACGGGATGACCCTCCTTTGAGATCGGGCAGTCGGAAACGATCCGAGACATGTTCTCACTTCCCCGTGATCGATAACCGGCACAGACTCGCGCGGAACGAGGTGAGCGCATTTAGCGCGCGTTTCAGGTTTGTCGCTGTCCGTCGTGATGATCGACGACGAGCTGTGTTGGGCGTGTAGAAGGGGTCCGTGCATCAATGAGGTTCCTTTTCGGTTAGATGTGGATCGGAGCTAGTGAGAATGCTGTGCTAGTTTCATGTTGTGATTTTTCGGGTGAATTCCATGCCATCGACTCGACCGAAAGATGATTAGACATGTTGGAGTGCCACGGCGAACGATATAAAGGAGCACAAGGGTCTCTACATTTCCTCACTCTTTGCCGTTGTCGTCTGCCATTCTTCAAGTTTTTCTTCAACAGTATTCAACAAATCATTCACCCTTGCACGTTGTCGGATTTACTACGTCAAAAATGCCACCTGGTCTACTGGAAATGTCGGAACTTACTCGCCCGCTGGAATCGGGTCACGACGCAGGATTAGTCTCGAGCGTGCCAATTTCACAAGAATTCCGCTTTGCCTCGATATACGAAGAGGTGAAAAGGATTCGGGACCAGACGACTCAAAACGATGTAAGTGATCTACGATTTATAGTAGCCTGAATATCGTCGAGCTTACCAGGGTTTTCAATCAGGCTCCGAAGAGCAGTTGGCAGGCAGAAAGACCACAGATGACTGGCCCGCTACAACCTACTTTCCTCGGCAAACCTCTCTTTGGAAACACGGAGTCCAGATCCTCTTCTATTTCGTCTCTACACCATCCTCAGCCTGAATATCATCCCGCTGGCCGACCTACCCTCGACGTCTTCGAATCCCTCTCCGATGTCGATCCCAAAGGACTTGAACCGTTTCACATCTTACCACCTCCACCACCTCCGCCGCCACCACCTTCTCCTACGTCTTGGTACCGACATGCAAAGGCTCCGATTCACTCGAGGCCCGACATCCTCCGCTACGATCAAGTCACACTCGGGCCGCCTTTTTCTCTCCGCGATCCGCAGAAACTCACAAATACACCCACGCGAGACTCTACCTCGTGCGGTCTGCAAACTCCGACGAAGTTCACGCCCAAACAGGATAGAAAGCTTGATGTCATGTTCGAAACAGGAATGGAAAGGCCGGATAGTCCTTGGTCGGCGGATTCGGGGATCGAAATCTCACCTCCTCGACCTGTCAAGCCTAGATCGAAACCGATCGGCGGACCTGGTCCGGGAGACGGGAAACGAACACGAGACTTCGAGGTGGAGCTAAGACTGGAGTTTGACGAGGGAGTTGGATGGATCGAAGAGGATGAGCGGACTTGGAGGGCAACTTTCGGAAGCCCCGACCTCGGAGGTATATACGGGAAAGATATCGGCTCGGAGGGAGAGATCACGATTGAAGTGGAAGAGTGGTGTCCTGGCGGAGAAGCTTGCAGGCATTACGATGACCTTGTCACCACGGTACCTCAACACGAACCGTACGGCTGGATACCAATGACTCCACCGGGAGAGTTCGGTGGACTTGCAAGGGATTACCCGCAGTACGAGTCGGGCTTCACTGTAGGAGGAAAGGAAGGAATCGTTTTACCGGATGCTATCATCGAACCTGATACTCCATCGGCAAGAGGGCCGCTGCCTCTGCAACCCCCGGCGAATCTGCAAAGCACTATACCTAGTCAAACCATCCCGATACCTCTCCACCATATGAAGCGAACGGCCTGCCCGTCATATCCGCTTGAGCCGCTCTTCGACCCCTTCAACCCGCCCCCTTCAGGCTTCGTTCATCCAGACTTCCTACCGCTCCCGCTCAGCTTGGGCGCACCGATGTTACTCCACTCGCCCGGACTTTCGCCTCGACCTCTGTCTTTTGAAAAATACCTCTACCTTCAGGATCACTACTCATACAACGACCCGCTCCTTGGCAAAAAGGGCGCGTGGAAGTGCAGCTTGTGCGGTTGCGGAAGTCGAGAACCGCTCGGTTTCGTCCGTTCGGGTCCGTGGGAGACGCCGGTGGAAATTAGCGAATTGGGGATGCCGAGCAATAGGATCATGTTATCGAGGTTGGGTTTCGAGGTGGATTTGAAGAAGGACGAGCGGTTGGCGGAACGGCGTTACGCGAGAACTCAGCGGGGTCAGGGCCACGAGCTAGTCAAGCGGGGAAGGCTCCGATCGGTCGACCCACGACCCAACCCGAATTACATCAAGCTCGGGCCTAGACGTATCGTTGACACTGCGGAGAAAGAAGTACCGACGTCAAAGGTGACTTTGAACGAGGTCACGGAACGTCCTTCTACTCCATGCGATACCATCGAGGTCGATCTTGGCGCCAATTGTGGCCGACACGCCAGACGACACAGCAGCCAGGGAATAGTCAGTGCAAGGATCGAATGCGACTTGGAGGTGGAGGACGAGGATAGAGATTGAACCGACTGAAGAAGGGTTGCGTACTATCACTTATGGAGACTGGATCTTACTGCACGGTCATGAAAAAAGGACGACACGGGCGACATCGCGCTGCTTTTACGGATTTTGATACGAAAAGGACGTTTAGGTTTACTGCTTCGATCATGCTTCATGTTGCTTACCTATGCTCAATATATGAATACTATGTACATCGCGTGACTGACCGTGATAGGTAGAATCCCCGGCCCCTTTGTCGGCTTGTCAGACGATCAGATCATATCTCTGTAGGTCAGCATGCAGGCGTTCGTGGCGATGAAACAGGCGGGCGGTCTTACGTAATTTGCTTCCGACATTACGTCAATCCAATTTCTATCGGATGCTTTGCGAAATTTCGGTCAAGCTGCCGAAATCTTTCCAAGGACGAGGTCGTCAAAGATCTAGTAATGTCCCATAAGTTGGTTGGTCGTACCTACCGCTCGCCGTTCCTCTGATTTATCCCAGCTGTCAACACATTCATACAGCCACTAAAATACCATGGTATCTTTCCAGTGAGTTGTCGTCGAGGTCTGCCGAATGGTTGTTATCGGCCTCGCTGACCATAGTTCGTCTCCTTGATGCAGATGCGACAACTGCGCCGACACGGTCAAGAAGCCCGCTCTCGACAAACACAGGAACAGGTGTTGGGGTACTTTTACCTGTCTAGGTGAGCGTTCCTCTCGGACACGACTGTTATTTGTCAAGTCGTTGCTGATCAGGCCTTGTTGACTCGCTTCGTAGACTGTTCGACCACGTTTGCCAATACCGACTACAAGAACCATACGTCGTGCATCTCCGAGGCTGAAAAGTATGAAAAGACGCTTTATAAAGGTGGAAAGGGAGCCAAGGTGAGCGTCACTTTGAACAGTAAATCTGACAGCCCTCGAGACTGACGTCCAACTTTGTTTTGACATCTAGCCGAACGGTCACGCTGGGAACAACTCGACCCCCAACAACCGATTTCAACCTTATCCCAAGGGGAAACCTCAAGGCCGAAATGGAGCGCCCGTAGCTCCTCCTCCCATGACCGAGAACCCGGCGCAAGACCCCACTCAAGCCGGTGTCGCACCCGCCGTCCACCCTTCCCGAGCAAACATGGTCGAAGCCGCCGAACAAGGTTCAGGCAAGAAGCCTTCCTTCCCCTCTTTACACCCTCCCTCTCGATACCCCCCGCCTAGGGAACAGCCTCGATGGCAGAACGGGAGGAAGATGAAAGGAGGAGCTACGGGGATGAACAACATCGCTGGAGAGGTCCCCATGAGGAGTTGGGGGACCAGTCCGGCGGTCACCGATAACGAAGAGGGGACCAATGGGAATGGGAACGGGGTCGGAGAGGTCGCACAGAAGAAGAAGACCAAGAACAAGAAGAAGGGTGATAAGGGAGGCACTGGGTCGAGGGCGAATTCGAACGCCAAAAAGCTGGAGGGTCAGGGATCGGTCGCTGGCGGTGACGGTCCTTCGGAGGCTGGACCTTCGAAGACTGTAGAGCCTGCATCTACTCCTGCGGCTGCAGTATCCGCATTTGCACCTGTATCTGCGCCGATCGCTCCGGTAGCCGAAGCCTCGGCTGATTCGTCCTCGGTGGAAAAGTCGAAAAAGAAGAAGTCCGAAAAGAAGTCCAAGAAGGACTCGTCCGCCCCGACTGAGATCGTCTCATCCGAGGCCGAGCCCAAGAAGGAGAAGAAGTCGCGGAAACACGCTGAGGTGACGCCCGAGGACGCTGCTGCTGCTTCCACAAGCGAGAAGAAAGAGAAGAAGAGCAAAAAGGCCAAGACCGAGGACGGGGAGGGCAAGAAGGAGAAGAAGGAGCGGGATGAGACGCCAGAGGAGAAGGCGGCTAGGAAGGCTGCGAAGAAGGCAAAGAAGGCTGCTGCGTAGACTCCGAACATAGGCGAGACTTTTCGACTTGAACGTTGGCACTCGGATCGTTAGGGATATTCTTGTGTAAACTCGATTTGGGCGTGTCATGTTGTCTGTATTATCATATCCTTTTCGAGATTACAGCTTTCCCCTGGGTGAAATACGACTCTTTTTTGCTACAGTGATGTCATGTGCAGTGTCGACGAGACGTGTACAACCTTGATGGTTTTGTTTTCTCGCGGGTTTCCCTTTGGTTCTACTTTGCTTCGTTTGGATGTTTAGTCCGAGATGATCAACGGCCTAACGGTCGTAGTCGTATTGGTCTTGCTATCCTTTCGGTCCCTCTTGCTGTCCGAGTTCGAGTTCACGTCGGCCTCAATGGCAATATCGGCATAGTCGGTGGCCAGGTAGGTTTCCTCATATTCTGTAGTAACCGGTCCTCGGAAGAACGTCTTGCCGCCGATCCCTGGGAGGAAGTAGTAACCGAGAGAAAAGGCCCATACACCCCCTGCTACGACGCAGGCATAGTTCATGGTAGCTGGGTCGGGGTTGATATCAGCCGGGCTAGATGGCGGAGCAAGTCAAGGGGGTCAGCAGTAGGACCCGGCGAGTTTCCTGATCGGGTCAGCTGGCTCACAAGCAAAAGATGACGCATGCAAAGATCATCCATATACAGGCGATGGCGGCGCAAGGTTTCGAGAATCGTCCGAGGTGCCATGGCCCTGGTTGGAAGTTTTGCTTCGTGAACAGGCGGCAAGCAATAGGGATCCCGTAGGCGACGTAGGGTCCCAAGATGGCCAAGGCGAAGATCGCGCTGAAAAGGGATAGATGCGTTGAATACTGCGCCCGCTCTTCATCTTAAAGTCACAGGGAGACAATATGGCTTACTTGATAGCTGCCTCGTCCGCGAAACCCAAAGCTCCGAGCGGGATACAAAGCGCGATGATCAGCCAGACGGCTATCAACGTCGATGTGTCCGTTAGCGTCCCATTGTGTTTCCGTCTTCACATCTTCAAGCACGAATACTTACTCCTGACGGGAGTCTGTGTCTTCTTGTTGACGTGATATAGGTACTTCGAGAACGGCAGCGCACCATCCCGGGCGAACGCGAAAGCCTGTCTCGAAGCGGGCATGGCCAGACTGGCGGTCATGAAAAAGGTGCCGATGCACATGAACGACCAAATGGCGAGCGATCCGTGCTTGCCGAAAGCTTGGTCGTAAATATAAGCCAGAGGCTGACCGATGGCGCTGTCATTGATTGCAGCCAGATCGGTACTATTGACACAAAGGCGAGGGCGGATTAGCGAAGCAGATCGGGCGATACAATCAGAGAGATACGCACCCCATCGTCAATGATAAGATGATCATAATGAGACCTCCTGCCAGGGTGGCAATTCCGATGGCTAAAACGATAGCCCAAGGAACAGCAGTAGAAGCGTTCGAGGCCTGTCGACATAAGTCAATATCTGTGTTAATTGTTAAAACGAAGGTTCCAGGAGCAGGCTAAGAAGGACAAACCTCCTCTGAAAGCGACACGGCACAATCGAAAGAACCTATCAGAAATATGCAACAGGGGCCTTAGCTCTTGTCATCGAGGTCGAACACCAACCAGACTAACAAATGGTCCAGACCGGCGCCAACATCGACAAGAGGAAAGCCATGCCAGGAGACCATCCGGTAAGGTTGGTAAAATCGCCAAGAGTGTATTCTGCGGTATTCAGTTCTTTTCTCCTTGCGATGGGCAGGCCAATGACGGTAGCCAGGATGAGCAATGCATTGAGAATGACGTTGGGCGTTTGTAAGAAGATCAAGATTTCGCTCCCGTACGCGCACAGCGCTCCTACAGCGAGGAGAATCCCGACATAAAGCCCAAAGGTCTGGCCGGTGGTGGGCGTGAAGGTATTGTCGGCGATAGACACTGCGGCGAACACGATCCCCGCACAAGCCCAGGCCAAGGACGACGTCGCAGCGACGTTGCCCAAGAAGGAGTTGTACCCGACGAACCAAGCTAGGAGGTTGCGGTATTTAGGAGGTCCTAGTCGATGCGTCCAGAAGTACAGGCCGCCCCTGTTTACCACGTCACAATAAAGTCAGCCATACAATGTAGGCGGGCAAGAGCTGGACCAGCTTAGACTCACGACGTCGGCATACTAGATGCCAGTTCGGCCATGCTGAGTCCGATAAAGAGGATAAGACCTCCAGCTAGGAACCAGCCCCAGTTCATGGCGACTGGTCCTCCGTATGGTAACGAATACCTTTTGGCGACAAGACGTATATCAGTCTGATTGTTGAAACCCAGGTCCATGCTATATACGCAGGCTCACCAGATACTATAAGTGGCCGAGCATCGAAATCAACATCAGTTTAGTCTTTGGCTGAATGGAAGGAGGGGGCCATGGGTGCTTACGTGCTAGCCACTGGATCCGATGTGTGTCAAAGAGAGGGAACCAATCAACACCTCTATCTTTGCGGCGATTCCTGTTAGTCGCTTGCAACGCACCCGATGGAACGATCCCTGCAGTACACGTTGAGGTCAGCACCAAAGCAAGATCATGATATTATCGACAAGAAGAAAGTGACAAGTCAAGCTTACCCATGATAGAGAAAGAGAAACCAAAGGTCGCCATAAAAGAGATGTTACGTTTCAATTCCTGAGCGTACCCTAGGCTCTCTAGCCGGGAGACGTCACGAGGGGCCGATGTCGCAGCCATGGTTGTGAAAGGTCGACGAGGGTTTGAGAGGGAATTTTCGTAAAAAGTATCTTCCCGAAGGATGTTGGAGTAAAAGGTTTGAACTAGATCTGGATGATGACCGAAGTCGAAGCGGGGAGTGCGAGGTTGTCAGGTATTGGTGGGTGGTCCAAGTTGAAGTCTGGTATGGAATCTGAATTGGTCGTATGGATAGGTGGCTAGTTATATGGCGAAAAGGCCTCTGTGCATCTGTAATCCTGACATGATACAGGCGAGATTAGGGAGCCGGTATCAAGGTGTCCTGCCTGCATGTGACGGGCGTCGACGTTTGTTACAGCCGAAGCAAGCTGAATGTGACAGAGAGATAGTACAGTCGTAATCTCTCAGACGGAAAGATAACAGTAGGACTCTGGCAGATATGGTCACGCGCCACGGATCCACGGATCATCCATTCGGGTCAATGTGAGGGGGGGAGGGAGGGGAGCCCCGTGCCAATCCCGCGCGCGGTTTGCCTTCGGGTGGATTTCGAAGGATATACTCTACTTGGATCTTCCGACCCTGGGATGTCTCATCAATCACTGATGGCTGATCACCAGTCGTCATCGAGAACAAGGGCGTTTCGACTCGGAACTGAGGCGCCCATGTATCGACAAGTTGAAGACCTCTTCTCCAGATACCTTGACATGGCTGCATCAGTCGTGAAGCTATCAGGAGCCCCAGATCTTGCAGGCGGGAAAACTCCAATCTAGGCGGATAAACCCATATAGCCGGCTCCGGATCTATCTTATCAGCAGATTACACGTTCCGGCGCGACATATGATGGTTCGGATCAACCGGTCATCCCGGTCCCGACTGGCTCAATCGACTCGTGCTGATATAAACAGGGCATGAGCGGATTATGGGATACAGATCGAGTCGAAGTATGAGTTCTTTTCTCTACAGATCTACACACAAACACACTCGCCAGACATAACCCGCCACAATGCCTTCCATCACCACACCAATCGAGAACGACTCGATGTACGTGCAGGGTCAATCGACTGTTAACGCTCGCTGCATGCTGATATTTCAACCTTTTCAGCCGATCTGCACCTCTTAAGAAGCAAGTCACCTCTCACGCCCACCCTCTGGACCCCCTTACATCCGCCGAGATTCTCGCAACTTCCCGCGCAGTAAGGAAATACTCGGACGCTCTCAAGGTCCCCCTCGATAGGCTCTTGTTCAACTCGATCACCCTCCGGGAACCGCCCAAGCTTAGCGTTCTCAAATGGGCGGGAGTTGTGCAGGATCCGGATGTACAGAACGCCGATAGCGAGATCGTGAGACAGGCGGAGGTGAGTTGTGTTCAGGTCGATCCTCTATGGTTGGTGGAGTATGCTCAAACTTTACGCCTAAATCTGTAGGTCCACTGTCTCGACGCAGCCACCGCACGAGCTTTCGAGTGTATCGTCGACCTCCCCTCAAATCTCCCCTCTCATGGGTCTTCAACTTCGGACAGCCAAGCGATCGTATCCACCTGGACTCCTCTGCCGGGGACGACTCAGCCGAGTTTACAGGTAGAAGAGCTCCTGTGGGCCGAGGAGATTTGTAGAGCGGACAAGAAGATCGTTGCAGCTTTGACCGAGGTCAACGTTAAGCCTGAGGACTGTTATGTAGACGGTGAGCGCTACTTTGTCGTTGACCATTGTCCCCAGCGGATGGGGATTGCTCACTCTTCGTGCTGCTCTATAGGATGGTGCATTGGAATCGACGAGCGATTCCCCGGCAGGCGATTGCAACAGTGTTTCCTGTTCACCAAGCTGCGACCGAATGACAACCTTTACGGCCATCCTCTGGACATGATCCCCGTTATCGGTATGTCCAGCCTCTGAATTTCCCTGGGAAGGCCTTTCGACTGACATATATACTCGCTCGTCCAGACTCGTATACGGGAGAATGCCTCGCGATCGATTTCCCCCATATCAATTCTCCCGACGCCCCTTCCTCGCTACAGGCCCACGAAACCGCCGAAAAGCGGGACCGAATCCTCCCTCCCATGCAACCTCACAACTACCTGCCCGAAGAGTTGGCCCAAGACGAACCGGATTTCAAACTTCGAGAAGGGCTGAAACCGATCGATATCACCCAGCCTGAAGGTGTCTCGTTCAAGTTTGAAGGGAGGACTCTTGTCTGGCAGAACTGGAGGGTCCACGTCGGATTCAACTATCGGGAGGGTTTGGTGCTCTCCAACATCACTTATGACGATGGCAAGAATGGCACGAGGCCATTGTTCTACCGATTGTCTGTCGCCGAGATGGTCGTTCCTGTAAGCACCAGAGAGGCGCCGTGGATATCTATACTACAAGTTTGGCGCTGACCCCTGACGAGTACGATAGTACGCCAAGACGACCTTTCCTCATCACCGAAAACATGCCTTCGATACCGGTGAATACGGTGTGGGCGCATTGACAAACTCTCTGGAGCTGGGTTGTGGTAGGTCCTTCCTCCACCGTTCGTCATCAAAGGAGCGGTTCCTCATCCTCGAGGACGCTTGTTACAGACTGCAAGGGTCAGATCGCCTACCTCGACTTCCATGGAGTGAGTTGGGTGGTAACTTCTGGATCTCCGTGCACCAGGAATTTGATCGTTGACATCTGGCACGCTTTCAGAACAACCGAAAGGGTGATGTCGAGACCATTAAGAACGCCGTTTGCATCCAGTAAGCCGTCGCGCCGTCGCAACAGTCGCGCTTGTACACGTGTACTGACGGACCTACCTTCGATAATAGTGAGGAAGATGCTGGTATCTTGCACAAGGTGAGCATCCCATATCTTATCGAATCATAACGAAAGCATCTGACGTCCCTCTCTGTTGTTTCCAGCACACCGACTTTAGGAACAACCGCGCGCACGTAGCGAGGAACCGAAAGCTGATCATCTCGACGATCTGCACCGTGGCCAACTACGAGGTAAGCGCAACATAATAGCACGCATTTCAGTAGCCAATGCAAAATAGCTCACGGCCGATGCTTGTGACTTATAGTACGGGTTCTACTTCTCCTTCGACCTCGCTGGTACCGTCGAGCTCGAAGTTAAGGCTACGGGGATCGTCAACGCCTACGTCTTGGCCGAGAACGAACCTAGGGACGATGCACACGAGGTCATCGTCGCCCCGAGGATCGCCGCTCAGCATCACCAGCATGTAAGTCCCGGTCGATCGGGATCACGTTTAATGTCCAGTCAGCTCATCGACGTCCTGCTTCTCCGCAGCTCTTCTCGCTCCGAGTTGACCCGATGATCGACGGCCTGAACAACCAGATCGTCCAAGTCGACGCCGTCCCCGATTCCGCCCCCGTCGGTAGCTCATCCAACTACTACGGGAACGGGTTCTACAACAAGAAGACGCTCTACAAGACGACCAAGGAGGCCGTGGCGGACTACGATGGACGGTCGGGAAGGATCTGGAGTATCGAAAATCCGAACAAGAAGAATGCTTATAGTGGGAACAATGTTGGGTACAAGATGGGTGAGTCGGGATGTTCAAGTGGGATAGGGAGATTGGACGCTGATACGATGGCTTTTCGCCGGTGCGATCGTAGTGTGCACGCAGATGCCACCCTTGTTGTGTCAAGAAGGCTCGATGGTCTGGAAACGAGCTCCCTGGGCGAGACACAACGTGAGTTTCCCCGTCTCACCTCCCACTCGTCCGAACCGACACTGACATCCCTCTCCTCCTCATTTCACTTCGACCTGGCCACCTCTCACTTTGCAGATGTTCGTAACACCCTACGCCGAGGACCAACTCTACCCCTCCGGAGTACACATCAACCAACACCCGGGAGGTGACGACGATTTCGGTCTAGCCGAATGGGTCGACAAGGACGCGGGGATCGTCAACAAGGATATCGTCATGTGGGCCAGTTTCGGGATGACGCATTTCGCCAGACCGGAAGAGTTCCCCATCATGCCCGTCGAGCATTTGCGCATCCATCTGAAACCGAGCTCCTTCTTCTTGGTAAGTTGGATAGGCGCGGAATGGGATGTTGGTAAAAAATCAGTAGCTGATCTGTGAGCCTGCAGCGCAACCCTGGACTCGACGTGCCCTCGAGCGCGGACGAAAAGTCCAAGAACGCCCATGATGCGTTTACGAACGGTCACGGTAACGGTAACGGCAACGGCAACGGCGCGATGTCATCGTCGTCATCATCATCTTCATCCGCTGGTTCCTCATGTTGTCGCTCGTAACTCGCTCTTATAGACCGAACCCCAACTTTGTACCACCTCGCCCCGGACTCGTCCTTCTTTGTATGGCCAGTTGACCAACCGAATTCGCATAGCCGTTGTTAGTAAAAGTCGATGTGAAACGCCCTTCCAGCTTCCTTGTTGTATGACCGATCAAGATGCAAAGATGACACAGCCTCTGAGCTTCTGAGCTTCTAAGCGAGCTTTCCATGATCAATCAACCCCAAACCGAAACGCCAAACGTAAAAATTGTTGCGTGATGGCCGAAGATGACGCGCGTCATCTCTTGGAATCAGATCCCGTCTCTAGAAGGGCAAGAGGGAGAGGGACGAGGCCCGGTCATCAGTTCGGCAAAGGGCGAGAGCATGCGTCGATCCGGCCGGTGCGGCGGTTGATATCGGTCTTAGCGGCGGATCGAAATCGCTAAGCGAGCAAATTGAGAATCACATACAAATACAAAACAGGTTGCAGGGGCTGACGATCCTGACGATCTACCTTTGCGCATCATCAGCATCCTCAGGCCAGATCGACATCGACATTGACAGTCGACAACATCGACCCTGTCGCAACCCTTTCCCAAAGACAGACGTACAGACATATACACGCCATGTCGTCTGCTGGGATCCCAGTCCAATTGGGCGCTCCCATCAATGTCGACGGGACGGCTCACACTTCTCGATCGAGCAGCGTCGACGACTCTAGCTCTACCCCTACCTTGGCGCCTTCCAGCCCTAAACAATCGACCGGGTCCGGATCGAAACTTCATGACGAGAAGGCGGCGCCGGTGGTGATGTCTGAGAAGCCTCACCAAACGCCCGTCTACCATCGGACCTCTGAGGATGGTGAACACGGAGCTCCTCTCCAGCGACCTGCTCAGCCGAACCGTCAAAGCACCTTTACCAACATGATCAGCCGGGTTACCAGCGGTCTTTCTCAGAACAACCGCGATCGAGAGTACCCGGATGACGAGGTCTCCTCATTCGAACGAGCCATCTCTCGACGAACCGAGCAAGAAAAGGAAGGTTGGTCCCTCGAGGGGGTCATGAAACGTGACGCCGAGAGGGACGCCGCCGAGGGCAAGAACCCTAGACGGTTGGACGTCTCGTGGAAGGACCTCTGCGTCAGGGGAGTCGGAGCGGATGCGGTCTTTGCCGACGACCTGACGACCATGTTCAACCCGATGACCAAACGAAACGACAAGAAACGTAAAGCCGCCCTCGACCCGGACCTCGAGAAGGAGACGAAACCCCAGGCTTCGGAAAAACGACAAAAGGATGCCGAAAAGTCCTTGCCCGACCACGGATCGCAGTTGGGGCCCAACGAAAAGTTCCTCTTGCAAGACTTCACGGGGACGCTCAAATCGGGGGAGATGGCGCTCGTACTCGGTCGACCAGGTGCAGGGTGTACGACGTTTATGAAGGCCCTGACGAACATCCGACAAGGATACGCCGGGGTAGACGGGGACATTCGATACGGAACGATGGATAGCAAAGAGGCGGAAAAGTACAGCTCGCAGATCCAGTTCGTCGCCGAGGACGAGGTCTTTTACCCCGACCTGACCGTCGACCAGACGATCAAGTTTGCGCTCAAGATGCGAACTCCTTCGGACAAGGCTCGACCTCAGGGGGTCTCGCGAGAAGAGTACGAGGCGTCTTACAGGGATACTTTGTTGAAGACGTTTGGGATCGAGCATACCGTCGATACCAAGGTCGGGAACGAGAGCGTGCGGGGTGTTTCCGGCGGAGAGCGAAAGCGAGTCACCTTGGCCGAAGCGCTCGTCAACCGAGCTCCCGTCTACGCCTTTGACCAGCCTACTCGAGGTCTCGACGCCTCGACCGCCTTGGAGTTCACGCAAGCCATGAGGACCATCACCGATTACCAAAAGACCACGACGTTCATCAGCGTCTATCAAGCTGGTAACCAGATCTACGAGCTTTTCGACAAGATCCTCGTCATCGCCGCCGGACGATGCATTTACTGGGGTCCGATGAAGGAGGCCAGGGGTTATTTCGAGGACATGGGTTTCCAAGTCAGCCCAGGGTCCAACTTGTCGGATTTCTTGACGGCCGTCACCGTCGCTACCGAACGAGTCGTCGCCGAGGACAAGAAGGGCAAAGTCCCCAACACCCCGGAAGAGTTTGCCGTCATGTTCAAACAGTCGGACATCAACGCCAGGATGCTCAAGGAGATCGAAGAGCTCAGGGCGGACGAGGAGTTGTTGAAGAGCAGGACCGAGGATCTGAAGGAGAGCGTCGTCATCGAGAAATCGAAGAGGGCCGGGAAGAAGGGTCCTTACACGACGACGCTCGCCACTCAGGTCGCCAGTGCCACTCGTCGACAATACGCCTTGACGTGGAACGACAAGGCTTCGCTCGGGATCAAGCAGGGTGGTATGCTTATCCAGTCTGTCATCTTGGGAAGTCTGTTCTACATGCTGGATCGAACCGTAAGTCTGTGCTACATGGCTTCGAGCCGTTCACAAGGACGACGTAGGCTGACGACGTTTGACACCCCTGCAGACAAACGGACTGTTCGGAAAGGCCGGTGTGCTGTTCTTGACCTTGCTGGTCAACGCGCTGCTCGGTCTCGGAGAAGTCGTCAACAGTTTCAAGGGTCGAACCATCCTGGCCAAACACAAGGCCATGGCGCTCTACCGACCGTCCGCCCTGATCTTTGCCCAGGTCATGGTCGATATCCCGCTCGTCGCTTTGCAGGTCACCATGTTCTTGGTGCCCATCTACTTCATGTCCGGACTACGACGAACGGCCGGAGCCTTCTTCACCCTCTGGATCGTTACCTACGTTACCACGCACTCGCTCTTAGGTTTCTTCAGGATGATCGGGTTCAGTTTCAGTTCCTTCCAGGGCGCTGGAGCTGTGTCTGGTTTGGCTTTGGGTCTCATCATTCTTACGATGGGTTATCTGCTTCCCAATGCCCAATTGCCGTGGTGGTGAGTGTCTTATGTTGGGGGACCAGGTGAGGTCGGAAAAACACTGCTGATAACGGACATTCCGCCTGTTCCCGCTGCTTAGGGTCGGTTGGTTCAAGTACCTCAACCCCCTGTTCTACGCCTTGGAAACTGCATTCATTAACGAATTCAACGGAACGACTATCGACTGCGCCGCCCCCGCTTTGATCCCGTATGGTCAAGGGTACCCGACTACTGGAGACAACATCGTCTGCAACAGTCCCGGTGCGGCGACCGGCGAGACCTCGTTCCCTGGTCGAAGGTACATTGAGGATCAGTACGGATACCGTGTCAGCCACAAGTGGAGGAACTTTGGTCTCATCATCATGTGGTGGTTCGTCTATCTCGTCATCACCTGTCTCGCCGTCGAACGTCTCAAGGCCGCCGGAAGCGTCAAGTCTTTCTTGGTCTTCGCGAGGAGAAAGGTATCCAACAAGGGGAACGACGCAGAGTCTGGCAAGGCTGCTGCTGCTGGGAGCGAGACTGCCCCGGTCCACTCGGATGATGACATCAAGATTGACAAGTCGGAGACTCTGTTCGCCTGGAAAGATCTGTGTTACACGGTACCTGTTCGAGGTGGTCACAGGCAGCTTCTGAACAAGGTCCAAGGCTTCACCAAGCCAGGAGTGAGTGCATCGATCGTGCGACAACATGTTTCTCTCGACATTGCTAACGCCGCGATCGTAGGCGATGCTGGCCTTGATGGGAGCTAGTGGAGCCGGTAAGACGACCCTGCTCGACGTTTTGGGAGCTCGAAAGGACGATGGCAAGATCGAAGGTGATATCACCGTCGATGGACGACCTCCCGGTCCTTCCTTCCAACGTACATGTGGTTATGTCGGTCAGATGGATGTTCACGAGTAAGTCATTTGCAGTGATCCAATATGCGCCAGTAATACCGGACTGACACGCACATCTCCGTTGCAGACCTACTCAGACTATCAGGGAGGCATTCTTGTTCAGCGCTCGTCTCCGTCAACCGAGGGAGACTTCCGACGAGGAGATTGAGAGTTACGTCAACAAGGTCATTGAAATTCTGGAACTCGAAGAATTGGCCGATGCCATCATCGGAGTCCCGGGTGCGGGTCTATCTATCGAACAGAGGTGAGTGGCACGGCTTGTTGGAATGTTGCCGGACACGTCTGACTGACACCGCGACGACAGAAAACGTACTACTATTGGTGTGGAGCTGGTCGCCAAGCCCAAGCTGTTGTTCCTGGACGAGCCGACGAGTGGTTTGGGTGTGTCCACGCTCGTGTCGCCGATCTCCCGGCGAGACTAGAACTGACTGCCACCACTGCAACGTACAGACGGCCAGAGTGCGTACCAGATTCTGCGATTCCTCAAGAAGCTTTCGGCTGCGGGACAAAGTATGCTCGTCACGGTCCACCAGCCTTCCGCCCTCTTGTTCGAGCAATTCGACTCGCTTCTACTTCTCGCCAAGGGAGGACGTACCGTCTACAACGGAGAACTCGGAAAGCACGCTTCGACTATGAAGGAATATTTCGCCAAACAGGTTCGTCATTCCGAATCGTGTGATGTTTATCCGTCGCGGGATCCTGACCCGAACTTGACTCATCAACAGGGTGCCAAGATTGGTGATGAAGAGAATGCCGCTGAAGCGATGATCGACATTGTCTCTGGCGCACGTTCCAAGGGTCACGACTGGGCTCAGGTCTGGCTTGATTCGGAGGAATACCAAACCATCAGCAAGGAGGTCGACAACGTCATCAAGGAGGCCAAGGAGAAGCCTGCTTCGTTCGAGGAGGACGGTCTCTACTACGCCTCGTCTCTCGGCATGCAGACCAGGCTGGTCACCAAGAGGGCTTGGAGCTCGATCATCCGAACCCCCGACTACGTTATGGGTCGTGTCGGGCTCGTCATTGGAACCGGTTTAATCACTGGGATCACCTTTGTTACGGCCGTCCACACCAACGATTACCGTTCAGTCCAGAACCGATTGTTGGCCACTTTCCAAGCCATGTTCGTCGCTCCGGGTCTCTTTAACATTCTCCAGCCGCGAGTCATCGAGGTCAGAACGCTGTACGAAAGCCGAGAGAAGGGCGCCAAGATGTACGGATGGTTCCCCTTCATCTTCAGTGTCATCCTGACAGAGGTACGTTCGTAGACGGACAAGGGTCGAGTTTGCTAAAGCATGCTGACGTATCGTCTTTGACTTGGCCACCACAATCACAGATCCCTTGGCTTCTGATGTCGGAGATCTTGAATTTCGCCGCCTGGTTCCCTCTCGTCTTCTGGACATCTAAGCCCACGGACCCTTACCACGGTGGCTCTTTCTGGTTCCAAGACGTGCTCTACTTCCTGTGGATCGGAGGGTTCGCGCAGTTCGTTGCGATCTGCTCGCCCACCGCCGAGGCCGCGGCTCTGTTCAATTCGATCCCTCTTGGTCTTATGGCGAGTTTCTCAGGAGTCTTGCTGCCGTACCCTCAGATTCCCGCTTGGTGGAGATACTGGATCTATTACCTTAGTGAGCTTTCTCCTCTTCGCTTCGCGGTCATGATCCCAGTCGCTTACCAATCCCCCTCTTTCAGACCCCTGGTCGTACATTCTTGGAGGAAAGATCTTCTTTGTCAACTGGAACGTAGAGATCCGTTGCAAAGATAGCGAATTTAGCGTCCTTCAACCCCCTGCCGGCCAAACTTGCGGAGCGTACCTCTCGGATTTCCTCGCCACCGCCGCTGGATACGTCGACAACCCGGATGCCAACGCCGACTGCCGCTACTGCGGTTACGCGAACGGAAACGAATATCTCCGAACCCTGAACATCAATGACAGTTACATCGGATGGCGAAACATCGGAATCACTGCCTTATGGGTGATGGCCTTCTGGGGTTTCACCGTAGGAGCGATGGCTTGGAGGAGTCGAAAGAACTAGAGAAAGGAACGTTCGACATGATGCGAGCGATAGTCGTGTATCATAACGTGACAATGTATATTACTAGGCCCTATATAGACTCCCATAGACGATTACTGAGACGAGATATAATCATTGCTTGGTCAACTGGCTTGGAGTAGACTTGATCGCATTCTGAATCTCGGCCCTTTCATTTCAAGTCAGAGTGCCCTCCATATTGACAGCGGGATTCTCGCCATCATATTGTATGTGCGTGCATCTTTGGCGTCATGAAATTCGTACAAGTGTCTCTAGAGGCTCTAAATCAGTCCCCATCAGTCTCGATCATCAGATCAAGCATTTCTGCAACTCCGATTCTGACTCCTTGACTACAATCCCTTCTTCTTATCCCCATCCTCCTTGTCTCGCTCCTCCTTCTCCTTGCGGCCCTTTTCCACGTCGCTCGCCTTGACCCCGGCTTTTTCGGCTGCGGCTTCGAGGGCCTTCATCTCCGACGTCTTGTTTTCCTCGACTTCGGCGTTCCTATGAATCAGAAGAAGAATTTGGTTAGCGCGATGATGCCAAGAAGACGTATGGTGTGATGGAGTGACTCACGAATTCGAGATTCGGTTTTCGACTATATTGGAGAGGCGATCACAGGTGGGGTATACGAATCAGCTAATGGCTCCGACCACTATGACGACAATATACTCACTCAGATCGTGCAGAGCCAAGACGGATCGGATCAGACTACTCAGGTAGACGACCAAGGACTGATCGTTCGTCTCGACCCTAAACGCCGTCCTCTTGATCTCGGCCTCTCTCGCACTTCCATCGAGATCGGGCAAGAGGTTGAAAATGTCCTGAAGGTTGTACATGATCTGATGGTTCACCGGCAACTTGCCCTTGCCCACAAGAGCGAGGTAGTCCCTAATCTCGATCAACCGGGAGTGAAGTCCCTTGAGGGAGGCGATCTGAGCAGAGACCCGGTTGGATAGTCCGCCGAATTGGTGTGGAGATTTGATGTCCCGCAAGAGGTGCTCGACACCGATCTCTTCCGCTTCTTCAGCTTCGACGGACGAAGGGATGTGGGCGAATGAGAGCTGCGTCGCCGTGCCGTCCTGTTTGACCAGTGAAATTTGTGGAGCGTCAGTAAACACGTTACTTTCTACTTAGAGGCCTGTTTCTTGACGGGGTTGTTCACAGACTCACATCCTTGATCTCCTCGACAGCGAAATAAGCATCCGTCGGGATCCCTACATCACCTCGTCCTCCCGTCGGTCGCACATCCACAATGACCATGACCTGCGAGTCGGTACAACCACAATTCGGCATTCAGCCTGACTACTCTCATCGGCACGATAACCCTGCCCGACGTCAACTCACCGGCTTGGGCATGAACCTCTTCAACCTCTCGCTAATCTCCAAATCGTTCGACCTCAACTGAGGTCCAGTGTGATAAAACCCGATCGGCCTTTCCTTGGCTACGCGACCATATTGAGAAATGTCACAAACACACCGTCCTCACATCAGCTTACGGTTCTCGTATCCAATGTAAACGAGGTGGATATAAGGATCGAAGGGCTCTGGACATACCGTTGACCTTCCTGAACATCTCCCACATGCTCTCGATATAATCCAGATCCAGGAACCACGTCTTGGGATCCCGGTCGTCCTCTTCGAACGGGACCGCAAAGCTATCGATGGCACGAACAGTATTAGCTGCCGTATCTGCTTAGGCGGGGCTAAAGACAAGTTGAAGCAAGATCGGGCGAATGAGACTGACGAGTTGGCAACGTTGATGGTCTTTCCATCGTTCTGACCGAGGAGGATACCGAGGATCCTCTTTCTTGAAGACGTTGGGACACGGGAGGCGTGGTCAACCACCTGACATATCAAAACCGGACGGATGACAGAACGTCAGAGCTCTATAGAAGTGATAGTAGTGAAGCATCCAGGGTGCCTAGCTTACCGAAAGGAGGACCAGGGGGTGGATCACCCTGCGAAAGTGAGCAAGAAGTAAGTCGCTGTGAACCAGTGCAGCGCATCAGAGCTCTTCTTGACTTACACGTTCGACCCCGCAATCTCGTCGTTGATCTGCGTCACACCAGAACGATCAAGACCTCCCGTATCAACACCATTTCTTCGTCCAGAATGCTCTCAACAGCTTGAGGCGCATCACTTACCTGAGCTGTTGTCATACCACCCATCTTGAACTTAGTAATCTGGCTTTTTGTTTCGTTCGATGTGGGCGTATTCTGGGGATTCGTTAGGTCGGTACCACAAAGTATACAGCTACGGCGTACTAGATGCTAGATGTCAAATGACGGTAAAGACGAGTCGACCCTGCAGATACCCTTTCGATGGTTGAAATGATCAGGTTTGTCAAGGGTGTGCTTGCTTGAGATGCTTGCTCACTCGCTAGGTGTCGTCAGCGTTCTGTGGTTTGGTTTATGAATCCGCGGTGCAAGACCCTGCTAAGATGCTGATGAGGAATTCGTCATACTGTACTTCGTTCGACCCCTTGACCTCCTCGCATTTACAGCTTCAAATAGGCTCTGTAGGCAATAGGCTCTGTTAGTACTTTCGACGAACCACATGAGCAGATCACGTATCTAAAGGGACAGATAGGATCGAGAGATCGAGATCAACAATCTAACCCTACCAAAATGCCAAAACCTGTAAAGATCACGAAGCCCGCTGCTCAAACAGCTCCTGCTGCTACGCAAAAGGAACAACCCATCAGATGGCCGCAACTCCGGCCTAAGAAGGGCCTTACACTCGAGTCTATCCTTGACGACCAGATATACATCATTGACGTGAGTCCTTTCGAGGTTACTATGTATCGTTATGCTCCAGCGTATCTGATTCTGACCTTCGCTCAGTGAATCTCACTATTACTGCGGATGTTCGGCGTAGAACCTGTTTAGCAAGGAAGAATGTGAAGCTTTCGTCAGGCTTGGCAAGACGCTCAAGTTGGAGGACCCAAAACCTCCGGGAAAAGATGAAGCAACGAGGACGAATTGTGAGATGATACTTTGAATCTTTGTATGGCATGGTCGCCCTTTGCTAACTTGGTTCGATCTCGACTTTGCCCTCGTCTCTATGCAGTCCGTTTCCAGACGTACGACACCACCCTCTCCACCACCCTTCAAACCCTCCTCACACCTTACATATCGGGACCATCTTCCCCCTTCTCACACCCAACCCCACCTAAATCTCTCTACCCGAAAATCAGGATGTATCATTACCCCCCATCCACATTTTTCGGGCCGCATTTCGACGAGAGCACCAAGGACCCGGTCACGGGCTTACGATCACGTTGGACGCTCTTGATCTACCTTACCGGCGCAATTAGTGACAACGACGACGATAACGATGATGGCAGTAGTCATGTGGACGGCGGCTCGACGATATTCTGGACCAAAGAACCTAATCGCAAAGGAAAAGGCGGAGAATCCTTGAGCGTGCAATTGAGAGCCGGACGGGCGGTCTTGCATAAACACGGGGATGATTGTCTCTTACACGAAGGAGAGGTCGTGAGGAGTGGGGACAAGTGGATCTTGAGGTCGGATTTGATGTATTGATCGAGAGATACAGTGTGGACAGAAGGGGGAGACTCAGGGTCGCTCGATTGCTTCGCGGGCTCGCCCGTGTGAATCGCGTTTGACTCCAGCGAGCGAGATTATCGAGGTCAACGCAAGAATCAAGTCAATCAGCCCGGTGCAGCATTGCATGAACAGCTGGTCGTTGTCCTCTTCCGTCCAGTGTACTGTGTCATCTACCTGCCCGATCTTGTTCGGCTTGTATTTCAAAGTCTCACGAACACTCTCGTCGTCAACTACAATGACAGAGGATGTGGCGGCCATGCTACCTTGCCCTTTATTGCCGAGACTAGCTGTAATTGTTTGATTGCTGCCTTTCTTTTACATTGCGACTTGATCACCGTCGAAGGCAAACAACCCAGAAGGAGTATCAACTCTTGAAAACATGATGGCGGCATTATATGTTTATTAAGAAGACGGCAATGACCTCGACCGGCCTTTAGACTACTTCCATCGCGCTCGTCATCATCACTACGTCTCTGGCCGGTCCGACCTCGTGTACCCTCAAAATATCTACCACTCCGCTCGACGTGCACTTTGCGTTGATTGCGGCATTCCCAAATTCCCTCTCTTTGGCGTTCGGGCGATCGAGGACGGTCCCGATGAAGCCCTTTCTTGATGCACCTACTAGGTGGGCGAAGGGAGCCAGAGGTGAGCGCGAGCCGAACATCGGGCCAAGCGATTTGAGGAGCAAGAGGTTGTCGGAATGAGTTTTGGCGAACCCAATCCCAGGGTCCAGGATGATATTCCAGCGTTTCACTCCAGCCTCTTCGGCCCTTGCAACCAGGTCCATCAATTCGCTCTTGACACCCTCGACCACCCCACCGAGCCTGGAATAGTCCTTGGACTCAGCTTGTAGCATCCCGACCGAATCGCCTCTCGAGTGCATGAGCACTACCGGGCACCCCAACTCTGCCATCACTTGCAACATGCCTTCTTCCCTTCCACCCCTGACGTCATTTACGCAACTGGCACCGGCCTCAACTGCACGTGCCGCCACTTCTGGGCGGAACGTATCCACCGAGATTGGCACTGTCAGGCCTTCTAACCGGATGGCCTGAATGACGGGCACCACGCGAGCCAGCTCTTCCTCAACTGTCACGTCCGTATCTTTGACGCCAGGTCGGGTGGACATGCCTCCGATGTCTAGGATATCTGCTCCGGCGGCTATAAGCGATTTGGCCAGCTCAAGCACATGTGCCAGCCAAACTTGTTCCCTCGCCTCGTCCGTCATCCCATCCTCGGCTTCTTCATCTTCATCTTCGGCCCTGATCCGGTTGCCTCCTACTCTGGCGGCAGAACCATCCGAGAACGAATCTGGGGTGACATTCAGAATCCCCATGATTAACGGCTTGTGCGGTTGACACTGTAGTGGCTCGCTAGATCGGGGGAATGGAATGATCGGTTGCAAGGCAGGAGGCTGGGTCGGATCTTCTAACAGCCTCAAGAGCTCGTGCACGCTCTTTCCGTATGTCGGATGAACCAGTGAAGGATCCAGGCTACCAGATGGAGACCGAACGTTTGCTCAGCATTCTATCGTTTCTGACGCGATCCGCGGGATTCGTCTAGACTCACTCTACCAACGGACTCAAGACAAACTCCCTCTCCCCAACGGCCCAGTGAGGAACTTCCAACCATCCAGCCCCTTTCACCCCCCACCTCCCCTCTTGGTCCCCCTTTTCGCCGATCTTGATCGTCTCACGCCCGTAGAACGTCAGGTCGAGATCGATCAGCCGCGGGCCGTTGACGAGCGTCTTCACCCGCCCTAGGCGGTTTTCGATGCGTTTCAGATGGAGCAGGAGCGAGAGCGGGGCGAGGTTCGTCTCGATCTGGAAAGGCGGCATTGCCATAAAATATCCCATAGAAATCAGTGGAGGTGTAAGAGCATAGAGAAAAAAGCTGGAAACTGACCTCGATTACTCCGTTGATGAACTCTCCCTGATCGAGCACGTACATCGGCCGACTCTCGTACAGCCTGCTCGTCCGTCTCACCCGTACGTACGCCTCACCAGCCTCGTTCTCATCCTCATTCACATCGCCGGGCTCTTCCCGCGAGATCCGTTCCACCTCGCTCGCCTCCGCTCGAAGTTCCCGCACACGTGGAAGTTGGAGCAGGGCAGCGTTAATGTTCTCGATCCGATCGCCCAGATTCGTCCCGATCGCTATGTATGCGATGATTCCCTCCTTGCTAGACGGGGCTTGTGCAGTGCTATGCTCTTTCTTCGTCGTTGTACCACACGATCCATCGTGATCATGCCCACAGTCCGAACTCGGAGTCGCAGAAGGCAAGACCTCCCGCATAGCCGGAATGAGAGGTTGTGGTTCAGGTTCGGGAATCCCCGTCTTCTCCAGCGAATCGCCTTTATCGTTGGCTTCGTCGTAATCCCTCAGAGTCCGCTTCATCTCGATACTAGGACATTTCGCAAACGCGATCGCAGCGGGTTTCCTGATCTGGATTTGTAGTGGAACGCCCCTCCTCTTCGAGTACTCCACATTCACGTCCCCTCGCGCGGCATCTCTGCGCGTAGATGCGGTTGTCGTATTCGTGCCCATGCTAGCGGGCTCAGCAGAATAAGGGAGAGCAGGAGAAATGGGAATTCGGAGGAGGAGATGGTGCATCAGGTTATGAGCGAGAGATTCTAGCGTCTTGAACGATGTTGCGAGGAGGTACTGCGAGCCGATACCATACGTCGAAGCGGGATCGGGACAGGAACATGATCGGTATGCGGAGCAGCGTGTCAGATGATAGTAAGTGTTTCATTCTCTCGAACTATATATACTTACCTCGTGTGCCGTCCGTCCAAAGGTCTTGTAATCGAATCCCAGCCCGATTTCGGCCTTGTTCTCGTTGCGGCCGAGCGCCAACAAGTCCAGCTCGACATCCAGTTCCAATCGTTGTTTCTCCAACCTCTCGTGCGGGTTCAGCCCGACGATCGTGTCCGCTCGAACACCGTGGATCTTCAGATTCCAGACCCTTGTAGAGAGACTTGTATGGTTGGGTGGAGTATTCGTGTCCGATATCGACGATGAGGGGTAGAGCAGATCGACGCTCCCAAATACGCTCACGCTCTCTGCAAACAACAATGCTCGTTTCCTCTCTATCCTCACATCGACCCTGTGCAAGCTTGAAGGATATTCCTCTGCTACGTGCTGTACTGCCACCTGGAGTAGATCTTCCAAAGATCTGACGTCGACCTCTTGCCCACTCCCGGCCTCGGTAAGGCGTTTAGACAGAGATTTCCCTAAAGCCGAGTAGTTGACGCTCTTTCCCAATCCTAGCGTATCCCAATCATCGACCACTCCATCTTTATCCGCCGGAGATGGTTCAAGGCAATGAGGGAGGAGGTGACAGGTGACGGTAACAAGGACCTGGCATGGTTGGTTGGGCAAGGAGAATGCTGAGAGACCTATTCCTGCGGGGAGGGTGATGAGGAGGTCGGTGATGGTGATCGACGACGAAGAGGCATCCGGTGCTTGGTCCGGCATGTTGAACCTGGACTCGGAAAATATCGATCAAATGGTACTGGGTATGATAGAGAGGAGTGAGCAGCTGAGCTATATAGCTATAGATCCTATAGATGTACTCGTACTGTTGTATATACATGAGTAGCAAAGTCCTCGACCTTGACTCGTCATCTCGTTTAGCGCGGTACAAAAAAGTTGGGAAGGGAGTTCCCACTTCATCTATCATCTCTATCAGCTATCATCTCTAGATCTCTATCAGACATACGAGACTCGCCAATATCCTCTGCTCACGCCTGCATCTTCAAGCCTTCTAGTATTGCTGCAGATTCTATCTGGAGATGTCCTCCTCGACCCCGCCGCTCCCGGCCAAACGAGCCCGCTTCTCACCTCCCGACGTGCCCTCGCTCATCTCATCGCTTCAAAACCTCCAAGCAAGAGCCGGCAAGAAGCTCGTCACCTCGAACATCCACATCTATGCGAAAGGAGGTGCTTTCGTTCAGCCGGAGGATCAGGCCGGGGCCTCTTCCTCTGCGAAACAGGCCGAAAGCCTCCCACAGGATACGAAAGATGCAGTCTCCCCTGACCCAACCGAGACCGAGACTGAGCAGGAGAGGCAGGAGGAGACATATCAACCAGACCCATCAAAGCTCTACATAACATCTTGGAAGATGTCCGAACATCACTATCGACGGGCAGATTGTCCCTTCCCGACCCTGGCGAGAGGGTTGTTCACAGCGAACGAGAGCTATGAATACGATGGTTCTTTAGCGGGAGATGCACATGAGCCGAGGATGAGCGGGAGGATGGGAGAGAGGATCGTTGGGAGAGGATATGACAAATTCTTCAATGTGGGAGAGGTGGATTGGACCAAGGTGAGCTGTCGTTTCGAAAACTTTGGCAATCGAGCGTTTCGGACTTGGAATCAGGTGTCGATGCATTTGGCTGATATGTTGTCTGCCTGTAATATGACAATCTCGGTCACGATACCCTCCATCACGATATAATATGATACATCGTTACCCAACATCCTTCTTACAATCCTCTCTCGATTTATCTTGTAGTGGGAAGCCCTCCAAACCCATACCGCCCCACCATACCACCTGACCTACAAATCCAACGGATGTCTGATCCTTATCTCGGCGCTGAACGAGCGCGAATTGATGGTCGCCTCGAAACATTCTTTGGGGACGAGCGTGGTCCCCAAAATGGCACCGATGGAGGAGAAGGAAAAGGTGGTGGAGCAGAAGAAGGAGGTACCGGGAGCAGAGGGATGGAAGCAGGAAAAGGAGAAGGAGAAAGAGGTTGTGGATCAGCTCGAGGCTGTCAAGTTGAACGAGACGGCGAACCAAGCAAAAAAGGAGGAGGCTAGCGGCGCCGTCAAAGAGGAGCTGGGCACAACGGGAGACGACGAAAAGGATTCAAAGAGTTTGTCGAAAAACGCCAAGAAGAAACAGGCCAAAGACCGTTTCGCCGCACAACAAAAGGCAGAAAAAGCAGCCCGAGCAGCAACTGATGGCGGGAAAGATCAAAGCGCAGCAACAGAGGAGGACGAGACGCAAAAGATGGACGGACCGGGTCATGCGGCTATGGGGAGGAAGTGGCTGAAAATCCATCTAGATCGGGTGGGCAAGGAGGAGAAGGATTTAGCAGAGGTATTGTGGCGGGATGGGGTCTCGTGCATCTTGGAGGTGAGTTCGATATTGGGTCATAGTCGTGCCAACGCTACAGACCACAGGTTTGCTAAACCCGTATCGATCTTCTATAGCTCTGCGACGACTCCTTCGAGGAACACGTCCTCGCCACCCCCGAACACCTCACTGGTCTACACCTACACGGGATGAACAGGAATACACCTCACTTTTCCACCTTGCCGCCCGATCAGGTAGCCGACTTTGCCAAAACGTGGGGGTTCATTCCGACAGCTTCGGTCACGCTGGATTCGATACGTCAAGTCAGAGACTATGCTGACGAAGTAGCCCGGGAGGGGAAATGGAAGGGTGACCCAATCGAAGGGTTCGTCGTCAGGTCGACCGTGGCCGATGTCGCTGCGGGACCCTCCAAGCCTAGTACCGGAACCAAGCCCTCGGCGGAGGGACAAGGTGAACCTCCTTACCCTCCCGGCAGTCCTTTCTTCTTCAAGATCAAGTTCGACGAACCGTACATGATGTACCGTCAGTGGCGGGAAATCACCAAGACGCTCTTACCCTTGCGTAAACCGAAATGCGCCGGCCGAAAGAACCGGAACGCGGAACCGTGGACGAGACTCGGGAGTTCTTTGCGTCGACCAGAAAGCCGGGTCTACGCCGAGTGGGTGGCGAGGAAGATGATCGACCAGCCCGAGTTCTTCGACCATTTCCATACGGGGATCGTCAAGGTCAGAGAAGCGTTCCTAGTTTGGACGGAAACAGAGGGAGCGGACGAGTGGAAGGCAGCGAGGGAGAGTTCAGATAAACCTAAACCTTGGTCGGAGAAGAAGTTTCTGATTGCTCCGATCGCTATTCCGGGAATGGGCAAGACCGTACTAGGGGTGGCTTTGAAGAAGCTTTTGCCGGGGATGGTACATGTGCAGAGCGACGATGTCAAGACGAAGAAGACGGGACCGGCTTTTCTGAAGAACGTACAACAGGCGCTCAAAGAAAATGCCATCGTCTTTGCCGACCGGTAAGTCGTGCATCCAGAATCATACCCCAGAATCTCACTCGTCCACTCAACTAACCCGCTTATTCTCTCTCTCTCGATTTGGATACTCCAGAAACAACCACCTTCCGCAGCACCATGAAGAGATTTCCAACCTCGTGGACACCCCCGACCTGTCTGGGTACAACATCACCCGTATAGCCCTGGTATACGACGTCGACCGTCACCCGCCGAACAAGGTCCTCAGGCTGGCTTCCGAACGAGTCCTAGGGAGGGGGGAGAACCATCAATCGCTCCGACCGGATCTTGACGATCGCATGAGGCACGAGAATATCGTCAAGAGGTTCCAAGGGGAGTTTGTACCCCCTGAAGGAGGGTTGTTTGAGGAGGAGATAAGATTGAGCGTGGTCGGTTCATTGGAGGACAACTTGAAGGTGGCGGTAGAGGGATTGTTCCCGATCTTGGGCAGAGGAAAGGAGGGCATGCCGAGCGACAAGGCGTTGAAGGAGGCCCTGGATAGTGCGTTGGGGTACAAGGTGGGGATCGTGAAGCCGCTCGCTGGAGAACCTTCGAAGCCGGTCAGGTATTACGCGTTAAGCGTCGAGTTCGAGCTGGAGGACATGGCCAGGTCAGCTTTGACCGCGGGATCTTTGTCGGAATCAAGGACAGACGAGCAGACGATGGAAGAGCTCGGATTGGAGAAACGCCGTCAAGGTCTGGCCTTCCTGGATAGACTGGTCGATACCGGCCGGATCATCTCTAAACCGCACGTGACGATCGTCCACGAAAAGACGGTCGCCGACGAGATCGCTACTAAGGAGGCCGAGTTTCATTCGCGGTCCGACCTAATGAGCCGGGAACATGGACCGGCGGAGAGCATGTGGAAGGCGTGTGTAGCCCTGGAGAAGCTGCCGACTCCGACCCTGTTCGATTTCGATGCAACGGGATTGTGTTGGAACGACCGGGTCATGACGCTGATCGTCGGCAACTTGAGACCTCATCAACCTGCAGACAAATCCGAGACGCTGGGTCGTACACAGGCAGACGCCGATGCCGCTTCCCGGGTCGAGGAAGCGTTGTGCAAGACGCTGGTCAACGTCTTGCACGTGACTGTAGGCACGGGGGACGAGACGATCCCACCTTACGAAGCGAGAGGGCTGGTGGAAGCATGGAGGGCGGGAACCGAAGTGATGGAGGCTGGCGGAAGAGTGAGATATATAGACCTGGTTGGAACGAGCACGTTGGGCAGGGTTGTAGGTATGAACTAGGCATCATAGGGCGATATATGAAACGCGGTTACGTAAACATGTCTGAAGGTGGAGGCAGGGCGACGTTTATTTCAACTTGGGAATTTCAGCTCCGTGTTACAAGGTTGCAACCTTCGAAAGGTTGGTTGGTTGCATGGGTTGAGCATCTGCCATGTGCTATAGCTTGTGCCACATCGATAGTCCAATCTCCATCCGGACAACAACCCCGATCTAGTCTTGATCTCATAATGTCTAGCGATCCGACGCTCAAAACAGCGTGAGCTCGCGGAGATCTGGAATACACGTATAAGAATCACTCGACTGACCTGACCGTTGTGCACCTACAGATTCCGAGCATCACCTCGATCGCTGCATCCAACGTATACTGGAGGTCCGGTAGCAATCACCAGGGATGGCAAGTATATCATCACGACGTTAGGGGACGAGCAGGAAGAGTTGTTGGTATCCGAGGTAGATGGTGGGAGGGGTCTCGCAAGGATCAAGGGGGTGAGTCGAAGATGATACGCATTGCAGCGCACAACGTACGCATCGCTCAACCTCCCCTATCTAGGACGGCACCCCGTTAACGGCCATCGCGCTGTCATATCACACCTATCCACCTACGCTCATCACCGCACACCAATCGCTCTCTGTGCGGTATTACCCTCTCGACATCCCCGAACTCACTTCTGATCAAGCTTCAGGCTCTTCTTCGAACAAAGTCTTCAAATTATCGAACGCAACATCACCCGCTACGCTGAAGAACGGCAAACTGAAACTCCCCTTCCTCTCCTATAACCGACAATTGACCAAGAACCAGACCCATCAATCCCCCATAATCAGCTTATCCGTCTCCCCGCCTCTTCCCACTTCTTCCCACTCGATAGACGATAACGGAAATGAGACGGAGAATACCCTGTTTGCCACCGGATCCGCTGATGGAGTGGTGAAAGTCTGGGATACCAAGGGAGGTTTCGTCACGCACGTCTTCAAGGGGCACGGAGGGGGTGTTTCTGCCGTCGGATGGAGGTTCCTCGAGCCTCTTTTGAGCGGGACGTTGTCGGCCGACCTGAACGGCAGGGAGAATGGGAACGGGTACATGAACCTCAACGTCAGGTCTCAAACTGCAGGATCGGATCAAGAGGGAAAGATCATGCAGCTCATAACCGGGTCCGTCGATGCCCGAGTGAGGATCTTCAACCTCCTCGACCCTGCCCACCGATCATCATCCTCCGGGGGTGGGAAACCGGAATACATCCTCGAGGGACATGTTAGCGTCGTCCGGGGGATAAGTATCAACGAGACGTTTGATCACTCGGACGAACAGGAGGAAGAGAAGGGCAGGTGGATGGTTACCGCGGGGAGGGATCGGGTGGTCCTGCTTTGGGATTTCGGGAGCAGGTTGGGTTCTCCTGAAGAAGCGAACAATGGGGGGAAATCAAAGTCCAAGAAGAACAAGGGCAGCGTTACGAGTGCGCCAAGGACGGTACAGACGACTTTGACGAACGAGACGATCGAGTCTGTCGGGTTTGTCGATCCCCGGTCACTATCGGTTGCCGAGACGAACAGCCAGAGAAGAGGTCTGGTAGCGTTTACTGGAGGAGAAAAGGGAACGGTCAGGATATGGGACGTTTTGCGCGGGAAAGAGGTTGGCAAGATGGATGGGCCCGGCGGAAGGGGAGGGGATGATGAGGATGAAGAGGAGGAAGAAGAGGATGATGAAGATGCCGAAGAGAGGGGGATCAGGGAGGTCCTGTGAGTTCTGCGTCACTAATCGACAGAGTTGATGATATGAAATGTCGTACGTGCTAACGCTCTTTGATGACTGAGCAGATATAGCAGGGAAAGCAAGCGGATCGTCTCGGTCCACCACGATCAGAATATCATCTTCACTTCCCTCGAGACCAAACGGATCACCCGGCAGATCATCGGTTTCAACGACGAGATCATCGACAGCGTGTACCTCTCGCACCTGCAAACCGATCGAACGGACAGTCATATTGCGTTGGCCACCAACTCGTCCCTCATCCGTGTTTACGATGTTGAAACGATGGACGCTAGGTTGATCCCCGGTCATGCGGATATCGTACTCTGCTTGGACGTCAGTGCGGACGGACGTTGGTTGGTCTCTGGGTCCAAGGACAACACCGTCCGGGTCTGGGCGAAAGACGCAGCGAGCGGATGGCGGTGTATCGCCATTGCCGAAGGGCATGCCGAATCCATCGGTGCCGTCGCTATGGCCAGAAAGACCTCGCTGCATCAAGGAAAATTCATGTTCTCGGCGTCGCAGGACAAGACGGTCAAGATGTGGGACCTCTCTGTCCTTAGCACGGACCCTGCAGAATATCCTAGAGAGCCCGTCAAGCTGAAGAGTCTGATGACCATGAAGATCCACGAGAAGGATATCAACGGGCTCGACGTTTCGCCCAACGATGGATACCTCGTGTCGGGATCGCAAGACAAGTCGATCAAGGTCTTTTCTATCGAGTTCACGGAGAGCAAGAGAAAGTCGGGTGCGGCTAGCAATGAAGGAGGCTTCAGTGGGGCTTCCGGTGCCATTCGGTTGGTCGGGACGTGTCAAGGACATCGACGAGGGGTCTGGGCCGTCAAGTTTAGTCCGACCGACAAGGTTATTGCTAGTTGTGGTGGTGACAAGGTGGCGCGAATCTGGTCGCTAGACGATTTTACTTGTGTCAAGGTGAGAAAAGGCATCTAATTTGCGTTGGTAGCTATTGTCACTGACCCCTCTCGACACTCGCTGACAGACGTTGGAAGGTCATACGAATTCCGTACTGCGAGTCGACTTTATGACGCAAGGACGTCAGCTCGTATCAACGGGATCCGACGGTTTAGTCAAGATTTGGAACCTTCGGGACGAGGAGTGTGTCCGAACACTGGATGGACATGTCGACAAGGTCAGTACCCCTCGCCGTGACCAAGTTGCAGTAATTTACTGACCAACGTGATAATCGCCTACGGAACAGGTCTGGACGCTCGCGATCTCACAGGACCAGCGCACAATCATGTCTGGTGGAGCCGATAGCATCTTGAACCTGTGGGAAGACTGCACCGCCGAGGTCGCGCAGGAGGAGATCAAGAAACGAGAAGACGAGGTTGCCATGTGAGTATCTGGCGAGGCTGTAATCCCACATCAAGCGCTAATTCAATCGCGCCGTTGCAGAGAGCAAAATTACTCGTCATACCTCGCCTTGAACGACTACAAGCGTGCGATTCAGCTCGCACTTGCCATGGCTCAGCCTAGGCGGTTATTGAACCTCTTCGAAAAAGTACATAACAGCCGGCCCAGACCGACGGACGATTTGACGAAAGGCGACAAGGCTGCGGACTTTACCAGTCTTACAGGTTTGGCGGCGGTGGATGAGGTCCTGAGAATCCTGTCACCAAAAGACCTCGTCCGACTGCTCAAATACGTGCGAGACTGGAATTCGCGGGTTCACACGAGCGTTGCCGCTCAGAGGGTCCTTGGTGCCATCTTGCGCGGTCGCAAGGGCGAAGAGCTGCGAGAATGTTTCGAAAAGGCACGTCGGTTTCTTGGCAAGGCGTCCGCAGATGAAGAGGACGAACCCGAAGACGAGGAAGCGGCTGTTGCTCTTGAAACACAGAAGAAGCGCAAGCCTACTCGGGCAGAAGAGGAACTGATATCATTACAGGACTGGCTGGACGGGATCGTGCCGTACACTGAACGGCATCTGCAGAGGCTCGACCGCGCGCTGGTTGACACCTTCATGCTGGACTATGTGTTGGGCGAGATGGACGGTGGTATTCTGGACGGTATCGATGAGATAGATGAAGGAGAACTCGATGGTAAAGATGGAATGGAGGGATTGCTTGACGCAATGATGAATGAGCTAGAGCCCGACGGTAGCGCCAGCGTAGACGGCATGGAGATAGAGTGATATCGGTTTCTATGTGCTGCGAACATTTTCGTTGTATCGTCAAATAGACGTCCGGTAGTGAAGGTATTATACATTTAGGTCTAGCATGCATGCTCTTGTTCAAGCGATGTCTGTCCGGTTGATCCCCTCCAGAATCGATGCAATCTCCCTCTTTGTATTGTGGCCTTTATCTGACAAGTACTCTCCTCCTGCCCGACTATGTCGTTCGATATCTTGGGTGGATACCGTTTCTTCACCGTTGGCAATCACCCAATCGGCTGCGCTGGAAAGTCTCGCTCTAGCCAGACTCTTTTCGGATTGACTATCGCTGATCGCTCCAGAATCTTCATCGTCGGTGTCTTGTGATGGCAAAGGCAGTACGAGCCGGTATCTATTCAGCCCAAGATGAATGATCGGTTCGGGCTTGAGTGTGCGAAAGTCATGTATACGGCAGACATACGCATCCTTCCCGTTGAGGTAGAACCGGTGTAGCCTCTTTTCTCTGAAGAACCCCAGAGAACCGTACAGGGTTAGGGAGGCCAAATTATCATATTCTGTTTCCAGAATGACCTGTCCATCGAAGTAAAGCGTTAGACAATCAGATTGTAAACTCTCGCAACTCCACTTGCCTCTTGAGCATCTTGCTCTCGCATGGCTTCGATGGTCATCTCGACCAGTTTCCGTGCTGTAAAGATAAATCAAATCAGTATTTTGAAATCCTCCGTCCCAGACCTGCCAAAACTGACCTATCCCTTTCCGACGCCAAGATCGCTCTACGCTTAGCATGGCTATATAGCCACGACTCCGTTTGCCTTTGTGCGATTCTTGTTTACTTATCACACAAGCTATTGGTTGCTGCAGAGATGAGATCGCTCCAGCATCTTCTTGAGCAGGATATGCCTGTGCTTAGAAGCACATTCAGACAGGAACAACGGCAGACATCTGGATACTTCTTACCAAGAAGCAAAGATGCGGCCTGGGGAACGAGCGGGTCTCAGTAATCAGAGACTAAAGCTAGGCCATGCCACCGGAAGCTTACCAGGTCTCGAGGAAGTAACGGAATGTATAAACTTTGCTTGATATCACATGAGCGTGACGATCAGAAGAATCCCACTGCATGAATCGACATACTATTATAGCTAATACGGTACAGATCTAGTGATCAGCGTAAGGAGAAATCCTCGTTCAGCCCAGCTGTGACTTACGGTTCGCTAAGTTCCTGATCGACCAGCGTCATCATGGCTTCCAGATCTCGCTCTTCTCCTACATATTGCTCGTAGCGAACATCCATGACGTTTGTACCGCTAACAGGCTCCTCTTAAACTCCCAGTCTCGAGATCGAACTTTCCACCATTAGCAGTTGCCTCGCTTGATCGTTGATCACAATTGCTGATCGTCATAGCTAGAAGACTGAGTTTGCTCGGGGATCGTGAAACAACGAATATGCATTTTGCGAATTTCAATTGTTTCTCTTGTTGAACCCGGTGCTTACAGCAACAATTACTTGGTTGCAGGGGCATCACTGTTCCAGCTGATCATTCTCTACTCGGGCGACCAGTTGGAAATGTACTTCTCTTAGCTCCACCACATATGCACAAACAAGCTCGAATATCAGTCAAGAGCTCCAACTAGGTCAAGCACCTTGACTATGATGTATTTGCATGGCTACGGTATTCTACGGCCTTGTAGCATTCTGTGAAAACACCGTACAATCAAATCAGGCGTAGTCATCTGCAAGGTACAGGGCGTAAATTGAAATTAGCTGCTTTGCCGAGACACGACAACGCAGGCAGACGCCTTACCATCGATCTCCTGTCCATTATCGTCCACATCCTCACTTCCATCACTCCCATTATCGCTGTGCATGTATTCGTCATCCTCTTCCCCCTCCGCATCCATATACCCACCGATACCCGACGCATCATCGAAACCGACGTCATCCTCTCCTTCGGCATCCTCTTCTCCTTCAGCGTCAGGAGCTTGCGGGGTCTGAGATGGCGCATATGGTCGAGGTACCCCTTTCGATCCCGCCGAAAGGGGTAGACTTGGTGTAAGGGGCGAGTCCGGGATGGTCGCAGATTGCGTGAGAGGATGTGGATTGTCTGTAAGAGACGAATCAGTCCGTCAGATTCTCTTGATCGATACATGGTAAAAATGCCTCGGGCCGTGATCGGTGACTGACTAGTATTATTCTTCGTCTTCTTAAGGTTGCCAGGCTTGGTGGCTGGTGAATTTGCCTGGAAGAACATACAGTGATCAGGACAATGGATTTCATGCTAAACCGTCAGTGCGGAACTTACCCTTTTGCCGTTAGCGTTCTTTGGCGCTGCAAATCGACATCGGAGCTATCAGAATCGTGAACATCAATGTACCAAAGATCATTTCTAGACTCACGCCGTCCAGGACCTCTGCCCGTCTTCGGCGGCGCTGCCGAGGCTGATGCCGTCGAAAGCGTCGTAGGACCGCTCGCATCGCTGCCGGCGTCAGACTCATTGTCCAGGTATAGAGAGGCGGATCGTTCAGACCCCATGCTATCCACAACCGCAGTGTCAGCGATCTTGGTAGTATCAACTCTTTCTCCCCCTCATCTGGCTTACCGAGATTTCCCATTCCCCGTAGCTGTTGCTCGGGCTGTCCGACGTGAACCTCCAGCGAGCCCCAAGCAGCCCGCTAGATGCGGAGCATAACGGTTCGAAGCGATCTGGCGCCCACAGTAAAGGCACGGTAATAACACCACGCCGTTCTTGACCTGACCACCTGATCCTGATCCGTCTCCTCCAAATTGTGGTGTTGACGATCTAGACTTGTTCCCGTTCGAGTGGTGTGTTGGAGGTGCCAGCGTCGTTGCTGAAGGAGGAGGTAGTTGTGCTTTGCCTCGACAGCTGTATGTTCATGAGAAAGGAGCCAGAATCCATTGTTAGTCAAACACAGGATCTCTCTCAACCCGATCACAGGGCTCGACCTACTGAGTTCCACACCGGTGACAAGGCGTCCGGCAGAGTTTGACCTCGCGATGACCTGCGATCGCGATCGAAGTAGCGAGATCCGCGACCATGGCCTCCAGAAGGCTCTCGCTCTACATAGACGAATACTAGCTTCAGCTCTCTCTCTCTTGCTCCGCTTTGAAACCCAGGATCGACCAACCAGCTCTGCTATTTGCCTTTCCTGTTCGCTAGGCATGATGTTGTTGGTTGCGACAGTTGTTCCCCTTTGAAAGCCAGATCCTCTAACAACGATGTGTATGAAGGGGGTATGCCTATGTCCGAAATAGTCCAGTTGGGTGTGTATTATGATTCCTGGATGTATATTCTGTCCTGTATGACGAGTTCTTAAGTGACCCTTGTACTTCTTGGACCACCATCCAGGCTGCTCCTGACTATCTTGGCCCATCGCTTGATCGCTCATCGATTCGGTCTGATCCTCCAAGATATCGACCTCGAAATCGCGGGGTCCCCGCAGATCTCCCCGGGAGGAAACCTTGACCTCGAGCTATCAGGTCGAACGACCAAGCGCCAGGTCTAGAATTTTGTTTGCAAACAACGACATCATATGCACAAATTTCTGGCTAAGTAGTACAATTTGAGAGATGAGAGGATCGCCCAGGTGACCATGGTGAGAGTAAGAACCCTTTTTTGCGGCGAGCAACAACTCTAACGTCGATGTAGAAAGATACATACAGATACACTGTACAAGTTACAAAAAAGGAGAAGGTGAGAGATGATTAATATGCCAAACAGGCCCCCTGGAGAGATCGACCCAAGAGATCGTAAGATTCGAATCGTCTTTTTTCGCTGTTGCCCAAAGCATCCATTATTGGGTGTCGTAACCGTAAACTTCCGTCGAATGTCGTGCGGTAATTGAGACTGTATGAAAGCGGAGATCATGAGCTTCTCATTGATTTCGGAAGGGCAAGCAGTCTCTGACGACTCACGTCTTTTGCCTTCGATCAAAGATGACCCGAACCATAGCACCTTTGGAAGATGGCCAACAATTCGGGTTCGGCGCGGACCCAAGGGAACTCCCAGAATCCGAGCTTTTCGTTGTGCAACAGCTCGCCGAATGCCATGGTCAGACCCCAAGGGTGAGGGCGCTGAGCCAACACCCTCTCGAGCAAGACCCGGGTGATACGTTCGGGCACGTCGCCGTTCTTCGGAGCAGTGGAGAATAGGTGGAGAATGTAGAGCATGAAGAAGAGGGTATGGGCATTGGGGTATCGGAGTTGGTTGACAATCGAATTGATAAAGTGATGTTGACCTGGTAGAGAGCAGCAGCATGATTGTCAGCTTGTTGGAAACTCGACTTCGATTGTTCTGCAAACTCACCTTCGCCATCTAGGCTAGCAATCAGGCTGGTCAACAACCCAACCTCGGGTCCTTGAGGATCAAAGGTGACTCGTCCGTTCCTCTCGATCGAGCGATTCACGGCGGACGAACCCAAGTACAAGCTGAGCGAGTACAATAGGGTCAAGTTGTACTTGACGCCTGGCGACCCGTCGGACTCGGCGACGGAGATGGCGATGCGGTTCCTGAGCTCGGGAACGAGAGCTGCCGGATTAGGAGTCTCGTCGGCAATGTACCGGTCGACGGCCTGTCGAATCTGAGCATCCTCGAGGAAGCGCACATAGTCGGTGCGAATGTCAGGGACCTGATTGAACTCGGGCAGAGGTGGGACCTCTGATAAGCTGTTGACATCGAGACGCAACGTGACTCCGCGGGGGAAAGCACAGAGGACGACGTTACGAAGCTGGATGCAATGAGCGGGGATGGCGGCGCAGAGCCCGATATAGTGCTCGACCAGGAATTCGGGGAAGTCTTTGAGAATGACCAAGAGGATTCGCAAGGCACCCTTGAAGAGGATGCGAGATGCCTGATGGAAGCTGGCCGCTTCGAGGAAGGGGTTAAGGAACTTGAAAAGCGCCATCAGGACCCGGTAGAAATCGGTCCAGCCCTGTGATTGAGGGTTAATCAGCGGATGAACTTGCCAGGGGTTGTTGGCGAACGCTTACCTCTTTGTTGTTGCCCTGGAGGAGACGGGGCATGAAGTGTCGATGCGAGATGAGGCTGATCCAGCTGTACGAGAATGCCGGAGCAATCGTAGGTTGGATACTTCCCAAATGGTTCCTATAACAGATTCGAGGCGCTTCAGCGATGGCCGACGTCTCTGATCGATACACTAAAACTCACGCAAAGGTTTGCAGACATCCATAGTACGCCTCGGGGAACGAGGACTGGATGATCTGCAAGTCGCACAACAAACTGGAGAAGAACCTGAAATATGGCCTTTGCTCGAAGTTTGCGCCCAACTCCTCGTGGTCGCGTACAAGGGAAAGAGCGGCGATGGTAATGATCTTGGCGAAGTAGAGCGTCTTGGCCGAATCGCTTGATACTCCATGAGTGTCCGAGTAGTTCTTGAGCAGGAGTGCGATCAACCTAGACAGAGCGTCAACTCCATGGAACATCTGGGGCGATCCGCTGGCCTTGTGCTTGCTGTACATGTCGATGGCCAAGGCGATGCTGTTGCGGTAGAAGGCAGAGGATATTTCCTCGCCCTTGAGGATTCCTTGCTTTTGAAGACGGTTGACGAAAGGCACAAAGGTGGTCTCGACCGGCAAAGGCGATGTGAACAAGCGAACCCATTCGAGGAAGTAGATGCTCAAAGTAGCTCGGAGATCAGGGTCGATGCTCTGGCTGCCAGGCGGACCTTGAGTGCGGATGACCTTGGGAGACCCATCGCCGCGGTCGCTACTCTCGGAGGGTTCGGCAGAATATTGAGCCTTGTTTTGCAGGTCCTCGAGCAAATGTTCGACCCTGACCAATGAAATGGATATCAATGAAATGACACGCAGAACTGATTCTAAGAGTACTCACGAAGGGGTGCCCCGACGGTTGGCTGCGGCCCTGCCCAAGGCTTCAATAGAGGAACTGAATTGACTTCGAGAAGCGCATGGCGCGGATCCGACCACCGCTTCCGAGATGAGTTGAGCAGCAAAGTCGACGACAGACTGGGAGAACTCCCGGTAGATCATCTTGGACAGCTGAGCATCAAACTCGGGAACCACGATAAGACCGGCTCGAATAAGAGTGACGGTGACAGGGACATTGAATTTGCGCTATGCAGAGGAAGTCGCTTGATCAGTCAAGTCAGTCAGCACGGCCGATGAGAGAAGCATTACTCACGATGTCCTCTGCGTAGATCAGCCACTGCATGACCTCCTTGGCAACTTTCGTAAAGAGATCGCACAGTCGCTGCAGAATGCTAACCCAGACCTCTCGTCCCAAGTTGGAAGCGCTCTTGTAAAGCAGTTGAACGATCTTTTGTGAGAACGCCAAAGCGGTCTGGTCGGTATACGCAGACTGTGTTGCGATGACGGGAATCTGCCTGATGATCATCTTGACGTCGTGGTGAAGCGGGAGCTGAGCAAGCGAATCGACATCGGCTCGAGACAACAGCTTGTCCAATTCCATGACGAGCTCCTGGAACTTTTCCAAGCTCTGAGCGACAGTGAGCTTGGTCGTCATGATGGAAGATTCGACGACTTCGCCGAGGGGGATCGATGGCGAATCGCTGCCCCTGGTACCGTTTCGCAAGGTCTCTGCGGCCGAGGTGGATTGCATACCGGACACTTCCGCGGATTGACCGTATTCAGCTTCATGGTGACTGACAGACGCGGCGAATCGAGACTGATCGCCAAAGTCCTCGTAGACCCGCAGCTGAATGTTTTGGAGGCCGTGAGGGACGAGACGCAGGGTGTCCGGCAGAGCAGACCTCGACACGATGTTGCTGAAAGAGGACGGGTCCATGAAGATTTGCCCAGCCTAGACACACAAGAGGAGATTCAGCCAAGTGTCGCGCTGGCGTAGATCAACTAGACTTTCTCACCTCTCGATGTTTCCTCCGCGTCGCATAAGCAGGCGTGAGGTTGACATCAATGTCCTTGACAGCCTTTTCCTGTGCGGCAGTCTTGATGATGTTACAGGCAACGTCGAGGTTATCTTGGACAGTCCCGATGATGGCTTGTTCAGGCAAGGTGTCCTGTTTATATCACAAAGAAAAGATATCAGCTTCGAACCGTTTGCGCTCATTAGTTGTCGATTTTGCCTACCTCGGTAAACCCGCTTTGTAACATCATGGTGCGGATGTTATTCAACATGCTAGTTCTCAAGGGCTCTTTGCAGGTTACCAAGGCGAGACTTCCGGCGAGCTTGGAAACCATGAGATGCGCAGCCTGGCGCAGCTTGGCATCGTCGCTCTCCATACCAAAGTCCTTCATCAAGAGGTCTCGAGAGGAGATACCGGCAATCGTGACGGAGCGCTCGACGACCGGGTTGATGATCTCTCGAAGAGCCCTGTCAATTGATAGGTGAACAATCCTCTTGAGTGCGGTTGTGGACTGGAACATGGGATAAGCCGGGTTGAACAGGAGCTGGCTAGGAAGCTGAGCAATGAGTTGGTCAATCCTGCGAAGGAATGCGTCTTGAACGGCTTGCTGAGCGGCTTCACCGGGACCGGCTTGCGACGGAACACCTCCAGCGCCCATGTACCCGCCAGCTGCGGGCATGGTAATCCTGTCGAGCTCCTGGGCGAGTCGTGCAGGTTGGGTGGGCGGGATAGGTGGCGTCCGTTTGCGAAGAATGTCGCTGGGTTGAATCGAAGCCAGATCCACCTCGAGCGTCTTGCAGAGAACCTCGATCTCAAACTTCAAGTTGAGTTTCAGCTCGGCGAATTGGTACAGCTCGGTTAACAAGCCCATCACGGCCATCAACCACGGGTTGGGCGGATGAAACACCTTGGACTTGGCGCACTGCTCCATGATCTTGCAGACGAATGGAATGGCGACCTGAAGACGCTTCTCGTCATAGCCTTGGACCAGCACGTCCTTGAGTGACAATTGGCGGTGCTTGACCGGCAGGTCTCGTGCGACGGTGAGCTTTCCTAGCCAAGAGGCAATGTTCTTCAGAACAACCTTGTCCTGCGAGTTGTCAAGCGTCTTTTCCGAATTCAGCAGCTGAGCCGATTTGCGGTACGTCTCCCAGAGGACGTGTTTTTCAAGAATGGCAAGAGACAAAGTCTCAATCAGCTGCATGTAAAGTCCGTGATTGTTGGGCTCGACGCTAATACGAGCGTTGACAAGGTATTCGGCAAACCACCTCGAGTAACGCGCAACGATCAAGCGCTTCAGATCGTTGGCCTTTTCGTCAAAGTTGGTCGGCGCCAAGTTGTTGACGATGAACAGAATTTGATCCGATGTCCTCTCTTCGGGCAAAATCAGTTCGTTGTCCGGTTCCTCCTGGTCCAAATCCACGACTTGCAAGCCCGGGAAGACGACCCTGTCGGGCGATCCAGGTCGGGAACCGCCTTCATCGCCATCCATGCCGCGTTCGGTCAAAGCAGTCCTGATGATCGACATCAAGACTGCGTTGCTCTCGTGAAGATGAGGAATCTCCAGAAGAGCCCGGCACATCAAAGGGAACTCGGGCAAGCGCGACTGGAATATGTTGAGCGCGTTCTTGCCAAAGGAGAACATGGTCGAATCCGGAGGGCTTTGCAAGGCGTCGAGTACGTAGCGTACAGCGACGTGCAACGGCGTGCTCTCGACCAGATGGTACTGGATAATGGACCCGAACAGTAGTCCGGTCATAGCGAGCTCACGGGGCGGGTACGTCTGCACAAACTTGTACTCGTCGAAGAGCGTGTGCAGCATACACGCAAAGAGCTGACGATCCTGGCGAGAATCCGATTTCTTGAGCCGTTGGAAGACTTCGATGACGTGATCCAGCGAGATCTCCTCGGCGTACATTCGCTGGTAAAAGTCGTCGACCTGAGCGTCCACTTCCGGCGGGAACGCTACGACGGCAAGACCAGGTTCGGTGTTGGCCTCGGGGTTGAGGTTCATGAGTCGAGGGTGGATCTGGAGACACATGTTCCGGATCTCCTTGAAGTGACCGATATCGTCGGCGTTCAAGATGTCGGAATTGCGGAGGGCCCGGAAAAAGGTGGCATAGACAGGGGGAGTGAGGGGAACCGTATCGGCCTGCGTTTCGGGACCGCTCGATTCGGCATTGACCTTGCGATCGAGGAAGTCCAATGCGGCGTGAACAAAGTCGGCACCATGCTTTTCGATCCCGTCGATGACCCAGCTCTCGAGATCCACAAGGTCACGCTTGCTGGCCACGGCAGCGACGTCCAGAGCCAATGGCAACGAAGGCGACGAGAGTAGCTTGTCCAGGACCTGGGCGTCCTGACCGCACTCAACGACTCTGTTGACATTGAGCTCGTTCTCTTCGTAATTTTTGTGCAAGGCGTCGACAATCATATCGGGCTGGATCCGGCCCAAGACGGACATGACCAACTGCGAGGTCGGTTGACCCTTGATGAACATGGCAAGCAGGCTAGCCACGATGCTAGAATGCGCCTCTGACCAAGGTCGCTAAGATGAGCAGAGGAAACCCTATCAGCACGACGAAACACCCTCGATACACGCATGCCTTGACATACCTCCACCATACTGAACCCGATAACGACCAAGTCGGAAGCGCTCTTCATTCCCTTCTCCAGGACCATCTCCCACGCCGTCTCCACAAGTTCCTTGTCCTGAACGTCTTGCGATTGCAGCCGCTTTGACACTTCGGCGAGGATATCCGTCAACTCTTTGATGTTCCAGGTAGACCCGAGCACACCCTGAGCCAACGCTTGGACCGGAGACGAGAGGTCACCGAAATCCTCCTCAACGACCAAGCGGGTGGCCGACGCGATGGACGAGATGGGGAATCGGTCGGAAGAGACGGTCAACAGGTTGTTGAGCACGTGCAACAGCGAGAGGGTGTGGGTCCAACGAGACTCCGACGAGAACAAGCCTTGCATAGCGGACCGCGGTCCCGTAGGCGTAAGGGTGAGCAGGCCAAACAAGAACTCTTGAGCGGCGGGTTTCGTCAAGACCGTGTTAGGCTGATCGAATTCTTTGACGACATCGGCCCAATCAACATTGGGCTATCAAAGCGGGACCAAGTAGCAAGCAATGCGTCAGCTTCACTGCAACAAGCACGACCGTCCTCGCATCTACACTCACGATCATTGCCAGACCCCTAACGACTCCCTGAACGTCGACCGACCTCCCTTCCTCGATGCCCCTGATCAACCCGGTGAATGTCTCCGTCAACGCCGTCTCGATCTCTCTCGACCCTTCTTCCCTGTTGTTGATGATCGCAGCCCACCACCTGCATACGATGCTCCAGACTATCCCGGCGTCGCTCGTCCACGCGTCGCCTACTTCGAAGAGCACATCCGCAAGAGGAATGGCTCGGGCGTGACTGGGCGGTGCTCCAGGGGAGATCGATGCGAGGGCTTGGATGATGACGACTGGAGAAGAAAACTTGACAACGAGCGCCTGGAGGAATCTCTCCCTCTGTCTCGAATCCAATGGAAGCTGCGGCAAGGCGTTCAACTGAGCCTGAGTCGGGTCGACAATGTTGGGTCCGCCTTCCTCTGGGATCCGAGGATAGACGGCTAGGATAAAGATCCTCGCTTCCGGGGGAGACAAGTCGTCCGTTCCAGCTCCGAACAAGCTCGAACCCGGTTGACGGAGGTTGTTGACGACGTTCTCAAAGTACGTGCGGACGATCCCGCAGGCCCGATCGTGCATGGCAGCCGAAGGCATCAATGCCGGCGAGGCGAGGACGTTGCACGCAAAGGAGAACAATTGCATGGGGTCGAGTTGGAGCAAGTTGAGGTTGATGGCGGGTTGAGTCGAAGGTGCGACGGGGACGAGCAAGGTCGCTGCAAAATGGGGTGCTACAAAACGTACAGACAACACATGTCAGCAAAGCAAATCGATAGCACACATAACATCATCACAAGAAAAGGACCCCGATCTTTCCAAACTCACCCAAATTCGAATCCCTGCTCGCCCTGACTCCCTCGCTGACCAAGACCCTCCAAGCCAATACCCCCGGTCCGTTCTGTGGTACGCTCAAACTGCCTCCCAATGGCCTATCTCCCGCTACCAAACCTTGCTGCTGCTGTTGTTGTTGCATCCCCGCTGCTTGCGATTGCAAACCCTGAAGCACAGGCGCGGCGTTGACGATCAACCTCCTCAGGAAATGATGGTACATCTCGGGCGCGTTCTGGGAGATCAACGTCCTAATCTCGCTGACGTTGCGTTCCCAAGCGTCTTCAGTGAGGGTGCTGAGAAGGAAGACGATCTGTGCTTTGACGATGGTGCTCACGCTGCCGGACGAGTTGTTGCCGGTGATGTTGATGGTGCCGCCAGGTGGGTGTTGGTATTGTTGATGATGCGATGTCTGTGCTGAAGGCGGTCCTAGAGAAGGTTGGGGGTAGAGTTGCGGTTGAACGAACCCATGGACCGGGGATCCGAAGGTCGACCCCTGTCCTGACGTCTGCCCTTGGTTCTGCTGCTGCTGCTGGTGGTGCTGGTGCTGTTGTTGCTGCTGTTGATGTTGTTGACCCGGCGAGACTCCACCACTGGGGTTCGGACTGACGCTCAGCCCCGGAGGAGGTCCAGGCGACGAGCCTCCGCTCGACGGTCCCATTCCCATACCAGGCGGGACGCTCAGACCCGGAGGCATCCCCCCCATCCCATTATTACTGTTCACCTGTCCGTTCATCTGCCCGTAGCCGTTCCCATTCCCATGACCCTGATTGTGATTGTAGTTGGGGTTGTGCATAGGATTTTGATTCTGACCTTGACCGGGAATCCCTCCTCCCGGTAATCCCGGTGGACCCCCAAGGCCCGGAGGAGGTTGGTTCATCCTCGATGTCGATCCCGATCTGAAAGAAAGGCTTGCTTCCTTCCGTTTCTTCCCTTCTCCCTAAATCTCCAAGTTCAGATCCGAGACGAAAGTCTTAGGCGATACGGCGAAGAAGACAAGGACGTTGCTATGTTGAGATGGAGAAAAGGAGCAAGGTCGTGATATCCTTTTCTGGAGTAAGATGCGGCCGTCCTGCCCTATCTACGCATCTAGATATGGAAGGTCCGACAGCGTTTCCTCTGGGAATCCTTCTCCTGAGCTGTGCAAGATCACGGACTGTCCCGGTCTTTCGCTGGTTCGCCTGGTTTCAGATGCCGGTAGTTTGGTGGTGACTTGAAAGCACAAGCTCGGAATTCACAAATCAAAGCTTCGACCCTTCGAGGTCAAGTATCCTCGATCCGGCGCCCTGATGTATCACGTCGAGTGCAAGGAGGAACAGGGAAGTGTATACCGATCCCGAGAGGTCTAGAAAGCAGAGACAGTAGGATGGGTAACTGACTAGGTGCTAGGTGTTGATATCGATCTGGTATGTCGTCGTCGATCTTGGGGAGAGGAGCGGTTCAAGGTCCGTCTGTCTACGAGCTACGCGTAGCAGCTGCAAGTTAGCAAGGGGCCAAGGGGGGTGACCCCGATCGTTTCCCACGCGTCATCGACCTATTTAAGGCGGACAGAGGTTTCACCCCGTGTCTCTCGATGACGACTCGATAGGCGGGATGCACAAAGACTCTTGAGCTGCCAAGGTTATAGACGAGTTTACACAGGTCTACCGTGAACTGCCATCTGGATGTACTACTGCTGTGTCGAAAGCCATCTTCATGGCGTTACCGATAGCGGTTCCGGGTCACGCCCTGACCATCGATCATCGTTCAACAGAATGAATGGATCATGATCGCTTTCTGGCTTTCAACGATGATCGTCGGACCATTAGACTCGTTTGCGGCTTTATAGATTTATGTAGATGCTCGGACGAAACCCGACTGAAGCCAGGTCAAAGAAATCGTAGCGAGGTCGATTTATCAAATGTCGAGGTGTAACATGGCGTTTGACGTTTCCGAGCCCGAAACCCAAAAAGCCGAAACGTATAAGTAGCAGTAAGTAGAAGAGTGTAAGCGCCAATCGATACCGATCATGAATAGCATGAATTGCAACACGGCCCGAGAATCGAATCTGGACCGTCAAGAACATCTCGGGTCAGGTCCTGGACCTTGTACCCCATCAGGAGCCTACCTTCTCTGTGGTACGGTATGAACTCGACCTGATGGTGATATGGTGACTTGTACTCAGTTGGGAGCTGAAAGTAATAAAATGGGTGATGGTTCCTTAGCAGCTAGTTGTCAGCTTAGCCCATGTTGTATGACGATGATGGTGTACGACAAGTCTCAGCTCAACGTCCCCCTCCTCTTACTCCCCGCGTCCCCCCTCCTCGCCCTCTCTCGCTTGCTGCCCTCTTTGGTTCTTGTCGACCACCGCACCCTTCCCAAGAGAGAATTGCATCGTACCCAGCCCAACTATACCTCTATATCCCACAACCTAGATACCAGATCACAGTGTAGGAAGAATCAGTCGACCCCACATCCACATCGACTCGGATCGGGATCAAGTCTGACTCTACCGGAATCGGGATCGTTGTGGCGCGTCATCTTTCAGCTCGACCTCGCAATTGCATTACAAGCTCAAGGTCTAGAGGACGAGGAAAACAAATACACAGACAGCAAGAGAATGCGACCCACCTCTTAAGAGGTTGACGCCTTAGCTCTATCATCGAGAATCCACTTCTATCCTATTCGTAAGAGACAGCCTGGACCTCAACGGGTCTCGGGAAAGGAGCTTGGCAGAACGATCCGGTAGTCCCACATCAACCTCGCCAAGATCGTTACTATCAGCACTGTTTGAATAAGAAGGAGAGGAGGATATTTCAGAACAGCAAAAGGACTTAGAAACAGCCGAGATCATGTCTTCCTCGGATCAACCTCGTTCTCAGCATCGACCGGGCGAGGTTGCGGCTACTAGTCCTAGTGATGATGCTGGGACTGGCGATCCAGGTGATGCCGCTTTCCCCCCGGCCGGTGTAGGTGCAGGTCCAAGAGGATCCGGCAGATCGATCGGATCAAACTTGGGGGGAGGACCTTCGTCCCCGGGTCACGGGTTCAGGTTGGACGAACCGTCGGGAGATAGAGGTGGTTCGCCTAGCGAGTCGATGAGCATCAAGTCGGAGCTTGGCTGTGAGTACTAGTGGAAGCCATCGTCGTCGTCGTCATTACTTTTCGACGAGATCGTTCGCTGACGATTCGTAACTCCTCTCGCCATAGCATCGAGACGCCCCTCGCCGTCCTCTTCCGCGCGATCGAGTTTCTCGCAACATACACCGCCAGCACCTCCGGTGGGCTATAATCCTCCTCCAGCGGCGCATCCGTTGTCGCCGCCCTCGCCTGTCGCCAAGCTTTCTCCGTTCACGCCGGGTGAGCCGTTTGGTAGCAACATCGCTGCAAGTGGAAACGAGCTCGGAGGCGCGTTCAGCTGGGTAGGACCAGGGACGCAGGACATGTCGAGGAGATCTTCTTCTGGTCAAGGGTCTCCGGGTGTTTCAGAGGAGGGCGTCAGTCCGAGTGCGAGTTACATCTACTCGCCTGGTGGGGCGTTGGGAGGTAGCATGAAGGGAACGCCGCCGACTACGAGGAAATCGTCTGCCGGATCCAACAACAGCGCTTCGGCGGCGGGTCGTGGGAACGCTTCGACGACGGGGGCGAACCGATCGAACGCTTCCTCACCACATTCCTCCGTCTCCTCGATCGCCGGCCTGCCAGGTAGACGAGTCAGCGGAGGAAGCCCAGGAGTCGCAGGGTCGATGGTCAGATCGGGGTCGAGCCCGATCGTACCCGTCCAAGAATCGATAGATAGCGTCGGGATGAGGATGAGCCCTATAATGAAGACGGCGACGACCATGACTACGCACCACCATCAGCAGCATCAGCAACAGGGTCATGTTCAGCATATGTCACAGGATTCGGGAACCGCAGAGCGGGAGAAAGCTTCGGACCAGTTGAAATCGGCCAGGGAGGTCTTGAACGTCGGAAGGGCGAACAGTAATATGGCCAACAGCGGTCAATCGGACAGGGAGAACGAGGCGCGAGGTAGTGCTTCTTCACAAGGGTCGACATCATCGACCGCGGATAGCTGGAATGAAGGTGCGGTACAAAAGGCTCAGGGCTCGATAATGTCCATCCCTCAGCAACCATCACCAGGTTCGATGAGGAGGTCGTCCTCGGATGACGGGAGGTCGGCACTTAGTCCGATCAGGAGTCATCAGCAGAGGCGGGAGAGCTCATCATCTTCGTCATCATCCTCACGCCCCGGATCTTCGCCTTTGGATACTTTCGTTCCTACCGGCGTCGTCGCTCCGTCAACCTTGTTGGGCGTTGAACCGACGGTCACCTCGCCCATCCGGTACTCGCCAATGTCCCCCGGACCGATCGAGGCGGAACAGCAGGAATGGTTAGCGGATGCGGGAAGCGGTGGATCTTCCCTTTCACACAGGAGGTCGGGGAGCAGGGCTACAGAACTGGGACGATGGAGTACCGCCCGAGAGGCCAGGCAGGCGTCACCCTCGAGAGGACTCGCTTCGCCGACGATACCCACGCTTTACCGGTCGCTCAGTCACGAGAGTCATCGACCAGGCAGATCACAGACGTCTGATGGAGCGGTCGGACACGTAAACATGTGGGACAGCGTCTGGCCGGATCCTAGCAGTAAAGCGGTCGATCCTGTCACGGCCCTACCAGTGTCGCTTTCCGGTATGGCTAGTCCGTCTTTGACACCGCTTGTGCCCCCGCTCGTCATGCACGGTAGATCCATGTCGGCCTCGATTCCGATCACTCCGGGCAATCCTCAACATGGCGCCGATGTGGGCAAGTATGTCGGTCAAGGTCGACGAGACTCGAATGCCGCCTTGTTTGGGAGACCGTCGAGCGGATCCGTGCAATCCAAGACGGGATCGCCCGTCTCGCCGCCGGGAAGTCCAATGACGTCAATGAAGTCGCCAGCCCGATCATTGCCGTCGTACCGGCATGCCAAAAAGTCGACCGGATCAATGAGGTCGAACGCAAGCGTCAACAGTGACCGAGGTGATTCTCCTTTCAATGCGCAGGACCTGCCAGCGTTCTCTGCGCCGCGAGGACCTGGTTCACCACGCCAGATCCCGACCGTCATGAATCGATTTTCCGAGGAGTTCAACCCTCCCAATCTGGTCTTTACTCAGCCAACGCCGCCCCCAGGCGCGCATGCGCATGTTGACGGCAGGGGGGACGACGAAGTGCCTGTGCTGGAACATCGTGAGCCACACATTTTGGAAGGTTCCCCACCCTTGGCCTTGCCACCCGCGGTAGCTTCGCCCAACCTTGCGCCAAGTGTGTCGCCTCCCATCTCTAGCGATCCCCTCTCCGACGACAAGCCCAGTGGCTCCCATATGTCCTTTCCTGCCCCTTCAGGTCGTCCCGTTCCCCCGCCCTTTCGTCGCGCCATCTCGCACGTCAACGCACCTTCTCCCACGCCGATGCCCGCGCCGACCTATCGTGTCCGTTCATTTAGCGGTTCGTCATCGCAGTTGACGCGACCCGTCTTGACATCGCGAAACTCGGGGTCGAGAGGCCAAGCTCTAGGCTCTGGGCCTTCCAGTCCAGCTCTAGCCACGCAACCCATTTCTCCTCATCAAGCGCCTGCTCCAGAGCTGGAAAAGGTCGAGCCTCTTGCGAGCCTGCCGTCAAAGCAGTCATCGCCTCTCCGAAGCTCGCCATCCGATTCTGAACCGCACACTGAATCGCCCCGAAAGACAAGCCCCTCGGCAGAGCAAGGATCTTCTCCAGATCATGTCTCGCCCGCATCTGACGTCGATGCAGATGCTGACCCTTCGTCTACGTCGGAGCACGACGCATCTCATGAGCTCGATCCGTCACGAGAACAAGGATACTTTCAGGACGAGTCAGCGTTTCAACCCGAGCATGGCGACGAAGACGATTCAGCCGTTTTGGACACGCCTCTTCCCGTGCCGCCTAGTGGCAACGACTCGGACGAGGTCATGGCTGCGCCAACAGACTCGTTGCCTGCCGACGTCGCGTTTGAAGACGAGGGGTTGTTGACGCTGGAGCGTATATTCTTGCTCTCTAAGAGCGAGCACGGTTTTCATAGGTATGTGTATCTTGCTCTTACTTTGATCCAGCATGTTGTTTATCGCCTCTGATCATGCTTCCAGAGCCTACATCGCCCGTACCCTGGGGGACCTCCTCGAGGACACCGATCCTTGTGAAGCGGTCGAATATGTCATTCCGCTGCTGACAGGCCTTGCTCTGGATGAAGGCAAGTCGATCATGACGCTTCAAGCGTGCAGTTCCCAGCTGACCGAAGTTTGGCAATTCCAGACGAGTCTGTCAAGGAAGCGTTCGCTTCGCAGTTGCACAGGATCCTCTGGTATTTCTTCACGGTAAGCCTAGACGATCGGGCGGGATTGTCACGTGCACTGTACTCATCGGCTTGTGATGCGGATCGATCAGGCATGCGAGCTGGTTGGAGAAGAGGATGAAATCGCTGCAAGCGAAGATCCGACCAATGACCCTGTCTTTACAGTAACTTCTAAGGGAGTTCGGGCGGTCAGACGCTCCAACACGGCGACCGATCAACCTGTCAATTCGAGCGCTTTTCGAGGGACACCAGGATCCGGTTCGAGCGGTTCTGCCAACTTATCTAGCGACGGCTCTTCCGGCGGGGTCTCTCTCGAATCTCGAAAGGCGTCAACCGTGTCCAGCGCGATGCAGACAATTCTGACGCCATCCTCTGCCGGGACACCTTCCTCGGTGGCGACCACGGCTACGAGCGATTCGGTACACGCCTCAGCTATGCAAGACAAGGCCATGTTCACGGACCCTTTCGCCGACAAAACATCCGAGGCGGACAACGGACCAGTGGTCGAAAGACCCGTTATTGCAGTTCACGCGTTCACGCCGTTGATAGGGTCGCTCCTGCTTAGCCAGAACTCTCTGGTTGCGGATCCGTCTCGCGCCGCAGTGGTGGCCATTCTCGCCAAGCTCCGCAAAGCGTCCAATCCGGTACTTGACGAGTGGACAGAGGAACGTCCGGAAGAAGTCAGACTGTCATACATGGCTCAAACCGGTTCACATTCACACGAGTTTCCGATATTTTCAGTGGCGGCCAGACGCATGGTACAAAAGGAATTGCTAGAGGGCATCGTGTTCGGTATCGGACGTCTGGATGGTGATGCATCCCGCAAGGATAGTCACGGTAGCGACGTACAGGTTCCCCACAAGATCCAGGAGGATGCTCACTCCGCCCTGGAAGATTTGGACCCGGCTGAAGCTGAGGCGGCCTTCTTGAAACAACAACTTGCGCAAGAAGCCATTCTTGGCCGAGCCATCTCGATGAATCTGATCGCTTCCATCAGCGAATTTCTGCATCCGCACGAAGTCTCTCGATATGACCTCGTTACCGAAGTCGCCAGAACACTCGATGATGAGCCGGGCGTCAAGGCCGAAGCTGCCCTTGCCCTAGCATACCTGGCAAAGCTAGCTCCACAAGACAACCTCGAATTGATGGTCAGTGCCTGAGCCACACTCGGGTTGAGTTATATTGTTCGTGGTATCTTTGCTAAAAGTCTCGTCTGCGTCTACAGCTGTCTATTTTTGAACACTTTGTGGAAGACGAAACGGAATCGGTCAGGCAGTCCGCGTGCCTCTGCCTGCCAGCCTTGAGCAAGCGGATCGAAGACCTTGACGATCGTCGATCTTACACGGTTAGGGCCTTTGAGGCGCTCTTGATGTCGGGCGATCTGGTCGAGTACACGTTACTCGAGATCATCGGAGAGATTATCCATATCTTCCAGGATGATCCGGAGGGTCCGCCGGTTCAGCTGCTTGAAGTCTTTTACTCGCAGGCACCATTGTCCCAAGACGCGACCGAAGAAGAGCCTGTGAGGGAGTTTGACAATCTGGACCGGGCCATTGTTTCAGCCTTCAATGTGAGTGTGCGAGGCCTAAAATTCGCTCGAAGGTTCAGAGCTGACCACCCATCCTGTTGCTAGTTGCCCGCCGTGTGTTTGGCTTTGGGATCGGAAAGGTGGCAAGAACTCCGTCCGACATATCGAGCCTTGTGCAATATCAACCATCCACGCATTGTCGCAAGCCTATCGGCATCGATACACGAGTTGGCCAAGATCCTCGGACCCGAAATCACAGCCGCAGACCTCTTGCCATCCTTTGACGAGTATCTCGCAGGCAGCGATGATGGCAAGACCAAGGTCCTGGCTGGCCTCCCTACATTCGTCAGCAACCTTCCGCTGGAGCAGAGTATATCTGTTCTGGGCGAGCTGTCAACGATGTGGGAAGCTGGGTCGCTTCCGAACTGGCATCATCGTGAAAGCCTGGCAAGTCATTTCGCCGCGCTTCTGCGACACATGGCGTCGGAGCAAACGACCCAGCCTGTGCTGGATCTAGTACGCCTTGGACTCTTTGATACGTTCCATGCGATCCGTGAGGCTACCATCGCCAATGTAAGACCGGGCAACGTAGTTTTGCGCGAGATTTGATGCTGATATCTGTCTCGTGTGATTTTAGATGCCGGCTTGTTACGAAGCCGTCAAGGATGACAAGGTTTCGCGAGAGCTCGTCTTGGGCCTCATGCAGGATCTTGCTGTCAGCGGCAACTTCAAGGCGAGGCGGACGTGAGTGGTCCCGTTTGCCACCCTTGCATTTGTTTACCGTATTGACTGATCCCTTATATATCAACACAGCTACATCGCTTGTATCCAAGCCTTTGTCCAGCAACAAGCAGACATTGCTCTCTTTGAGAAGCATTTCTTAGACGATCTGGCCGTGCTCTCTGACGATCTTTTGGACGTCCGAATCATGGTCGCCAAATGCCTCGGTCCGATTTGCGCTAGAGGTCAGTTTGCCGAGTCCGTTCGGTCGGCAAGTCATCAATTAACCGTCGGTGCATTTTCTTGCAGACGGACTATACCCCCATTCACCGCTCAGACCTCTCCGACTCAACGAGATCATCGAGCGACTAAGTAACGACGAATCCAACTATGTTCGAGACCCAATCGCCGCGATCGCTGTCCGTCCACGCATCCGTCCCGGCGGAGCCTCGGATGTCTGGATGACAGGTCCGTACATCATGACCCCTGGAAGCTCGGGAAGTCACCCCAGTCGCGGCTCGCCGCAGGACCGCCGTTCGTCGTCCGCCTCGATGCTCATCAGAGCGGATTCTGAGACGACCATCAAGGCGGCTCAACAGTCTCCTGGTGAGAAGCGCGACGATTCTGGCACTCAGTCTGCTCCATCAGAGTTGATGTATGTCCCGTGGGAATCACCGGATCCAACCCTGAGCGGCTCGCTTCAACGCGTATCTATGCAGGAGGCGAAGCGTATCCTAGGTGTCCATGCCGAACCTGTCAAGGTCGGTATGAAAGATCCGTTCTCAGCGACATTCGGTCGAGCGGTCGCCGAAGCGCAGTCGGAGGCCAACAGCGACCGGGTCATCAAAAGGCTTTGAGGTAGCAGCAGCAAACGCCATCCTCTCGCCAGCGCAAAAGCATCTCTTTCCAATCTGGACAAATCTTTTTCTCACGGGCATGTGCTTTCTATCTCAACTGTATCACCACTACCAACCAGTCTCCCAGGATCGCAGCATCGAATAGTGTAGCAAGCGAACGGAACAGAAGCAAAAGAGGGACCTTTTTTTATACTGTAGATCATATCGAGATCCCTACAAGGACCGATCCGACTGTTACCATGTATCTAATCCATATTACATCTATGCCTTACGTGCGAGGTCGCTCACATTCAGGAACTTTTGAGACGAGACTTGTCGTTGGTAGATAGGTCAGGTCAATACAGGCATGGTACAGGGGCATTCGACGAGCGTACTCTTACTCGGAACATACAACCTGTTGAGAACACCTCTCTTAAACCCCCCACGTCTCCTTCAATCTAGCCCAGACTTCGCAAGTCTGTTCGTCCTGCTGGACATGAACAAACTCTTCCACCTCGTCGATAGACAACCTGTTCAAGTCGAGGTGTTCCGAATAGTTGATCATCTGCGAGCGGGTTGTAATTACGAAAGGGTTGTAATTACGAACCCGTCAGCCCACGTCTGATCATGGCTTTCCTGTACAAGAAGCGAGGAGGCGAGACTTGCCATCCAGGAGATATCCCCAAGGTCCCAGTATTCACGGTTGCACCGAAGTTTCGCACGGACAAACTCGGTCGGCGAGAGAAAGGGAAGGTCCATGATCTCCCACAACGGAGCGTTACCCGCCGAGGTCGGTGCGTAGAGCTTGCGAGGACCGTACCTAGGGTATCAAGATTATCATATATCAGCTCTGGCGTGTCAAGATTTTCGTCGCTGTTTCAAGAACGACGATGACAGGGGGGGAAAGGAAACGTACTCTCCCGCTTGTAACATATCGATCCGGACCTTCTTGCCGGAGACGCTCTCCGCCCCCAGATCGACGATAACGGTCATAGGCACCCCGCTCTTCGGATGACAATGTAACTCGACGCTCTTGCCTTCTTCGTCCGACCCGCTGGTCGAGTACCCGTTGCCCGTATATCCGTATCCATACCCGTAGCCCGTGTTGAACCCTGGTGAATGTTCGAAAGGCGGCGAAGAGAAGTAGGTGGGCTCGGTAGGAGAGGCTAAAGGGTGGGACTCGCTGGAAAGGGTCGAGATTGAGGCAGAGGTCGGGCTTAGGGGAGAGAGACAGTGATGAGGTTGAGCGTGAAAGGCTTGTCGAAGATGTCGGTTCGAGGCTGGGGTAAGGCAGATGATCTCCTAGAACGGTCGTCCGAGCACGATCAGTAACAATCGATATTCCCGTGTACCAACAAAGGTTCAAACGTCGTATGACCCACCTCGAAACCCTCCCCAGCCGCACCGCCCAATCCCTCACTCAAAGCCCTTACTTCCCAACTCCCCGCAAAGGCATGCGGGATCCCCACCCCATACCCAAACCCAGCTTCTTCACATATATACGCCCTCAACTTTTCAGAGACGTAAGAAGCTGCGGCATGAAGGTCGGAAAGCGGAGCGTGGGGTTCCATGGTATCGGAACCGAGATCGAAGTTGAGATTGGCGCCACCAGCCGTGTGCGGGCAAGATTGAGTCGGAGGGAGTTTAGGTGAGAGGGAAGGAGAAGGTGGAAGTGCTGTACGGGGTATGGAAATGGGAGGGCTTGGTAAAGGGTGTCTTGTAGACCTCTTGAGGGCGTAAGGCGGGGGTACGGGGGCGAAGTAAGGTATGGTGGCGTGAAGCTAAATGCTGGAAGTTGGGTGGGTGACAGGTTTTATGTGAGGAGGAAATCTGAAAACGATGGCAAATTTATATAGGACCACGAGTCAATGACGGATCAAGCGCGGCAAAGGCAAGCCGGATGACGACGATCGTGTACCTACTCTGCTGTGCCTCCTGGATCTTCTCGGCTTGGCTTGAGGAAGGACCGGTAAGAATCAGCTGAGCGTCGATCTTGATCGAGGTCGATGCGCGTGTTTTTTTCGGTAATGTCGGGTTTGTGACGTCGATGTTGGGGGATCGATAACTGCTGAAAATGCTAATCTGTGTTGCTGAGTGTTCTGTCGAGGAGTCGAGCGAGAACATATCGATGCGAGCCCCCGACATGAGCGCAACCACTGAGCTGCTGGTATATATATATACCTTGCACGTTGCACACGATCGATGTTCTTTGAGCTCGCGAAACGCCGGCACTTCGTCGGAGTTGCACACGCACAAAGTACACACACAAACTGCGAGAACTTTGATTTCTTTTGTTGGGACCCCATGGTCATCTGACCATCTGACCAGAGAAACGTGTGCACCCTAATGTTCTCTCCGTGTGTCGCAAAAGGTGGATCATACTCCCTTCCATCTCATTCTCCTCGCCTTATGCCGCCACCACGCGCCTCCCTTTGGCTTTTTTGTCGCGACGATCCTGAAACATCGAGCGTTTTCTAGCGCGCGCTTTCGCGTTAGAAGAACAAAAGGGGGACAAGGCGGACTCGGGCGACTTCTAGCTTCTAATCTCTACGCGAATAGCAAAGGTACCGCCTAGTCACGGACCCCCATCCGACCGTCACGGGAGTGTCTGTCAAGATGAATATGGGTTGAAAGGGAGGTCCTTGGTGATGCCAGAGCAGGGTAATCCGGCATGGCTTGAACGGGGCACGATGATCAGGTCGGCGACTTCGGCGTTCAACTGCCGACGGCTGTGGATGGAGCGGTCGTGCGATCTGTTGGACTAGCAGCTGACCGTGTTGGTCACGTCAGAAAACGTAAGGTCGAGTAGAAAAGGTCGCTCGGGGCCAAGAGCTGATGGAACACTCGCAAACCTTTAGCAGAAATGCCAGGCGCGGACTATCTCCAGGGGATGAGGAGCAGATGACTACTTACCGGGAGAGGTACGTAATCCCACATCAAGTAGATTTTGAGGGTGACGATGACTTGACATGATCTGCCGGCTCATCGGCTGATCTTCCGCAAAAATGCCGAACATACGCTTTCTCGGTGAATCATCACCGTGGAATCAATCATACACTTGCGCTCTCTTGCCAGTACAATACCCTACCGTCTGAAACAAGCTCAATTTTATACAACAAATCCATTTCTATCTCACACTATCTGTGTCGTCACATAAACCCAATCACTCGTCGTACTAAGTTCTAAGGCGGTCCTTCAAAGTCCTCAAAAAGCTCCGGGTTGGAACTCTTCATCAACATCATCCGATTATAAGCCCCCTAAGCAACGCACTCTCGGTCAGCTACCATCGACCAAGATCTCGTATGCAAGACATGACCGTGTGAGACTGACCTGTAATCGAGCTCGACTGGACACCAACCGATCCATAGCCGCATACTCCTGAGCCTTGACCTGAGACAACCTGATGGCCGCGCGCTTGAGGGCGAGACGCCGTTCGAATTCGGTCCTCGGTCGGGGTTCTTCGATGGCTACGACGCTATAGAATGGGATACGAATGGAAGGGCGGTTCCTCATGAACTTCTGGAAAGTAGGAAGGAGGAAGGGAAGACGAAATCAGGCTTCGTTACAGTGGTACTCGCCTGGGTTCACGCCGTTGTCTTTTGCGGCTATGTAACTGTTGTTCGGCTTCACTATCGATGCTGCGTGTCCACCATATTGCGCGTCCACCAAATAAGCAGGATACATCTCAGCCGAATGACAGATCGACTTACCTGAGCTCTTTTAGTCTCTTCCTCTTCCTCTTCACAATCAGAGGAGCGGTTCCGTCGGCCCCGGTCAAATCGATGGGAGCTGATTGTTGGATAGCGGCCGACGTGGGGGCCTCTTCGGAGGAATAACGGTCTGCTTCGAAAACTGATCGCTTTAGAGTGGCTGGCAAGGGGATCTCCTCGGACGAGTCACGGTGTGATCTATCGAGATCGATGCCGCTGGTGCTGTTGAAGCTTCCTGGGAAGTCCTTATCTACGGGCCTGTTTGCATTTTTCGTGGTTGCTTGTGGGTGGCCAACCCGTCCCTGCCGTGGTTTGGGTCTAGTAGGCAAGAAGCTGTCGGAGACCGGATTTTGATGAGAGGAGGTGAATCCTACCCGACGAATGTGCGAGCCAGCACGAGATGTCCTAGTCTGTCGTTGGTAATCAACAGCCAGGACCAGAGGATCTGAAGTGGCTTGAGCACTCACGGTTGACTCCTCTTCAGCAGGAGGCTGAGACTGCTGTTTGTCGAAACAATCCATAATCGAACGAAGGTTCACGTGATGCGTCCAGCCGAAAGACGTCGGGTTCCATCCGCCAGTAGCACAGATGTCGTCGAGCTGTTCCGGCATGCTGCTCGTTCCTTCTTGACGTCTTGGATGAGATTTTGCCGAGATTATCCGGGATGTCATGTATAGCGATGGGCCCGGAGTAGCCCCGTTCGACAGACAGAGAAGCGAAGCATATATATATCTTTTTCCCCACATTCCCACCAGCCACCAGCTTCTCAAGCTTCTCGATGACGGAGGCTGCGCTCGTGGAGCCGCACAAGATGATCGTCGCGTCCCTTCAGATCTATTGTTCGACCGCTCGGTACTGCCGATCGTCCCAGAAGCTTCCGTTGTTTCGAAACCTTGTTGATCGCGATCTCGATTCGAGGGTGACATTTATTCTGTCTCACAACCCGAAAGCGACATATTTCTGGTTATGCAATGTGCCAAGACAAACATCAACGATGATGACCGGTACCCCAATGAATCTCACGAGCACATAGAATTCATTCGGCTGCGCCTCCATTTGCGCGATCGATGTCTGTAATAATGCTGAAATGCGGCATAGCGGTCGCGTCGTCTTGAAGAGCGAGTCTCTCTGCAATCATTCGAAGTCTTTGTTGCGAAGTTTGCGACTGCTGAACGCAACATTCTGGGATGCAAAGGCCTATCAGACGGGCACATAATCGATCGGTTGGAGCTGATATCTTGTAGGTGACAATTCAACCTGAGGTTGAGGCTGCTTAGCACAAACTCCCTCTACGCACAGCCATGTGTGACCTCGAGGAGCACGGACTGCGGAACATCATCGATTCTCGACTCACGAACGTAATCACAATCGCAGCGATGACATGGAGATGACGGATCTAAACCAGCCGTAGAAAAAGCCCATATGCTTCCCGTGATCGCTAAATCCCATTCGGTAGAGATTTGGTCCGTTGCTGTTGCTCGGTGAGCAGCTTTCGGGAAAAGCGAATAGGTAGCAAAGAGCGACTCCAGGGCATACTGTGAATTAGACGCCGATGATTCGCTGGGGACATGTTCAAGAGTCAACTTCGAGCAGCAACTGAGAAGCACGACGCTTTTGAGATCATACTACTGGATCGCAGGGCACATATATACAGAATTAGAGTCTCGATCGAGAGACTCTCGTGCATACAACCTTTTCAAACAAACAACAAACGGAAACCACACTCGCTTCTCATCGTGGGTCACAGGGAAATCCGATCATCACCCATCACAATTGATCGTGACTGTGAACATGTTCCGCCAGACTTGGATCTAGTCCCTCGACCTGGTTTAGGCGTAGGTCCCCCTCCGCAAGCTCCTGCTGTTCCAGCCCTTGCCCCGTTCCATCGTCCTCCAACCCGCCCATCTCGCCGTGCTCCGGGTCTTGTTCTTGACCCTCCTCCAGCGGAACTTCTCCTTCTCCTTGTTCTTCTCCATAGACACCTTCGTCGTACCCTTGTGGATCCTCCTCGGGGTAAGCTTCCACCCCAGTCTCATCGCCCATCGCCATACCCATATCCATCCCCATGTCAAGACCGACCTCGATCCCGTCTGATTGTTCGATCTGCTCGTCGACCTCTCCCTCTTGACCCGCTTCTTCTCCCTCGACTCCGTCCTCGGCCCCGACCTCTCCATCTATATACGCGCCCTCTCCAGCCTCGTTGTCGTTCTCGTCGTACTCCCCCGTCCGGTAGCCCTCCATCTGGGCGACCTGCCTCATCGCCTCTTCCCTCAACGCGTCAATCTCGACGTTGGATTCATCCGCGGACACTCCACCAGCGAGATCCTGTAAGATTCCGGACGCCGCGTTAGGAAGATGCTGAGGCTGTTGATGGTTGTGACGAGCGCCCGAGGACGAGCCTTCCCCGACGTCGAGATGATGCTGCGGAAGCTGATGATGCTGAGCCTGCATCTGCCGCGTAGCGTGCCCATGCCCATGCTGTTGCTGTTGCGTCCGATATCCCTGACTGGCCATCTGAGCCTGTAGAGCCATGTTCATGATGATCGCTCTCGCCGCCTCTGCCTGGGCTTCTTCCAGCTTTCTCGCCGATTCCACCGGGTCGCTCGTCATGTTTAGGTCCATTCCCACCTGATGCTGTTGTTGTTGAAGCACCCCGAGCTGATGCTGATGATGCTGATTCAACGTTCCCCCAACACCGACCTGCTCATGCGGGTGTTGCTGGTGCGCGTTGGGATCCAACAATCCACCCTGCCCCTCGTCCTCCATCTCCATCTCCCCAGGCTCGCCATCCGACCGCTTCTTCTTGAACTTGGAATTCCTCCTGCGTTGATCGAATCCGAGCGGGAAATGTTCTTGCATGATCAACCGGATCAAATCGCTGTGCGAGCAAACCGATCCAACACCCTGACAATGAGTCGTCTGTCTCCCTTGAGCATGCTAAACCCCGAAAACACCAAAAACTTACCGTTTCACATGTATCCCCTTCCTACCCAGATCCTTCATCACCTTTGTGGGCGAATCTTTACACTCCGGGTCATTCTCCCGGATATGGTTGACCACGAGCGGCATGGCCGAATCTTTGGAATAGTTGTGCCGGCGTGAACCGCCGATGTTGAATTGACGGAGATATCTTCCCAAGGTGGCTCGTCTACGGAAAGATAAGAGAAAAAAATTGTTTATCGGTATCGGATCTTATTAGTCCCATGGTCGGTTTAAGAGGAATGAAGAGAGATGCAAATCAGGACTGACTTGATCCTGATCCCGTGCTCGGCATCTAACCGCGACATGATCGTCTTCCACTCGGTGATACATTCGACATTGAAGTATTGCCTCAGAATATCCCTCAATTTGTCGGTATCCACTGCCATCGCCCAAAATGGGATGAGGTTTGAGTCGTGTCGAGTTCGAGACGATTCGATTTCGGTCGCGCGAGTTTAGAGGTGGAAGGCGAGTCGAGGCAAAGTCGTAGGAGGAGGGATCGCGAGATGCAATAACGAAACGGAGTGAGCTCCTGATCTTTTCAAATCCATAACAACCGCAACAAAAAAAGAAGGCATGTTGTCGTCCAAACCAACTCACCTGGATTCCCATACTGATTCTTCCCACCCGGATTCCGATTATGCGAGACCCTCGGCTTCTCCCCCTCTCCCTCAACTTCGCCTTGACCCTCCATCCCCATCCCCATCGTCATGCCCCCATCCCCGTTCATGTTGAGATTCGAACTCTCCGCATGTCCGAGCTCGACCCCGATCTCGTGTAAACCTGCCAAATGGTCGTGGTAGCTCGAAGTCGCGTGGGCGTGAGAGTGACCGGTCTGGTTCGGGTCCATCTCCAAATGCTGATTGTGCTGCTGGTGATTATGGAGCGACTGATGCACATGATGTTGTTCATGCATCTGATGATGGTGCTGTTGTTCATAAGCGTCCTGGTCATGCTGAAGATGTTGTTGTTGATGGTCTTGTTCCTGCTGTTGCTGGTGGTGTTGCTGCAGGTGGTCCTGGAGCCCTTGCTCGTGCCCTCCCGAATGCTCGACCGCGTGTAGACCCAGATCGGGAACGCCTCCCGTATGATCCTGATCGTCTACTACACCCAAGGGATCGTGTTCATGTTCGATAGTATAAGCATTATGAGCCCCAGTCTCGGGGTCTAGGTGGACGCCGCCTAGAGTAGGATCGACGAGTTCGTGGTGCTGGTGTTGTTGTTGGTGGTGGTGGTGATTGTGAGCGTGTTGATGGTGGTGATGGTCCTGCAAGACGCTAGGGTCTTCGAGGTAGACTTGTTCCATCTTGGAATACTCTGTAAGGACAGTCCAGATACCGAGATGTACCGGCTTGGAAGGCAACAAAGTATCCAGGGGCATCGAGAAGAAGTACTGTACGTCGTTATAGCAATAGCGGGTCGAATAGCTAGCAAGTAGCAACTCTGGCTGGGAACGCGTGAGACTCGTCGTCGACCGCGCGCGTTGGGTCATTCATTCAACTTTATCAACATCGACCACCACCACCCCCTATCTGCATCGTCATCGATCATCGTAGAGTGCGTTCATGCGATCATGCTACAAATGAAACCTTTTTCGGCTGTCATCTACGCCTTGCCGCCTCTCCACTTCCTCTTCCCCTCACCCGTCCCAAACACCCCATCCCCCTTGCCCACATCCACGACCCCCCTGAACGCCCTTTCCTCCTCGCCTCCCTTTCCGAAACTCATCGGTCGATCCTCATGCACGCTCGTGGGCAACCCTACCCGAGCTTCTTCATCTCCGGTAAATTCTTTTCGGACGAGGTAGATCGACGTGAGGGCGTTGACGCAGGCTCGATGTTCGGCCATCTTCAGCGAAGAGCCGGACCCTTCTGCGAGTTTCAGGCCGGAAGGGAGGAAGAGACCGACATTGAAGATGGGCGAGATGGAATGTCGGCCGGACTCTGCCAACAGCCTGTGAAAAGTACGACACACCGCTTCCGTCAGCCTCATCCGGGTCCGCGTACAACGTGAAAAAATCTACGGAAAAGACTCGGCTGCTCACCTAGATTCGACCCCGGCTCCCAATCCCAACCGCCTCATCTCCACCCCCAAGACATGTTTCGGATTCCGAAAGTTCAACATGCTCGCCACGTCTACGTGACGGGTCAAGAATTGGTTGTGTACGAACTGACGGGCGGCGTTCATCCCCTGTAGTATAGACGTCCATTGAAGATTATAGTGCGAGAGGTTATGAGAAGATGAGATGGGACGAAAGAGACGAGATGATTTGAAGTGAGATGTCGGATCAGTACGAGCACGGATGAGCGGCCGCGAAAAGTCGACGAGGGTGACGATGAACGTACTCGTTCTTGGTAGACCAGCCCGACCAACGCCCTCACGCTGTCCGCTACGACGACTTCCCATCCTCTCTGCCCCTTTCCACCATCCCCTCCTCCCCTGACCCATCTGACCCTCAACCCTTCGCTCTGTCCGAACTTGGTCCTCCCGCTCCCCTCCGAACTAGACACGTTCACGCCTACGCCCAGCTCACGTCCGACAGATGCACAGGCGGAAGGACCGCAATACGCCGAGACGCTAGATTTGAGCACCCGGGTAGGAAGGTTAGGGTAGAGGGTGGATAGGTGTTCCGAGGTAAAAAGGCCGAGGAGGGAGTTGCCTAGGGAAGAGAGGAGTTGGTTGTTCGGTGATGCTGATGATGACGCTATTGTTGCTGATGTTGATGACGATTCGACCACGGTGGTATCCCCCTCTACTGACGACGAAGATGACGACGTCGGTCGTCGGACAGACTTGACCTTGTTCTCGTCCCAACTCCGATCCGTCAGGCAGACCAACACCTTGTCCTCCACCCCGGCACCTTCGCTCAGATTCAATTCCAACCTAGCTCCGAGAGCCGCCAATGCCGATCGCGGGATGGGCAGGTTTTCCGGAAAGTCCGGTCGATACAATGGGTCGAGAGATGGGTTGCGGTAAGTGGAAGGAACATTGGAGAGGTGGGGACGGGTGGTCGTGAGGGTTCGAGAGTGATGGAGGACGACCCGGCGTAAGGGGTTGGTGGTACGTGTGAGCGCCGACATGGTCGATCGCGAGGAGGCCATCCTTATTCGAATGTATACGTGCGGACTGATAGCCTGCGTGACTACGTCGAGTCTTTTGGGAGGTTTGCGAGATGTCGAGGTCTAGTCCTTGTCGAACCCTCTCGACATCAAACCGATCTCTCGACTTCTTGCTTGATCGCTCTCTCTCTCTCGTTAGTAGTGTCGCGCTTAGGGAAAAGAAATACGACGCGCTTCTACTTGACACACGCAACCACACAAGACAAACGCGCACGACATGAAACACTTCGGGCGTTTCGTGTTTCGTCTCGCCCATGCGCCTGTACTCGCTTGAAAGGTCGGACTATAACGGTATAATACTAGAACATCGGTTTGGTGACTCATCCGCAATCTGGCCCTAGTCCGATTTACGCCTGATAAGAACCGACCTTCCAAGGAGACGACGCGAACGGGAATTCTGGCAACACGAACCACCCGAACATGACGTACACTTTTATTGCGCCACATTGATGTGCTATATCGCGATGCAAGTCCGCCGAGTCCTATCCCTCTCCATCCAAGCTGTGCACCTCCTCGCCTCGTGCTTCCCGCATGCCCTCCGCATGGATTTATCGGCCCCGCGGAGTTGTCCGACAAAGGAAGGCCCATCGAGAACCGAAAGATCGTCAGTTATCCCGTGCATGGCGTGCTGTTCTCACTCCGCCTCGTGCTCTTACGCCCGGTCCGCCGTTTCTCTCTTAAAGCCCAGCGGGTGCCAAGACCCGGAGGAGTCGGGGTGGGGAACGAGCATTCTCTGAACATAGGATGGTTCTGCTTCTTCGACCTTTCCCTCTCCCTTCTACCCTTACCCTCAAGTCAGTCAATCCCACTTACATTGTTTGGAGCCGTATGATAAATATCGACGTCATGTTGACTCCCCTGATCAACAATGCAGGTCCCTGGAATATTTTTTCTCTTGGCGGCCGCCTGTCTTGTCACTCAAGAGGGTACTCGCACTAGATCATAACCTATCAGCAGGAGTCGAAGCCAGTGCATGTCATTCCGAGTGAAGGGTGAGTCGCGTCCGGACCCCTGTCGTTAAAACGAGACGATACTCACATGTCTCACATTTCCTCCAACCTCAGACTATTACTCACGGTACGTGCAGTATTCCGAACATCGAATATTCGAGTGACTGAAGCATAACGAATTGATCTGCTTCAAGCGAATAGTCTCGAATGGGAGATCGGTCGCGGCGGCTTTGGCAAGGTTTGCGTCGGCTATCGTCAATCTGAAGAAGAGGCCGAGGTCGATTGTTTCTGCGAGGATTGCGAGGCCAAGAAACAGGTCGCTATCAAGCTCGAGCGGTGAGTTGGGTCATCGTGAAAGTTCTTTGAGATGGCCTCTTGGGAAGAAAGCTGATCACATTAGGGGATGTGTGATTTGGGGGGAGAGAAGTGTCAAGGCCGGGAGTTCGTATTTGCCCCATGAAGCAGGCGTATTGAATCGTCTTCAGGGTGGTCCAGGCATACGTGAGCCCACTGCCTTCTTCTCTCACCGCATTTGGAGATCATACTCATCGGTGCTTATATCGTACAGCGAGGTTCTTCCTCTACACGCGGACAGACGTACCCGTCCGGAGATCCACTCCTTCTCGACCGTCTACCCCTTCATCCCCTCGGAGCAGTCAGAATCAGAATCACGGCAATTACGTCAAGTCGCCGCTCTCGAGTCCGACAGTATCGACAACTAGCTCTGCCGCGTCAGCTCAGTTGAGGGGCCAATCTTACGATTGCCAACAGCCCGCTTCTGCTCTACCGAAAGAACCATATCACGCTCTGGTCATGCAACGTCTAGGAAAAGACCTCGGGAGTATGTTCAGACGCCATATACTACAGAACGCCAGCAGCACACGTCTACCTACGACCACTCCGCAGCTGGATCATCAATACCCGCACCATCATCGTCCTTCAACACCCGCCTCTGCTCATAATCACAGGCCCAACCCGAACGCGCGACCCCCTATGCGGAGATTCGAGCCTGTTCTGGTATCTCAAGCAGGATGGGATGTGGATACCGTCTCTTGGATCGGCTTCAATTTGCTACGAAGCCTTGAGCATATGCATCAGAAGGGATTTGTACATCGGGACATCGTGAGGATACCGTCTGGCTTCATCATTCATGATCACGAACCGAGCTGAATTCTTCCATGCTGCAGAAACCGGAGAACATGTGTATCGGAGCGGGAAACCAGCGTGATTCGTTGTTTCTTATAGAGTGAGCACAAAGGGAAAGGGGAAGATGTGCTCTAGCTAATATCTTCGGTGGCAGTTATGGTATGGCAAAGGCTTATAGAAACGCTGATGGTACGCATATCGATAAGCCAAGCGACAAGGCTATGTGTGTAGGGACTCAGGCGGTAAGCTACCTCTATCTCGTTCGCGCTTAGGTCCACACTAACGGTTCTGGCATCATGATTCAGTTTATGAGTCGACGATGTCGTGAGTGATTCCCAAGGAATGGTACAATAACGTAATAACGCTTACAGAAGCGCACGCTAAAATTTGGATGTACCGGCAGAAACCTCGCGACGAGATGATATCGAGAGCTGGTTTTATGTCATCTCGTGTAAGTGTCATCAGCTCTATGGATCATGCCCGGACAGCGCTGATGCTGCTTTGTCAATCTCTACCAGATTTGTATCACGGTAAGGTTGGACTGTGACTATCGACAGCCTCGTCATCTACTAAAACCTTGCGTGTCAGGTCGACTCCCCTGGTCAACACATGCCCAGAAGTTTGAGGAAAGCTTCGCAAGGTCCGGTCAGAAGTGGACCAAGGAGTCAATCACTTTAAACACGGACATACAGCAACAGAAGGAAGCTCTCTTTGCCTCGGGAGGTGCTAATCTGGATCTCCGTAAGTGTAACCACAGAGTCATGTCCGTAGTAAAGAAAAGGCTCAAGCCATTGTCATCGTAGCGAGCGAGCTACATCTCGTTTTGAGGCACATCTCGGGGCTGTCCTTCATCGCCAAACCAGACTATCGGTACCTTGCAAACGCCTTGCAATCCTGGAGACGTACAGGGCGACATCAAGAGAAAAAAGTCTGTCTGATGCATAACCACAACAATTCACCTCGAGCGACACCGGGTTGGAAGCGTAAAGGCTATTTTGACGAGTGATTTGTGTCTATGTTCGGGCGTCCTGTACACCATCTTGCCTGGTAGAGCCCAGGAACCCATGTTTGTCTCGTACCGTCAAGTATCACTATAGTTCAGACTCCTAGCTTGCTAGTTTTACACATTGTATCCAACCGGAATCTTTTACTACCACGGGTAGAAGACTATTCTTGAATCGAAATCAAAGCAGCGCGCATATACCAGCACCCGACCTCGAGCACCACCTTCCTTTCGTTCCTCCTCGTTCCCTTGTGTGCTTGCCCTCCCATTCTCAAACGCTTCACGATTCCGCCATGACGACATCGCTCTTTTGGACGAGACCGTCGACCCACTTGTGCATCTCGGTCTTCTTGAGTTCCCGATGACGATCATAAGCGGCCGTTGTGGCAGCAACGTCCTTATCAATCGATTTAGTATCGCGATGGTAAAAGTCCTCGGTGCCTGTGATCAGATTGGTATTCCTTCAGTTTGACTGCTAGCACGAGGGGTGCTTGTTGTTGACATAGTCCGTTTCTTTTTTCACTCACCTGGCACGAAAAACATGCGATATCGTTCCAGCGATATCTTGACAGCCATCCCGCTATGTGCCTCTTCTTCGCCTCGGTCTTCCACTTCCACCAGGTTCCTGACATATACCGGCCGCGTCAGCTCAACCGTCAGAGATTCCGGCGCTGGTCATGGCGACTCACCTCCTGAGGAAAGGTGGCTCGACCGCGAAACCGAGCCCTTCCGTCGGATGAGCCAACGTAAAGCTATCGATATAAGCTTCCCACTGTTGCTCGGCCGTCTGGATGTCATCTGTTGTGATGTCTTCCTTGGCTAGCAGGATGATTCGAAGTCGCTTGGTCGTTCCCAGCTACGAGAGGACGAAGGAGCCGGGTCAATATACAGGGCGCGTCATCTCCGCTCCAACAGTGGGACCTACCCATTCGATCTTGAACACGTTTTCATCAGGTGCCAGCGTCTTTTCTGCTTCGACCCGATAGGCGATCTGTTGTCTGATCGACCGTCCACCCTCGTACTTGCGATCGGCCTGCAACAGCGCGTACAACTCCTGGCTCTTGCCGTCGGTCAAGATGTTTTGACAGTGCTTGATTACGCCCGCGACAACCTTGTCCAGTGTAAAGGCCGGGTAAGCCCTGATCCCGTACATGTATCTCACAGTCTCCTCGAATGTTGGGGTATCGATCTCGCCGTCGAACAACTTTTCGCACTGGTCCAGGAGGTGAGGGTAAAAGTGAGACGCCGGGTTGGCGCCTTCTTCCAAGATGGCCGCGGCAGGATCGGTGAGGCCGAGTTGTTTCGCCATAGGATTGACCGGCTGGTAACCAGCAGCGTTTTCCGACAGGCCCGAAGCGAGGTCCTTGAACGTCTTGAGACGCGAGTAGAGGATCTATCGGGTGAAACGCATTAAGCCATCAGCGTCACGCCTTGATTGTCATGTCAGCAAAGGAAGACTCACCTGCAACATGCGGAAGAAGCAAAAGTAATTGTTGTTGCCGAAAAAGACGTGTCGACGAGGCGTCTTCTTCGGAAGCTCCGTGTCCACTTCTGATGCTGCCGCCTCGACATTCAACCACGTCTTTTCGCCCTCCTGTAATGCCACTCGGCTAGCAGCAACATCCTCGTCTTCTACGACGCCTTCCTCGCTCAATATGACAGGATCGGTAACGGTCTCGCCATCAGCCATGACGACGTCGCCATTGGTATGATCCGCCTCGGTGGCAGCCTCGGAGGGCGCAGGAGTTGCAGACCCAGCCCGCTTGCCACGCTTTTCGCCGGCTTCGACAACTTGCCTGAGCAACTTGGTTCGCAGGTCACCCTTGCCTCTACCTTTCCTACCGCCGACGTTGCTCGCACGATCTTCATCATCTGGCAGACTACCGGCATCGCTCGTCGCATCGCCCGCTTCGCTGCCGCCTTCCTCGCTCGTTCCGTTGGCGAGTTCCCCAAAGGTAGCATCGTACTCTTGTGCGTCGAACTGGAAAAACGTCGGGATGAAAGCGCGAATGAACGACTCGACTCGGTCTCGATCGGCAGCGGCCAAGGTCATTCGATCGAGGTAAGAAAACGAAAGTTTTAGGGCGTCTTGCAAGCAGTCGATGTCCTCGATCGAGAACTTGTATTGACCACGCTCAAATCCGGCCAAATGCGTCGCTTCGCCTGATGCTGCCTGCTTTTGCGTTTGCTCCTGACGCAGCGCCTCGACCTCGGCGATCAGGGTCTTGGCAGCCAAAGCCTTCTTGTCGTTGGCCTTGAAGACAACGCCCTGGTGGTCGAGTGACTTGTAAAAGTTCTTCGCATCGACCTCCCGCCAGACCTTGTTCCATTCGCGCTGAGCCTTTTTCCACTCTTCGTCCTTTTGCTTCAACCGAGCGAGGACGACGGGGATAGCCATGGCAGGCTGTTCGTGCAGAGCGGCTATGACTTCGAGACCCTGCTCCCGACCGTAGATCTTCTTCAGGATCCGTTGGTAGATCGATTTGCTCTGACCGCCGAGACCGGGCTTGAGCTTCCACTGGGCCTTTTCCAGCTCGTCCATCTCCTTGATCCTGGCATTGAGCGGCTCGAGCAAGGCGATGGTGCGAATGTTGGCCTCGATGTGATAGTCGTACTCATGACGCTCCTCTTCGGTCTTGTGAAGGGCTTCTTCATAAGCATTACGTTTGTGAGCTGCTGAAGGGACGGCGTCTTCCGATGCCCATGTTGGGTGTGATACCCATTCATCGTTGAGGACCTCCCAACACATGGGATCCCGTCCTGAGCAGGCCAGATTGACTTCCTGCAAATGTAAAGGAGTCATTTTGAATGTACTGCAACTCGCATCAACCTTCTTGGCTTACCGACTTGGGCAACTTGCGGTAACTCGGTCCTGACGCGCGCTGGTTGTTCAGGTCAACCTTGGGTCGTTGCAGCATGGGTATATTCTCGGCGACTCCGAGAGGGTCGAGGACAATCATCCCGGTCGGCGGATTTGATATTTGACCCTGAGCGTCGACATTGACCTGACTCCAGCCAACAAGCGCCTTGAATTCGCGGAACAATTCGTTCTGATCGCCACCGAGGAACAAGGCGGCGCGCTCGACCAAGGTCTTGGTATCAATGATGTCGTTGACGAACATGTTCAAGAGCTTCAGGAATTCGTGATAGGTGACCCGATCGTCGATCTGCTTCTTGACGCGTTCGAAAAAGACGACTTCGTTCTGACTTGCGAGGGTATTCGGGCCGGACGGAGGTTGAGAGGATGGCGGACCGGCATTCGGAATGTCTTCGGCTGGTGTCGCATCGCGGTGTGCGACCTTGCTCTTCTTGCTCTGCGAAACGTCAGTGGCCAAGTTATGCCCTTAGCGATAGGTCGTCTCTTACCCTACTAATCGGTCTACTTACCCTCGCACCACTCTTGCCCTCCTTGTCGGCAGCTCGCTTTTTACGCGAACCTCCTGCGGCAGGGGCAGCCGGGACTGCGGCCTCCTTGATATCCTTTTCAGCCTTGCCTCCGCGCTTACCCTTCTCAGCACCTGCCTGAGGTGCAGGAGGAGCCTGAGGTCCAGCAGGGGCGATGCCTCCCCCTCCGAAGAGATCTCCGCTGAACAACCCACCCGAGCCTTGTTGGCCATCGGCGCCAGGCAAGAACTGAGAGAACTCTTCAAGAAGGTCAGGCGCATTGTCAAACAAGATTGTGACTTGCGAGTAGACCTGGCGCCGACAATTCCCGCATAACCTACTATCAGCAAACAGTACACTTCGGACACGGTTTTACATCACTCACCTCGTTGATATCCTTGGTCTCCTTTTGATACGTCTGGAGGATCTCCAGAAATTGCTTATACGTCTCAGGATCAGCTGCGAACCTGTTCTTGATCTTGTTGACAAACGCGATGGCGTGGTTGAACTCGACCATCTGGGCGGGTCGCTCGTGAGTCTCGCGGAGCTGTTGCTGCAAACGGCCCGGCATGTTGTTACCTGCGGCAGGAGGGTACTGCTGCAGTGCTGCCTGTTGTTGTTGCTGTTGCTGCTGCTGCTGTTGTTGTTGCTGTTGTTGCTGTTGCTGTTCCAGTGTAGCCGTCTGGGCCGCATCCTGGTCTCGCGGCGTGACCTGCTGCGCATTCATCCCGCTAGCCAGTAATTGAGCGGCACCTGGTGTCGAAGGTCCACTGGGGCCTCCGTTTGCGACTCCAGCACGGTCCAGCCCGGCGACCGATGAACGAGGCGGTAAGCCCAAATCCGCTGGAGCGGGAAGATTGCCAGATCTCGATTCCGTCTCGTTCTCCTTGGGTCGACCACCTTGGCGTCCGTAATCGTAGTCATCGTCGTAGACCCGCTTTGCACCTTGCCCAAGATAATCGAGTGGGGGGTTCCGGCCCTGCGAAAATGATGAAGGATGAAGGTAGGCGGTTCGGTGAGATCTCTCGTTCGTGCCAACATCAACGCCCTGTTTCCCTACATCTACCCCATGGCCCAACTGGCCTCTCCTGCTAAATTCGTCCTCCTCCGGCGCCCTTCTGAAGATACGATCATCTTGCGTTCGTCGTGATTGTTCCCGGTCCCACGCATTTCCTTCCCTAATTTCGATAGCACCGGCCCCAGTAACAGCACCTACGCCTGCCCCAGCACCAGCTCCACCCAAGATCGGCTGTTTCCCCCTCAACTCTCTCTCCCTCCGAGCATCCCTCTCGCGCTCCCTCTCTCTCTCTTCCCTGGCGGCCAACTCGCGCTCCTTGGTCCTCCTCTCCCTCTCAGCCGCAGCGAAACCTCCAGGAATCTGGTTGACCGTCCCACTCGGTGTCGTCACCGAGATCATCATCAATCCCTGTCCGGACTTGCCAAACGCTGGATCTCCGCGCAAGGAGACGGGGAACTCTTGAGGGTCGGTCGACGTGTAACACTCGATGCGGTAGCCGGGCGGCAAGAATGTGTTGAAACCTTGAATCAGGGAGGGATGATAGTGAAACAAGGTGGACACTCGGTCGATCACTCCAGGAGTATCGATACTGTAAAAGAAGGAGAAAATACAGCGGATTATCAGCATCACTCCGCCCTTGTCAAATCGGACAAGGACCAGCCTGTGCAGGTGTACTCACGTCTGCCCCTTGAACTCTTTCATGACATCCAAGAACCGGTTATACACGTCCGGCTGATCGGCAAATTGTACCTGGAAACCCGTCCGGCCAAAAAGCGCACGATCATTCAGTCGATGCCCATCTTTCTACTATACTCGCACCGCCATTGACGAAACGCAGCTCTGAAGACAAGTAGGAAACTCACCTTGACCTGATCCAGATAACTCAGAGCGTCCCTGACGTTCAACGGCCTATAAGCCGCCCCGCCCGCACCCGCACCTGCCGCTGCAGCTCCTCCCGCTGCAGTCGCAGATCCCGCTGAACCAGGTGCAGCACTCCCAGCACCAGCCGAAGGCGATCCAGCTCTACCCGCCGAACCCGGTCCTTGACCCTGTCCGAACCCAGGCGTGCTCGTCCGATCCTGTTCCCCGGCTCCAAGGCCCGCAGATTGAGGCCTAGGTTGACCGGGAACAAGGTTCTGAGCCGAAGGCGATCCGATGCGTGGGAGACCTTGAGATTGAGATTGACCCTGTGACTGCGATGGTGCTTGTCCCGGAGCCAAAGCCTGACCGGGAGCTTGACCTTGAGGTGCCCCAGACCCCGCGGAAAGTCCTGCGAGACCGATACTCGCGGCGTCCATCTTGGATTCTCCCAAAGTCGGCGACTTTCGCTGTCCGGAAGGTTGACCTCCGGGTCCATGAGTCGAGATGGGGGACTGGTTTTGAGTCTGGTTCTGCAGAGTCGACGTCGAGGCGGGGTTGATACCATTTGAGCTCAAGCCTACACCTATGCCCGCGCCGGTGCCTGAGCTGTTAGTGGCGGCAGAACCACCGACTCCGAGACCAGGAGCGACAGCAGAGGAAGCTCTCGAATAAGTCGTCGAATGTGCTGGCGAGTTGCCATACGCCGGTCCTCCTGCTGAAATACCCAATCCACCGCCTAATTGACCTTGACCTTGACTGGGTGGCCGTTGACCTTGCGGTTGACTTGGGGCTTGGCCCTGGCTCGAACCCTGAGGCGCAAGACCGTTGTTGTTGCTGACTGTGCTGCCGCCGGTACTCCCGATCCCGGACGTCAGGTCTTTCCCCGAATCCACCACCATAGCGCCCGATCCTCCAGCCGTACCGGACCCAGGGCTAGGCCGGCCATCGTCCCTTGGACCTCCCCCTACATTGATATTGGATCCCGAACCCGTGTTCATGACCGGACTCTCAAGGTTGGTATTATTGTTGGTGCTAGTTGCGTCCGAAATAGAGGTAGGTATAGATATGCCACTTGGGTTGGGACTGTTATGGTTGCTGGTCGGGCCAGAACTCGAAGCAGGTTTCTTCTTGACGTTGTTCTTCTCGGTGTCGTAGGGTTTAGGTTTAGACAATCTCGAGGAGGAATCGACCAAGGAGGATTACTTTCGAATATGGCCTTCTAGGAGAGTAGATAGGATGATCGCCTGTGAACCGCCTTTCCTCTTGTGCAGGCTAGACGAGGAGAAAGAACGTGTACGAGGATATGATCGATCCTAGTCCAGACTATCGCAAGGTGGGTAGATAGGTAGGCTTGCTGATGAAGAGGATGGGGCCTGTATCTGAGGAGTAGCTTCAAGTGATATCGATGCAGCAGCTAGAGCACAGAGAGAGGTATTATCGTCAGCTTGAGGCTCTTCCGCTAATAAACATGGCAACGCCGGTCCGGTCTATCCTTCTCTTCCGCCTTGTTTTTCGGTAGCCAGACGACTCACCCTCACCGTCTGTAGACGTCCTCTGACTGTCTTTGATACACTATAGAACCACAATCGTGTTGCGGCAGTGTGCCCAAAAGGTCGAGCCGAGACGATGTGATGAACCTCTCCCGTGTGTGATCCTGGTCCGATCGATGACCCGGCAAAAGGGAGGGCGAGGCCGGTGTTCTCTACTGTCAAGCTACACCTCCCGGCAAGTGTGGAAGGAGAGCCGAATGTTCGTAAAGAGATGAGCCTGTTTGTAAATCTGAGAGCAGGTCGTGGTTGGATCAGAGTAGCTGACCTAGAGTAGAAGGTCAGCTAGGTAGGTACAACGAGCAGGAGGACGGGGTGTTGGGTGGTGTCCCCTCCCTCTCCGTCACCTTTTGCATCCGCTTTCGGCCTATCGACGGTTTTTTGCATCCGCCCGATTAGCCCTTGACGCGTTTCTGGGTCGCATCACGTGATTGACCGGGTCTCTTAGCGACAAGACGCGCGTTTCATCGCTCAAAGCCGATGACGAACCGGTCGTTCGATAGCTCGACAGATAGAAGTTAGAAGGTGAAGCCGAGTCGCTCCATAACTAATTGTGCTGGCATCTTTAAGGAGCAAGCTACTACGTGCCACATGTCCTGCGACGAAGACAGCCCCGATCGAGAACATCTGCAACATCGACGTCATTTGTACAATCGGGTCTCCACAAGCCAGAGCAGAACGCATCAAAGCACTCGAACGGAATATTCAAGGTCTAGGCGATATGTATAAGGCAGCAAAAAATCCCGATTGATATTTTGCCTGCTTTGCTCCGGAAGGAGCTCTTCGGTGTAGCTTGCTGCAAGCATTTGTAGCTCAGTCTTGTAGCCCGTTGGCGGACGACCGACGAGTTGCCCACACAACGAAATGAAAGGATGGGGACGTTCAACTCGAATATTCAGAAGCTAGTATACGAAATCTCCCGCCGCGACTGTAGCCACATCCCGAACTCGTTTGCACGTTCCAACCTCACTTCCACATTATATGTGCCGAGTCTGATTTTCAAAGCGGGCCTCGGCACACTATATTGCAGCATATGCCCTCTATCGACTCGCATACCGCCGGTCCACGTGGTTTCAAGAGCCTGCCGATCACGTCTGGGGACTCATCTTTCTTGTATCTACACAAATAAGCGCTGCCACCGGCTCGTAGTTGCACGTATCAGGTGGCTGAATTCTCCTGGCCGCTCTGACTCATCTGCGGTACATAATGACAGCGGCTTGCAAGTTCTCACAGACTCTCAGTCTAAGATCTTGTTACGCCCCGTCCACTGAGAAGAAGATAGCGTTCTTAGAGGAACGGAGTCATTCACGTATGGTTCCGATGCGTCTCTCGATTCAAGAAGAGATACAGTTCGAAGTCGACGTACGGTATTTGTTATGTCTCACCCGCCTGGCGACGTGTTAGGAACCCCTAGCCAAACATATGATCACCCAGATTTCCGTCATCCGAGCCGTATCACTGTCAGGAGATCATGGGGCCAGACGTACTATCGCTCGGCAAAAAGAGAAAAGAGAAGAAGCCGGCTACGGCGTATACCAAGTCAGGCTTTGATGGCTTACAATTCCTTGACGATATTGTTTATTACAGACTGTCTTACGAAGAGCGGATCAACATTCTACTCTCGTTCGGATTGATCAATCGTACGGCGTGGTAGGGGGATTTGTGGACCGCCTGCGACGAGGTCGACCCGCTGCTGCCGGCGGTTCCGAAACGCACTCGTCGGCGCGCGGGCGGCGAATGGTGGAGTGGCTGCCGTGATCTCGTCGATTTATTTTCTGTTCCCGTTGTCTGATCCCGAAGGATCGTCCCCTTCCTGCCTTTCGCCTGTGTTTGCCATGCGATTTCTCTAGCGCTGGCTGGGTTGACCTCAGCAGCCTCCCTCTTGTCTCGCTCCAGCCCGCTTTCGATATTCTCCGGGGGTTACGACAGCACCTTCACCTTTGATCTTTCGTCGCCATCACTAGACTACTCTCTATCTGTTGTATGCATGTATGTTCAGCTTGCAGCAGTCATAGCAGTTGACAGGTAGAAATTCCAAGCGAATCTGCGGTTGACTCGAACCGCTAGTCCGCACTCGGTTGATCTCGAACGCACACCGGACATCACGAAGAAAAGCATCTGGTACTCCACCCTTTCGGTCCAATCACCGTCACCCGGTTTTCAATCTCTTGCCCTCGACAACTGCGTACACACGAGTCTCTGGGAGGCAGAAACTGTCTCCACGACTCGAGACTCGAAATTGACGACGAAGATGTCTGGACCAGATAATAACGATGTCACGCCGATGTATAACGGTGTTCCGACTCCCGTATCCACTCGGGTCTATGCTCGACAAGGACCGACCATGACGAGCCATTCGAGCTTTCTCTCCCCCTACCTCGGTTCTGAGCCGGCTTCTTCGTCGTCTTCGGGTCCTCCTGGTCAATCACAGGAACAACTCCAGGTCTCGTCTTCTTCCTCTTCCTCGTCGCCATCGGGCCCATCCCCATCGACTTCGAACCCTGCATCACCCACCAAACGTACCAATCCATCACGTAACCCTTCACAAAGACGACCCCCCAACTTGACTTCGCGATCGACGATGATGCGTCGACGAGCCGCTCTCGAAGATCTCTGTCTCGGTGTAGAAGGGGTGCCTATGCACAGGGAGATGCTCAACGACTTCACGAGCGTGGTCAAGAGGGTGTTTGGGACCAAAATGAGTATGGTATCGATCATGAGAGATGAGATCGAGATGATAGGGATGCGAGGTGAAAAGGTGGGTCGGCGAGGCGCACTCTCGAGTCGGATCGAATCTGACCACGAAGGGCTAATTTTCAAGCATTCTTTTTTCGAAATTCGCTTCTTTCCTCTCCTTCTTTCTCGTCTTCCTCTTCATATCTACTCTGAATACGACACAACCGAAACGACTTCCAGCCGGCCGATCTACAATGTCCCAGCGAAAATTCGGTCTGCCCTCATATCATCAACTCGACCACGCCCCAATCTATCACCTACCGAGACCTCGACAAGACCGAAAATAAGATCCGCCAGATGAACGTGTGGAAACGGCTACTCTATCCAGAGGCCATCCAGCGGCGTGGGCTGAAAGGCGGGATCGATGACGATAAGGACGACGTGAATAATCAGGAGAGATTAAGGTTTTATGCTGCGGTGCCTCTGGTCATTCGCTGGCCGGGTGATGCGCCGGATGAAGAACCAGCTGCAGGTGAATGGGACGACACCCCGCTAGGGGAAGAGCAGCGACCGGTCATGTCACCCACGTCGTCTTCCGTGGCGATCTCTCCCCGTTCGTCATCATCATCGCCCACCCCAGGGTCTCCTCGTCGGACGTATAAACCGTCGTCCATCAAGGACCGCCATCTCCCGCACGATCTGATCACGCTCGGTACGCTTTGTATCCTGGATACCGAGCCCAGACCGAATTTCAGCTCGGAAGAGGAGGAGACATTGAGACAGCTCGGGGATCTGTTGGTCAGGCTCATCTGCACGGAGCAGAGCGAGGGATGGGCTATGCGTGAGGTCGGAGGATATAAAGGTGGGTCGAAGTGAAGCGAAGTTCCTGATAATGCTTGCTGGCTCCTCGAGCTCATGTTCCGCACCATCGATTTCGCAGTGATTATCGATTTCTTGCATCGCACGGCCTTGTCCGATCAGATGACGTTTGTCACCGAACAAGCAGAGAATGAGCCGACGGGAAAACTCGTCGACAGGTCACAAAAGCCCGAAGATTCGATCCCGCAGACGCCAGGGTCAGAGGTCGGCTCGTTCATGAGCAAGAAATACGACGCCAGCTTCATGGTCATGCCGGACGACGGCGAGGAGAAACGCTCCGAGTCCGAGCTATACGATGATGCCATCTGCTCGATCTGTGACATTATCGAAGACTGCGCGGTCGTGCTGTTGGATGTTTCGCAATATCGGATATTTTTGAAACGCGAAGAGGGGGCCAAGAACGATCTTCATCATGCGCTTGTCGATCACGACGAACCATTCCTCAGTAGCGGATACGATATCCGGCCGCTGGCCAACTTGATGCCGGGTGCCCTGCAGACGGCATCTACTCGCGATCTGGTCGTCAAGCGGATCCGGAGGAAAAGGGAAAACGGCCAGTCCGTTGGTCCCAGACGACTAGCTGCCAAGGTCGCCGATATCTCGTTCCACTCGCCGTTCAACCAGGACGAAGAGGTGTTCTCCGAGGGTGTGGGCAAGCTGCTACGGCGGATGCTCTTGAGCGACCAGTATTGGTACAATGAGGGTGGTTCGACCGACTCGGACGATCCTCAGATTCTGGCAGAGGTCGCACCTGGCGCTCAGTGGATATTGGCTTTGCCTGTGTGGCATTCTGATGGGAGCCCCTTCAAGGTGCTCGTCATAGCTTGGGATCATCAGCCTGCACGGATGGACGAGACGGAACGGTTTGTACGCGGGATTGTGGCTGGAGTGTCGGCTGCCATGACTATTCGCAAGGCCAGATTGCTGGAAAAAGCACAGAGCACATTCTCCAAGGTTCAGGCGCAGTGAGTGGAAAAGAGCGCCGACTCGACGCTTAATCAACATGCACGATGGCTTACTTTCTGTATCTCGCCAGTGAGCTTCGTACGCCAATCCATCAGATCAAGAACATTGCTACCTTACTCCGATCGGCCGTCACCGATGGTGCTCCGCGCGACAATGTCTTGACCGCCATCAAAGACATCGAGGTGGCCAGTCAGCGCCTCGAGATGGTGACCAACAACATCCTCAGCTATTTCGAAGTCCAGAGCGACGGTGGAGAATCGAAAGAATCGCTCCAGGCCATCACTGAGCGGAATATGACCAAGGAGAACACCGCACGAACGCTCGAAGTCATGCTCGCCGATCTCGTCGAGGCTCTTGTTTCGACCGACACGAATGCGCGACTCCAGGAAGAGGAGACGCAGCCGGAGATTGAGATCATCATGGAGATCGTACCTCCGTTTCTCGGTGAGACGGTCGAGGAGGATCGGAACGGCAACCTCGCAAGGTGCGCCGGGTCGCATTGCATGTCCGTATGATCATGACACTGACGATGATGCATCTTTCTCTCACAGGGCCATGGGCAACATCATCTCGAACGCGCTCGCTTATATAGATCAACCCAAAGGTTTCGTTCACATCATCATTGACGATGTCCCCAGCCTATTGCCGCCGAGCGGCTACGCAGACTTGTCTTTGACCAAAAACGTCAGCATTCAAATCCAGGATAGCGGGATCGGGATGGATCGAGAATATCTCGAGTACCATTATTTCCGTCCGATGAAAAAGGAAAATGCGCTGAAACCTGGAAGCGGTCTCTCGGTGCATATCGCCCAGCGGCTCGTTCATACGCTGGGGGGTAACATTGCGGTCAGCTCACAGAGCGGAATGGTGAGTCTCGACTAAGATGTCGGGCAGCAGAAGAGCAGAACTTTTACTAATCATGCACGCACCGCGCTAGGGCACGACCGTGCACATCGAGGTACCGCTTATGCGCAGACGGATGACCCACGCAGTCACCGCAGCCGTCAAGCCCGGTGACCCGGATAAAGTAGCGAGCAACATTGAGGAGACCCAGCCGAGCAAAGCTTGCTACCTGTCTGGATTTTTTGGTGAAGAACGCGGGCTGGGATTGAACAATGCTGGAAAGGCTCTCGGCCGGTCGATTGAACGACTCGGCTGCAAGGTCGTTCAAGACATCTCCCAAGCTGATCTGATCCTGCGCAACGTCTCGATCGGACGCAAAATCGACTTTGGACAGGCCCGTGAAAAGTGTCCGGCGGGTGAACTCGTCCTGCTATATGGCATGGAAGATCAACGTCAAGAGGTTGAAGCCGTCGCTTCGGAGAACAACATGCGGTACTTCAAACGCCCGCTCATCCCCTCGGTTCTCCGGGATGTCCTGTTTAGGGAGAAAGAGCAGATCGCCCGACGTCGTCAGATCCGCGATGGGCAAAATCCTGCCAGTCCCGGGGTGAGAGAACCCAAAAGGCCGCCTTCGACGGAGAAGAGACCGGCGTTGAAACACAGGGCGAGCCCACCTGTGCAAATGGGTGCGACCGCCCCGATCTTGGTCGTCGAGGACAACCCCATCGTCAGTCCTTATCTGCCGGATCAGGTTCGAGGTGAACCGAAACGCTGATCATGCGAGATGCCTTGACTACAGAACCGAAAGATCCTGGTGCAGTACCTCAAGAAGAACGTGAGTTGCAACCCGTACTCGTTCGCCCGAACTCTTATTGAATGAGGATGCCCTTCTAAAATCATTGGTGATATAGTGGCCGGTACATCAAGCTGTCGACGGGGAGCAAGCACTCGACGTGTTCAAGCAGGAGACTGGACCGTGTGTCGGTAAGTGTCCGGTCGGGCGGTCGGGCTGGACAGTAGACGAGTTCGAGCTGACATTGGCTTCTTTGCCCTTGGCGTGTGTTCAGTCCTGCTCGATATCAACATGTAAGCTGGCATCAGTTGTAATGCAGGGCGGAAAGAGCGGTTCTGATTAAACGGTCTTTTGTGCTATTTCTGTCAGGCCAAAACTGAACGGTTTCGAGACCTGTAAGTCGCTCTCGTATCCGCTCGGCGTAAATCATGACCGCCGCTGATCAACGTGTATACGATTCTCCATCGCTTTATCAGCCGTCCAAATGCGTAGGATCGAAAAGGAACAAGGACGTCAAGCATCACAGATCGTCGCTGTGACGGCGCTATCGAGCGAAGAACACCGGTCACGTGGACTTAACGAGTCAGTCCTCTCGGATGTAACAGAGAACCCTGTGATTTGGTTGCTTACATCTCGATTCGATGTGACCGGTACTCGTATCTCACAGGTGCGGGATGGACGAATGGCTGGTCAAGCCTACCAATAGACAACAGATCATTGACGCGGTGCATACCGCACAAAAGGCCATTGCGAAACGACTGGCCGAGGTCTCTTCCGATCGAGATCAAGCAAGTCCCGATTTGACGTCTTCTGAGCAGACATAGCATAGAATATAGCATGGCATAGTGTTTTGGACGGCATTGGGATAGAACGGGCGTTCCGGCACGCACCGTCGAGGACTGGGTTTTCGATGCGACATGAGGATCTCGTAGCATGGACAGTGCCTTCTAGAGGACAACGGGTTTCGGTAACGTGGATATTGCGGGCATTTGGTATGTTGTATGTATCACGGGATAGATTGGCAGCAAGGGTTGTACGTATGCATACATGATACAGTACTATGTGGTTAGGCTCGTACCATCGTACCATATACCGTCCAAGAGCCAGGGGATGAAACGCGTGAGAAAGCGCTATCGAGGACGCGCGTACCTGGCGAAACCGACCCGTTTTGCCCCGCTCGTTCGATTTTCTCTCACCGAGCTTTCTTCTTTTTTGCTTCCGCCCTCGCTCCCCCTCGATTTTTCGCCGTTCGCGCCGCCTCCCAGCTCCCCAGCTCTCTCCATATCAAAGGTCGAGGGTTGCCCAAATCTCATCACACATCCTCTACGCCTGCGTTCCCCCTTCTCCCCTTCACAACTTATCCTCAACTTCGTAAGCATACCCACTGCAAAAGCGAGTCGCCCACCCTAGTCGACAGCATACTGATCTCGGAAATCCGCGACGACTCCTGCTTGCTTTTCCTTCGACACATTTCGTGCTCTGTACACGACTACAACTGCAAATTCGGGGGACATTGTTTCTTTTTCTTGGAAACCGTAGGGGTATGCACAAGTTTCCTTCGCCATCCTTTCCCGCGATGGGACGATCAGTCAGACTAATCGTCTCATCCTCGACGCTCCCTCTTCTCCCTGCTCCTGCTTCTTCATCGTCGTCCCTATCGATGTTGATCGCGGCTTCTCCCTTGCGATGCATGTCGACCTCTCGCCCGGCTCTCGCTTTCGGTCTCGCCCCCGGACGGTCGACGTATGAAAAATCGAATCACTCGGACGGCAACAACAACTCGTACGATCGACCGAAACGCTCTTATGACCGGCCTAACCGCTCTTTCGACGATCGGCGACCACCTCGACGGAACTACGATGACGATGGTAACGGCGAAACCTCTTCCTACTCGCGATACGGCAACGACGAACGTCGGCTCGGTCGGAATTACAATAGCTACTCAAAACCTTCTTATCAACAACAAGACAAATCAAAGATGTACGCTTCCCGAGGATGTTACAACGTGAGTAGTCACACAAGTCTCCGACACCTCGATCTCGGAACCAAAAAGCTCATGGATCCGTTTTGCTACAGTGTGGAGACCGTGAGTAGATGTGTTTTTTAGGGCTCTGGCGATGTGGGACGGCACGGCAGCGAGGCGATTTCGGTTCCGGGGAGCGAAGAAGATCTTTCGGCATGTCGCATGGAGCGAAGCGGCAGAGTCGAGCTTTCGAGTTTGCGAGGCGCACGTTACGTGGATGCGGATGATGATGTGAGAGTCGAGTGGTCGCTTCGTCCCTCCCCTTTACCTTCCCCGGTGGAGAGGGACGAGAGCAGCGAGTGTGTGTGGAGAGAGCAGAGAGAGCTGAAAACGTGTTGCTGTAACCTTTCCTTGCCCTCTTTTTCTTGATTATAAAACCATCGAAATCCTTCTCAAACCGTATCATCGCCATTCGTCTCCTCTTCATTGATTGATCAGATCGGTTTTGAGCTGCGCGTCTTTGCTTGCAATTTACATTGAGAGAGGAAAGGCACCGGGTCATATCGGCTTCCAACCGGACCCCCAAGTGACAAGAATCAGGAACAAGGTCGCTCTTAGGAAGCGACTCTATATCGACTGCGCCGTTGGAACCGAATATTCTCATGCCGTTGCCGTCCTGCAAAACCAGGCCTGACGAGGTCTATCTGACCCGGATGTAACTTACACTTCCTCCTGTCTTGCCGATCATCTCAGCCTCCCACCAGGCCGCCGCCTGCCCCACCACTGGAACTCCCACTTGTTACCAGTGCGGACAGCCCGGACACATCTCGAACGCCTGCCCCAACCCCAAGGCCCCTAAGACCTGCTACACCGTATGTCCTTGTCGGCCGAAGACCTTACTGAATACTCTGGGAGCTCATCGTCGACTCTCGCCCTTTGTCAGTGCGGTCAACCCGGCCACATCTCTTCCCTCTGCCCTAGCGGTGGTGCTGCCGGAGGTGCCCCCTCTGCCGGCGCTTGTTACAAGTGCGGACAGCCCGGCCGTGAGTTCGAGCTCCGACAATGCGATGACCGTTTCTTCATTGGTCGCTTACGTTTGCTTCTCGTGCTACGTTAGACATGGCCCGTGACTGCTCCCAAGGAGGTGTCTCCAGCTACGGCGGTGCCGGCCGAGCCGGTGGCAACTGCTACAACTGCGGGTGAGTTAGCTCGATCTCTATACTTTGCTTGTGGTCATGTGAAGGGCGATCGCTGATGTGTGGTTATGCCGTGCCCTTGATAGTGGATTCGGTCACCGAGCCGCCGACTGTCCTTCCCAGAGGGGCAACCAGGCCAGGTCGCAGGTCTGCTACAACTGCCAGCAGCCCGGCCACAGGGCCAACGAGTGCACGTGAGTCTCAAATCCAGGCTTATCTCGTGGTGTAAGGATGGCATCGCTGATACCATCATCCTGCTCGAACCACAGCAACGAGCGAGTCGAGCGACCCGCTATGAAGTGCTACAACTGCGGTAACGAGGGTCACGCCCAGCGAGACTGCCCCGAGGAGCGTGTTGGAGGTGCCTACGGTGGTGACAAGAAGTGCTACGTGAGTACAGGATCGATCTACTGTCGCCTCCTGTCACGGGTACCGACACTGAACCGATTTCATCGTCTTTGCAGAACTGTGGCGAGGTCGGTCACATCTCCCGAGACTGCCCCACCGCTGGCGAGACCCAGGCCTAAGCGTTTCCCGCATGAAGGGAAATGCTAGGCTTGTGGTCGTGTGAGCGGAGAGAGCCGGATGGACTGAACGGGTCGGGAGTGAGACCGCCAAAAGAAGAAGAAGAGCGAAAAGTAGCGAGAGAAAGAGAGAAAGAGAGCGAGGTACATGCAGGGTACCCATCACAATCCCCCATTCCACGACATTTCACCAAGTCCTTGTCGAAGTTTCTTACTTGTCCTTTTCGACCCGATTCATGCCATTCGATCTCTGTAACTACACACACACACATGCAGGCAACGCATATACGCACATTTTATATGTACTCGTCCGAGAGGATACCTGTGATCGTTCGTAGTGGAGATAGAGAAGTGATGACTGTACTGAGAAGACGCTGGTGGTCAACGAGGACCCTCGACATCCAGGTGGTTCCCGAAAAGTCTCACGTCTCTCCAACTTCTCTCACCTCGACCAGCGACCAGCCAACTCTTGATACATTCCTCTCTCGAATCATCATTAAATTTCGTTAGACCGACCGACCCCTCATTTTCACACTACAAGACCGTACACCACGCACCTTCCGTACGAGGCTGATCCCGTGTGCATGCCTCGTTCTCCCGATAAACGCTGGCCTTCGCCTAGCGAACGGGAGGACCGGAACCGTCGCTCGGGTCCTCCTCCTCCCTATGCCTCGACGTCTTCCTCTTCCGTCGTCCCGTCATCGTCTGCGAGGTATGACTACGACTATGACTCGAGATATGGGTATAAACGAGACGAGAGGAGGTATGAACCTAGAGAGAGGGAGAGGGACCGGTATGACGACGATCGGAGGAGGACGTGGACGGGTCGACCTGCGCCTGCACCTGCTTCTGGGTTAGGGGATCGTGATAGAGAATGGGAAAGGGAACGGGAACGGGAGCGGGATAGAAGGGATACACGGCCAGAGTATACGGACAGCTATAGACCTGCCTACGGACGAGACAGTGAGTTTGATATTAGGGTTGGAGATGATCTCGCGAACGCTTGTCGCTATTTCTGACATCCCGATTCGACATCTCGCTATGGCTATGCTAGACCCCCGTTCTTCCGCCCCGACCACGACGGCTTACCGCAACCCTTCTCCCATCCCTCAATCCCACCCTTATTCCCATCCTTCACATGCTGCACATCCACATTCCCACTCTCACCCTCAATCGTATGCCCACACCCAGCACCCTTACCATCAGCAACCGCGACCACAGGCACAATCACGATCACAAACCCCGACGCACCCAACCTCGAATCCGAGGTCTAAATCTAAGACTCCACCTAGATCTCCGAGCGTACATACCGAGGATGAAGGGTATTCCACTGAAGAAGGAATGATCACACCGAAGAAACCCAAGCCGAAGGATTTACCCAATCTCGTGCGGGGTTCGTCTATCGACCTGAAAGATGATCCTGAACGCAAGGGAAACGCCAAGATCGGATCTGCAGACATGACCGGTCCGGTGGATCCCTCCTCGATACCAAACCCAGCCTCAGTCCGGGCACTGGGTATATCTACCGGAGTTGTTGAAGCTACAGCCCCGAAGACCGAGGTCAAGATGGAAGAGCCTGAACAACAAATTGAGAACGGAGCGGCAACCGATAAGACTGAAGCAGAAGCTGGAGAGATCAGGGAACAACCTCCGACTCGGACTCGAGTTCGGGCTGTCTCGGCGGCATCGGTCTCAGGGATTTCAGAGAATGTTCCTCCATTGGAGATCGGGGAGATTATTCCACCTGTGAGGGATCTATCGAACGGAACGAGGCACGATGATTTACCGCCCAAATCGGATGGTCGAGCTCGATCCCCGAATCGCCTCGCCAGTATAGAGCCGGAAAGGCATCCGCGGGAGGGGGCCTCTCTTAACGGGGCCGGCCGTGCAGGATACTCTAACTCGACTTCGAATACGGGTTCGGGTTCCAATTACGGAGCACGGTATGGTGATCGAGAGCGGGATGGAATTAAAGGCAGGGACGATTACGACAGGGATTATGACCGAGGTCGGATAGGGAGCGCAGGCTATACTAGAGGAAGCGGGAGAGGTGTAGGCGGACCCCGCTCGAGGTATCCAGAAAACAATCGGAGGAGATCCAGATCACGCTCGAGGTCGGCCTCTAGGTCGAGATCGAGAGAACCCCGACCAATAGGCCAAGCGCAAGGCCAGACTGCCGCCCCGTACGCCTCGCAGGTCCTCTCCGCGCCTAAGGTCGAATCGCAGTCGATACCGGCCCGACAAGGACGTTCACGCTCTCCGCTTGGTAGAACACCTGCGCCGTTCAATAGGAAACGATCACGATCACGGTCCAGTCGGAGCTCGTCTTCCCGATCAAGATCAAGATCCCGGTCCCGGTCCCGCTCGTCCACTCGGTCGAAGAAAATCCCTACAGCTCCCAAAGGCCCGAGGAACTTTAACCCACCTACAGGTCCAAGCGGACGAGGAGGATACGTTCCGCGAGGCGGGTTCCGAGGGAGAGGGGGAGCTGGGTACCATCATGCCCACACGGGATACGGAGGAAGGGGAGGGTATGCGGCCCCGGCTTGGGCGCCTAGGTTCCCGGCCGCAGCAGGCCAGACGGGGGCAGTACCGCCTGCAGGGCCAGCTGCGGATAGATTGCCAGCTTCCACTCCTGTTGGACCGAGTCTCGATCGGGAAAGGGAGCGTGAACGGGAACGTGAAAGGGAGAGAGATAGAGAGAGGGAGAAGGAGAGGGAGAGGGATAGAGATGAAAAAGAACGTACGGTACCGGTGGTAGGCAAGTGGGCTGCGAGAAAAGCGATGGACGCGGCGGAAAGAACGCCAGAGACGCCTTCTCGTCGAGACGATAGGGCGTTACCTCTTAGCAGCTCGCCGATCCGTCCGACCGAGACATCGGCAAGAGATCACCGGTCGGCTAGGGAAACCGGAAGGTCGCCCATATACGAAAAGAATGAAGACGATATGAAGCGGGCGGGCGTGAGCAGACAGGATACAGGAGGATCATTCCCGGGAAGCGGCAAGCGGGAAGATACCGCACTGCCATCGCCATCTCTGAATCCTTATCAGCCGAGACAAGAGGTCCGGATCTCCTTGACCCAGGCGACCAAACCGGTCCCAGAGATGGAGAGAAAGATGCCGACGGCGCTCCCGAGCATCACGACGCCGAGATCGATGGCTTCCCCTGCGCAGGCGGAGGGCGACAAGAAGATGCAGCAGGTGCTCTCCCCTCTTGGATCGAGCGTACCTTCTCGCCCCATCACGCCTGTTCCTCAAGCCGGAGCCGTCAAGCCGGAGTCGCTGCAAGGACCGTCCTCGAGGCCTTCTTCTAGCCACGCACAGCAGCAACAGCCAACACAGCTTCAGAACCCTCAACCCCAGCGTAGTCGCTCGCATCGACACATCGATCGATCGTGGCGGGGTTATCCTGTGCCGAAGGAGATCACTGCTCGACCACATCAAGTGAGCGAGACGCTCGTTCACGTGCCCGACTCGGACAAGATGGAAGTGGACGCCCAGGACGGTAACGATCCGCAGACAGGATCGATCATCAGGATCAGAACTCGTGATGCGATTCCTGGAATGGAACACCTCGATGGCGAGGTATGTCCCGGTGTCATCACGATTGGAGCAATCGCTTGAAATTGACCCTGTCTGATCTTCTTGCAGCTGACAAGACTTCGCCACGAACGTGAAAAGATGCACTACGCGTTCCAGTCCCAAGCTGCGTCGTTACGTTGGAATCGCTTCGACGTTGCCCTGGCCGAACAGGAATTGGAGGCCGCAAGGAGAAAGACTCAAGCGGCCGGGATGATGTACTTTGCGCCCGAGACCTTGGGTCCAATGTCGCCTTTGCCCCAAAAGGAGGAGTAATGCCCAAATCGCACGCTACCCAAAGAACAAAATAAGACGAGGAGACAATCTGTGCTTCGAGCCATAATGATGCGTATTGAAAGTCCTGTGCGACGTTATTACATTGTGTAGATATGTGCGTGTGTATGTACGTAATGTAGGTGGATGAATATGCTCACACGCCCAAACCCGATTCCTATACTCTATGCCGAGACGAGGGATGATCTGCCAAAGAGTCCGCTCGAGAGTACACCGAGACCCAAGAGGAACAATAGCACACAGCCGTCTTTCCATGCTTGGTTGACGAGGCTGACGTATCGCGAACCGGTCAAGAGGAGGGAAGAGATGTGAGGAGGCATGAGGGGGAGAAAGTTGGACACCATACCGGGCAGCGAGGGGGGTGCCTAAGTGGAGAAGAACACAGCCGAAGCTCACGGGTCAGTATTCGGAAACTGTTTGAACCTCAGAATCGACGACCGACCTTGAAGAGCATGGCACGGGTGCTCTGGAGGAGGACTTCGACCGTGGTAAAAGCCCAAAATACGGGCTACCAAGTCGAACAGACAAGTGCATGAGTATCACTTGACATTCACCTTGTCGGCTCTCTTGTACAGCAAAACTCACCAATGTAGCAAATCTCGTCTGTCTTTCCAGATCCCTCTCCAGATTCCTGAACTTGCCACCCTCGCCGTTCCCGCTCAACAATCCATACTTTGCCAGATTGCTCCACGTCCAGGGCCTTCCAGATCCGAGGATCGTCGAAGATGGGTGTAGACTCGGTTCCCACCAGAGGACGATGAATGCCCAGAGCGCTACCATGGCGAGTACGTGGATGAAGGGGAATATGCGTTGGATGAGAGGTTTTTTCAGGGATTGGGAGGACGGGAAGAGAGGGTTGGGGTTGTTTGGATCGCCGCCAAAGAGACCGGGGGGGAGGGCACCACCGGGTCCGCCTGCACCTGATGACATGGCTTTAAACATGGCCGCCATCGGGTCTTCGTTGCCATTCCCACCAAGCCCTCCAAGGGAGTCTGGGTCAAAGTCCGAAGCGCCAGATGTGATGCCAAGCGGATTGGCGCCTGGCGCTCCTCCGCCTCCCATCTGGGCCAAAAGTGCCGCTAATGGGTTCTCTCCTCCCATCCCCATGCTTGCCGGACCTCCCATTCCCATTCCTGGCGCTCCGGCTCCACCACCTAACATGCTCATCATCTGTTCGAGTTGTCTCCGATACTGCTCATCGGGCGACCCGCCCCCAAAGTTGAGGTCCGAATCAGGCGTCTCTACGTCGTCCCGTCGAGCAGCAAACGCCGGGGTCGACGGACCGCGGGATCGACGAGCGTCAGGTTCAGGTCGGAATCGAGATTGAGAGTGGTGAAGAGGGTGGGGTTGATGGATCGAAGGAGAGGCCGTGTTGGCAGTTGGTTGTTGAGGACCTGCATCCGATGTTGCGGGAGATGCTGTACGTGATGGGGTCGACGAAGCTGTCCAGCGTTCAGAGATCATCGATCGAGTCAGAGCGATTCCCAGCTCGAGAGATCGGAGGCTAGTCTTGTGGTCTTACCGTCAAACAACTTGCTGGCTTCTTCACCTCTAGCCGTAGTGGCTAGCCTCGCCAGGCCAGAATTGCCTGCAACAAGACGACGTGGACGTAAGGATCTTGCTTGTCGATTGAGTAGACGGAAAGAGACTGGACGACTCACCCCTCGCCAGGATCTTTGCCTTTCGAGCTTCCGCCCTGCGCTTCGCTTCGGATTGAGCTTCAGACATTATCGTAAGTGCGAGCTATTTCGTCTACAAGCTGTTTCTAACAGCCTTGTAAGGGGAGGAGAGGGGTTGGTCAGAACGTTAGATCTATGAGAATTCAACAACTTCGTCACTAGATCACTAGTCATCCGAAGTGCAACTTCGGTCGCGCTCGCCAGCTCATCGGACTAAATTCGGAAGCAAATGATCTCGTTTTCGGATGTAAATCTCATACTCCTACGAGGTGGCTGTGGACGGTCTGGATCTGTGGCATTGACCGCAGCAGCCACTGAGACGGTTCATGTGGTCAATCTTGGGGCTTAAACCTATCAAGTTGCCGGCAGATGAGTCAGTTGACCATTGAGTCTTGGTGAGAAGCAGACACATAGCGATAGCCAACCAGGTGAAACTGGTGATTGCAGACAAAAGCCAATTCCATCTACTACCCTGTGAAGTCCCGGAGAAACCACAGGTCGCTGCTGGCAACCCGCAAGTCCCGTAGAAACCACCAGAGTACGGTTCGGCCGTGAGATTGCAAGGACTATGGGTCAGCCGTGATGGTCCACCTCGAGGTTGGTCAGAGAGTTGGGTGTGCTGGTGGCATCTGATGCAGCTTGTGTCAAACGAAACCTGTCCGCATCCATCACCACGTCAAAGTCTGTCAGGTGCAATCCTGCGGTGCAGTACATTATTGCCACGAACTGGACCCTCATCATCAATCAACCTCGATTTAAATAATTAAACTTTTATCGTTCTACTTATCAAGGTACAGTAATAACATGCAGGGGTTGCGCAAGTACTGTAGAAAGGAAAACAAAGCCCAGCTCAAATGGGCAACCTCACATCAACTGGCAGACTCATGACTGAGTGTTCCTTCCAGACTGATGGGATGGGACCACAAGGAATAGCAGGAAATATCTCTCCATGATCTCCTGAACAGATCACAACATCAACTTGGACACCCATGTGACAATCTATGCCACACGGGTAACACATATGAAGCTCTCTCGTCTGTGTAGACCGGGTGTGCTGGTGGCATCAGGTCCAGCTTGCGTCAAGCGAAACCTAGATAGCCAGGATGTCCGAGTGGTTAAGGAGGCAGCGGTTGGCGCGGCGCCATGGCATCGCGAGGACTCCTGTTGTAGCCATCCACGGTGCGGCTAGAGATATTGCCGAACGGTGTGGTGACAGGATTTATCGGCCCTGACGGTCGCCTACTTCCTACATCCGCGGTTCGTTCTCGCCTACCTCGACCTCACTGCTGTTGGTCACGGAGGATTACTAGACGGCAGCCGACGGTGGATAAGAAGGTTTCATCTGATGGCGGGAGACGGGATACACGTGTACAGGTCGAGGCGTACAGGCAGAGGAGAAGCGGAAGACGCACGGTTCGGAGTATAGACCGTTCCGGTATTATACTCGGTTGCGCTGGCGTATGCGTACGCTAGACACATATATAGACCCCACCTTGTCAGTCGATTCCACTCTTTTCCATCGCCGTTTCGCCGTTGTAGTAGTCGAGCAAGCAAAGAGAGACCAGTAGTAGATAGTGTTGGCAAAAAATGAACTTGAACGTCTGAACGTGAACGTTTGAACGCGGGTTTTTGAACGTATGAACGTGACGTTTAGTGAACGCGTTCATAGTGAACGCATTAGCGCGTTCAGTCGGCGATCACGTTCACGATCTTCGACGCGGCATCAGTGAACGCGTTCAAGTTCGATTCTCAGTTTGGCTTTGTCAGCTATCTTTTTGCCCTGAATGCGCTCGACAAGCGTAGCCAAGTACAGCGCGCGATCAGCCGTAGAAGCGCAAGTCGATGCCGGTACGCTATGCCGAGAACGCGCTTAGCGTTCGCGCTTGAACGCGTTCAGTGAACGCGAACGCGCTGAACGTGATGACGTAATGCGTTCAAGTTCATGAACGCGCTGACGTAATGCGTTCACGTTCACGTTCACGTTCACGCACCGCGGATACGAAATGAACGCGTTCGACACGCGTTCAGTGAACGCGTTCACTTTTTGCCAACACTAGTAGTAGACGTTTATTCATAGCTTTTATTCCACTTTCACTTTCGGCATACACCTACCGTTCGACCTCGTTGATTCGCTGCTTCGCGTTTCACGTTTATTCCCATCACCCGCTGTAAGGCCCGGGAGCGGCCCCCGATGGGGGTCCCCCTGGACAGGCTGACGGGACGCAGGAATGAGGCAAGGTATGGGTAGACATCTAGATGTAATAACGGATGTAGAGCTATTACAGAGGTACTAGTTCTACATCCAAACAACAACACCGAAAAGTACCCCCGACGGGAGTCGCATACGGGAGTCGCGTACGGCGTGTCCGACGCGCCACGTGACCGCTATAACAGGATCCCCCCCCTAGATGCGGTCTCCGAACGCATCAAGCGTCGGCGTACTCTTGTCGACCAGGCTGCGGTAGATGAGGGTAGCGCTTGTGAAACGCTGCGACGACCTTGTCGTCGTGATCGAATTCGGCGGGGCTAACCCACTCGTTCGATTCATCCCCGTACCCTTCGAATCGCACTAGGTATTGGGTCTTCTTCCCGGACCTCCCGGATCGCAACGCTTTCGAGTGTACGATCTCGGACACGACATACCCCAAGTCCCCGTTGTCGAGGACTTCGGGGGTAGGCGGTTCCACCACCTCTCTTCCTTCCAGCTCGTTGGCCCGATAGGGGATGAGCAACGACACGTGGAAGACGGGATGCACCCGGCGTAACTGCGCGGGGAGTTCCAGCCTCCTCGCCATCTTGCTCTGGCCGATGACTTCCGTGATTCGGAAGGGCCCCAGCGTCTTCATCGAGAGCTTCTGGCTGGGGCGCACCGACGTCAAGTTCTTGGTAGATAACATTACCAGGTCCCCTACGTTGTAACCCTCGTCAGGGACGGCGGTACGCTTCCGATTTGCGTACTTCGCCATGTCTTTCCGCGCTTGTTCCAGCGCCTCCTTCACCGACTTGTAGATCCCGTCGAGTCGGTCTCGGTACTCTCCCGCCGATTCCACCGCCTCTTCCCTAGTGCCGGGCACTGGCAGGGAGAAGGTATGTTCCCTTCCCTCGGACGCCATGAATGGCGACATCCCGATGGCAGAGTGCTTCGCGTTGTTGTACGCGAACTCCGCCATGGAGAGTAACTCCGCCCAATCGTCCTGGAGGAAGTTGACGTACGACCGCAAGTACTGCTCCAAGGTGGAGTTACTTCGCTCGGTCTGTCCGTCCGTCTCCGGGTGGAACGCCGTGGAGTAACTATTCTCCACGTTCGCCATGCGGCACAGATCTTTCCAGAAGCGCGAGGTGAACAACGTACCTCGATCCGAAATGATCTGCTTCGGGAACCCATGCAAACACACCCATCGGTCAAGGAATAACCGCGCCAAGAATGTGGCGTCGTTATCCTTTCGACAAGCGACGAAATGCGCTCGCTTGCTGAACCGATCGACGATCACCAGGATCGAATTGGACCCCATAGACTCGGGCAGGTCCGTGATGTGATCCCAAGTGATCGATTCGTATGGTCCCGCCGGTGCCGGCAGCGGCGCTAGTTCGCCGACAGGCTTCATTCGGGGTCGCCGGTTGCGCTGACATATGCTGCAGCTAGCGACGTACTCCCCGATCCACTTCGCCATCCCAGGCCAGTAGAAGTCCCTACTGGTTAGCTCCACGGTCTTGTCCCGCCCCCAATGGCCGGCGGCCTTCCCGTCATGTAGGCGCTTCATCAGCTCTACCTTGATGTTCCCCGCGTTAGGAACATACACCAACCCGTTGTACAGGAGAACCCCAGTGGGGCTCAAGCTGTATCGCTCATTCGCCAAGGTCCCCGCCTTGAGCTGCGCTACGAGCTCTTTCGCCACCGGGTCGTCCTGCGCCGCCGGTATCAGCGCTTTCACCATCCAATCGCCCAGTGCGGGGATGGTGCCATTCAACCGCAAAGGCGGTCGTTCAACCGGACTACACCCTTCAGGGGGTGCGTCTTCGACAGGCCGGAGCAGAGTCTCCGCTCGCTTCGGTTCTGTCTCCTCCATCAACTCTTCCCGACGACTCAACGCGTCGGCCTTCCCGTTCTCCGTTCCCGGCTTGTACTCCAGGGTGTAGGAGATCTGGTTCAACAGCTGCGACCATCGCGCCTGCCGTTGAGACAGTACCTTGTCCCTCTTGAAATACTCCAAGTTCTTGTGATCCGTGAGAATCCGAACGGGGTACTTGTTGTCGAGATAATGTCGCCATATCCGACTGCAATAGACGATGGCCAACAGTTCCCTGTCGTGCACATCGTAGTTCCTCTCGGCGGGCGTCAGACTCTTTGACATGAACGCTACCGGGTGGAGCTTCCCATCGTCCCCTACCTGGGACATCACCGCGCCGATCGCTCCAGAGGAAGCGTCGGTCTCGAGCACCACTTGGCGCTCCTCGTTGTAGTGCGCCAATATAGGCGCCTGGGTGAAGGACTCCTTCAATTCCCGGAACGCAGCGTCAGCGGCTGCCGTCCAGGAGTACTTCACCCCTTTCTTCGTCAGGGCCGTCATTCCCTGAATCTTCTTGGAGTAGTTCTGGATGAACCTCCGATAATAGTTTGCAAATCCTAAAAAGGACTGCAGTCCCCGAATGTTCTTCGGGGGGGCCCAGTCCAAAACGGACTTGACCTTGGAGGGGTTCATACTGACCCCCGTCGGGGCAATATCGTACCCCAAGAATTCGGTAGCCACCGTATCGAACTCACACTTCTCCGCCTTCGCATACAGGCCATTTGCCTGCAGCCTCTTCATAACCTCCTTGACCTGACCGTCATGGGTCTCCTGGTCGGAGGAGTAAATAAGTATGTCGTCGAGGTAAACGACGACGCACACATCCAAAAGGTCCTGGAAAACCTCGTTCATCCACCGCTGAAAGGTAGCGGGGGCGTTGGTCAAGCCGAACGGCATGACCAAACATTCGAACAGACCGAAACGTGTAGTAAACGCGGTCTTCCAAATGTCTTCTTCTTTTACGCGTAGCAGGTTGTACGCGCCTCGGAGGTCCATCTTCGTGTAGACCTTCGCGCCCTTCAACCTGTCTAGCGTCTCTGAGATGAGGGGTAGGGGCGTCCTATCCTTCACCGTAATGTCGTTAAGGCGACGGTAATCGATGCACATACGCATCTCGCCGCCTTTCTTTGGTACGAACAGTACCGGGCTCGAACAGGGCGACTTCGACGGCCTGATGAACCCCTTCTCCAAATTTTCTTTCAACCACTTCTTTAGCTCCTCGCTTTCCCGCTGGGAGTGGTTGTAGAGCTTCTGGTACGTCGGCGACGTACCGGGCTTGAGTTCGATCGCATGGTCGATCGATCGCGTCGGGGGCAGTGTATCTGCCTTCGTCTTGGAGAACGCTCCAAGATGTTCATGATACTTCTCCGGTACCATGTCCCTCAGCTTCTCCATATACTCAGGAGGATCCAGATCGTCCTGGAACGAGTCCGTGGGTTTGACGTCCCAATCCCACAGGTCCGGGCGCCTCGCCCGCTCGTCGTCCTCCCGGGTCATCTGCATCTGCGCGACGACCAAATCCTCCGTGATCGACCCCTTCATCTTCTTGAACGGGTCGATCCCTCGTGTCTCCACTTCTACTTCGTCCGGAGCATACACCGTCTCGGGCCTCTTGAGGCATCCCGTGCTGATGCAGACATCCCCGAACGTCACCGCGTTGGAGTCCCATTGGATATGCGGGTTGTGTCTCCGCAGCCAAGGGATACCTAGTACCACCGGGTACCCACTCAAATCGGTGAGATGGAACTCGGTCAGTTCCAGGTGCACTCCCGTACGTACCAGCGTACGAGCCTTCTGGGTGATCCTTCCTCCCTGGATCTCCCGACCATCAATCACCGTCACTACCCGCGGCGTCTCGAGGTCCGTTACGTCGAATCCATGTAGCGACGCGAATGTCCGATCCATGAACATCCCGGTCGCTCCCGAATCCAACAACATGAGTGCTTGGACCGGCACTCCTTCCGGGTAGAACACTCCTACCAACGTCAGATGGCTATCTGGACCGTTGGGTACTCCGCTTGCACCCAGCTGCAAGGGGATCCGGCTACCTCCTCGTGCTCCCCCATTCGGGGTCCTTTGATGATCCGTTATTCTGTAAGGCCCGGGAGCGGCCCCCGATGGGGGTCCCCCTGGACAGGCTGACGGGACGCAGGAATGAGGCAAGGTATGGGTAGACATCTAGATGTAATAACGGATGTAGAGCTATTACAGAGGTACTAGTTCTACATCCAAACAACAACACCGAAAAGTACCCCCGACGGGAGTCGCATACGGGAGTCGCGTACGGCGTGTCCGACGCGCCACGTGACCGCTATAACACCCGCTTAGACGACGGATCTGTAGCTGGCTGCCAGACAAGGTTAAGTAGATAGGCGTCAGAGTACGGCCTTTGCTAGCTTACCACCCCGAGTAGTTTCGAGTCTATACGACCTACGACGTATCGCGTTTGATCGGAGTTATCACCTTCCTCCCTCAAACGTCACTTGACCTGAATCACGTAACGTTTACACGCCTTTACCTACCACCCACCCCCTATAGTCTACCGGGAACAGCACTTGCCTACCTGGACATCCATTACCACTCCCAGGCTTAGCACCCCTACATACCTACATTACCGCCAACTCAGACGAGTTGTTGTTTGACCTCGTCATCGACGTTTGATCCCGAAGATCGGGATTGGCCCTACAACGGGTGTTCTGCCAGCAAGTCCGGCGGAGCATGTAGTTCACCCGCTATCACACTCATCCATCTATCTACTATCCTACGCAAGTCCCAGACAAAGCACAGGTTGCTGGCAACCCGCAAGTCCCGTAGAAACCACCAGAGTACGGTTCGGCCGTGAGATTGCAAGGACTATGGGTCAGCCGTGATGGTCCACCTCGAGGTTGGTCAGAGAGTTGGGTGTGCTGGTGGCATCTGATGCAGCTTGTGTCAAACGAAACCTGTCCGCATCCATCACCACGTCAAAGTCTGTCAGGTGCAATCCTGCGGTGCAGTACATTATTGCCACGAACTGGACCCTCATCATCAATCAACCTCGATTTAAATAATTAAACTTTTATCGTTCTACTTATCAAGGTACAGTAATAACATGCAGGGGTTGCGCAAGTACTGTAGAAAGGAAAACAAAGCCCAGCTCAAATGGGCAACCTCACATCAACTGGCAGACTCATGACTGAGTGTTCCTTCCAGACTGATGGGATGGGACCACAAGGAATAGCAGGAAATATCTCTCCATGATCTCCTGAACAGATCACAACATCAACTTGGACACCCATGTGACAATCTATGCCACACGGGTAACACATATGAAGCTCTCTCGTCTGTGTAGACCGGGTGTGCTGGTGGCATCAGGTCCAGCTTGCGTCAAGCGAAACCTAGATAGCCAGGATGTCCGAGTGGTTAAGGAGGCAGCGGTTGGCGCGGCGCCATGGCATCGCGAGGACTCCTGTTGTAGCCATCCACGGTGCGGCTAGAGATATTGCCGAACGGTGTGGTGACAGGATTTATCGGCCCTGACGGTCGCCTACTTCCTACATCCGCGGTTCGTTCTCGCCTACCTCGACCTCACTGCTGTTGGTCACGGAGGATTACTAGACGGCAGCCGACGGTGGATAAGAAGGTTTCATCTGATGGCGGGAGACGGGATACACGTGTACAGGTCGAGGCGTACAGGCAGAGGAGAAGCGGAAGACGCACGGTTCGGAGTATAGACCGTTCCGGTATTATACTCGGTTGCGCTGGCGTATGCGTACGCTAGACACATATATAGACCCCACCTTGTCAGTCGATTCCACTCTTTTCCATCGCCGTTTCGCCGTTGTAGTAGTCGAGCAAGCAAAGAGAGACCAGTAGTAGACGTTTATTCATAGCTTTTATTCCACTTTCACTTTCGGCATACACCTACCGTTCGACCTCGTTGATTCGCTGCTTCGCGTTTCACGTTTATTCCCATCACCCGCTTAGACGACGGATCTGTAGCTGGCTGCCAGACAAGGTTAAGTAGATAGGCGTCAGAGTACGGCCTTTGCTAGCTTACCACCCCGAGTAGTTTCGAGTCTATACGACCTACGACGTATCGCGTTTGATCGGAGTTATCACCTTCCTCCCTCAAACGTCACTTGACCTGAATCACGTAACGTTTACACGCCTTTACCTACCACCCACCCCCTATAGTCTACCGGGAACAGCACTTGCCTACCTGGACATCCATTACCACTCCCAGGCTTAGCACCCCTACATACCTACATTACCGCCAACTCAGACGAGTTGTTGTTTGACCTCGTCATCGACGTTTGATCCCGAAGATCGGGATTGGCCCTACAACGGGTGTTCTGCCAGCAAGTCCGGCGGAGCATGTAGTTCACCCGCTATCACACTCATCCATCTATCTACTATCCTACGCAAGTCCCAGACAAAGCACAGGTTGCTGGCAACCCGCAAGTCCCGTAGAAACCACCAGAGTACGGTTCGGCCGTGAGATTGCAAGGACTATGGGTCAGCCGTGATGGTCCACCTCGAGGTTGGTCAGAGAGTTGGGTGTGCTGGTGGCATCTGATGCAGCTTGTGTCAAACGAAACCTGTCCGCATCCATCACCACGTCAAAGTCTGTCAGGTGCAATCCTGCGGTGCAGTACATTATTGCCACGAACTGGACCCTCATCATCAATCAACCTCGATTTAAATAATTAAACTTTTATCGTTCTACTTATCAAGGTACAGTAATAACATGCAGGGGTTGCGCAAGTACTGTAGAAAGGAAAACAAAGCCCAGCTCAAATGGGCAACCTCACATCAACTGGCAGACTCATGACTGAGTGTTCCTTCCAGACTGATGGGATGGGACCACAAGGAATAGCAGGAAATATCTCTCCATGATCTCCTGAACAGATCACAACATCAACTTGGACACCCATGTGACAATCTATGCCACACGGGTAACACATATGAAGCTCTCTCGTCTGTGTAGACCGGGTGTGCTGGTGGCATCAGGTCCAGCTTGCGTCAAGCGAAACCTAGATAGCCAGGATGTCCGAGTGGTTAAGGAGGCAGCGGTTGGCGCGGCGCCATGGCATCGCGAGGACTCCTGTTGTAGCCATCCACGGTGCGGCTAGAGATATTGCCGAACGGTGTGGTGACAGGATTTATCGGCCCTGACGGTCGCCTACTTCCTACATCCGCGGTTCGTTCTCGCCTACCTCGACCTCACTGCTGTTGGTCACGGAGGATTACTAGACGGCAGCCGACGGTGGATAAGAAGGTTTCATCTGATGGCGGGAGACGGGATACACGTGTACAGGTCGAGGCGTACAGGCAGAGGAGAAGCGGAAGACGCACGGTTCGGAGTATAGACCGTTCCGGTATTATACTCGGTTGCGCTGGCGTATGCGTACGCTAGACACATATATAGACCCCACCTTGTCAGTCGATTCCACTCTTTTCCATCGCCGTTTCGCCGTTGTAGTAGTCGAGCAAGCAAAGAGAGACCAGTAGTAGACGTTTATTCATAGCTTTTATTCCACTTTCACTTTCGGCATACACCTACCGTTCGACCTCGTTGATTCGCTGCTTCGCGTTTCACGTTTATTCCCATCACCCGCTTAGACGACGGATCTGTAGCTGGCTGCCAGACAAGGTTAAGTAGATAGGCGTCAGAGTACGGCCTTTGCTAGCTTACCACCCCGAGTAGTTTCGAGTCTATACGACCTACGACGTATCGCGTTTGATCGGAGTTATCACCTTCCTCCCTCAAACGTCACTTGACCTGAATCACGTAACGTTTACACGCCTTTACCTACCACCCACCCCCTATAGTCTACCGGGAACAGCACTTGCCTACCTGGACATCCATTACCACTCCCAGGCTTAGCACCCCTACATACCTACATTACCGCCAACTCAGACGAGTTGTTGTTTGACCTCGTCATCGACGTTTGATCCCGAAGATCGGGATTGGCCCTACAACGGGTGTTCTGCCAGCAAGTCCGGCGGAGCATGTAGTTCACCCGCTATCACACTCATCCATCTATCTACTATCCTACGCAAGTCCCAGACAAAGCACAGGTTGCTGGCAACCCGCAAGTCCCGTAGAAACCACCAGAGTACGGTTCGGCCGTGAGATTGCAAGGACTATGGGTCAGCCGTGATGGTCCACCTCGAGGTTGGTCAGAGAGTTGGGTGTGCTGGTGGCATCTGATGCAGCTTGTGTCAAACGAAACCTGTCCGCATCCATCACCACGTCAAAGTCTGTCAGGTGCAATCCTGCGGTGCAGTACATTATTGCCACGAACTGGACCCTCATCATCAATCAACCTCGATTTAAATAATTAAACTTTTATCGTTCTACTTATCAAGGTACAGTAATAACATGCAGGGGTTGCGCAAGTACTGTAGAAAGGAAAACAAAGCCCAGCTCAAATGGGCAACCTCACATCAACTGGCAGACTCATGACTGAGTGTTCCTTCCAGACTGATGGGATGGGACCACAAGGAATAGCAGGAAATATCTCTCCATGATCTCCTGAACAGATCACAACATCAACTTGGACACCCATGTGACAATCTATGCCACACGGGTAACACATATGAAGCTCTCTCGTCTGTGTAGACCGGGTGTGCTGGTGGCATCAGGTCCAGCTTGCGTCAAGCGAAACCTAGATAGCCAGGATGTCCGAGTGGTTAAGGAGGCAGCGGTTGGCGCGGCGCCATGGCATCGCGAGGACTCCTGTTGTAGCCATCCACGGTGCGGCTAGAGATATTGCCGAACGGTGTGGTGACAGGATTTATCGGCCCTGACGGTCGCCTACTTCCTACATCCGCGGTTCGTTCTCGCCTACCTCGACCTCACTGCTGTTGGTCACGGAGGATTACTAGACGGCAGCCGACGGTGGATAAGAAGGTTTCATCTGATGGCGGGAGACGGGATACACGTGTACAGGTCGAGGCGTACAGGCAGAGGAGAAGCGGAAGACGCACGGTTCGGAGTATAGACCGTTCCGGTATTATACTCGGTTGCGCTGGCGTATGCGTACGCTAGACACATATATAGACCCCACCTTGTCAGTCGATTCCACTCTTTTCCATCGCCGTTTCGCCGTTGTAGTAGTCGAGCAAGCAAAGAGAGACCAGTAGTAGACGTTTATTCATAGCTTTTATTCCACTTTCACTTTCGGCATACACCTACCGTTCGACCTCGTTGATTCGCTGCTTCGCGTTTCACGTTTATTCCCATCACCCGCTTAGACGACGGATCTGTAGCTGGCTGCCAGACAAGGTTAAGTAGATAGGCGTCAGAGTACGGCCTTTGCTAGCTTACCACCCCGAGTAGTTTCGAGTCTATACGACCTACGACGTATCGCGTTTGATCGGAGTTATCACCTTCCTCCCTCAAACGTCACTTGACCTGAATCACGTAACGTTTACACGCCTTTACCTACCACCCACCCCCTATAGTCTACCGGGAACAGCACTTGCCTACCTGGACATCCATTACCACTCCCAGGCTTAGCACCCCTACATACCTACATTACCGCCAACTCAGACGAGTTGTTGTTTGACCTCGTCATCGACGTTTGATCCCGAAGATCGGGATTGGCCCTACAACGGGTGTTCTGCCAGCAAGTCCGGCGGAGCATGTAGTTCACCCGCTATCACACTCATCCATCTATCTACTATCCTACGCAAGTCCCAGACAAAGCACAGGTTGCTGGCAACCCGCAAGTCCCGTAGAAACCACCAGAGTACGGTTCGGCCGTGAGATTGCAAGGACTATGGGTCAGCCGTGATGGTCCACCTCGAGGTTGGTCAGAGAGTTGGGTGTGCTGGTGGCATCTGATGCAGCTTGTGTCAAACGAAACCTGTCCGCATCCATCACCACGTCAAAGTCTGTCAGGTGCAATCCTGCGGTGCAGTACATTATTGCCACGAACTGGACCCTCATCATCAATCAACCTCGATTTAAATAATTAAACTTTTATCGTTCTACTTATCAAGGTACAGTAATAACATGCAGGGGTTGCGCAAGTACTGTAGAAAGGAAAACAAAGCCCAGCTCAAATGGGCAACCTCACATCAACTGGCAGACTCATGACTGAGTGTTCCTTCCAGACTGATGGGATGGGACCACAAGGAATAGCAGGAAATATCTCTCCATGATCTCCTGAACAGATCACAACATCAACTTGGACACCCATGTGACAATCTATGCCACACGGGTAACACATATGAAGCTCTCTCGTCTGTGTAGACCGGGTGTGCTGGTGGCATCAGGTCCAGCTTGCGTCAAGCGAAACCTAGATAGCCAGGATGTCCGAGTGGTTAAGGAGGCAGCGGTTGGCGCGGCGCCATGGCATCGCGAGGACTCCTGTTGTAGCCATCCACGGTGCGGCTAGAGATATTGCCGAACGGTGTGGTGACAGGATTTATCGGCCCTGACGGTCGCCTACTTCCTACATCCGCGGTTCGTTCTCGCCTACCTCGACCTCACTGCTGTTGGTCACGGAGGATTACTAGACGGCAGCCGACGGTGGATAAGAAGGTTTCATCTGATGGCGGGAGACGGGATACACGTGTACAGGTCGAGGCGTACAGGCAGAGGAGAAGCGGAAGACGCACGGTTCGGAGTATAGACCGTTCCGGTATTATACTCGGTTGCGCTGGCGTATGCGTACGCTAGACACATATATAGACCCCACCTTGTCAGTCGATTCCACTCTTTTCCATCGCCGTTTCGCCGTTGTAGTAGTCGAGCAAGCAAAGAGAGACCAGTAGTAGACGTTTATTCATAGCTTTTATTCCACTTTCACTTTCGGCATACACCTACCGTTCGACCTCGTTGATTCGCTGCTTCGCGTTTCACGTTTATTCCCATCACCCGCTTAGACGACGGATCTGTAGCTGGCTGCCAGACAAGGTTAAGTAGATAGGCGTCAGAGTACGGCCTTTGCTAGCTTACCACCCCGAGTAGTTTCGAGTCTATACGACCTACGACGTATCGCGTTTGATCGGAGTTATCACCTTCCTCCCTCAAACGTCACTTGACCTGAATCACGTAACGTTTACACGCCTTTACCTACCACCCACCCCCTATAGTCTACCGGGAACAGCACTTGCCTACCTGGACATCCATTACCACTCCCAGGCTTAGCACCCCTACATACCTACATTACCGCCAACTCAGACGAGTTGTTGTTTGACCTCGTCATCGACGTTTGATCCCGAAGATCGGGATTGGCCCTACAACGGGTGTTCTGCCAGCAAGTCCGGCGGAGCATGTAGTTCACCCGCTATCACACTCATCCATCTATCTACTATCCTACGCAAGTCCCAGACAAAGCACAGGTTGCTGGCAACCCGCAAGTCCCGTAGAAACCACCAGAGTACGGTTCGGCCGTGAGATTGCAAGGACTATGGGTCAGCCGTGATGGTCCACCTCGAGGTTGGTCAGAGAGTTGGGTGTGCTGGTGGCATCTGATGCAGCTTGTGTCAAACGAAACCTGTCCGCATCCATCACCACGTCAAAGTCTGTCAGGTGCAATCCTGCGGTGCAGTACATTATTGCCACGAACTGGACCCTCATCATCAATCAACCTCGATTTAAATAATTAAACTTTTATCGTTCTACTTATCAAGGTACAGTAATAACATGCAGGGGTTGCGCAAGTACTGTAGAAAGGAAAACAAAGCCCAGCTCAAATGGGCAACCTCACATCAACTGGCAGACTCATGACTGAGTGTTCCTTCCAGACTGATGGGATGGGACCACAAGGAATAGCAGGAAATATCTCTCCATGATCTCCTGAACAGATCACAACATCAACTTGGACACCCATGTGACAATCTATGCCACACGGGTAACACATATGAAGCTCTCTCGTCTGTGTAGACCGGGTGTGCTGGTGGCATCAGGTCCAGCTTGCGTCAAGCGAAACCTAGATAGCCAGGATGTCCGAGTGGTTAAGGAGGCAGCGGTTGGCGCGGCGCCATGGCATCGCGAGGACTCCTGTTGTAGCCATCCACGGTGCGGCTAGAGATATTGCCGAACGGTGTGGTGACAGGATTTATCGGCCCTGACGGTCGCCTACTTCCTACATCCGCGGTTCGTTCTCGCCTACCTCGACCTCACTGCTGTTGGTCACGGAGGATTACTAGACGGCAGCCGACGGTGGATAAGAAGGTTTCATCTGATGGCGGGAGACGGGATACACGTGTACAGGTCGAGGCGTACAGGCAGAGGAGAAGCGGAAGACGCACGGTTCGGAGTATAGACCGTTCCGGTATTATACTCGGTTGCGCTGGCGTATGCGTACGCTAGACACATATATAGACCCCACCTTGTCAGTCGATTCCACTCTTTTCCATCGCCGTTTCGCCGTTGTAGTAGTCGAGCAAGCAAAGAGAGACCAGTAGTAGACGTTTATTCATAGCTTTTATTCCACTTTCACTTTCGGCATACACCTACCGTTCGACCTCGTTGATTCGCTGCTTCGCGTTTCACGTTTATTCCCATCACCCGCTTAGACGACGGATCTGTAGCTGGCTGCCAGACAAGGTTAAGTAGATAGGCGTCAGAGTACGGCCTTTGCTAGCTTACCACCCCGAGTAGTTTCGAGTCTATACGACCTACGACGTATCGCGTTTGATCGGAGTTATCACCTTCCTCCCTCAAACGTCACTTGACCTGAATCACGTAACGTTTACACGCCTTTACCTACCACCCACCCCCTATAGTCTACCGGGAACAGCACTTGCCTACCTGGACATCCATTACCACTCCCAGGCTTAGCACCCCTACATACCTACATTACCGCCAACTCAGACGAGTTGTTGTTTGACCTCGTCATCGACGTTTGATCCCGAAGATCGGGATTGGCCCTACAACGGGTGTTCTGCCAGCAAGTCCGGCGGAGCATGTAGTTCACCCGCTATCACACTCATCCATCTATCTACTATCCTACGCAAGTCCCAGACAAAGCACAGGTTGCTGGCAACCCGCAAGTCCCGTAGAAACCACCAGAGTACGGTTCGGCCGTGAGATTGCAAGGACTATGGGTCAGCCGTGATGGTCCACCTCGAGGTTGGTCAGAGAGTTGGGTGTGCTGGTGGCATCTGATGCAGCTTGTGTCAAACGAAACCTGTCCGCATCCATCACCACGTCAAAGTCTGTCAGGTGCAATCCTGCGGTGCAGTACATTATTGCCACGAACTGGACCCTCATCATCAATCAACCTCGATTTAAATAATTAAACTTTTATCGTTCTACTTATCAAGGTACAGTAATAACATGCAGGGGTTGCGCAAGTACTGTAGAAAGGAAAACAAAGCCCAGCTCAAATGGGCAACCTCACATCAACTGGCAGACTCATGACTGAGTGTTCCTTCCAGACTGATGGGATGGGACCACAAGGAATAGCAGGAAATATCTCTCCATGATCTCCTGAACAGATCACAACATCAACTTGGACACCCATGTGACAATCTATGCCACACGGGTAACACATATGAAGCTCTCTCGTCTGTGTAGACCGGGTGTGCTGGTGGCATCAGGTCCAGCTTGCGTCAAGCGAAACCTAGATAGCCAGGATGTCCGAGTGGTTAAGGAGGCAGCGGTTGGCGCGGCGCCATGGCATCGCGAGGACTCCTGTTGTAGCCATCCACGGTGCGGCTAGAGATATTGCCGAACGGTGTGGTGACAGGATTTATCGGCCCTGACGGTCGCCTACTTCCTACATCCGCGGTTCGTTCTCGCCTACCTCGACCTCACTGCTGTTGGTCACGGAGGATTACTAGACGGCAGCCGACGGTGGATAAGAAGGTTTCATCTGATGGCGGGAGACGGGATACACGTGTACAGGTCGAGGCGTACAGGCAGAGGAGAAGCGGAAGACGCACGGTTCGGAGTATAGACCGTTCCGGTATTATACTCGGTTGCGCTGGCGTATGCGTACGCTAGACACATATATAGACCCCACCTTGTCAGTCGATTCCACTCTTTTCCATCGCCGTTTCGCCGTTGTAGTAGTCGAGCAAGCAAAGAGAGACCAGTAGTAGACGTTTATTCATAGCTTTTATTCCACTTTCACTTTCGGCATACACCTACCGTTCGACCTCGTTGATTCGCTGCTTCGCGTTTCACGTTTATTCCCATCACCCGCTTAGACGACGGATCTGTAGCTGGCTGCCAGACAAGGTTAAGTAGATAGGCGTCAGAGTACGGCCTTTGCTAGCTTACCACCCGAGTAGTTTCGAGTCTATACGACCTACGACGTATCGCGTTTGATCGGAGTTATCACCTTCCTCCCTCAAACGTCACTTGACCTGAATCACGTAACGTTTACACGCCTTTACCTACCACCCACCCCCTATAGTCTACCGGAACAGCACTTGCCTACCTGGACATCCATTACCACTCCCAGGCTTAGCACCCCTACATACCTACATTACCGCCAACTCAGACGAGTTGTTGTTTGACCTCGTCATCGACGTTTGATCCCGAAGATCGGGATTGGCCCTACAACGGGTGTTCTGCCAGCAAGTCCGGCGGAGCATGTAGTTCACCCGCTATCACACTCATCCATCTATCTACTATCCTACGCAAGTCCCAGACAAAGCACAGGTTGCTGGCAACCCGCAAGTCCCGTAGAAACCACCAGAGTACGGTTCGGCCGTGAGATTGCAAGGACTATGGGTCAGCCGTGATGGTCCACCTCGAGGTTGGTCAGAGAGTTGGGTGTGCTGGTGGCATCTGATGCAGCTTGTGTCAAACGAAACCTGTCCGCATCCATCACCACGTCAAAGTCTGTCAGGTGCAATCCTGCGGTGCAGTACATTATTGCCACGAACTGGACCCTCATAATCAATCAACCTCGATTTAAATAATTAAACTTTTATCGTTCTACTTATCAAGGTACAGTAATAAACATGCAGGGGTTGCGCAGTACTGTAGAAAGGAAAACAAAGCCCAGCTCAAAGGGCAACCTCACATAACTGGCAGACTCATGACTGAGTGTTCCTTCCAGACTGATGGGATGGGACCACAAGGAAATAGCAGGAAATATCTCTCCATGATCTCCTGAACCGATCACAACATCAACTTGGACACCCATGTGACAATCTATGCCACACGGGTAACACATATGAAGCTCTCTCGTCTGTGTAGACCGGGTGTGCTGGTGGCATCAGGTCCAGCTTGCGTCAAGCGAAACCTAGATAGCCAGGATGTCCGAGTGGTTAAGGAGGCAGCGGTTGGCGCGGCGCCATGGCATCGCGAGGACTCCTGTTGTAGCCATCCACGGTGCGGCTAGAGATATTGCCGAACGGTGTGGTGACAGGATTTATCGGCCCTGACGGTCGCCTACTTCCTACATCCGCGGTTCGTTCTCGCCTACCTCGACCTCACTGCTGTTGGTCACGGAGGATTACTAGACGGCAGCCGACGGTGGATAAGAAGGTTTCATCTGATGGCGGGAGACGGGCTGGTTCGGAGTATAGACCGTTCCGGTATTATACTCGGTTGCGCTGGCCGTATGCGTACGCTAGACACGATATATAGAACGCCACCTTGTCAGTCGATTCACTCTTTTCCATCGCCGTTTCGCCGTTGTAGTAGTCGAGCAAAGCCAAAGAGAGACCATAGTAGACGTTATTCATATGCTTTATTCCACTTTCACTTTCGGCATACACCCTACCGTTCGACCTCGTTGATTCGCTGCTTCGCGTTTCACGTTTATTCCCTCACCGCTTAGACGACGGATCTGTAGCTGGCTGCCAGACAAGGTTAAGTAGATAGCGTCAGAGTACGGCCTTGCCTAGCTTACCACCCCGAGTAGTTTCGAGTCTATACGACCTACGACGTATCGCGTTTGATCGGAGTTATCACCTTCCTCCCTCAAACGTCACTTGACCTGAATCACGTAACGTTTACACGCCTTTACCTACCACCCACCCCCTATAGTCTACCGGGAACAGCACTTGCCTACCTGGACATCCATTACCACTCCCAGGCTTAGCACCCCTACATACCTACATTACCGCCAACTCAGACGAGTTGTTGTTTGACCTCGTCATCGACGTTTGATCCCGAAGATCGGGATTGGCCCTACAACGGGTGTTCTGCCAGCAAGTCCGGCGGAGCATGTAGTTCACCCGCTATCACACTCATCCATCTATCTACTATCCTACGCAAGTCCCAGACAAAGCACAGGTTGCTGGCAACCCGCAAGTCCCGTAGAAACCACCAGAGTACGGTTCGGCCGTGAGATTGCAAGGACTATGGGTCAGCCGTGATGGTCCACCTCGAGGTTGGTCAGAGAGTTGGGTGTGCTGGTGGCATCTGATGCAGCTTGTGTCAAACGAAACCTGTCCGCATCCATCACCACGTCAAAGTCTGTCAGGTGCAATCCTGCGGTGCAGTACATTATTGCCACGAACTGGACCCTCATCATCAATCAACCTCGATTTAAATAATTAAACTTTTATCGTTCTACTTATCAAGGTACAGTAATAACATGCAGGGGTTGCGCAAGTACTGTAGAAAGGAAAACAAAGCCCAGCTCAAATGGGCAACCTCACATCAACTGGCAGACTCATGACTGAGTGTTCCTTCCAGACTGATGGGATGGGACCACAAGGAATAGCAGGAAATATCTCTCCATGATCTCCTGAACAGATCACAACATCAACTTGGACACCCATGTGACAATCTATGCCACACGGGTAACACATATGAAGCTCTCTCGTCTGTGTAGACCGGGTGTGCTGGTGGCATCAGGTCCAGCTTGCGTCAAGCGAAACCTAGATAGCCAGGATGTCCGAGTGGTTAAGGAGGCAGCGGTTGGCGCGGCGCCATGGCATCGCGAGGACTCCTGTTGTAGCCATCCACGGTGCGGCTAGAGATATTGCCGAACGGTGTGGTGACAGGATTTATCGGCCCTGACGGTCGCCTACTTCCTACATCCGCGGTTCGTTCTCGCCTACCTCGACCTCACTGCTGTTGGTCACGGAGGATTACTAGACGGCAGCCGACGGTGGATAAGAAGGTTTCATCTGATGGCGGGAGACGGGATACACGTGTACAGGTCGAGGCGTACAGGCAGAGGAGAAGCGGAAGACGCACGGTTCGGAGTATAGACCGTTCCGGTATTATACTCGGTTGCGCTGGCGTATGCGTACGCTAGACACATATATAGACCCCACCTTGTCAGTCGATTCCACTCTTTTCCATCGCCGTTTCGCCGTTGTAGTAGTCGAGCAAGCAAAGAGAGACCAGTAGTAGACGTTTATTCATAGCTTTTATTCCACTTTCACTTTCGGCATACACCTACCGTTCGACCTCGTTGATTCGCTGCTTCGCGTTTCACGTTTATTCCCATCACCCGCTTAGACGACGGATCTGTAGCTGGCTGCCAGACAAGGTTAAGTAGATAGGCGTCAGAGTACGGCCTTTGCTAGCTTACCACCCCGAGTAGTTTCGAGTCTATACGACCTACGACGTATCGCGTTTGATCGGAGTTATCACCTTCCTCCCTCAAACGTCACTTGACCTGAATCACGTAACGTTTACACGCCTTTACCTACCACCCACCCCCTATAGTCTACCGGGAACAGCACTTGCCTACCTGGACATCCATTACCACTCCCAGGCTTAGCACCCCTACATACCTACATTACCGCCAACTCAGACGAGTTGTTGTTTGACCTCGTCATCGACGTTTGATCCCGAAGATCGGGATTGGCCCTACAACGGGTGTTCTGCCAGCAAGTCCGGCGGAGCATGTAGTTCACCCGCTATCACACTCATCCATCTATCTACTATCCTACGCAAGTCCCAGACAAAGCACAGGTTGCTGGCAACCCGCAAGTCCCGTAGAAACCACCAGAGTACGGTTCGGCCGTGAGATTGCAAGGACTATGGGTCAGCCGTGATGGTCCACCTCGAGGTTGGTCAGAGAGTTGGGTGTGCTGGTGGCATCTGATGCAGCTTGTGTCAAACGAAACCTGTCCGCATCCATCACCACGTCAAAGTCTGTCAGGTGCAATCCTGCGGTGCAGTACATTATTGCCACGAACTGGACCCTCATCATCAATCAACCTCGATTTAAATAATTAAACTTTTATCGTTCTACTTATCAAGGTACAGTAATAACATGCAGGGGTTGCGCAAGTACTGTAGAAAGGAAAACAAAGCCCAGCTCAAATGGGCAACCTCACATCAACTGGCAGACTCATGACTGAGTGTTCCTTCCAGACTGATGGGATGGGACCACAAGGAATAGCAGGAAATATCTCTCCATGATCTCCTGAACAGATCACAACATCAACTTGGACACCCATGTGACAATCTATGCCACACGGGTAACACATATGAAGCTCTCTCGTCTGTGTAGACCGGGTGTGCTGGTGGCATCAGGTCCAGCTTGCGTCAAGCGAAACCTAGATAGCCAGGATGTCCGAGTGGTTAAGGAGGCAGCGGTTGGCGCGGCGCCATGGCATCGCGAGGACTCCTGTTGTAGCCATCCACGGTGCGGCTAGAGATATTGCCGAACGGTGTGGTGACAGGATTTATCGGCCCTGACGGTCGCCTACTTCCTACATCCGCGGTTCGTTCTCGCCTACCTCGACCTCACTGCTGTTGGTCACGGAGGATTACTAGACGGCAGCCGACGGTGGATAAGAAGGTTTCATCTGATGGCGGGAGACGGGATACACGTGTACAGGTCGAGGCGTACAGGCAGAGGAGAAGCGGAAGACGCACGGTTCGGAGTATAGACCGTTCCGGTATTATACTCGGTTGCGCTGGCGTATGCGTACGCTAGACACATATATAGACCCCACCTTGTCAGTCGATTCCACTCTTTTCCATCGCCGTTTCGCCGTTGTAGTAGTCGAGCAAGCAAAGAGAGACCAGTAGTAGACGTTTATTCATAGCTTTTATTCCACTTTCACTTTCGGCATACACCTACCGTTCGACCTCGTTGATTCGCTGCTTCGCGTTTCACGTTTATTCCCATCACCCGCTTAGACGACGGATCTGTAGCTGGCTGCCAGACAAGGTTAAGTAGATAGGCGTCAGAGTACGGCCTTTGCTAGCTTACCACCCCGAGTAGTTTCGAGTCTATACGACCTACGACGTATCGCGTTTGATCGGAGTTATCACCTTCCTCCCTCAAACGTCACTTGACCTGAATCACGTAACGTTTACACGCCTTTACCTACCACCCACCCCCTATAGTCTACCGGGAACAGCACTTGCCTACCTGGACATCCATTACCACTCCCAGGCTTAGCACCCCTACATACCTACATTACCGCCAACTCAGACGAGTTGTTGTTTGACCTCGTCATCGACGTTTGATCCCGAAGATCGGGATTGGCCCTACAACGGGTGTTCTGCCAGCAAGTCCGGCGGAGCATGTAGTTCACCCGCTATCACACTCATCCATCTATCTACTATCCTACGCAAGTCCCAGACAAAGCACAGGTTGCTGGCAACCCGCAAGTCCCGTAGAAACCACCAGAGTACGGTTCGGCCGTGAGATTGCAAGGACTATGGGTCAGCCGTGATGGTCCACCTCGAGGTTGGTCAGAGAGTTGGGTGTGCTGGTGGCATCTGATGCAGCTTGTGTCAAACGAAACCTGTCCGCATCCATCACCACGTCAAAGTCTGTCAGGTGCAATCCTGCGGTGCAGTACATTATTGCCACGAACTGGACCCTCATCATCAATCAACCTCGATTTAAATAATTAAACTTTTATCGTTCTACTTATCAAGGTACAGTAATAACATGCAGGGGTTGCGCAAGTACTGTAGAAAGGAAAACAAAGCCCAGCTCAAATGGGCAACCTCACATCAACTGGCAGACTCATGACTGAGTGTTCCTTCCAGACTGATGGGATGGGACCACAAGGAATAGCAGGAAATATCTCTCCATGATCTCCTGAACAGATCACAACATCAACTTGGACACCCATGTGACAATCTATGCCACACGGGTAACACATATGAAGCTCTCTCGTCTGTGTAGACCGGGTGTGCTGGTGGCATCAGGTCCAGCTTGCGTCAAGCGAAACCTAGATAGCCAGGATGTCCGAGTGGTTAAGGAGGCAGCGGTTGGCGCGGCGCCATGGCATCGCGAGGACTCCTGTTGTAGCCATCCACGGTGCGGCTAGAGATATTGCCGAACGGTGTGGTGACAGGATTTATCGGCCCTGACGGTCGCCTACTTCCTACATCCGCGGTTCGTTCTCGCCTACCTCGACCTCACTGCTGTTGGTCACGGAGGATTACTAGACGGCAGCCGACGGTGGATAAGAAGGTTTCATCTGATGGCGGGAGACGGGATACACGTGTACAGGTCGAGGCGTACAGGCAGAGGAGAAGCGGAAGACGCACGGTTCGGAGTATAGACCGTTCCGGTATTATACTCGGTTGCGCTGGCGTATGCGTACGCTAGACACATATATAGACCCCACCTTGTCAGTCGATTCCACTCTTTTCCATCGCCGTTTCGCCGTTGTAGTAGTCGAGCAAGCAAAGAGAGACCAGTAGTAGACGTTTATTCATAGCTTTTATTCCACTTTCACTTTCGGCATACACCTACCGTTCGACCTCGTTGATTCGCTGCTTCGCGTTTCACGTTTATTCCCATCACCCGCTTAGACGACGGATCTGTAGCTGGCTGCCAGACAAGGTTAAGTAGATAGGCGTCAGAGTACGGCCTTTGCTAGCTTACCACCCCGAGTAGTTTCGAGTCTATACGACCTACGACGTATCGCGTTTGATCGGAGTTATCACCTTCCTCCCTCAAACGTCACTTGACCTGAATCACGTAACGTTTACACGCCTTTACCTACCACCCACCCCCTATAGTCTACCGGGAACAGCACTTGCCTACCTGGACATCCATTACCACTCCCAGGCTTAGCACCCCTACATACCTACATTACCGCCAACTCAGACGAGTTGTTGTTTGACCTCGTCATCGACGTTTGATCCCGAAGATCGGGATTGGCCCTACAACGGGTGTTCTGCCAGCAAGTCCGGCGGAGCATGTAGTTCACCCGCTATCACACTCATCCATCTATCTACTATCCTACGCAAGTCCCAGACAAAGCACAGGTTGCTGGCAACCCGCAAGTCCCGTAGAAACCACCAGAGTACGGTTCGGCCGTGAGATTGCAAGGACTATGGGTCAGCCGTGATGGTCCACCTCGAGGTTGGTCAGAGAGTTGGGTGTGCTGGTGGCATCTGATGCAGCTTGTGTCAAACGAAACCTGTCCGCATCCATCACCACGTCAAAGTCTGTCAGGTGCAATCCTGCGGTGCAGTACATTATTGCCACGAACTGGACCCTCATCATCAATCAACCTCGATTTAAATAATTAAACTTTTATCGTTCTACTTATCAAGGTACAGTAATAACATGCAGGGGTTGCGCAAGTACTGTAGAAAGGAAAACAAAGCCCAGCTCAAATGGGCAACCTCACATCAACTGGCAGACTCATGACTGAGTGTTCCTTCCAGACTGATGGGATGGGACCACAAGGAATAGCAGGAAATATCTCTCCATGATCTCCTGAACAGATCACAACATCAACTTGGACACCCATGTGACAATCTATGCCACACGGGTAACACATATGAAGCTCTCTCGTCTGTGTAGACCGGGTGTGCTGGTGGCATCAGGTCCAGCTTGCGTCAAGCGAAACCTAGATAGCCAGGATGTCCGAGTGGTTAAGGAGGCAGCGGTTGGCGCGGCGCCATGGCATCGCGAGGACTCCTGTTGTAGCCATCCACGGTGCGGCTAGAGATATTGCCGAACGGTGTGGTGACAGGATTTATCGGCCCTGACGGTCGCCTACTTCCTACATCCGCGGTTCGTTCTCGCCTACCTCGACCTCACTGCTGTTGGTCACGGAGGATTACTAGACGGCAGCCGACGGTGGATAAGAAGGTTTCATCTGATGGCGGGAGACGGGATACACGTGTACAGGTCGAGGCGTACAGGCAGAGGAGAAGCGGAAGACGCACGGTTCGGAGTATAGACCGTTCCGGTATTATACTCGGTTGCGCTGGCGTATGCGTACGCTAGACACATATATAGACCCCACCTTGTCAGTCGATTCCACTCTTTTCCATCGCCGTTTCGCCGTTGTAGTAGTCGAGCAAGCAAAGAGAGACCAG